AAATCATGGAAAAAAATATATAGGGAATATCGGAACGAGACAGAAACAGGTGATAACAACAGAAAAAATGAAGAAAATAACTATTTTCAGAAAATAGAGAAACATAACATCAGGTATAACTAAAAGTAAAAACAGAGCAAGATTTAATTTCTACAGATTCTATAGAATCGTCTGAAGATGAGCTCACTTGCGCGGAAGAAGATTTTGTGTCAATGTCGAGCTGTGACAACTTGCAAAGAGTCATTACGTCGAGAGGTTGTTACCGTTTTTGCATATTTTTGAAATTATTTCGCTTTAGGCCAATGGGAAGCATTATCTTCGCGAGATTTTATTTTCACAGTTTGAAACGACTATTATCGTCAGAAATCACAAAGGGAATTGGGCAAAGAATGTTGCGGAAGTATGCTTTATTATAAAATTGTACACCGTAGAAAAATTTTAGTGCTGCAATTTTGCAAGATTTGACGACCGAAGTTCGTGCAAGACTTGATTCGGACCCAACGAGAAAACAACATGATGTGTCTATCGTGAAACTGAGAAAACTGCTATTTCGATATTCGGAGAATGATGATATCGAAAAAACGACAGATGTACCACTGAAGTACTCAATGCTGGCTCAAAAAGGCGATTTGTTTACTGAGAAATACAGCTATCAAGGCTCACACTACTCAATACAAAGAAATATTGCTTCGGATAATAGCGTCGTGATGTTTCGTTGGCGAAATTCACTGCAATATGGCGATGTATTGGGATTTCTTCTCAATGAGAAGTTCGGTGACCGGGTTATTCTACAACCATACATTCTAAATGAAAGGAATCATGTTCACGGTATGTTTTATTTATTGTTCAATCATTCCAAATGTAATGGTACCAGATTCCGCGAAAAAAAGCATTAAAATCATCAAAAGCCGTAAAAAAATATCAGAACTCGTCAAAACCGGCAAAAACCATTATAATTATGGTTACCGCTGTTTGAGTTTTTGGCGAAATCTGCATAGTACCACAATAGAAACTATAGAAACCCTATACTTCCAGATAGAAACTTTATCCCAAAAATTCGCGGCAAAGCCAAACAAAAACAATGTGAGTATTTTTTTAAATTTTGCTATTCTCTAAATTTAGATCGACGTGATCGCCGTATACAACCCTGAAGCTCTTAAAGACGCAGAAATAATTATTCCATCACTGGATGAAAATAGTGGGTTTTTTGTGTTTCGAAAGCTTTGAATTTGTGATAAATACTACAGTCAACAGATTTGTCGATAAGGTATCTTACAATTATTTAAAGTTGCAAAAAATATCTTCAGACAATTCCCAATAACGATCGTGTGAATTATTCAACATCGTTTAAGCCAACTCCGCCGCACGCAACGCTTCCAGTTCGGTTTGTCAACACAGCGATTGGTATGCTCAAATAGCGCGAAAAATGTTTAAAATATGTTTAAATTAATTTCAGCTGTTTTACAAAAGACGGTTACCATCGCTGGAATGGCTGACGAAACGGCGAATTCTACAATCTCCTATTTGGTACACGGTCATATGACCTATCTCCTGTGAGTTTTCACTTTTTTAGTGGGCCTATGCAGATTTTGAAAAGAAACGCAGTAAAAACCTTTTAAAGAAACTCGACAACATTATAAAGATTCGGCTAAACTAGTCTTAATCAGATTTTTCGCGTTTTTCTCCAAAATCTGCACATGCCGAAGACTGCCTCATGATTAATCATTCAAATGAACTTAATTCAGAAACAATTCACGATCGAAAGCGCGAGCAGTGGAAAAAAATGGTTGATGCGCCAACCAAAATTAATTAATTTATTCCTTTTTCTTTTTCATTTTTTTGTCTTTCATATTTTTTTTTTAAATAAACAGGTATAGAAATCTTTACATCATATATTTAAAAGCGTTAAAATGCCAAACGAGTAGTGTAAAGTGAAATGGTATACGAAAAAAATCTCAATCGAATACGAAAAAATCTCAATCGAATACGAAAAAATCCCAATCGAATACGAAAAAATCCCAATCGAATACGAAGAAATCGTTACCGTATATGAAGAATTGTAGTCGTATACGAAGAAATCACAATCATATACGAAGAATTATAATCGTATACGAAGAAATGCCAATCGTATATTAAGAAATCCCAATCGTATTTGGCCGCGTTTGAAGAGCGATATCAGCGTATACGATTGAGCTTTCTTCGTATACGACTCGGAATCATTTACCAGAGTCTTTTTTTGAATTTCGTTTTATCGAAAAGTTTCTAGTTTTGCCGATGTGTTGAACCTGTCATACGTGACTATTCGCTCATAAGAAATCAACGATCAGCCAGATGGACTTGAATGTTTGAGAGAGAGAGAAAAATGAAAGATAAATAAAAAATTTAGCACTATAAGATACACTGATTGAGCAGAGAATAATGTTCAAAAGCACTAAAATCAGATAGCGGAAGTATACTTGGGAAAAAGCGAAAAAAATCTCACGAGATATTCTATGGCTCTAAATCTTGTTTTCCTCTGCACTTTTGAAGCTTAATTGAAATTTCAAGTGTACGAAACATGGAATTATTTCAAGTTTTCAACAAAATTTCATTAGAAGATTAGTGATTTTTCTTTCAATTTTTTGTGTATATTGAAACTTAATTGTTCTATTTTAATAAAGCCGGTGAAAAAAAATAGCATTTTGTAACACATTGCCACAAAATGATGATTTTCAATGTTTCATACTCCCCGATCACAGTCGTGTAATTTTGTGTTTTAAAAAAGATATCGATTTTACTAGCGCATTGTGGGATTTATGCGATTTGAATTATAGGAAGGTAGCATTTTGCCGAATTTCAGTGTTGAAGTCAACATGATGAAATCAATAAAACAAAATCAATATAATAAAGAAAACAAATTTAAAAATAAATAAATATCAAAGAACTCTAGCGAATTGGCGATTATTCCGAGCGAAAAGCGATATTTCTTCTATTATTTTCTAAGAAATGTATGAATAGACAATGCGCTTAAAAGAGTGAAAAGTAATGTTGTGGCGATGCCAAAAAATAGGGAGTGTACAATTATAAAGAAAAACGACGGAATTAAATTGAATATTCACACATTTATTGAGAAAAAAAAAAGGGATTTTCGAATGAAACGGAGATTAGATTTGAAAAAAAAACATGAGAAATGTATGAATTTTGAAATTATCACTGATTTTATTATTAATACGTCACATTAGTCATTCAAAAAAGAATGTTTCTTTTCGAGGCAAAAATTCAACATTTGTTTGGTTAAAAAAAAACTACTAAAATCATTATTATACCTTCAATTTCGCCAATTTCAACCTATTACCCTGAGAAAACTGGTTTAAATGCGCTATGAAAACAACATTTTCCGAACACTTTACACTCATTTTTTTTTTTTTGATATTCCTACCGACACGTCGACTTCACACGAGTAAAAGGGATTGTATGACATGTGTTTCGAATATTAAGTGATTATCTTCAAGTTTCTGCGATTTTCGTAAGAAAATCAAACGTTTCAAGTATTTGTTAGAGATTTGCGGGAGATCGAGAGCAATTATCTTCTTGCGACTGGTCAGCGCAAATTTTCGAAATACTTTTCGACGTATTTCGATTGTTTCTCATTTTGAAGACGGTTTCGGGTTTGCTAGAAATGCTTCTCTTGATATACAACGTGCGATTTGAATTTTAGGCTCTAAATCTAAACAATAAATTCTATTTAATCGTGATGTTTTGATGATTGAAGTGACGGAATTTAATCTGCATAATCTCGATTTTATGAAATTTGCGTATGGTTTTCAATTTTTATCATTGCCAACAGTAAAAAAATAAAAGTTGGTATACGACAGACATCTAGTTTTCGAACTTGCTTGCAAAAATGATTTATAGGCAATTTGTTTTTCACTATTGCACTAGAATTATATATACGATGTTTGTCAATTGCAAAATGTTGAGTTTGAATGCCAATTTGAAAAATTCAATGGTTAAAACAAAGTTTTAAAAGAAAAATAATAGAAATTTTGAAACAAAATATATACTTGAATAAAAAATTCGAGTATATTATTCGCCTGGAGTACACGAACAGCTCATTTTCACGGCCATCTCGAAAATTCGGTCATAATTTTTTTTTGAATTCTTTGGCTCTTCTTGTTTAACTAGTTTTGCCGCTAAAACTCAAAGAAAAAAATGAACATTAATGTGTGCTCTCCCAAAGATTAGTCTTTACATGTGTACATTGTCATTCCCCAATTTTCAACAGTCAATCAGCTATAAAAACCTTTACCATTTATGACAGCTTCAAGTAGATTTCTCCTATGTTTATTGTTGTGTTATCTTTAGAAGATGTAATTTGTAAAATACAAATTAATTATACAAATGATAAACTTTAAAAAAACAGTTTTTACCCGCGAGAATCTCAACCGTTTTGCAATCATATGAAACCTTTAATGGAAAATCAAAAAATTATAATTTTGGTTGCTCAATAATCGAGATAACTAATCCAATAAACTCCTTATAAGAGCTTATTTTATCTATTTTTTGGGTTAAAAATTTTATGTGCCTATCAACTTTGCTCATAATCAGGCAGAATGCTGACGTCATCACTCTTAACCATGAAAACTTCACATGAAACGCGATTTTATCGCAAAATTTCTGTGTTTTCAAAGTCTTTTCAGCAATTCGACGGGCGGCAGTTCGAATGAATGGAGTTATTATCGATTTGCATAGTCAATTCAACTTCACTTCTCTTCTTATTCGCATTTTTTTCAATCAAGCTTTTCTTTTTGGTTTTTATTCGAACTGTCTGCCATCGTAATATGTCGTCGTTTGCCTCTTTTCCCTATCGTCGCACACTGTCATATTTCTCCGACGTCGTTTTTCAAAATAAAATGTCTTGTCGTTTCGTGTCGTGTGCGCCTCTTCGCGTTCGTGTTCTTTTCGTTCAGTTAACAAGAAAAAGACGAATAGTATTAAGTGATTTAAGGTATGCGATAATCATGAAGTCCAGTGCCACTCTTGTCGGTTTTCTTCTTCTTCTCACGGGTTTGTGTCAAGCGGCTCTCAAAATCACAACAAGTACGATATCGAATTTAATCAACGTTTTTTTTTTCGTTATTTTTCACCTAATTTAGAAGTAGAAGTGACTGCGCAAGAGGAGAAATTTCGAGATAATGAAGGTTATGAGGCGATTCGCGAAATCCATCGAGAAATGGACGATGATCATTCCGGATCCATCGATAGGAATGAGTCCACTGGGGTAATATTTTACTATATTAGAATAGATTATTTAAAGAATTTAGTTTTATTTTCTATTAAAAAATACTTCAATTTTTATATGGGAATTACGAAATCTTTAACCTTACCGGGTGAAAATACTACATTATTCGTTTAAGATTTTTAGAAAAAGTTAAAAATTTTCTACAATTTGAATCTGCAAATGTTTTTTTTTTTAATTTGACACTGAAGTTTAATTGTGGAGAATTTAATTTTAAAAACCTTAAGGTTTTCCTTCTCTGCAAAATAGTATATTTTGAATAATTGTCGTTAAAAGACGCTAATCCGATTATCACACTGATTTAAATCATGCGTAGTTCAATTCAGAAAACATTTTTGAATGATCTTTAAAAGTCATTCGACGAACAAAAATTCGAAAATTCTAGTAAAACATAATGAAAAGTGTGTAAATAATGTGGGCTGCTATAATCTTTTTTGTACCCAACTTGAAATTGGAATCTAATTGATAAACTTGCATTTATTTGCTTTTGAAGCGAAACCATGAAAATATTTCAACAAAACTGCGTGATGTCTAAATTTAGAGAGAACAATCATATGCCTGCTTGATTTCTTTTTCGGCTTATCGAAAATTTAATGGAAATGAAGTTCTTTTTACGGGAAACGATAACAAGACCTGAAATAAAATAAATTTCCTAGACATTTGATGTTGCAGTTTCTCAAAGAAGATATGCACATGCGCGGTTCGGAGAGAACAAGAAGAGAGAACAAATTTCACGGAGACGATGATTCGATAACCGTTGATGATTTGTGGGAAGCATGGTTCGAGAGTACTGAACGATCATGGACAAACGAACGGGTAATTTGTATAGATTAAAAATAGAGTGGGGAAAAAATTGATTGAAATGAGAAGAAAAGTTGCTCAGAAATACGGAAAATATTATGTAAAATCGCATTAATTTATTAATCCGAATTTGCGAACATAATCTAAACAATGATTCAATTTAATATGAACACGAAAAACATTAAAAATATTAAAACATGAAATTTTCTATCAAATTAGTTCAAAATCTCTTTGAATTTATATTTTAGCCATAATTATATAATACATAGACAAAAGCTGAAATTACAACAATTTATTATTAAAACATGGTTGTATTTGAAGTTTGTACTTCAACTAGATTTTGCTCTTTTTCCGTATCAAGAGCGATATCCTTATTGGACTCTTTCGCAGAATTAATAACAGCCACTGGACTCTCACGACTGTAGACAATATTCATGAATCCATTCATCTGAAGATATTTTATTAAAACTAACTAAAATATTATTAATTCACTTGCATTTGCAATTCTCAACATTAGAACAACAGAATGTGAAAAGACGATAATGCTCAAAAATGTTGAAAGAAGCAGTAGGAAAATTGAAAATGTTGTCGGTAATGAGCTATAGAATGTAGTGACTATCACTTGCATCAAATTCTTTTCCACATCCGCCTCATTTAAATTCAAATCTTCGAAATAGCTTTGCAACCTGAATTAATCAATCATCAGTTCAAATTTGAGTTTTTTACTCCACGATATGCGCTATATTTTCAATTTCCCTAAAATATTTTAAGATTTTCATGTGAATATCTCTTGAGTTGCTCACGCTGCCATTGCTAGGAATTTTCGACTTAATCGACGAAATATTAGAAATTTAAATGAGGCTCTTTTCAAATTAGCCACGTATAATTTATACGTCAATTGAAATAAATGTGAATTTATTCGGACAAAATGCAAATTGATTCAGTTAGTCGAATGGCTTACTGTCGATGTCAGTCTACCAACAATCGCTGAAGTCGTAAAACGCAAAAATCTCGATGGAAAGGTTCTTCCCCGCTTTGCCACCCAGAATCCAGAATTCTTATCGAAAGAACTTGGTATCAAATCTTCAGTTTATCGACAAAAACTTCGACTAAACTCGTTGGATTTGGTTTTATTCGGTTATCGCGACAATAACAACAAGCTCAAAGATGGTCTCCTTGCATTTTTGGTATCAAGTTGAATTTTGATTATTTTTTGAAATTATGTTTTAAGGCTCTTTTGTTAACATCGCTTCTATATTTGTACATAAGACAAAGGCAAAAAGCTCACCAGAAGGTATTTTTCAAACTTATTCCTCTTCTTAGGAGTACATCTGATTTTGAGGTTCTCGAGCTGTCCACAAGACTCTCCGAGTTGAAGACGATGGAATCGGAATTTGAAGACGTGCAGAAAATGCTGAATGATGAGAGGAGCAAAAGATCAACAGCTGATGGAGGAGTCAGTCAGACGGAAGTCGAGTCTCTGAGGTATCAGCTGGAAGAAGCTGAAAGAAGGTACGAATTAAGAACGTACCACAAGGATTTTCGTGTTATTGTTTAGACTTGAAGCAAACAGCAACGGAGCTGGAACACCGTTGGCTCTTCAGCCTTTGTTGCGGAGGACATGTGAGAATGAAATGACATATTTGGAAAAACAACGGCAAGAGTAAGAACATCTTATATGCAATTAGAATCGAATTTCAAAAAAATAACTTTTAAAATGAACTCTTTTTAAAATTGGTAAAGAATACGTGTTTAGATGCTTCAAAGAAATGAAAGAAGCTATCGAAATGGTTGATCGGCTACAAAAGAAACAAGGTTTTCCGTTTTTTTCCGGTTTTCAATGGCAAACATTTAAATTGCAGGAAGTGTTTTGTCTTCTTTGAAACTTGCCACTGGCGCTTCTTCCACAAGTGATCAAGTGGATTCGAGGATTTTCGCTTTAAAGTCAGTGTTTATCAATGTTTCTTTGAGAAGAAAAAAACAAAAAAAATTGAAGGAATCGGATGGAGAAGATTCACGCTTTAACAAGAGAAACTCAAGAAAGATGGATGCAGATTGAATCGCTTTGCGGATTTCCGATATTATATCTTAATGGTAAAAATTCGAATACGTAATTTTCAACTTTCCAATCCCAGACAACCTGTGATAATATGATACTAATAATGATAATAATAATAATAATAATAATAATAAATGTTGAATGTTTCAATGTTTTAATTCTAAACAAAACGAAAAATGCACGATAATCACCGCTTTGCGACTGTTTGATATTTTCAGAAAGCGAGCACCTCAACCATTCTGCTTCATCGTCTTCGCACTTTTACAATAATCATTCAGGTATAAATTTCATCAATGCATGTTTTTGTATCTATCTGTCTGTTGGGTGTTTGTGTGCTTGTGGTGGTGTCTGATTAGTGTCATAGTGTGTTATTGTTCAGCAACAAATGATCGGCCGCATTCGTCGAATTGCGATTGCTTACATGCCGGAAACGATTCGTCTGGATCATCAAGCTCCTCTGGATTGATCTGATCCACGCACTATAGTAGCACTTTTGGAATTTATTGCATCCTTGTTTGAATTTTTCAGAAATCGAAGATCGAGAAATATATATAAAGATTGATTTTTTATGAAACGCAGAACAAAATTCGAAATTTTGGTTTTTTTATTTGATCTTTATCTTCATTTTTTTATTAATATATAAAATTTACAAGAAATGAACGTGCGCTCAACCTTCGATTTCTAGTCACCCTCTAATATTTTAATGTTTTTTTGTGACATTTTCTAAAATAGTAGTTTTTTTTGTGTCGTCTTGCTTGTGTGTTTGTAATGTTTTTTTTTTCATCGTTTAATTATAAAAATTTCATTGTTTCAAGAAGGGTCTACGACGTCTTCATCCAGCGCAAATATGAATCGACCGAAATTCTCTACTGTGAGCAAGGTTGAAACGAATTTTGAATGTACAATGGCGATAATTCGGGACATTTATAGGCGAACTCAACGAATATTCCACTAATTCAACAGAAAATGAATGGTGTCCATAAGCATCATCATGGATCGCGAGATTCGCTGTTGACCGAGAAGATGCCGGAACCATCGTCGCAGAAAAATGATGCGCTGATTTCTTTTCAGCCGACAGAGTGAGTTCATCCTTGAATTGCTCATTCAATCTCAAAAAGCTTTTCAGAATAACAAAATCTATTCAAGATGATGCTCAATCGATCGAAACCGTGTCTTCGGTAGTCACAACGTCATCAGAAGCAAAGAAAAAACGCTCAGTATTATCGAAAATGTTCCGCAAAACTGCCTCAAAAGGAAGTGTTGCGAGTTCATAGCCGAGTGTCAAATGCTTCATCCCACCTCTAAACATGCTATCACTTATTTTTATTATTATATTTATTGTTTGTACGCTTTATGAGATTTTCCATTTGCCCCACACATCCCCCCATGTTTTTGATCTGGTCATTTAATTTATGTGTATTTCCCATTTGCTCGTTTATGATAATAATTTATTATCTAATTTGCTAGATTTGAAAATATCTACCATATCCTAACAGATATACTTTCCAATGGTTCAGTGATTGACCTTATTGCAAATGCTCAGACAATTCACTGATTTTCAATGCGGTCAATGATTGGCAGATTTTGAGGGAAGTTGGTGAGATGAATTATCAGTTTTTTTTTTCATTCCTCAAAATTGAATGAATCCCTTCAGTAAAAAGATCGCATTTTTATTCTCGGTCGCATTTTTATTGATACATTATTGGTTTGATTATATGGAATAATTTATTCAGATCCGCATTCAAGCACAATTTTCTAAGCAAAAAAAATGAATTCAGCGATAATGACAACAAATGAAGCGAGAAGCGAGAGCTAGCAAAAATCTTTTTTTTTAATTTAATTTTTTTTTTGTTTGAAGCGGTTCAAAGCACTGACGTCAGTTGCCTATCGATCGAGAAGCCGGAAACTATTCAATTTTGCATTTTTTGCAGCTGGTCTGAATACATTTTAAACATGTTTGTCTATTCGAATTTCGACAAATCCTTACTTTCGTAGGATGGTGGTGGTGGATTGAATAGATCCTCGTATTGTGGTGGTGCGCTGGTGGTTGAGGCGCGATCTGAAATTTCGAGACAATTATGGGCAATTGAGTCGAGATTGATCACCTTCATCATCAGTTGAATAGGCGTCGGCCTGTTTCTGATTCTTTTGACTCTTGACGTACTCCGCTGCGTACGAATCTTCAATATTTCCGAAATTGACACGACAAACTGATTTGCGGCCAAGGTGTTTCTTCATATTGCTCATGGTTCTAGAACGAGCATAGATTTCGAAATCAGCGCGCAAATTCAGTTACCTTTTCTCAAGAAGCTCTTTGAGTGCAATGAATGGAACAGTAACGGCAAGAGCGGCTCCGGAAGCAACCTGTAATCAATTCGGTGCGTCTAGTAGATCAAACGACTCCTACCACGACAACTGACGCCATTTTGCGAGGCGCGAGACTGGATAATTACGACAACTTGTTCACTATGAAATCGGCCGATGCGGATCTACGCACGACCTGAAATTAGGGAAGTTTGCGTTTTTGTTTTCCTTGTTTAATCAAAAAACGAACCTAGCTAGCCAAAGTCGTCGTTGTTCGAGGCGAAGTAGCGGTGGAAGTCTGAGCGAGCCAAGATTGTAGGAGAAGAAGAGCGCTTTGACCTGCAACGAGAACAATGCGACATTTCGCGAAATGCCAATTCGAATTCTACCTAGTGTAACAATTAACCAAGATAATGCGATTCTCAATCAACGCTACTTTTGAAGATCGTTCATTCATATGGGCGTGGCTTCGAAATATTGGTATTTTTTGGCCGACAAATGGGACTACATATTTTACTACACTCAACTTATGCGGTAAACTTTGCTTTAAATTTATTATGTTGGAAATGAAGAATCATATGATTCTAATGATTATTATGATCGTTTCCCATATTAGGTAGCTAATGTTCATTACAGTCATGGCAAAAAAATGATGCGTAGTTTAACTTCTGCTGGCGTTTTTTTGCGTTTCTCTGGTAATTTGTTTTGAATCGAATGCGGCAAATTTCAGCCCAAAAATCCGTAGTAATCGATTGTAAGTTGTCAAATTCTTCGTTTAACAATCGGAATTTCAAAGAGCAATCGAATACGACGAGTTTCGAGGTCGAACAATCGATAAATTTCGGAGTTGAATTTTCATAATCAAAATTGAATATGCATTAAAATTATGATATTATGAGAAGCCCAATTTCGAGCTTTAACTAAATAATCTACTAAAAATGTAAAAATGTCCATTTTAATTTAAAAAAAACAAATAAGTGAACCGGAAGAAGAAGACTTACTGGATTGTCAAAGCCAACTTGAGCACAGGGAAAACGTTCGAATCAACGGCGAGAACGGTGAAGGGTGAGCGCACACGAGGTGTCCTCCAAGCGTCTTCTGATTATACACTATCGATGGCGAATATTTCTCGTGGTCTTTCTCTCACCTTCTTTTGTAGTCTTCTTATTCACACACACACACACACTATAGACACACACACAAATGCGGACACACAACAGATCACACAAATATGCAACGGTGAACAATAAATGGGCGGAGCGCATAGTCGCCTAATATATACTAGGAGCGATTTCGGTCATCGATTCGGAATTATTCAAATCGCCTCAGGATTTGCATACATTTTTTTGGCGACACAATTGTTGGATTACGGTAGTCGGCAAAACAATGTGACGACGAATGGATGGAATCGCATGTGAATGCGATTAGCCGACTTTTCGGGCAAATAGTTTTTTTTTCCTGAGCATCTATCAAAATGTTTCCAGAATTGGAGAATCTTCTCGATTCGTATTCATTTCGAACATTCATTGTTCGCTTGATTCACGTGAACAACTTCGTCATGAGCATATCCCAAACTCTGAATCAGACAACTTCTAGAAACCTGTTTCAGACTGTGTTTGCCTAATTGGAACTATAACACTGCTGACGTATTAACCATCATTCTTTGATTGTCTTGCCTCGTTGCGAATGATGATTTCGTTTTGTATCTTGGTTTCTTAATTGTAAGAATTTATTAATAATTTCTTCAGACTACATTGCACTTATTAATTTCCAACCAATTTTTAGTGCGAGGTTTTACAGAGTTTGCGTAGACTTTCAGCAAGACTCGTATTGGAGACTACGTAAAAAAAGTGAAACAAATTCACATAAATTTTGTGAATTTTGCATAATTCTTGTGTTCTCTGGAACTTTTCGATATTTGTAATGATTGAAGCAAAAATGGCCCAAAAAAAAATTAAAAATAGACTTCAGCATCCAGTTTGAAAATGTTCAAATTCTTGTGTAGAAAGAGAAATTTTTGGCGCATATATCCATTATTTGCATATCCATTTCGGCCATCATTTTCAAAAAATCAAAAACCAAATTTTGTCGGTTTGATGAATCAATAAATAACTGAATCAAAGGCGATTCGACCGATTCTGCAATAATCTGATTATTGAATACATCTGTTTTCAGCTCAAAGAATGTTTCTCGATTCAATCTGTGCGAATTCGTGAAATTTTTGAAATGAGCACATGTCATAATGATTTCGGTGTTGGATCCTTGCGGATTTCGACAAGGAAGCGGAACTCGAATTGTGTAATCATGTTTATTAACAGGTCGTCGTAACCAACGCGTGATTCTGTGGCCCTTATAAGGGGTTACAGACCGAAAAATAATATTTAAGATGAATTCACCGCCAGAAGTCATCCAATTTCTTAAACTGAACTGAAAAAAAATCAAATTTGTGAAAAGTTGAAAAATGAAAATTTCGTCCAAAACTAAAAGTATCGGTTGCTAACGTTCAAACCATAATAGTGTTTTTTTCTGAATTCCAGCCCATCTAGAATAGTTGAAACAGTCGTATAAATCCCCTCGCAACATTTTAGCATAAAGTTTTGACGCGAAAATGTGTAACGGTCAAGTGGACACGTACACCGGCGGACAATCAGAAGAGCAGCGCAAATATGAATTGCCGTCACATTTTTTATATTCTTTTCATATTCAAACGATTCGCGCATTCTTTTTTCCCCCTTCAAGCAAACTGACAGGTTTTTTTTCTCGCTGAAATGATTGACAAGACAACCTGGAGAACTTGGGCCACTTCTCGAGAATTGCATTGTTCCGAATAGCACAACGTGACTTTGAGAACGGTGTAAAACTACGTATCAAAAAGATCATGACCGATCTTTGAAAGAAACAATTTTCCGTGTGGGCCATTTTCTGCAAGAGATTGGCCGAAAATAGAAAACGAATGAAAAATCACCCAAAATTGGGTACGCCGGATTTCAAGAGCTGAAAAAAGAAAACAAATTTGGAATTGGCTAGATTTACGAGAATTCGTATTTGACTAGGAACTAAATTAGTTAAAAATTGATTTCTCAATTATAAAAGTGAGAATTAAAATTTAAAATTCGACATGTCCCGCAAATAAGCAAAAAATTTAAGTAATTTATTTTTTTTTTGAATCTTTGAAAATTGCATGGAATGAATTGGAATGATTGGCAATATCACGAGAGGTCATCACGTGAACATATGTCGTTCGGCCTGCATTCATCATCGTCACATTTTTTCGCCAAAATCACTTTTTACCTCGATTCTTCGGATACAAACTACACTGAATATCATCCATCAGCTACATCAATCTCGCTTCAAAAACCGTTTGTCGAGAAAATTTTTTAAAATCAATCGAGCGGGCTATTTTTGAGTGTACACGATATTTCCTTGATTTTCTATGATCAAATCCTATTTGTCAAAATTCGATGAGAACATTTTTAATATTATCGTGAACCAAAGAGGAAAAACAATTTAGAATTGTTTCGATGGACTTCCGATTCTGAATTCAACCAAAGACTATCTTCAATGTTATAGTTTTTTGAACTTTATTTGATCTCATTGACGTCGAAAACGAATATTAATATTAGTCCGGTCGAGCTACTAGTTTCCCGCGATTTTTTGTGCGCCTCCTCAAAACGTTTCATTGATGAGTCAGAGTTAGGTGAGAATTGCACAAAAGACCGGCTTGTGCTCGTAGAGTGAGACACCGATCGAGTACGCGCGCCTGCTGCTCCTGTGACTCCTGCTACTACTACTGCTGCTGCTGCTGCTACTTCAGCTCTTGCTTGAAATTGATGCGCGTTTCCGCATGTTTGTTAAATAAACCATAAGATCGGCACCGCCGACGACAAGTTTTACACTATTATTATGATTGTTAGCCGTTCGCTCGGCAGTTGGGCGAATGTTGAGAACGCTTTTTTTTCGTTTCGCGGAAATGAAACGAGTCGCAAGGATATCACATTGGAGTTTGTGTAAAAAGCTCGTAAACTAAAAAAAAAAACAAAAAAATAAATAAATAAAAATTGTGGGAAGTTAGGCCACGGCCACGGCCATCTATTTTGTTTATATTTTTATGAGTTTCTTTTTGCAAAAAACTGCAAATTTATAGTGTACTCTATGTTGGCACAAATGTTGGAATGTTAAGATTTTTATTTAAAAAAATTAATTATACTTTATGGAACTCAAAATACTTGAATTTCATTTGAATCGGGCTAATCAATCAACTTTTAATTCAAGAACACCAAATTTCAACTTGTTCTTTTTTTCAGCTTACGCTCTCAAAAAACTGGATAAAATAATTCTGAAATAGCCGAAATTTGAATACTGAAGAGCGGCCAAATTTGTTTCCTTCGAATCGTCGGCTGAACAACATTTTGTGGGACATAGAATCCGTTCTGAAAAAAATGTCAGCATTCTGTATCATCGATGTTAGCTATAATTGTAGAACAATAGGAAATCCTAAAGAAATGTCGAAAAATAAAAAAAAGCATGTAAATGCGACGCGTCAAGCACGTGGGTCTTAAAACGCCCGATTCTCATAGCCGATTTTTTTCTGAAACGGAATGTATTCAATGCGATTGAAACGAATGAAAGAAAAAAGTTGCAAATAGAATTTTTATAAATAAAAACATGTGGACAATATTCTAGAAAAAGAAAACCAATTAAAAACTATGAATAAAAAATCGAAAATTTGCAATTTGGTTAGAGATATTGCTCATTTCCTACTGAATGAGCTCAACTGCCCTCGTCAATTTTTTTCGACTCATTTCCACATTCAATTCACTAATCAAATTCGAGTTTAAACATCCGCTACACGAGTATCAATTTCAGTGTTCAGTGTTGTCATTGCAAAAACGTCTGACGCGAGCTCAGCGAGCTGCCTCCAGCCGTCGTGACCGGATGATGACTTGGCTCCGCCCACATGAATGCCGCCTGAGTTGCCGCTATGTTTTATATTGTGCCGCGTCGATTGGCTCGCTAAACATTCGCCAATGATTTTTTTTTGAAATCTTTCTACCCGATTTTTTCAATCCGAACTTTTCATAATGATTTTTAATAAGACGTTAAAAATATAAATCGTTATTTTGAAGAAATCTAAAATTTCTCTGAAAGTCTTCTGAAAAAAAACATTTATTTTTATGAAATAAATTTTTCTACCAAAATAAATTTGATAAGAAATATAATAAAAGTTATATATTCCATACATTTTTATCAAATTTTTATATTTGTTTTCTTTCTTTTTGAATGCTTCTTTTTTTTAATGGTCAACACAGCCCGAAAATTGAAATGTCGCATCTATTTTGAGAAACGCTTCGTTCTCCCCAAGTTTGGGCAAAAGTGCGATGATTTTGAAGTGTTCGGCCGGCTCTCACAAATGTTTACCGTTTAATGATGGCTACAAGACCATCAGCAATAACAAAAGACAACATCGCAATTTTGATGCATGATTTTCAGGCGATGCTGCCCAACAATTGCACGACGGCCCTCTGTGTGCAGTTGCTTTCACATCTCGCCAACGTCGTCGTCGATCGCAACTATATTGTAAATCGTTTATCACATATTTGTCGTAGGAAATATTCCAAAGATCATCGATCAATCGATCAGAAATCAAACATACGAATAGTTGTTAATTTGCCAATTTTTTTTTTGTCAAAAACACGTTTTGTGACAGATGAAGTTGTGAAACGAGAGTTCGAAGCAATTACAAAATTTTTTATTGAAAAGGGCCCTTTTTTGACTTATGCATTTGCAAAAAATAGCGGAAATAATATAAATTGGTTTGGAATTGTTTCTCGTAATTTACAGGCAATTTTTTTCCAATTTTTTTTTTGGAATTTCAGACAAATATTTTTGGAATTGTTTCAGACAATTTAAATATGTGCAATATTCTTCTGGTAAATTAATAATAAATTTCTATAGGATCATTCTCGCCAGCAATATCGTCCCTCAATTCCATCTGCTCCAGCTGTTCCCATCCGATTCAGCCAATATTCCACAGTTGGCGCAAATGTGCACGGCCTCAATACACCGATGTTGCATCCCGGCTCGGTGGAGCCTCCTCTTGCTCCCGGATCATACCGCCTCTATGCGATGCGATTCTGCCCATACGTTCAACGCGTCTTGATCTATCTTACAAAAAAGAATATTCCGTAATAGCGAATATTTGCAATAGACACTCATATCGTCCGTTTGCAGTGTCGAAGTTGTCAATGTGAACCCCGATCGTAGTCCATCTTGGTATCTTGCAAAGTCTCCGCTTGGACGAGTTCCCGCACTGGAAATTAACGGAAAGGTTTGTGTTAATGATTATTGGAATATTGACAATTGAGAAATCATAAATTGAAGGTTGTCTGGGAGTCCAACGTCATCGCAGAATACCTTGACGAACTGTTCCCTTCAAACAGCATTCTTCCGAACGATGCTTATGAAAAGGCTCATCAGAAGATTCTCGTCGAACGACTCTCACCGGTTCGTTTTTATTTTATTTATTTTCTGAAAATTTCAAAAATTCAGTTGATGAATGCGCTATTCGAATTTTATTCCTCAAATACCCCACAAGCCCAACGACAAAATGATATGACTGTGCACAGTGCACTGCGAAATGCCGAGAATTTATTGACCGATACCTTTTATGGAGGTTTTCTATTCCGAAAAAAACAAACATAACATTTTTAAAAATGTATTATAGGGCGTCAGCCAGGTTATGCTGATTATATGATTTGGCCATTTTTGGAGAGACTTCAACTTTTGACCATGAACCCATTAACACAGTTTAGGTATTTTTTGTTCTTCCCATTAATTTGTTATTGAGTTCCCAGAAGCTGCTGCTATTAAATAATCAAATCTTTTTCAGGTATTTCCCTGGATTACACTATCCGAAAATGGGAGCATATATTGTTCGAATGCAGAGTCAGCCCGAGGTATTATTTGTTGAGATCGACGATCCTTTTACAGCTCAACATTGTTCAGATCAAATTCACCAGTCGCCCATTGTCTCATCACAAGACTTTCATTGACAGCACTGCAATCGGACTGCCCAACTATGATTTCGGAATATACAACACTAATAGATGAGAACCGCCGGTCGGGAAATCGTAATTTAAAAGCCAGATCTCGATTATCGATAATTTTATTTTTGTAAATAAAGGATTTTTTATAAGACAATGCGAGCAGCTCGTTCGTCGTGCTCGGCGTCTCGCGCATTTCCAACATTCACTGGTCCCCAACGGCGATGAAGCATGATCAAGAAATGAGCGGATGGCCCATTGATTTTGCTCAAAACGACGAGTCGAAGGACATAGAACAAGGGGATTCCGGAGACGATTGTGTAGATAACCGCGACGAGATGAATTGCCGGGATGATGGCGCGAAGAACCCGGAAAATTGTCGTCTGCAAATCAAAAACAAAAAAAAAATGGGTTCGAATAACTGATTGCGAGAATTACAACGCAAGCGAGAGGAAGAATAATTTTCCATTCAAAGTAGAGCCATAATCGACATCTTCCAATTAATCGATGAACATTTTTGTATTTTTTCAGCATTGTCTAAATTTGAAAAAAAAAATCAAATACGATTAAAATAGAAAAGGATTGAAATAACCAGACAGTTCACAAGAACCCTTTTGTGTCCATAGAATATTCCGATTCCAGTAATTTGTGCAAACGCGATAGTCGAAACGAAACCCAAATACATTTTATCGACGATTTCCTCACGTAGAAAACTGATTTGTTTCGCACGGACCTGAAATCAACAATTGGTTATTCAATTTATATGTATATATATAGTCGGCATCTGGCGATTGCTGTACGCGAGTAGATTTACGCGCATGCGCCTTGAAAAGGTCTCGACACGCGTGATTGCTTATTTTTCTGTTTTCACGTGAACTGCTTCATTTTTTTATGAGTTTCGCATTTCCTTGAATTTCCAACGATATTCGTTTAAAAAATTATCGAACCGACCCATAAAATGCGAAATAACCAGTTAGTCCGTGCGAGACCAAGAGAAAGCAGCATTCCCGTAAATCTACCCGCATACAGCAGTCGCCGGATGCCGACTATATACGTATATATTTATACGGTATACGAATGCCAGAACAGCAGCATAAACACCGAAATGCTTGCAACGATGACACAAAGTCGCACAATTTTCTGCGGAAGATACAGAAGACGTGGAAAGACGTGATACGCCCAAGAGATTAACATTTCATAGGTTATCACCTTCAAATGAAAATATTCGCAAGTTTCTCTCAAATTCGAAATATACTACCTGATAGGCAACTAAAGCCACATTGATTGTCAAATAAAGCAACGCGTAAACCAGAAATGTGGTTCGGATTGACAGCGAGTCGAGCGAATACGATGGTAGAGCCGAAAAGAATAATTCGACGGCATAAAATTGCGTCTGTTCCGGTTTGACTGAAAGCGAGATTGAGTCAAATTGAAAAAAAAAATGGGAAGCAATTCACAATGCACAATTGAAGGATAAGAATCGATAACAACGTATCCCACATAGAACAAAGGGGCGAGGGCGAAGAATAGAATTATCCGATAGAATACACCGAGAAGTGCGAGTAGAAATGCATCTCTGATCGGCTTTTTTAATCATTGATTTCAATGAATGAACGTTTACTTGAAAAAATTGTGACGAAAATCAGCCATGCTCCCCAATGTGAATAATGTTCCGTCAGCAATATACACGGTTTTGACAGTCTATGGAATCGATGGATGAAATCAACAAATCGAATGCGTATATGTATTCGCGAATTCGTCCGGGGGCTCTAGGGGGCCCCCGCCCAAATGCACCCACTTCGCCCCAATCTTATTCGAGGCGAACCCGCGTCGAAACCAGTGTATCCAGGACGAAGATTCCCGGGATTGGCCGGGAAAAAGTCTGCAAACACCGCGCGCGCAAACGCACACTCTTCGAATATATTCATATGACGAATGTGAATGACGAATGTGAAAAACTGCAGCGATATCCTATGCATTGTGTGCGTACACCGAGTCGCACACCTCAATCTACAGTAATCTCAATTGAAAATTAATGAATTATTGATCTTTCTTTTTATAAAAACAATTAACTTTGAATAATATACAAAAATGATTACTATTACACTTTTGTAACACAACCGTATACACAAAACTATAAATTCGCCAAGAAAACACAGAAAAAATAATTGATTAAATAATTTTCAGTTGAGATTACTGTAGCTAAGATCGAGCGAGTTGTGCAACTCGGTGTACGCACACAATGCGTAGGACATCGCTTCAGTTTTTCAAATTCGTCATTTTTCCACAATATTCTTGCAGATTTTGAATAATCGTTAATTAGACATTGTAATTGTGCCCATTTTTCTGAAAAATTAAGAAATTCCAAAAAGGGACTTCCTACGCCATTTTTAAGCATTGGAATCTTTTTAAAATAAGAAAATTCATTAAATTTCGGAAAAAAACGAGAATCCGAAATATTCGAAGAGTGAGCAAAATTCTCAGAGTTACCGCTCGACATGCATTTATCCATGAATCAATTCTCATCGCTGTTCGAAAATTCGAAGCGCCAAAGAATTCGTCGAATGCGTCCATCTCTCCTTTTTTGTGTATGTCATAATAGGACATGATTGCGAATGGGAGAACCCCGAGAATTGGGGTGAGACAGAAGAAACTCGACAACTAAAAACCACAACGGCCAATTTATTTACTGTTTGCTGCTGACATTTAAAAATTACCGATGCGAAATATCGATGTCCTCTGTATGAAATATAGCCGGCAATACAGAGCACAATGAGTGTAACAATCAATTGTTCGGTCAAATCCGATGTTTTCACAAAACTGAAATCAAATACATACTTCAGCGTGTCGTCGGCGAAACGTTTTTTTTTCCAAAACCTATAAATTTGGGCAGGCGTCATTTTATTCGAGACTTCGATATTTGCGAAATACGACAAGGAAGTATAATCATGATATCTAAGCTATTAATATAAATTGATTAAGGATTTTTTTTAAAGAAACTTGGCAAGTTCATCCGATGCCACATTTCTAATACATTCGCCTTTGAATTGATATTCATTGTTTCCGCATTTCAGTCGTGGATCATAGCATTCTTAATTTCTTTCTCGCAATTATTGCCTAATAGAGGATGAGCTCACTAAACGCCAAATATTCTTTGCAATTCAGCCATTCGGTGTCATTCATTAGCACAGTAACTAGCGATTTGTTGAGATACATTACAAATCTGGGCTCAAATGCGACATATACCGTATAAAGAATGCGAATGACCAATATCAAATGAGAAATTCCTTTAAGCATCGAGATTTTGAACAAAAAATAGGTGCACTTGATTGTTTTACCAGTCATAATAGGAGCGATTCGTTGAAAAATTGCGAAAACCGGAAGCGATGTGAATTGCGCTAACGACAACTCGAAAAGTGCCATTGGAACACCGAAGAGCATGGCGACGATGAAATAAGGAATGAGAAAATAAACTGAAAATTTGGTGGCTTCTTTTTCTTGGAGACTATAATGGCAATACTTCCTCCTGATGTTAAATAACATTCGGTAAAAACCAGATTGTTTTTTAAAATGGCAACGCATGAGAGGAGAAGTGTCAACTGACGATAGGTTCCTGGCCTCGAATGATTTCTAGATCCAAGTTCCTGATCCAATTCCGCGTATTCAATCTGATTCACTATTTCAAATCAAATTTCGACTGAATCGTACCTTTTCGGGATTCGGTTTCGGACTGGTAGTTGGACTTCTCTCCTCATACTGCTGATTCACAAACTTCTCAACCTTCGTAGAGCCTTCAGAAGAAGATTCAATCGAATCCGAAACTGCTTCTTAATGTTAAACGCAAATTACAAGACGTAGATTGTGTGTTTCGTTTCAAACTTTGTTTTCGATCAAATCCGTATCGAATATTAAATAATATTTCTTTTTGCTTGAATTCTTGCAATTTCGTTAGCGTTGGTTGCGTCTGTTTCGAATTCAAATGCTTTCGTATCTACACAATCAAAATTGGGACAATACGACAAGAAGACCAAATAAACCCACCATTATGAATAAAAAAGGAATCAAATAGGAATGATCACTTGAAATAATTTATATTCACGTTTTATTAAAATGCGAGTAATGCGATATAATTTACAATACGGAATCTTTGATGGGATCGGGAACAACACGCGAAAATCTTCGGCCATTTCGGTGATTCATCAGTTTTTCGGAGAGAATTCCCAGAACGCCTCCGGTATCGAACACCTCAAAATAATTGTATTTAAATGATCTATTTTGGTTTCTAAGTTACTTGAGTAACAACATCTTGTGCTTCTTCCTGACTCTTATTCATTAGTGTGAGTTGAGCCTTGAGAAGTCTGAAAATAACCATATTGACCTCGCTCAAATTTCGAATTTTGAACCTTAAATTCCAAGTGAAATTTTCAGCAGCTCTAGTCGCTTTTTGTCCCTTCAATCCACTCTCCAAACAAAGTTTCGACAATTCCTCGTGGCATTCCGAAATCTTTCTGATCGAATCCTCAATTTTGGTCAGCAAATAATCGGCTTGCGATAATGTCGTCACACAGTGCGCAATTAGAGTTTTGAGTTTCGAAAACGTTCGTTGCAGTTGTTCCGGCAAATTTCCGGTCACCAAAATGACAGGATACTATAATTGAGATGAGTGTCTTCGGAGTCTCGAGCAACAACAAAAAAAAACATACGCCGTGCTCATCGCTGTCAATCAAAAATGACGGAATATCGCCAATTCGGCTTGAATCTGAGTTCGGCGATGGAGAAGACGGAGGCGAAGCTGAAATAAGTTGGCACTTTAAGATTATTTAATAGAAATCTAGTGGATATTTTAATTTATAAAAAAAAGAGGAGGTACGAGGATGCATAAAATATTAAAACGGGTTGTATTTGTAAATACCGTAACGAATAATATTAATAATTGGTATCGACCATCGTTTTCTGCGATATTTTGAAGCTGAAATTCAACAAAAACCTTCGATTCAATTATTTGTTTGAATGAATTCCGTTTATTGTTGATGTTTGACTAACCATTAACCGCCAGAGTGATCATTCTGGAATGAATCAGTCGAATTCCTTGTCGAATGGTTCCCGCTGGTCCCAATCCGCATTCCTCTTGCCAATCAACCATGGCACTTTCGAGCCGATTTCGCATTGCAATCGATTCTCCCAAAGGCGCGACCGCCACCTAAAACAATCAAAATGAGCGAAAAAAAAAACGAGAAGGCAGCGCACCTTGAATTGATCATCGACGAATTTGATGCCGACGAGCTTCATGCCGGATGAGATTCGCGAATTTTTGCGCTTCACCGACATCCCGCATTTTTTTGCCTTCTGTAAATAATGCGATTAGGAGCGAACAATTTGCGAGCAACTGCGCGAAATTAAATTTAAGAAATGAAAGAAAAAGAGACGAACTCCTCCTCCCCGACGATTCGTAATTGCGACATGGACGAACAATGTCGCATTTTCCAATGGGTCTCCCTCGTTATTCAATAAGTAGATGTGACGATATCCTGCAGAAAAAAAAACACACGCACATTAACGAAACATCCCGAAATGTTCGAGCATGACTACCTGGTTGAAGGCATTCGAACGGAATTGTATATTGGCCAATGAAATCGTCGCCAATGTACTCATCGTCGAGTACCAGAAATCGAACAAGAGCGAGTTCAGGAACACAAACTTGGAATTGAAAGGATTCGTCGAATGATGGATTCGTGCCTGAACCAATTTTTTTGTTTTTTTTTATTTCGACAAAAGTTGTGTGAAATGATAACGCACTGTCATTGCGGACTGTGCGAGTTCGCTCTTCTGCACAATCTCCAGGTAGTCCAAATATTTCAACAACTACAAAAGGATCCGCTGAGTCGCCCTGCAATCAGTCGATGAACCCTATATTAATCGCATGGCTAACCTTGGCATTCGAGCCTCGCGGTCTAGGAAGTTGCTGGCCGGACAAGATTCGAAGGTGAAGAATCTAGAACGATTTAAGAACGCCGAATTTCTACAATTAGTATTTGAACGATTCACCTGCGGGGCTGCTGGCAATTTGTCTCCGGGAACAAAAATATCATCTTTCATAATTGCCGGCTTCAACACATATCCGCAACCGCCATTTTCGGAAAATCTCCCTTCCTAATAAAATTTCAATTCAATCTAGATGAATATTTTTTTAAATATAATTTTCTTACCTGTAAGTCCATCATCAAACCTGGAGTTTGATAATTAAGGCATACCATCTGGACACCATTATTCCAAAATTCTTGCGGATTCAGATTCGACGAATCAATTCTGGAAGCATTCGGACAAACCCTGAATTTCTTAATGAAATATTCTGTTTGTGAGAGAGGAATCTCAAACCGAACGCAGAAATCTCTGGTAGCTTGTCCGAATTCGGAAGCGTAGGTGTGCATCAATCGAAGGCACGTTGATTCGCTAACCGATGCAAGATTTTTGCGAGCCGACACTGAGCAATTCATTTCAGATTTGGTGGATCCATTTCACTTACTCGTTGTCGATCCAGGTGCCGTCGCCATCAAATCGTTCAGAGTTTTGATATTGAAGAATGGCGGAACAAGGTCCGACAGCTCCTTGCACAATGTGATTCGTCGACCTTTCCGCTTCGACGAATTCGCAACTCCGTCATCTTCTTCCGAAACTTCTCCGCTTTCGTTATCTTCGTTTTCCAACTTTTTACCCTAAACCGAAACAGTTGTGGATGATGTTTGATATAATCAAAACCGACAATAATTATAATTCGATTTTGAAAATCCCAAGGTGTCGGAACATTCTTATCTTCTTTCCAATTCGTTGGATCGGCTGTCGGGAGATAAAGCTTCGTGCCAAGATGGGTGGTGATCAATTTCGCAGCAACTTTTTGCCAATCCATCGAACAATGCACTGACAAATGAAGTAAAAGTGGATAGCGACTTCTCTCAAATGCAGTCTCACGAATCACTTGTAAGGCTGATGACAAAGGCACCTAGGATTGCCATACAGTAATTCTCCAAGCAGTTTGAGACAAACCTTGAATGTCGCTAATGGTCCGTTCTGAATCATCGGTTCCTTTTCACCATCTTCTTCATTCGGATCCCAGATGTCCACTGAATAATTTTCAATAAATTCACTCGTCTCCAAAAATGTAAAATTTGATATTTTTGAGCTTAACTGTTTTCTAATTGAGTACCAATTAAAATGAAAGGAAACAATAATAATACGACAAATTAAAAAATTCAAAATCAAATATCTGAATATTGATGTTTATCAAAATTCCAGAATTTAGATTTTTCTTCGATATTTTCACATTTATTGAGATTTTTGAAAATAAATTTCAGAAACATTGCCGCCACTTCTATGGTTTTTTTCTGATGATGTGCGAATTTTTAAATCAAACCATCGATTATTCTGCAATTCCTTTTCAGCGCTGATGAATATCCATCAACTGAGGCTGGCCCTTGCTGATCTTCGACCAAATACGTTTTTTGTGAGCAAGCGATGAAATATCGATTGAACGGCTAGAATCACGTAATGATGAACTCGAAACCGCAACTCTCAACCTGTTTCATGTCCATTGTGACGACGGCATGCGTCGGATCAAAAATTGAGCAATCAAATGAGAAAAGGAACGCGGTAAACCCGTCGACTGTCATGAAATTGTTTTCTTTCGCCTCGGGAGCTGGCTCGTATTGCTCGATGAGATTCTCGCAATGGTCCGTTGTCACACCAATCATCTGAAAATTCAGCCAAATTCATCCATTTCAAACAAGTCCTCGATTACGCCTTGCTCAGTTTCCAAAAACAACCGAAGGTCCTGACAGGAAAGATAGTCCTTGTTTGCATACCTAACCATGAGGAAGTACACCTCATGTCTTGTGCCGATTTCCTAAATAAAGTAAATATGTCATTAGTCGAATACTATGAGAGATACTTTATACAAATCTACAAACTCTGTCTTGGTTATTTTTCCCCTTTCGCATTCATTCGCGCCAACAGTCACCTCCTGTATTTATGAATAAAAATTTAGTAGAGATATTTCCAAAAAAAAAACCTTAATTCGATTTTTGATTCTATGCGGTGAAATCCTCGAATTAATGTGTCGAATTGCATTAAACGCTGATTTCTCATCGATCCATCCATTCTTGTTTTCATCGAACTCATCAAAAACTGATTCAATCCATCGCTCTCGAAGTGTCGCCCATTGAGAACTCGACGGTTTACAATCATCTGAATTTATATCTCATTCGTTTTTAAATATCCGATTCCTACATTTGTTTGACGTCAATGCCATCAGTCCAGTTACCCAGATGTTCGCATCATCTCCACTAGCCGCGATCAGATCTAACGTTTCGTAATTGTCGCCGTAAATGATAGAAAACAGGCATTCCTCCTAGAAATTCGAAATGATCGAAATAATTATTCAATTTATATGAACCTGGAGATCACATAGAACATCTTCAGAAGCTCGGAGAAGTTCGGTGTTTTTTCCAAGTCGAATTTCTCGAATGTCTTCTATTGCAACTATAAAATAAACAATTTTTTGATTATTATATTGCCAAATATATTACAAGATGCTTTGCCAATTTCGAGAAGAAAACTCGAAAAATTGAAATGAAAATCTATTACCATCGCAAAAAAAACGAGCGCCTTGCTTAATTGTGGACCATCGCACTTTTATGAGGCGGTAATTTAAATTCGGACTTAAACAGTGGGGAAATTAAGGTACCATACTATGGACGACCTGCGAAGCAGAGTTGGGCGGAATTCCGCATTCCGCAAAACAAAAAATTATTCGGCTTTCGCATTCCGTATTCCGCAAAAAGTGACATTCCGCCTTTTAAAATTACTCATCAGCGCAGGTTCTGAAAATTTGCGTCAAATTCGGTGTTTGACGCACATTTGCAAATTTCGGCATTTTCGTTCTATAAGGTACATGAGACGGGCGAAATTCCGCATTCCGCGTTTTTTTTAAATATTCATTCCGCCCAACTATTCTGCGAAACTAACTCACCGTAAATCGGTGCTCGTTTTTTTTTGCGACGGATATTTTTTGCGCAATATGCATATAAGTCATAGGTATAGAGTTTTTTACCCCTTTTTTATTGCATACTGCCGTTAAAGAATAATTTCCCTTCGAAACATTTGCTTAATTAAATACCAAATCAAGTATTCTTCGATCAACAAAATACTATGTTCACAATACGAGTTTTTTAAGCAATATTTTGGAGAATTTCTACACTTCAAAAAAAGCTCCGATTTACAGAAAATTCACAGGCAACTAGCTGTTCATTTTGTACTGTGCTTTAAAAAAAAATTTACTTCAAATGTCATGGTTTCTCGACAACGTTTCTTTTCACAGGGGCATATTTATTCGAAGTGTTTTGGTTTTGTCAAGATTATTTTTTGCTCAAATCACAAATTCATAATTTGACTTTTTTCTTGTAAAAAAAAAGTTGAGACAATTCAAAAATGCATGAATCTCTTTTGTTGATTAGAAAACAAAGCCTACTTCAACTAACCCTCAAGCGTTTTCTTTTTTCTTTTTTTTTGAATATTGAATCAAAACCAAAACTGGCGGGTTCCGTGTTATTTGTTTGTGCACTTTTTGAAGCTTTTCCTTCCCCAGAGGCTGGCAGACACACGCCAAAAAATCTAATTGACCTACTTCTAGCTTTATGCGGCTTCTTGTTGGTCGGCGTCCAGCGGATATGCGACAAATCGGCGTCGAGGCTAAAAAATCGCCGAAATTGTCGATTCGTGCCGCGAAGTTTCACGAAATCGCTTCCAGTTTGCATATAATTCCAGCAGTCGCTCACTAAATCCGAATGATACGACAAATTTGAAGGGCGAATCGATTACCATTCGAGATTTTCGTGTCATTGTTTTTCGATGAGAACGAGACCGTTTTTCGGCTACTCGCCGGACTTTTTGCCCGACTTCCATGCTTAATAATTGATGATCGAAGAGTTTTGCTGAAAATTTCAAATTAATATCGTCATCATCGTCGAATTGTTATGAAAACCCAATAAAATCCATTTTTCAATGAGAGTAACCAATTTGGTGAAGAAATGATCGACGATGAATGTGTTTCTCTGTGGGGGGGATGTATAATCGCGAAATAGTTTACATTTTCCAGAATATATAAACACAAGAATGTTGGGACGTCGCGTTTTCAAGGATTATCGCCGAACAAATGACGAGACGATTTTTTTTTCGAGCGTTTTTTATTTATGCGCCGAGAAAGACGATAAACCACTCGTGATTAATGCAACGGAACAAAAAGAACAAAAGAAGTTCTTGGCTATTTCGCTCCGCCCATTACTGTATACCAGGGGGCGGGGAGAGTTTTGTGAGCATTATTTCCCAAATTTCACATGAAGTGTAGGTGATTTAATGTGGATTATCTGCGTGTGAATTCACAGGTAAGATACAATCTCTTATTTGTTCTAATTTGCTTTTTTTGAATAAAATGAAAAAAAAAAACAATTTTTATCAAATGATTGATTTTTTTCGTATTTCAAATTGTTTTGTGTCCGCTATTTAGTACATCAAAGTCAGCAAATTTTAGGTTTTTGAAAATTTCTGAAAAAAAATGAACACGAGGAATATTTGATTTCTTTCCAATATTAAATGATCGATCATCATGTGAAAACAAAAAGAACGAACCGATTGGCAAACGGGACATCGAGACTCCGTGGTGTGTCGATCGACGATTCGGCATCGCTGTCGGCCATCGTCATGATTTCATCGAGGCGTCGACGTCGTCGTTGTCTCCGTCCGATATGACGCGGTCTCGCCTACAACATTAACCCAATTCCAATTGTGCCATCATTCCGAATTCGTTGTTTTCAGCCACCACGCCCCCGGAAAATTTTTTTGCGGTGGGGCGCCACACTCGAGAGTGTGTCCCATGAGATGAACAAACGACGACGCGTTCAAAACAATGCCGGCCAAAAAAAAGGAAACGAAACGAGAACACTCAATTTTTATGGGCAAAATTATAACACGAAAGAAAGATAAAAACGAAATGGTCAGAAATGAAAGGGTGAGGAAGGGCAACAATTGAGAGGAAGTGAAGGAGAACGACAAGGAATTGAGTTTATATGTTGCGAGCAGCAGAAATTTCTCAAATTGAATTGAATTCTTTGAATTCACTTAATGATTTGACGAATATTGTAATTAATTCAACATTTCGCGTATAATTGAACTGGATTAGAATTAAAAAATAATAATCTGCGGACAATTTTTGAGTTCATTCTTTTGAATATTTTCAAGTGGATTTTTTTTCCATATTTTGGACGATCAAACTCTTTCAAAAATTCAAAATCTAACAAGACGAAGAAAAGAGAACAAGTAAAAAAAATGAGTGGAATTGGTTTTGGCTCATTGGAGCTAATTTGAAATTCAAACTTTGGCTCATTCGACGAAAACATTGAAACGAAACGACGGGGACATTTCGGTAGATGGAGGGACATTTACATATATAATACAAATTGGCAACTGTTTAGAAATTGAAGAGAAACATGAGATGGCATACAGTTGTTGTGTGGCGGAAAGTACGAATATTCTGAGAAAAAAAAAGAATGGGCCGGAAAAAATGAAGCGAAGAAAAAGAAGTTTGATGAGATTTTGTGGAGAGATTGGATAAGCAAAAATCCGATTGAAACTCGACATTTTCCATTGAAGAATACGTAGAATCTCGGAAAAAGAAGGATCGATTTGCTCATAAGTGTAAATAAACGAATTAACTGGATTATGGGGGGATTAGTAATCAAAATGCAATCAGAAATCGAATTACAATTTTTGCGTTATCACTTTTTTTCTTTACTGATAAATGCCATAAAAGGCGAAACAAAAAAACCGGGTTGGAGCGGGTTGAAAGACTGATTAAATTGCGACAAGAAATGTGCATTTACGGTTTGATAAGTGGAAAATTTTGGAAATTACCGATCATGAGGTTATTTCGTTAAAAAAAAACAGCAAAAAATAATAATTCGTCGCAATTCTCTTTGGGTCAAATGATCCCTAAAATATTCGGAAATTCTGATGAGTTTCATATCAAATTAAATAATTAACAATTATCGATAATTAAGTCAAAAAAAAATTAAATTTGCAAACATTTTTTGGCGTTTCTTTTTGCAAATTTTTATCCTGGTAAAATTGGCAAATTTAATCAATTCAATACTTATTAGTTTTAAACGGAGGTTATATTCTGCTAGATGCTTCTTTGACTTTTTATCTTTGCCCACTCAAATGTGGGCGGGGAAATGGATGTGTCAAACAAACGACACTTCATGTTTACATCCGCCTGGCTTTTATCGCCTAATTAAATTTTCTGATTAATATTATCAAACTCTATCAATCTCGTAAACAATGTTTCGAAAGAGTCTCCCATCAATGGAATTTCTTTCAAAATGAAGAATTTTGAATATACATACATATAAGGGGCGTTGATGTGAATTGAGGATCACAGAGAATATATCGGACTTTGAGGATCGCCTTAGGAAAATTGTGCGAATTTGCCGAATTTTTTTCCGAGAATCAATCATCTTTAACATGATTCGATTCAAAATATCCACACAAAATCGCATCTGGCTCGTTTTTTTTTCTGTTTGGAAAAATTTTGAAAACCGCAGATGTGTATGTTTATGCGCTTTTTTCGAATAATTTTCATCATAAAACTCAAATTGATTTTTGATTGATGAAATTCGAAAAGATCGTCGACTTGATAGAACTGCTGTTCAAAAATGAAATATGAGATGAAGAAATGGCCGAAAATCGCCGTCTCGAAATTGCACAATTATCGCGAATAGATTGGAAAACGAATGCTCCTGAAATTCAACCTTAAATTATGCGATGCCGTTTTGCCGTCAACCCAAAAAAAAAGAAAGACGATGAATGTCGAAAAAGAAAAGAAAAACGAGAAAAATGCATAATGAGCACGAGGATTGAGCATCGGATGACGAGATCGAACGGATTGCGACGAAATGAAGAAGCGATTTATCAAAAGTGGATACAAGAAAATAAAACAGCGAATAAGAAGAAGGAGATTAAATGGAATGCAAGTCAAATATAAAGAGTCATATCTGTTGACAAGCAAAAAAAAACGACGAAGAGCACGAGGAAGCGGAGAAGAAGGAGGAGGAGCAAGTTTTCAGAGATAGACATGGACTGGCCGCGGGCTCGCCGGGTGCTCGAGGCAATAATCCAATTTGATATCAAATAGAAAAGAAACTCGAAAACGGAGAAGCTGATGTCACATCCCTTTTTTGTTTCTCTAAAGATTTCGCATTGAACTTTTGACGCCGTCGGTCAGTCGATTGCCGCTCTCCTCCGCTTTTTTTTTCTTTCACGCCCAACTTTTTTTTCTTCTTTTTAGGATTAACGGGGTCCAACAAGTCGTCGAAAACACAATTTTCTTCGAGAATCTGATTTATAATGTATACATTTTATGTGGTGGAAAATAAAAGTTCGATTTTTGAAAATATTTGAATTTTCTAGATTTTCTAGATGGTTCAATATTTCGGAAAATTTGTAAAAATTTCAAATATTAGAATAATAAGCAATTTGAAAGGGAATTCGCTTCGGTTTTTTAATCATTATTTGTTGATTTGATTTGAAAATGGTTTATTTTTTGAAATTTATAAAAGATCGACGAGAAAAACACTGCATCCACACATTTTTTTCAATTTTACCAAATGAATTCTCCATTCTTGGAAGAAGGCGCTCATATGTTAACTATTCAGTAAAGCAGTGAGAGAACAATGATTTACAAGTTTGTTTCAGAAGAAAAGAATCAGAAACTGAGCAGGTGATGAATGGAAAACACAAGAACAAAAAAAAAAGCTAGACTAACTTCAAAAACTACTTGAGAAAAAATTATTTTCTTTGGTGTATAGAAAATCTTGAAACGAAACCTTTTATTTTTTGCATTCGCCATTATTTGTGGGCAAAAAATGAGCAATTATTGAAGCCGCCCGTATTGTGATAGTCGCCTACAGTACGTGGTCTTTTCACGAATTCGTTCGGCGTTGTTCCGATTGTCGTATTCAGACAGCGCGCGAAATTCAAATAAAACGTGAATGCATTCGAATGGAATTCGAGGGAAACATGGAATGTTACGATCAAAACACAGGCGGTGCATTGTGGGAAAAAAAGGCAAACAGTCGGTCGCCCAATTTTTGCACCTGTTCATATAAATTTCGAACAAATAAATAATAAATTAGTCGGCATGGTGTCGGGCGAACGAGAGAAAAAAAAAACAACAACAAGCAATGCTCATTTATTTATACGAATTTCTCGTGTTCGACAACAAACCGAAAAATTGGTTTCAAAGCAAAATCCAAAAAAAAAAAACGAAAAAGACGAAACTGAAAAGAAAAAACTTGGTCTCGAAATTTTCAGATTGTTTACATATCTCGACGTATAGTCGACATTACGCCGAGCAAAATTGCCAGTTTTCAAAATTTTCGTCAAAAAAAATTTCAGAAATTTTGCAAATTTTGCAATGTCGTCCTGCTAGTATTCCAAATTTGGTCATATTCGAAATTTAAAATAATCTTAATCGTATGTGATCACTTCCGTCGAAATCTCATCGACTTGGAATTTTTCAGCCACCCAATTTCATCGCTGGAAAAAATACTCTGGATAATTTTCGATTTGAATTTCGAATGAGCCTGAAATTTTTCTTTTTTTTTTGTCTTTTTTTAAACCCCAATTAATTCACATTTTGAATTTTCTTCTATTTCAGTTAATCGCTTTTAATATAATCCTGAGAATCGAACTCAAGAAACCAAAAAATTCAAGAAAATATTTAAAGGAGCATAATCTACCGAATAAATAAAAAAAACATTTTTTATGTGTTTAAAAAAGTCGCAGAATTCGTGACCAAGAAAGGATTATAACATATTTTATATTGGGTTTTTTCTTCGACAATGTTTATGTATTCTGAAACTACACGAATTTTGGTATCCGAATTTTCCGGACCAACGTTGTCAAAAAAGCGGCCCTGAGGATCGAAACCGCGTGGTTGTCCGCAGATGTTTAAAATGAATTCACTACAAAAAATGCTACAGCGATAATATAAATTTTGGTCTTTTTAAAATAAAAAATTCTTTTCGACGAAGGCAAAAAAGAAATCAATCATCGTAAAATGATATTAGTTTAGAATTCGGCAATTTGCTGAGAACATACTCGCACAAATTATAAATAATAAATTTATTGGCGATAGTGCACACAACTGGTGCGTATGTGTGGAGTCAGAGATTTTTTCGAAAGATATGTCAGCCGCAAGTGATTGATTGAGATAACTTTTAGAATGATTTGTGAATTTTTTTCGGGCTCACGAGAAAACAAAAACATCAAAAAACTCAAACATCGAAATCGGTTGCAGACAATGAAAGGAAATCGTCTCAAATTTCCATATATACATATTTATAATGAACGATTGAGTACCTAGATTCAACAAATTAAGAAACTCCCCAAATTCGATGTGCCGTTGAAACTGCTTATACGACATTAATTTAGTATTTATGAAACTATAAAAAGTTAAATTAAAAAATGTTAACTTTTTTGAGAAAAAGTTCGAATGATATGAGTGCTTTTTCTGTTGAAATTGCGTCACGGTGTTTGCACACATTTTCGCGGGCTACCATTTATTTCAATTTTTTATTTCGAGTTTTGGTGGTATTGTTAATAAAAACATTTATAGTTAAACGATGGCAAACTATTCAATTCATAAATAAATTTAAAGTAAATTCGAAAATTAATATTCACTCGATAATAGTTTCTTTCAGATTATACTCTATTTCGAAAAAAAAGCAATTTTTCTTCATCTATCTCATTTTTCAAGCGTATATAAAATGTTACAGAACGAAAAAAGAAGCTATGAAAAATTTTTGGATTCAATAAAAAATGAGAAGTAGAAATGAAAAACGAAAGGGTAAAGGCATGACAAAATTGGGTACAATTATATAATTGGTGTTGGTGAAAAAAAAAAGAGCCCAACAACATATTATTATTATTATACATGCTGAAATGGGCTTTCGACGTTCGATTTTCATAGCAAAATCTAGCAAAATTTCATCTGAGCCAAAAAAAGCGGCAAAAGCTCGATTTTGAAATGACGAGATTTGTAGGAATCGATGAATTTTGTAAACATTCGTGCAGAACGACTCTGAACTTTCTTGAGAAAAAAAAACATTTGTTGTTTTGAAATGATACGAAACAAATAAACAAGAAAAAATGAATTGAGAAGGGTTGTGAAAAAAAATAACGAAAGAAAAATGTTGAAATATGAGGAGCATGAGGTCCGCTGGGTGCCAATGTTATCATGAAAAGAAACTCTTTTGAGAGTATTGATTGATCGTGTAAATTTCTGAATTATATTCGAATTTTAACGTATGCGTAAATTTTTAATTTTTTTAGTTTGTAGAATAATTAATTTGATTCTGACGAAGTTTTCCATTTTATTTTTGCGTATTCAACTCAAATTCTACTAATTTTATTTTAAAAATTTGAATTGAAAAATGAAAATAAAGTGCAATGAATGGTAAAAAAAAACTATGAATTAATTGATATCATCAACATGGTCGAAACTTTTTAAAAGTATAAGAAAAGTTACATAGTTGAAGATTCGATATTTCGATTTAGCCTCCCGTTTGTTAAATTTGCTTTTTTGTGCATGTTTGCTGTGAAGAATAAGTACAAATTCCGCCAAAAATTGGCGCAATCAAAGCAACAAAAAAATAACACGCTAGTTGCCAAAAACGCGCGCGTTTCAAGAGATTGCAATTAGAGGAGATAGGCCGGCGAAAATAGAGAAAGAGTGCCACCGACTACTGACTGCTCATCTTCCTTTTTTGACATCGCAACATGATGGACGAATAAACACTATTTTCCGGTTTTCTGCTGTTGCATGTTTTTCTTCTTCAATATAGAAACATTCTGGGTCAAAGACATTATACAATGAACATGGAAAATATTTCTTCCTAAAACGGGCAATTTGAAATATGAAGAACCATTTTGTTGCTGAAAAGAGTAAACGATAAACGTAAATGAAAAATTAGCGTTTTTTACGAAAAAATATTGAGCATTCCTACATACATATATCATTAAGATCTTCCCAATTTGGAATTACACGTAGAAATTAAGTTGCTTCCCGAACGGCAATTTTAAATTAAAAGAGATTTCAGTGTGTGAAGATCAAACGCAAAACCGTGTACCACTGGATTTCTCCCATGCCGAAAACTTCTGCTGTTCGTCCTGAAACATTAAATACTACAAGTACGACACTCCAACCATTGTTGAAAAATGACAAATGTATCCAGGTGTCGTGGGATCCTGCGTTTTGTACGCAATGCTAAAAGACAGTTACCGTAATCCTCGCAGCGATTTAGGGATTTTTTATTGAATTTCGCATATTCATTTTTTTATTTTTCACTCAACTTCCGTATTTCCCTTTGAAATTTTGTTATTTAAATTTTGCAGAAACCGAGTTTAATAATTTATTTAGCAGAATAAGCACTTTTAAACGATATTTTTTTGGTAAAAACAGCAGAGATTTAAAAGAAAACATTTTTGTCATTAATTTTGCTTTTTGTATGCGTTTCTATTATCTTAAGATTTGTTTTTGTATTCTTCATTTTCAAAATAATTTTTAGAGCGTCAAAATCTTCACAATAATTCCTAACTCAACTGGACAAATGGAAAAGTGCATATTCTGCTAAATAAATAATTAAACTCGGTTTCTACAGGTTTTAAATATAAGATTTCTAAAGAAAATAAGAAAATTCAGCAAAAAAAATTGAAAGAAAATTAAAAAAAAACTCCGTAAATCGCTGCGAGGATTACGGTAACTGAACTGTCTCTTAGCATTGCGTACAAAACGCAGAATCCTACGACACCTGGATACATTTGTCATTTCTCAACAATACACATCGTCTTCGATTTAGTACGTCGGCATTACACATAATTTAAAAAATTAGCCCGTGATTGTGGGCCGCACTTGCTGTTTTTCTCAGAATTTGTTTGCCGCACCTGCATTTTTGATTTGGTGTCGACCAATTTTTTAGGCCGCACTTGAGTTGCGGCGACCCGTTCCCGCGCTATTTAATTCGGCCAAATCTTCCATAGTCCTCATCATTAAAAAAAAGTGATTAATCATTTAAAATGAAAATTCTTTCATTTTCTCAGCCCCGACGTTACGGTTAAACATTATTAATGGCGAAAAGCTGCCGTTTCTCTTTGTCAAACGTCTTTTTTTAACCCTCAGCGAAGATTTGAATTGTGTTGCAATCGCGCTCTATCGGTAAGAAAATTTTGTTTTTTTAACATTTCGCCCACCACCAATACATAATATCGCGCTTTCGATAAAAGTACTGTTAAATAATGACTTCGGAAATTGTTCAGAAAAACCTATTGAGTGTTTTGAAAACCATAACTGAACTGTTAACAATTTCATCGGCCACTGTGCGGACAAAGAGGTATTCATTTTGCATAAATTTAAAAAAGGCTAATTTTCAGGTGCCAACTTGTTGCTGTTAGCAAGTTTAAACCAGCCGAACTTATCGAAGCTTGTTATGAAAAAGGACAACACCATTTTGGGGAAAATTATGTCCAAGAAGTAATTTTATTCGCGGTTAAGAGTATTAACGGGATTATTCAGCTCTTCGAAAAATCGAACTTATTAAAGGAAAGATGTCCAGATATTCGATGGCATTATATTGGCCAGGTCCAATCGAATAAAATTCCAAAAATCTGCGAATCTCCGGGACTTTATTGTGTAGAAACGGTGGAAAGCGAAAAGCATGCGACGATTTTTGACAAAGAATGGAGGAAACGAAATCAGGAAGATAAACTTCGTGTTCTAGTCCAAGTCAACACGTCAGGAGAAGAAAACAAAGGTGGAATCAGTATATCGGAAGCCACAAAATTGGCCGATTTTATCAGAAATAATTGTTCCAGTCTTATGTTCAGCGGTTTCATGACAATTGGCTCCTTCGAACACAGGTTAAATAATGTTATTTTTATTTTTATTGTCATTTTTTAGCCACTCCGACGGTTTGAATCCAGACTTCGAAGCTCTCTTCGAAATAAGGAAAGAATGGGCCGCCCAAGCAAATTTGCCAGAAGATTCTGTGGAATTATCGATGGGAATGAGCGACGATTTCGAACAAGCCATTATTCAAGGAAGCACTAGTGTCCGGGTTGGAAGTAAAATATTTGGAGCTCGAGAATACAAACATTAAAATAAATAGTTTTCCATCTAAACATTTTCATAATTGTTGTATTCAAGTTTGCACAACTTTATTTTATATCTAAAACAGTGATAATAAATCGTTTCAATGTTTTCTAGATGGACGGGTTTCGAAATAATTTGCTTGCTACAATTCGCGCAGTGATGACTCACGAACGTCTGAATGAATCTTCAATGTCTTCCTGGAATGGAAATGCGACTAAAGGATGCGAAATCACATTTAATGGGGTTGCGCGAGGTGTTGAGAGAACTTCTGGAGTAATTGTGCAAATTTTCGAAGCGAGAAATGGATCGTTTGAAGCAATTTTAAATACCTATATTATTAAAGGTATTATCATTTTCATTTTTTCAAATTTATTGCACGGAGAAATCCTTAAAAATAAAAAAAACCGAACATCATTTTTATTCAATAATATTTTTAACAGATTTTTTTTTCGTTCTACTGCATTCCTTGTAAAAAAATAAAACATGATTTACAGATGACTTAAGAAGCTTGATCAAATCCTCCACTGTTACTCAAAACTCTACTCTTTCTGACGACATTTCTAATATTTTGTCCCCTCTGATTTTGGCCCTATCGGAATCCTTCTCCCTCCATCATATTTTCATGATCGATGAGATTCGTGAGAAAGTTCTTCGATCACTTGATCCATCATCGGCTGCTCATTTGGCGGCAACTAGTAAAAGTGTGCGCAACAGTTTGGTCAATTCGCGTGTTGATAATACCTACTGGAAACGAGAATTGTCGAAGTCGCGGTTTTGATTTATTACAAATGAATTAATTAATTATTTTAGGAAATTTGGAATTTCAAGAAAAGACAAATTGAGCTATCGATTGACATATGGTGAAGAAGCAATGAAAAAGAAGGATTCGCGAAAGAGAACAGATTCGTCTAGTAAATAATTATTTCTTTTCGTATTCTGATTAATATTTCAGACCTTCTTGTGGAACAAAGGTACGCACCACCGGTTCGTCAGCCATACATGCCTCATCCATTCGGAATTCCTGACCCAGATGCAGAGTATTTTTTGAATATTAATTCCAATTTGGTCAAAAAATATGTTTAGATTTATGCCGGATCGTTTCGATCCACTAAATCCGATACCAAATCCTCGCATGCCATTAGGTGGTCCCCGTATGCCATTAGGAGGGCCCCACATTGACCCATTTTCTGGAGGACGCCTTGGTGGAAATGCAGATCTCGATCCGTTTGGTGATCCGATGAATCGTGAAATGTTCCGTCCAAGTCGTGGTGGCGGTGGTACCGGCGGAGGATTTTCTGGTGGTCATTTCCAGCGACACGATTATATTTAAATGTGTATTTTTGTATAAATATTAATTCATTTGAAAAGTATTAAGCTTAAAAAAAACAATAAATTATTTTGGCACAAGACCGAATCAAATTACCATGTATTGAATTCGTTGAACCGCCCCCGGAAGCAATTTTTAAAATAAAAAAATTGAATTTAACACGTGAAATTGATTGAAAAAATAAGAGTTGGCGAATATCAGTATTTCGTATTCACGTCGACGAAAGCCGTCACCAGAAATGTTTGTTGTAAATAATACAAGAATTCAAAATGTTGAAATGGACAAGATAAACGATGTTGGCAACTTGTCTGGTGGTCAGAAGGTGTCCTATTCTTAAATTCAGAACGATCTCAGCGATCAGCGTTTTAGGTATACAAATGGACAATTGAACGTAAATTGGCGCAAGGTGATTTCTCGCATGTCTACATGTGCAGTGGATTAGCGTCCGGAACGAATGCGACAAAGTTCGCGATCAAGTGCGAACGGGCTGACAGCATTTATCAAGTGATAAAAGAGAGAATCGAAAAAAAAACGAATTGGAGAATTTAGATGCTAAAAGTGGAAGCATACGTCCTACAACGAATTTCAAAAAAAGGCACTCGACATTTTTGCGAAATGATTGATATTGGAAAATACGCTGGAATTCATTATATCGTTATGAATCTACTCGGACGAGCTATTGTGGTTATTTTGAAGAAGAAATAGCGCCGCGTTTAGTGATACTGAAATATTTAGGATTATTTGAAATCTTCTAAAACTGGAACATTCACGACGAATTGTGCATTGAGTCTTGGTATTCAGATTTACGAAGCGCTTGAAGGTGTTTCCCATCGTTAACAAATGTTGAATATTTCAATAATAGATCTTCACAATGAAGGATTCATTCACCGCGATTTGAAACCATCGAATATCTGTATGGGCCGGCAAGATCGCGGCGAACTCGGAAAATTGTATTTGTTGAGCTTCTCGATTGCTCGAAAATATCTCGACGCGAAAGGACAAATGCGAAAAGCGAGGCCGAGTGTGGAATTTCGCGGAACTGTTCGATATGCCTCGCAGAATTGCCATCAATTGCAGGAGCTCAGTCGAAAAGATGATTTAGAATCGGCATTCTACGTCATTGTTGAAATGATAACCGGCGCTCTTCCGTGGAAAGGACTACCCGATGCAAACTACGTTGCAAAGACCAAAGCGGCTTCACGTCATCCGCCAGCGGTTTTTCAGTTTCTTCGAGGAGCTTGTCCGTTCGACGAGCTTAAGGAACTTTTGAATATGATCGACGGTCTAGGCTACATGTCAACTCCAGACTATCAACTTATTTATTTGGTATATTTTTGCTTTGTAAATATTTGTAAAACAAAAAACTACAGACACTTCGGCGAGCTATGAAGAAAAGCCCGCAGCCAGAACACCCCTATGACTGGGAGAATGGTGGACCACTTTATGTCCCAGATGTTGCATAAAATAATTTTATTCAATAAATAATAATGAAAAATGCATATGTGGCCCTAAAGAGGGCCGTTGGGGTTCGGTGTTGATTACAGCAGGAAAGCAAAGAATAATCGAAATTATCCTCCGAATCCGTAGAGGGTGCGGCCTTGTCGCTTGAGGGCGTAGACGACATCCATGGCGGTGACGGTCTTTCTCTTGGCGTGCTCGCAGTAGGTGACGGCGTCACGGATCACGTTCTCAAGGAAAACCTTGAGCACTCCACGGGTCTCTTCGTAGATCAATCCAGAAATACGCTTGACTCCACCACGACGGGCAAGACGGCGAATAGCTGGCTTGGTGATTCCTTGGATGTTGTCGCGGAGAACTTTGCGATGGCGCTTGGCTCCTCCTTTTCCAAGACCTTTTCCTCCCTTTCCACGGCCGGACATGTTGACTTGATGCAGATGATACTCGAAATGAGCTGAAGAAATCTGAATTCAGCGCGTCTTTTATACCGCAGTAGGCGGAGTTAATTTGAACCCCCGCTCCGCGACACATTTGTGTTTGCCCGATGGTCTGCGTTGCAGTTTTGTTCCCCATTCTGCGACACCACCCAGACAGGTTGCGTCACCCCGCCCCCTCCACTGTGTCTGAGCGGATGGTATAAAAGGAGAGAGTGTAAGTAGAAGAGTCACGAGACAAGTCTCTAAAGCATTCGAAATGGCCCGTACCAAGCAAACCGCCCGCAAATCGACCGGAGGAAAGGCTCCAAGAAAGCAATTGGCCACCAAGGCTGCCCGTAAATCGGCCCCAGCCACCGGTGGAGTCAAGAAGCCACATCGCTACCGTCCAGGAACCGTCGCTCTTCGTGAAATCCGTCGTTACCAAAAATCGACTGAGCTCCTCATCCGCAAGTTGCCGTTCCAGCGACTTGTTCGTGAGATCGCTCAAGATTTCAAGACTGATCTTCGCTTCCAATCGTCGGCTGTTATGGCTCTTCAGGAGGCCGCCGAGGCCTACTTGGTCGGTCTTTTCGAAGACACCAACTTGTGCGCCATTCACGCCAAGCGTGTCACCATCATGCCAAAGGACATCCAGCTCGCTCGCAGAATCCGAGGAGAAAGAGCATAAATCGCTTGATCATCTCGTATAACCGAACCCCAACGGCCCTCTTTAGGGCCACAATTATGAAAATGATTCAATTCTTATAAAGAATGCGATATATAAATAAAAAACTTCTCCAAGTAAATGTTGTATTGTTCTGAATAAAATCATTTTTTTAACTTGAGCTCATTCTTGTGGATATACTTTGTCAATGATTCGATGAAGAAGCAAAGCTCTTCGAAAATAAAAAGGAAGCGTGACATATTTTTCTGCGTTATCTTCAAAAATCAACCCAATCATTTCAATTCGCGTTCAGAACCGTCCGTCCAATTTGCTTGGTGAGTTTTTGTTTTTAATTTTGATATATTTTGTCAACGTTTTTTGAATTTGTTGGCAATTAAATAGAGATGAGGACAACTGCCAGCGATAACTCGAAAGTCGATCGCAATTATCTTGTGATTCGCTCATCGAGGACGAATTCGTTGACTCGAATTTGTCGCTATTAAGCCCGCACGAGCGCGGTGGCCGGTCAAACCACCCGGCGCCGAGAAACGCTCCGCCTCGGTGGTCCGAAGGGCCCGACGACTGTAAAGGAGGAAGTCCGCTGGCGGTTGTGTGGTTTGAAATATCTCTCAAATTGCGAAATAATTTTATTTCGAAAAAAATGTGCAATCCTCAAATTGAAAATATCTATTAAAGTAGAGTAAAATAATAAAACCCTTATTTCATGAGCTCTCTTCTCTGTGATGTCGACCTCGAATTGATGCGAAATTCAACAGCAATTTATTTGGTATGAAATTGGCCTTTTAAGTTCTTATTTCAATTTTTATTTGCAGTTTTGATTCACAATTCGAAAACAGCTTCTAATTGATCCTCATTTTCCTACTTTCTACTATTATTCCGGTGAGTCTTCATTTATTATTATCAAAAAATATCTGATTTCTTTTTTTTAATTCAGTGAACGATAAATTTAAATCTACACTGATTTCACGAAATAGACTTTCCCTGTCAATAATTTTGTTTTTGAGTTTCAAAAAACCTTGTTTAAAATATATATAAAGTATTGTTCTTTTTCGGAAAATCCCCGTCGAGCATGTGTGTTTTAATTTTAAAACGAAGCCTTATAATTAAACAATAGGGTAATGCAAACTAAATTTAAAAAATAAACATTGAGAATATTTCAAAAAAAAAAAAACCCAAATTAATAATTATTTTCCATTTTTGCTGCATTCAATTTTTGTCAATTTTTTAAATTTCTTCTGTGTTGTCCCTTTAAAACCCGTGTTGTCCTTACGAGAATATCAATTATCTTATGTTTTTCAGCAGCCACAGCAAACAGAATAATGGACAGCTCTTGCATTCCCTTCCTTCCAATATTTCTGTTTGGTTTTTATTTCAGCAGTCACCCCGTATAAGCGGATGACCTGCTATCTCTTGTTTTATTTATTTTCTGTTCCTCAACTTGTTAGCAGCTTCCGCTATTTCGTTGTAAGACCACAAGTTCCCCGATTTCCGAATTGAATTGTCAGGGTTATCAAAATGAGATTATATTTGTGGAAGTTGCGCAAATTGGCTAAATGCCAAAAAACAATGGCAGTGGTCTTGGCGCCAAACTAATAGTGTAGATTTACGGGCTTATAGTTAAAGGCGCACATCGCGCTCCGAGACCTCTTCTAATTTTTTTGTTGAGAGATCCTAATACCATTGCAAAAAAAGTGCGTCCCAAGTAATTGTGGACCATCGTTTGTTATTCGGATTGACTGTTCAAATGTTCATTTAAATAGTCGGATACCGTACACTGAATAACCTGTAAATCAAACTCGCCGTTTGTTGGAAAATGGATGATCTGAAACAGATGACCATTTTTGATGGTACAATGCAAATTTTGCAATGAACGGTTTGAAAAACGTTATCGTTTGCTTCCGTCAGCTTCCTTGTATCTTCAAGATATTTCAAGATTCGAAGATTTCGAGATGTTTCAATTTCAGATTTTTTACTAAAAAAACGTAAGTAAGCATTCAGGTCTGTTGGATATTGAATTTCACACAAAGTTTTTCGATTTCTTATCTAGTTTCGATGATGGTTTTCTTATTTCTACTTTTTTTTCAAGTACTCAGGGAATTTTTCGCGAGTTCGCCCGGGGTCGAGGGGCGAACGCGCCCGTCAGGGCGGCCCGCCCGAAGCTCGCCCCTTTCACCGCGAGCTCGCGCCAAGCTCGCCCCTTTCGCCCCGAGCTCGCCCCTCCACCGCGAGCTCACCGCGAACCCGCCTCAAGGTTACACATGCCGAAATGCAAATGCGCCCCATTGAATACCTGCTACTTCTCATGCAATTTAAATATTTTTTTCTCTTTTTTTCTCCATTTTTCTTCGTAATTTAATTTTTTCTGTAAAATGAAATATAACAGGCTTATTTAAAATTGAAGTAAACAATCGTTGTTTAAAAAATCATTCGTTGAATATTAATTTCGTTCTTAAAAATTCGTTTTGCAGCGTTTTTGTTTTTAATTAACATTTTTTTCAGCGTAGCCACTTTTTTAAATGGACAAACATAGTAGAAGGAAAAACTACACAAGTAAGATATTATGATGTAGCAAAAAAATGACAAATTTCAGAAAATTGGCTGAAAATCCAGAAGGAAGTTCTTCTGGAACTTAATGAAGAAACGGACGCTAACGATGTCCTGAAAATCTGCGAAGAGCAAGATAACTTTTGCGCCAAAGAAATTGAGAGATTTGATGAAGGTAAACAATCTACATATAAACAGAATATGGTTGGAAATGTTTTAATCTTTAGATGATAGCAGCGGATGTTTAAACGAAGTAGAGAGCGAAGATAAACCAAAGAATAATGATGAAAACGAGCCGCAGATGCACCAGATGTCGTACAAAGTAGAAGACATTTATGATGAAACCGGTGAGTATATGAAATAATTGCACTTATTTTGATAACGAATCAATTTGTTGCTTTTTTCTGCTGCAATACAGCGGTAATAATGTACACATGAGATGTGCAAAAACTTTCCCGGTGATAAAGTTTTACCCAACTTTTTCGCGAAATGTTTCACGATCATCACGCATTGTTTAAAAAAATTTTGTTAAGATTTTCGATTGAAGTCCTATGTTGAATTTGTCCTGAAAACGAAAATGTCAATGATGAATTGCGAGAGGCTAGATAGATTGATGGAAATTCTAACAGGATCGCCTCCAATATTCACGGTAATTGATTATTAAATAGTGTTTTTTACTAATCATATTTCTGGTTTGAAACTCGTGATCGAAATTCAAAAGTAATTGTCTATGTGGCAAAGTATTCTCGGCAGTCACTAGACCTGTCAGGTTCAAATTAAAAAAAATTGAGTTGTTTAAACGGATGAAGCCCGTAATTTATTAGTTGTTTTCTCTAAAAGTGTTGTGATGTTCATAAAAACAATTTAAAAGTTTTTAAAAATTTCATTAACATCATCTGGACATGTATCCATACCTACATTCAAAGTTCAAATCAGATCCGTCCACAAGAAACCCGCAGCTTCGAACTTCTGGTTTAGTAATATCGAGTTAAAGAAATTGCAGGCGAAACATGTGGAAAAAGAGTTAAAACTACTAAGACGTAGATGTATTGAAACTATATGCTTTTCGTGCAATCACTGTGGCCACCAGAAAATCGTAAAAAATCAGCCGTGCCTAAATGCAAATTGTGAATTATTCAGGCAAGTTAGTTTCGATTTTTACATCTATTAACTTTAAAAAGTTAACCGATTAAATATAAAAATGATAAAATACTCAATATATTTGCTTGCAAAAAAATCTCTATTAAGGTGTTCACAATCGGCAGGTAGTCCGGGAACGAGTGAAACTATTGTATGTCAAATTGAATACCAAATTGAAGAAATGATTATTCGCAATCTAAATGAAATAATTGATATTCATGCTAAAATTCACAATAGAACAGTGAGTGAATATTAGCTTGCCAATGCTGATTTAATAATGCAGATTAGGAAGAAAACTCGAAAAGCCCGTAAAATTTCTAAAAAAAAAATCCTTTTGCAGAAACTGTGGTACTGCGAAAAACATGAATGCGGCCATGGTTCTTGTGTTTTTTCCTCAATCTGCATGTGGTTTTTTAAGGGTTTTTACCGGCTTTTCGAATTTTGTTTTCCAAAACTGCATAGTTCCATATGAAAAATCTTGATTACAGTTGGAATTTGACGAGGACGACGTGAGATGTTGGCCGTGTTATTTTGCCTCAATGGAATGCAAAGAAGAATATGAGAGCCAAAAGCTGTATTTGCCGATTACATTATTCAGTGACGGTGTAAAATTGAAAAGATGCTCGAGGTTGGTTTTCAGAGATTATAATTCATTATAATTAGTTTAACATTTTTTTCAGAAAAATGGCCACTCCTCTGTACGCAAGATTGGAGTCAGTAGGGAAAGAGGAGAGGAAGAATGGGAAAAGTGTTATGCTTCTTTCTTTGAATTTTGCTGAAAAAGGTGTTCAAAAAAATAATCAAGCTAATTTTTTGAAGAGGTAATGGGAATTTTATTGTCTATAACATAATGCCAGTTAAGATCGATCGAAAATTTGTTACAATATTCATTGAACTGCAACGACCTGAGCGGTAATTCATGGACCATTTCATTAAAAATAATGATGTATCTGGGCGACGGGAAGGTATCAATGACATAAAATATTCGTATTTTTTGCAGTTTTGCCTATAATTATATATTTTTAAAAAATAGTGCAACGCACGATTTTCGGCTATTTTATTAATTTTTACCCAACAATTGCAAACATTTCTTATTGCACACCTACGTATATATATATATATATAAATGTATATATTTCCAATACGTTTAAGGATATATATATATACACACATAAAAGAAAATCACATTTTCCAGCAAAAGAATTGTTCTAAAATGCAAAGATAGGGATTTAACCCTCTGTGGCGAAAAATACTGGAATCTCAAAACTACCACGCAGTCGACTGTAAAATTCCGAACCGACAGCATATTATTTGGAACCATAATATTATTCGTATATTCGAATAATATAATGTAAGCTTTACTTGAAGTTCCCGAACTAGTTCCAGCTTTAACAACGTATTCTATAATCGAACGTGCTTCAAATCTATCAGCCGTTTGTTCACAATTTCGTCGTATTTTTGAACGATTTGAAACCACATTTTCCCCTGTTACTAATTCTATGACTCATTTACTTGTCGACGTAAAACAAATTTTAGGTCCTGCTACCAAAATGCGAATTGAAAATCAATTATATTATATTTCTCTGTAATGTTGATAAAAATTTGTATTGCTCGTTATTCGTTTTTGTCGTTTCTTTCTTAATTGGCTTGAACTACGTGCCATGCCGACTTACTTACACACAACTAAGTGTTAATTTCAAGATAATTTGCAGTTTTTTGAACATAATGGCAAGCAAAAGGAAGCACGAAGCGGGAAACGACGAAGACTTCCCTTTCCCTCGAGCAGGTATATAATTTCATAGCATCACTTTATTGTGAAAATTACGAATCATTAGAAAATATCAATAGCTTGAAAATAAATCGAAAAATAACTTTTTTAATAGGGGTGGCGTATCATGTTGTGGCCTATTGAATAAATAACAGTCGAAAAATAACATCACATGTTTAAGATGATCTATCAAATCATATTGCATCGAATGAGTTGACACAATTGGTTTCTTACGCGCCAAATTATGATTTATATCGTGGTTTTACCAATTACGGACCAGCTCAATTTCCAATTTCTCCCGTCGTTCCTACAAATGCGCCAGTGCCCACGAACGTCGGCGATAATTGCCTTCTAAGTAAGTAATATTTTTGCGTTTCACCTAAGATTTGTGTTTAGCTGAGCTTACCGAATGTGTAAGCAACAAAAAACTTGATTTACTGAAAGCAGGTCGAATAATTCAATACGCTTCGCTTCGCGGCCACATCAACAGTGACATTATAAAAGTTGTTAACAGATTTCTACATTCTCAACAATTATATTTTTAGAAATTTGCGTCAGCGCATTGCAATGTCAATGAGTTCATCGTCACTACTCCGGTGGACTATAATAACCCGCAAATTATAGCAACATTGCTCGCATCAAACGTCGTCAAAGATGCAATTATGTTGAAAAAAAACGAAGAACTTATGAGAGAAGTTACGCTAACGAAGAAAATAAAATCCAACTCCACGCTCAGTGTGAAAGGAAGCCGAAAAAATGTTAAAACCATTCACATGATTCCTGCTTTTGGGCCTTTTAAGGTTTGCTTCTTTTCATACTTTAATGTTTTTTATTACTTAGAATTTTGCAATATCATTGGATGATCATCCAATGCCGCCATCGGATTCTCCCCACTTAATTCTCCAACACCATTTGAAGCACATCTTGAGAAAGGTATCATAACCCGTACATACAACTTCGAAAAATAATTTTTCAGATTTGTTCGGTTCCGAGTTCAATACAAAGGTATTCATTGGGAAGAACCACGAAATCGACAAAGTTGCCTGATGTTATTTACGAACCACTGAAAAGTAATAAAAGCAAAGCAAAAATAGTTATGAATACAATTTTCAGAATATTTTTTTGAATTCATTAATCTAAACAACGAGGAGTTAGAAGGACCAAGTCCTACATTGGAGGAGTTCAGTGAATCTCCGTATGTCCAAACATTCTCAACGCGCATAACATTATTGTTCTTATAGATTTTTGAAATCACTTGGATTGAATTCGAATGAACGCGTTTCGAAATTTCGTGCATTGTCGTCGGCGCGAATATCATTTGATTCTGTCTTCGATGGACAGTTATCAATTGCATTATCTGAGATGCGCTACGGCTCATTTGATAAGGATGGTAATTTCTACCCCAGATCGGTAATTTTTCTTGCAATACATATGAAATTCAAACATTAAACATTTCTAAGCGCAAATCTACCGCTTCGGAGATTGCAAGACCAACACCGCCGGAAACGCCGTCAAGTTAAGTGTTGATTTATTTGGTCTGTAAGGAATTTGAGAATTTAAAAGTTTTAAGTTGTTGAGGGATAAGATATCGATAAAATTTATCGTTTTCAAAATATATGAAAATTACAAAAAAAGTTGAAAATATATGAATTTTTTTTTCATTCATCATTGCCATTTTTTTCATTCATCATTGATCGTTTTTATGAGATTTTCAACAATTAACTAATTTAGTGTCGTTATAATGAAAAGATCTCAAAATCTTTAAAATTGCATTGTTATATATATATATATATATATATATATATATATATATATATATATATATATATATATATATATAGAGACATGCGAAGGGCGAACTCGCCCGGTGTGTGGGGCGAACTCGCTTGAGAAGAAGGGCGAACGCGCCCGGGTTGAGGGGCGAACTCGCCCGGTGTGCGGGGCGAGTTCGCAGCGAGTACGGGCCGAACTCGCCCCGCACACCGGGCGCGTTCGCCCCTCGACCCCGGGCGAACTCGCGAAAAATTCCCTGAGTATTAATCGTGCCACTTCTCACAGCTGGAATTCTTTTGTCACATTCGATAATCGACCAAAAACGACGCCAAAAACCAGCAAATGTGCATTGTGACGTCACAGAAAAGACGCGCATAATTGGCGGGAAACCATAGATTCAAATCTTTTTGCGAAATGAAAATCGATCGGATTCGAAAATCATTTCGATTTCAATCGGATTCAATTTTAAGTTAAACAGTTCCGAATTATGTCAAAATTCGTCCGCGCGGCGTCCGTCAATTTTTTCTATAGAAAGCCGCCCGCTGTGATATACCGAGGAAATTTCAGAAAACTGAAACGCGACTATTAGTATAACTTCAGCAAATTTTCTTCCATTAGATTACATGTTTTTATTTGTATTAGAAAAGTTATTATCGAAATCATTTATTAAATCAAACAATTCAATGATAATTGTGGCCCTAAAGAGGGCCGTTGGGGTTCGGTTACAGCTCGTAAATTCAACGAAGAATTTACTTGCTGGAGGTGTACTTGGTGACAGCCTTGGTTCCTTCCGAAACGGCGTGTTTCGCCAATTCTCCCGGCAAGATCAATCTGACCGCGGTTTGGATTTCGCGAGACGAGATGGTCGATCTCTTGTTGTAGTGGGCCAATCGGGAAGCTTCAGCGGCGATTCTCTCGAAAACGTCGTTCACGAACGAATTCATGATCGACATAGCCTTCGACGAGACTCCGGTGTCTGGATGGACTTGCTTGAGAACACGGTAGATGTAGGTCGAGTACGACTCCTTTCTCTTGTTGTGTCTCTTCTTGGCTCCATCACGAGGCTTCTGGGACTTGGCGGCTTTCTTTGCTCCTTTAGCAGATGGTTTTGGTGGTGCCATGGCGAATTGGTTGAACTTGTTGACTCAAGTGTAGCGTCCAGTCGAATCATTTTCTATTTACGATAACGCGCGGAGGGGGTGGAGTCACAATAGGTGTCGCGGAGCGAGGGCGCAAGATCTGTTGCGAGAAGGGTGACAGTGCGAAACGATTCTGAATGCTGAGCATGTGTCGCAGAGTAAGGGTTAACTCCGCCCCCTCCGCGCACAGTCATTTATAGTAGAATGCGACATTCGAGTCTTCAGTGTGAATTTCACAACACAAACCTAGCGACTTCATCATGTCTGGACGTGGAAAGGGAGGAAAAGCCAAGACCGGAGGAAAGGCGAAATCTCGTTCATCGAGAGCCGGACTTCAATTCCCAGTCGGTCGTCTTCATCGTCTTCTTCGCAAAGGAAACTACGCTCAACGCGTCGGAGCCGGAGCCCCAGTTTACTTGGCCGCTGTTCTCGAATACCTCGCTGCTGAGGTTCTCGAGTTGGCCGGTAATGCTGCCCGTGATAACAAGAAGACGAGAATCAACCCAAGACATCTCCAGCTTGCCGTTCGCAACGACGAGGAATTGAACAAACTTCTCGCCGGTGTGACCATCGCTCAAGGAGGAGTTCTCCCCAACATCCAGGCTATTCTTCTTCCAAAGAAGACTGCCGGAGAGAAGGAGTAAACTCTTGTGTCCGCACACATCATACCGAACCCCAACGGCCCTCTTTAGGGCCACAAATGTACTGATTTTTTGTTTTAATAAATTTTTTTTTTGTATTTTCGAGGTTAGGAGATTATTCCTAAGGATAGGTTAAATGTGCCCATCACGCGGAGATCCTTTTTCAAAAGTATTTTGGCATTAAGCCAATTTTCGCCAGTCGCGCGGCGTCAACAATACGAAACATCAGAAAACGATAAGTCGACACTCATCCCTTTCAGGGTAATAGGTCCCACCGCGCCGATTTACGGTGAGTTTGATTTGGCAGGTCTTTCAGAGTACGGTATCCGAATTCCCACTGCTTGAGTTGGAATTTGAATAACCTCCTCGAATATTGTGCGATGGTCCACAATGAAGCAAGGCGCTCGTTTTTGTTTTGCGATGGCTATAATAATTTTATCGTCGAAATTTACTTGATTGCATTTCGTAAAAATGACCAATCCGACCGCTTTTTCAAGTATTGATTATAATCCTAGATCCTTTCAAAATTTATGATTGATTTGCCGCCCGTTTCCCAGTTATAATTTAGGCGAACAATTAATAAATATGAAATGTTGGCATTTAATGAATTTTTCCACACGTTTTAACAGCTCCATCTTTTTGAATCCAGGCACTTCCCGCCCAAACTGGTTTTTTTGAATCCGCTGGAAAACATCTTTGAATGTGAATTCCATCATCCCCGCATCGATATTCGAATTCACCTGAAATATCTCAATTTTACAATTGCTCACACGTTCCTTTTGATAACCTTCTCGCCATACTGTGTATTTTTTGATGTGAAGGGTCTCATCATGAATATCATCGTTTGTAGTTCCGTTGAAACATCCTTTTGGTTCAATCCGAGCGTTCAACTGATCCGCTTGTATTCGACAATATTTTAAGCTTCGATTTCCGATTATGAAATACCCCGTCTTCACAATATCTCCATTTACATCGACACAACCTGTCAGAGAAAAAAAAAACACTAAATGAATGTTTGAAATGAACCAAAAATTAACCTTTGAATCGTCTCGAAATGCAACAAATTGCAAATCGATCTTTAAATATATCATCGGAAAAATCGGCAAATGTGCTACAAGAGTTCACATTGATATCTGAATAAATATCAAATTTTTTGAATCGAAATTTCGAGCGGTAACACCTTGAGAAGGGGTCTCATTTGTACATGAATATTCATAACCATGCTCAACAAATGATTTGTGGCCGACGTCCAATAAATGGCCATTGTCGGTTACACATTTGAGTGTCTGGAAATCATCGATGAGCGTCTTTACAAAATCATCAAATCACCTGGATTTTACCCTCTCTGCATGTCACCAAAAAGTGATTATTTCGAATCCATTTGTCGCCCGGTGCATAAATTTGCCCGTTATCATCACATTGCGAAAAACAATCGGCGATGAGTGAACACAACAAGAAGAGCAGCAGCAATGTTTGATGACGGCGCCACATTCGAAACTGATTTCTATGAGCTAGACGAGGCGAGTCGAGAGTTGCACACTAATTGTTGCCAGCTGACCACTCATCTATCATCGAATTGACCCTTGACTTCCAACTGTCTCAAGTTTTCTTACAAAATGTCATAAAAAGTTATCAAGTCTTTGATTTTTTCGGGGCAATCATGTCGTGTTACCGACCTATTTATGAAGTGATTTTTTATTTTAAAAAATGTTTTAAAAACTTGCATCGATTGAGCGTTTTATTTACAACCCTGCATTGGAAAATTTTTAATTTTTAAAAATTATTTTTTGTGGCATGAATAGGTCCATTAGACAACATACTGTACGCGGCTTTATTTTCGTGCATGCGCCTTTGCTATGGTCTGGTGCGGACTAACTGGTTATTTTGCATTTTCGAAGCTCATCCCGTTTATTTTTACTTTCAATGATATTAAGAATTCAATTAAATGATACATTAATAATTTACAATAAATTTTTATATTGCGGTGTTACTATAACGTTTTTCTGAACGGCAAAGATCAGCTATAGGGTTCACAAATATGCTAGTAGGTGATTGTACTTTCACAATCAATTTAGCTTTTCAAACGTTAGCCATTTGAATAAGTCAAAATAATAGACGATTGAAAAATATAAATAAATTGCGGCCTATTTAATTTCCATTTAATATTCTGCGATTGCGTAAATGTAAAATTTAAAAATGAGCATTCACGTGTGGCGAGACCATTTCGAAAGACGCACCGCGTAAATCTACTCGCGAATAGCAGTCGTCAGAGGCCGAATATATACTAAATGCTTTTCCCATATTTAATAATTATCAAATTGGTTTAGCTGAAAAAAAGCTTTAATAGCCCACAAATTAGCCTATTAAAAACTTGCTCATGAGGTCGGTCACATGTCGCTGACATATAAGGAGTTGGACTGATATGGTGATAAAATGAAGGACGAAGAATCTGGGCGTTTTTTATTAGTTGCAAAAAATAGATTTCCATGAAAAAAACAATCACGTGATTAATAAATTAGAAACCATTCAATTACGGCAATTTTCAGATAGTTTATTGTCTTCATTTTCTCACAACGTTTGAAGAAGTTGGTTTCGTCAACAATTTTCCATGTTTTCCCAATGTTTTTGTGGTGTGTGTCCAACGGACCACCGAAGATAAGATAGTAGAGAGGGTCCACTCGTCATGTCTCAAAGGAATACCAACAACGAATCAATCCGCCAATGTTCTCTCTAATTCTTCTTTTGTTTTTTCTACCGACTGTCGAGCCGCGAACGATGTGCATTATGGCGACTGGAAGATTGAAATGCCCGAATGAGCCGCAAAATGTCAAAAGTGTTCAAATCGATTTGTATGACGAGGATGGTTCGTTTCGTTTCGTTCCATATTCATTTTTTATTTTTCATTTAGCGTTGCCTCTCGAATCTGACGATTTGATGGGTCGCACATGGTCCGACCAAAATGGAAATTTTCGAGGTTTTTTCTTTGCTATTGTTTTTCTAATTAACTATTTATTATTGAATAGTTACTGGATGTGGATCGGATTTTGGACCAATCAATACACCTGATCCATATTTGTACATCGAGCACAACTGCAAACATCGGATTTCGAACGCGACGCTTCCTATCCAGGTATTATTTTGAGAATAAAAATCAGCGTGCTAAATTCTAGAATTTTAGCTGTAATTTTAAAAATGGTATTTGTTTTTTGAAAAGTGTGACTAGAAAACATAGTGAATATAGACTAGACACGTTTTTACTGCAAATATTGAAAGTTGGCACGATCGGAAGCACACAGAAATCAGGAAAGTTCAAACAAAATTGAACCGCGAACATTTTACAGGTCGACGTGATTCCGCTGTTCCTTCCATCGATTGTCAACCTCGGAAATATTTATCTTGATCGTTATATTGAAGATAATTAAATAAATTTGTGAATATCAGGTTACCACAACTGGAACGGATTATCAAAATGTCAAACAAATCGGCGTAGGAACGGCGAATTCCATTCGTTTCATTTTTTTTTGCCTCGATGTTAGTATAATATATATGTGTGTGTGTGTGTGCCAGTCGATGTGTGCCAATTCGTCAACGAGTTTCTTGTCGATAGTAAAGTTGGGTGTTGGAAGCAAGAGGAGAAGCAATCGACTGGTGAAACACCGAAAGAGCCGGTTTTCCGCGTGTGCTCCGCGGCGCGCGACCTCGCGCCAATTTGATTAGTCGTTACTGCTTGCCGCCGGCGCGCGAAGCACCCCAAACCAGCAGGTAACTATTCTCAACATTTCCTTTTTTACAACTTTTTGCAACTATTATTCAACAATTTTTTGCAAAAAATTATTTCCTAAAGCGAAATTTCGAACATATTGCTTCTAGATCGGAATTTGAGAAGGCCAATCTGCAACGAATTCTAACTACAATTTAGTCCTTGATTTTTGAATACTGAATTAAATTTTATCAATTTGTGCGATAAGATATCCCATTAAATCTGCACGAAAAACCACACATAAGAAAAAATTGTTGTTTGAAAAAAAAAATGCGAAAATCTAGTAATTGAAGCACGAACAGTTGGTGATCAGAAATTCTTGAAATTTTTTTTTAATTTATGCATTTCAAATGTATGCAGGAATGAATATTTTTGGATTTCGATATTCTCTTGCAGTCGAAAGAGCTGAAAAATGCAAGAAGAAAGCAAATATTTAAACAGTCTCAAATACGCGTTCATCGAAACAACAGTGAATAATGAAATCTAGAAGAACAAATTGAAATATTTAAAATGAAGTGAAATCGGGAGATTTCAGAATGCGCTCGATTTTTCTGCACTCGATTCTCATCTCATTCGTCTCTTCTCAACTTCCATTCATTCTTCAAATCAACAATCAATTCACTTCACTTACCGACGTTGATTACCGAAATGCGCAATTTGTGCCGAACAGTTTAGTGAGAAGGACGAGGAATTTGCACAATGACATGAGATTTCCATCAATGGTAATCATTGATTTCGAAAATCAAATGAGGTTTTTGGCGTCACAATTTGATAAATCAATTTTTGAAAAATTCGCCGCAATGAAAACACGACGAAAATAGCGAATTTCAGAGAATCAAACGCGGCGGAGTTGCAGTGGTTGCTGAAAAAGACAAATGGCCGAATGGACGTGTTCCATACATCCTCTCTGCCGCTTATAGTGAACCGATTCGATAAATGAGTACCATTTAAAACGAATTCTCATATTTCCAGCTAGTGCTCAGCGTGCGGTTCTCGCCAAAGCATTCGACGCATATGCAAAGAAGACATGCATTCGATTCGTTCCCAAGTCTCCAACTGATCAAGACTACATTGTTATTCAGAAATTGGATGGGTATTAATAGGCAACATATCATTAATAAATTATTTGTCACCTTCTAGATGCTATGCTGATTTCTCGAGAGTCGGCGGCAGACAACAAGTATCATTAGCGGATGAGTGTATCGATTACTCAACGATTATTCATGAGCTTATGCATGTCATTGGTAAGTTCTCAATAATTCACTAATTCTAATAAAAAGTCAGCTGGCAATAATTAGTGTTCAACTCACAACTCACCTCGTCCAGCTCACAAAAATATAAAATAAAATAATTCGTTTCAATATATTATTTCAGGATTCATTCATGAGCATCAACGTGACGATCGTGACAGATATGTGAAGATTTTATATCAAAATGTGATTCCAGGTGAAAATTGAATTCGAAATAATAAAATCTAATACGTTTTCAGGCGCTAACACTGATTTTGATAAGCTTTCCAATTTGGGATTGTCGTATTACAACGAAAATTACGACTATATGTCAATAATGCATTATGAATCAAATGAAGGAAGCCGAAATGGAAAGAATACCATCGAAGCCAAGGTGAGAAGGATCATGGGAAAGAAAAAATAAGATAGCGAAGCAAACCAATTTCAGATTCCGCATTACACTCCTTTGATGGGCAGAGCGACCGATTTTTCCGCTTCTGACTTGAGAAGAGTGAATCGCGCCTATAAGTGCTCAACACACTTCTGAGCCATATCAACAAAAAACGTGTATATGTACATAATTGGAACCAAATTCAAGGAAAACGGTGTAATTATTTCAATAAAACGTCTAGTTAATTGCAAAAATTCGCGGAAAATTAACAAAAAAAAATAGATTTGAAAGATATTAATGCTTTACCAAACAATACAAATCGTACAGAAAAATAAATACAGGCACAATTTAAAGTCCGAGGCGACATCAACGACGGGTTTGGAGTAGTTAGTTCAAAACGTTTCGACTGTCTCCAGCAACTCCTTTCGATTTTTCTTCAAAACGGCAATTTCAATCTAAAAATGGAGAATTTGGAAAGAAAACGACGAGAAGAATGAAATGAAACCTCCATATCGATCATTTTTTGAACCATTGGCTCAGCTTTTTCTTGAATTCTGTTCTCAAGCTCTTGTATATTATTATTCAAAAGATCACACAAAGCCACATATGCCTTTTGCTCGTCGGAAATTTGCTGAAACCCAAAACTTTTTTCGGAAACCATAATTTAACCATAAATAAACCTTATCAAGGCCGTCGATTTCTTGAATCTTCTCCGTCAGAATCTCCTTCTCATTTTGCAATTGATCTGAAAAACGTTTCCAGTTCAATATTTTCAGTCTACCAAAAATCCTACCAAGCTCTTTTTCCAATCGACATCTCTCTTCTTTCCATTCCTCTCGTTCACGTTTTCTAGTACGGTTGATACGATCTTGCTCCTTCTTCATTTCTTCATTTTTTTCTTTTTCGATTTCAACTTTCTCGCTGAAATTTAGAATATACATATAAGTGCTGAATACAAAAATCTTGCGTCAATCCTCACGAATTCAGAATTGCTACCATCTAGAAAAATTCAGCGGCCAAACAAAAATTAACAATTCAATATGAGCTCCATTTTTTACAGAATAAAAACATACTTGTCCAGATTTTGGCTCTGTTTCGCGCGAGACAACTTGCAATCTAGCTCTATTTTCTCGGCATTCAGTTTCTCTTTTATCAACGGAATTCCAACGCGATCCATTCTTTTCAGTTCAGCGTCTAACGTGCTGAAAAAAGGCTGATTAGCATTTCTCGAATGCAAAATAAACGGACGTTTCATTTTCAGGAACTCCGAATGGTTCGATATCAATTACCAATCCTGACATCGCCTTTTTTAGAAGACTGAGCAGATTCTCGTAGGAAGCAATTTGCTATAATAAAATATTATAGCAATTAATTCTCATCAAACTACCTTTTTGAAAGCGTTTTTCGCTTTATTGGTAACACTCCATTTCTCCTTAAAAACTTCTTCCAATTTATTCTGGGTCGCTTGTAGAATATCCTTATAATTCGCAATTTCCATTGTCAGTTTTCGAGCACTTTCGCCAGATATTCCAAACTTTGAATTCTGCTCTTCAATTCGATTTTTCAAAGCTTGAACTTCATCATTTGCCAATTGTAATTTCTGTTTGATTTCCTCATTTTCCGCCGAAACCGAAGTCTAAAATATTATTACTATTTTTTTTAATTGAAAAACCAATTAAAAACCAATGTTTGTCGTGAAGTAAGAAGACATGCTTCTACAGAATTTTTGTATTCATTCGCCTTGCGGAAATCATTCTCGAATGTTTGCAAATTGTCGCGATATTGCTGCTCACGTCCTTTCTAAAAAAAAATATTTCATTTTTTCGCATATTAATCTGAAAGTTACATCTGAGCAAAGTTCTTCGCATTCAAAGTTGAATTGCTCTTCAGCGTTTCGAAGAGCCTCAGCTTGCTCTTCAAAATCATCCTGTGTTTGCAACCAATCGCGAAGTTTCTGTCGACGGTCTTGAATATGTGATATTGATTACATTTCGATTCCAAAATTGTTACTTTCTATAAAGTTTGGATCATTCATAAGTGTGCGATTCTCCGAAACTTCCGCAAAGAATATTTGCATATAACTATAGAAAACAGTTCTTTCTTTAACCACGAATTGATCGAATGAATGATTGATGAAAATTTGGTCAGTTTTGTTGGAAACATCAATGTTCGACTGAAATAAATAAATTTTTTTGAATGACGCGAAGAAAAACTCCAATAAGCTCACCCGAATGAGATCAACAAGCCAAGCGAGTGCGTCAATAAGATATGGATAACCATGACCAGATCCAATCGGTTGAAAATGGCTTGGCTTCAACGCGCAAGGGTAACCCAAGTTTTTAAGCAATGGGATAATCTAAATTCACATTTTCATCCGATTTTTAAAATGATATTCAAAAAAACCTCATCTTCGAGTTTACATCCTTGTGGTACCACATAATTGCTATTCAAATGTTGAAACAATAGTTCGAATAAATTGACAAAATCTGAACGACCATTTGGCTTTCGAATCTGCTTTTCGCTCAATGCATCCTGAGAACTCGATTTTTATTTATATAAACTATATTTCAAATAATCAGAAATACCTCTCCCTCATGTTCTTCAAGAAATGTGTGAATCTTTGCTACATTTTCGTTCATAAGTCCCCGAATATCCTAAAATCAACGACAATTTTTAATGAAAAATAATTATTATTTACTCTTGAGGCTGGGGTGGTAGTTTTCTGAAAAAACGACGTCCTTCTTCCTGAATTTTGTCCTAAACTCATGCGAACTGTCCCAGCTCTTTCATTTGTCCTTAAAAAATATTAAATGTTGGAAAAGCAATGAGTTTTACTTTTTCACAGACGACATGGGGACATCCGTCATGCGGGATCGAGTTGGTGTACGTACCGTGGAGCCACCAATAGTTTTTCGTTGTGTATCATAGCCGAACATTCCTGAAATAATTAAAATATTCCACTACTACCAACGAAATTAAGGAAATTTCGGCAAAAAAATGACGATTTAAATTAGCGCGCGTTGCTGCATTTTGAATTCGTCTGCATACACCGAGCTGACATCTCACGTACCTCACCTGCACTACTTTCGGCAAGAAACTGTGTGGCCTGAGTGTCAACAAACAAGAAAAACCACGGTTTCGCCCGATGAGTTTTCCGATATTCTTTCAATTTTGGTTACTTAAAAAGGAAAATATTTTACAACATTATTATATATAATTTTTGCTTGAAAATAAATATTTGTTATCTATGAAAATAAAAGGTTCAATTTTATATAAATAATCAGTTAATTTCACGATGTGATCTTTGCGAAAAAAAACAAACCAAAAACTCATCACTTAATTAATCGCCCTGAATAGACGGTGGTGCATAATTCATTTTGGTGAAACGCTAATGAAAAGTGTTTGTTGTGATAGTGAGTGATTATGAGAGACCGAGACATTTCTCTTCTCATCTGTTTGTACTGTCCGATTTATTGAGAATATTTTCTATGGTCAATTAACATGGACATGTTCGTCCCTCATTTTCAGTCTCTCTGCTGAAGAGTTCCAATTAAATGATCTCGTTTAAAATGTTGCATATTTGGGATTTCGCTTCAAAAGATAATATCTCCGACAGTTTCCATCTAACGAATTTTCATTATAAATGTTTTCGAATTCAAATGGCTGACCGTGGGTGGTCATTTTAATTCAGTGGGGCCTCGAGAAGAGTGTCGATTTCGAAAAACTGAAAAAAAACCCAAAAAAAAACCGTTCAAATACTATCAGAAAATTCTTCATGGTTTTTAATTTATTGAATATCTTCAGAAGTTTTGCATTGGAAGCATAAAAATTAATAAGGTTGTTTATATGAAAATTGACTAAAATACTAGGAAAACAACGGGGACATCGAAATCTAAAATCGGTGATAGAAACAAACCGGATATGACTGGCAAACAAATATTATGGCTAGCGATAATAAAAAATTTAAAAAAATGTTAGAAGCGATCTATATTTAGTAAAATTAATTAACAATCTTTGGTATTGATAACCCTTAAAATGGATACAATTTTAGCGTGTTTTTACTCTTGTGTGGAAATTTGAATATGCGAGACCTATTGAGGAATCGAATTGGGATTCTCAGACGTTGACCTGTTGCTTTAAATCTTGATAGTCGAGTACATCGTTCATAATAATTGGTGGATCTTCATCGCTGTGCACTTCTGGATTCTCGAGTGTTTTTTTTTTGAGAACGTTCGCCAAATATTCTCGTCCACATTTTTTCACATACACTTTTCTTTGGTTATCGCTGTAAATCGATCGATTTGCGTAGAATGTTGAATTATTGGACTTACAAGAAATTGATCATCTGGTTTCTAATATTGTCTGTGATCATTCTAATCTGCCTTCGTCGCGTTTCGTCGCATTTCGATCATCTCGTTGAGATTCACTGCACCGACGACGACCTCTATAATTTGTCTTTTTTTCTCAAATTATGTTATTTCAGCTGAATCTCTTTTTTTTAATCACTCGCAAAAATTTTCTTCTCGCTTACCGACATCTTTTGGAACAAATTCGTAGTACAGTTGGACATATTTCGTACTGCTGATTGCAGCGGTCAAAAAGACAGATTCAGGTAAAAAGTCGAATATCATTATATGCTTTTTAATTATTAAAAAAAATATTTTCTTCTCTTACATTGTGAAGAATATTATATGTCATCTGTGTGGCTATTCCGGCAGCTTTCGATGATCCAGGTAGTGATCCATGGAGTACTGCGGCAGCAATGTCAACTTTTCTTGGAGATTTCGAATGGATTCTAACAAACATTGGAATCAGCGCCTCCACTGCTCTTCGATTGAACTGGATTCCAGTAAGACCAGAACTCTGAAAACATGAAAGACGTGAGAGAATCAATACAAACTATTCATGCTAAAAAAAAAAACAAGACAAAAAGAGTAAAAAAACGGATTTTGCGTTTTTTCCTTTTTCTGTGTTAAATTTTTCTTTTTCTTCCACGATGACTTTTTAGACTAAAATTGCAAACAAAGAATTTATAAGGGTTACGGTAGACAAGCTCTGCAATTGTGTTCCGCAAACACCGAAAACGTATCAATTTAACCAAATTTTGTTTTTTGTGTGTGTGTTTTGATTGTTTTCCTTTTTCTAAAAATTTATTTAGAATTCGTTACATTTGCAAAAACGAGCACCCTGTGTAGATTTACGGCGAGTTTGATTCATAGGTTATTTTGAGTACGGTATCGGAATTCTTACGGTTTAAATTCGAATTTGAATTTCCACCTCGAAAAAGTGCGAGGCGCTCGTTTTTTTTCTTCGATGATAATATTTTTTTACGTAAGATTAAAATGAATAAGATTGAATACTTTTTTTGACGTTTTAAAATATTTCATCTTTTCATCAAGTCGATCAATTTCGCGGTCAACCTGCAAAATGCATTAGTTCAAATTCATTTCAAAAATATTATCTACCATTGCGTATTCCTCCTAAAGATAAGAATAGGAATTCATTGGGCGTTCCACGAGTCTTGAGAGCAACTTTTGCATAATACTCTTTATTGAACTTCATGCGTCGAGGGGTGAGTTGTTTCAAATGTTCCTAGAATGCACGTTTATGATGCTATTTTTAGATTTCATTAGTTTTTACCATAGCATTAGCCACTGGCACCGTAGAAGATCCGTTTTCTGAAAAGAAACATCTCTTCATTATTTCATGTGGAAGAATAGTTTTCTCAGTAGGTTAATTCTAAAAGTTTAATACAATTTGATTAAAAGAATTTCGAACCAACTTGTCGTTTTTGCGTATTTCTTTAAGGAATCAAGAAATGATTCAGTTCCATTCTCAATTCCCGAATTCTCTTCAACTTCGTTAAATTCTGTCATGTTCAAATATTCGTCCTCATCATCATTTTCCTGTTTGATATGAAGCTCCTAAATTAGATATGTTTGGACTGTCGTTCCCCTATCGTTTTTACATTGTCTTTTGCATTTGCTGAACAAGTTACTGTAGCTAGTTCATCGCTGTGAAAATCAGTGCCCGAATACGACCGTTCTTCCCCACCTGTTATTGATTTTACTTCCTAGAATCAAAATTTTCCACGTAGTTCATGACTTTCATGACTTCAAAAAACACCTCCACCTTTGTCCTTTTATCTTCCATGATCTTGTGTTTTTTTGGCAAGATCAGGATCAATTGCTGCATAGATCATATCATGCATCTGTACATTTTAGAATCAGCTCACATTTCAAGATTCTTACTATTTTTGGATCGTTGAGCCAATTAATTGTGCTTGTTTGGCATACATTATCAAATTTGAGTTTTCGAGATTGGTCATTTTCTGGTGGCCATTCGGGTTTTCGTTTTCTCGGCATTCGGTGAATTTATTACCAATTTCCGGCCAAACCCAAAATTGGAAATTTAGAAAAACACAAACAAAAACCACCAAAACATCAGTAGATGGCAACGATGTTTCAGTTTACAGTAATATTTTCATTGTACTGCTCGCTTTTTAGCGTAATCCGTACGCCACCTGTATTTCTTCGTTTCTCGTGATTTCTTACAAGTTAGCAATACATTGAGTCTTTGACACCTTCAAGAAACCGTAATGAAATAAAATATCGAATAATATAGGCAACGAGTGGAACAAACACCGAAAATACGCAAAATATGAATAGTTTTAAAATTAATAGTTCCTATTTTTAGGCGATAATAAAAAAAAACATTAAATATTTCATAAAAATGGTGTTTTGAAATTCTTAAAACGAATGAAATTGTTTTTTTTTTAATTAATCAATGACACGTGTAGCTTTTCGCAATCAATGTTTGCTTTTATTATGGACAACGCAGGAAACTGAGCATTCGCATTCAATTATTCGTTTATTACGTATCACATAAACTCAAAGCTTTAATGTCGCAATATCCGTTTCAAAAAAAAATAGCAATGTGTTATTTGAATTCCCAAAAAAAAATATTTATCGTTCAATTTCATTCGAAGCCTTTAATTAGGTTATTTCGGATATGGCGAATACAAAATAGAGAAAGCTTCTCGAATAATCAACAATTTTTCTGGTTCTGAGCCGACCTAAAAGGCCAACAACTGGGCCAAGAAATACGAATACACCCCACACAAGCAGACATGCGCGCGCTCGCGCAATTAAGTTTTTTTCTCAGAAGAATTCGGCGCTAGATTCGAAAAAGAAGGCGAAGGCGAAGCTTCTTTCTTCATTCATCCAGCCGGTCTTCTCGTTCGCCAACGCGGCCACCGCGACCGCCGCGTCTCCTATCGCCTTCCACTCTAGCCATCGGCGACTCTCCTCCGCTTCTCTCTCCATATTGCCAACGGGCAGTTTGTGTGCGTTTGTCGACCAGAACCCCCCCCCCCACATTCGTTTTGTGTTGTTTTTATATTTTTCTTGGCCATCCAAATAACCCTGAATTTGAGACATTTATGTCATTCGCATTTTCAGGCGCCTATTTATGGGTTCATTATTGTCTATTCAAAAATTGGCCTTAATTTTTTACGAAAAGTCGACAAAATTTTTGAAATTTCGTTGGGTTCAATACTTTTGAAGAGAGTTTCCTTTCGATATTCGTTTTGTTTTTTTTTTCTTATCATTTCCAGTTTCTTATTGTGATTAATTGAAATTAATAATCCAGTTCAGTGATAAGGTATTAAAACTGAATTGATCCACATTTTCTCACATTGATTTCGATAATTAACTTGCGGTTTTCGTCATCATCGTCGTTGACGACGTCGCCATTTTTCTTTTCGTTTTTCTTCTCGTCGTTATTTGTTTGAGAAGTGCCTCTTATTCAAAATCTAAATGAATTCTTTTCAGATCTTATTCAAATGGTATAGAAACGATGGGTTTGGCTTTAATCGGATTTCTCTTACTCATTCCAATTCTTGTATTTTTATTGAAATCACGAAGGTAATTTCGCAATCAATTTTTTTTTTAAAATTTTTTATTTATTCGTGCTTCATTCTCATTACGTAGCAATGAGCATTTTTAATCACTTCTGAGCTCGCTTGCTCCCAATTAAATTGTCTCTTCATGCATTATTTGCATAATTTAAATTTCAATTCCGTCGACTGGCATCATCCGAATAAGAGGATGTATCAAATTTCGAAATTTTAAGTGGTTTTTTTTTTGGATAAATGCGATATTTCTGCGTGGGATTGAGCTAATGAAATATTTTAATTTTTGGCACTGAACATGATTAGCTAATGAAATTTGAAAAATTCAATTTTTATATTGACATTGCCTTGTTTTGACTTAAATACTATGCAGGAAAAAAATTATTGAAAACATAAAAAAAATAATGTTGAAACTGTTCTTTGTATAACTTTTTTTGTATTATATAATTTGTACAACTTTCAAAATTTTTAACAAAACACCATTATTTCTTAATTCTATTAATATTTTCGGGAAATTTTAATTTTCAGAAAAAGTTTTTTGAACATGTTTTTAACAAACTAAAAATACAAAGAATGAAATTTTCTTTTTAAATATTGTACGCTTTGTATACCAACTTAAAAAATGCGATAAGTTTGAAAGAAAGGAACTATGCAATAAATTATTGAGTGTTTTACGATAAGATGGGAGCACGACAAAAAAGCGCAAATTAGGTTGTCGCAAAACTGAGAGAAATAAAGTGAACATCGATAATTGTATTTGAAAGAGGGAATTCGCGAATAAAAGATCATTCATTTCAGAAAACCGAAAACCGTCGCGTTTTTTCATCCGTATTGCAATGCGGGCGGAGGCGGCGAGCGTGTGTTGTGGTGCGCGCTTCGAACAATGCAGAACAAGTGAGTCAGATTTCGACTCATTATCAAATCGGCCTATTTGTTCAAGGTTTCCCGCTTATAAATATTATGTGTATTCTGGGGATCTTGATGCGACGAAAGAGCAAATTCTTCTGAAGGCTCGCCAACGATTCGGCATCGAACTCGACCCGACAAACGTCGAATTTGTGCCGCTTTAGTGAGCGGTAATGAAGCTGAACCGCATTCCGAACAACCGATTTTCAGCCTTCGTCGATTGGTTGAAGCTGACTTATATCCGCATTTTACAATGATTATACAAGCATTAATGGGCGGAGTTTTGGCACTTGAAGCGCTATGTCGTTTTGCACCGGAAATATTCATCGATTCGATGGGATACCCTCTATCGTTGCCAGTTTTCCGAATTTTGTCTGGAAGTCGAGTCGCTGCTTACGTGCACTATCCGACGATCTCGTGTGGTCAGAATTTTATTCTTTTGCCACAAAAGAAACCCCATTTTATTAGTTTGCCGAATGCATGATATAAGCAAATATTCCCAGCAAGAAAAAGTACATAAAGATTTATTTCATTTAAATAGAAAAAAATAGAATTGCGTAAATGCCCTTATCAATCCGATTTATCGCATTAATAATTACTCAAACATCGGAAATGTGAGGAAAAAAAGGATAATTGCTGAGAACATTTGATTATGCGTATATTTATAGGTAAAACAGTCCAAGTATTTGAATTATTTTTCAGATATGCTTGAAGTTGTCCAAAGTCGAAAGGAGACATTCAATAATTCAACGATAATTGCTCAAAGTCACGTTTTGTCGATTTTGAAACTCATTTATTATCGTCTTTTCTCACATTGCTATTGGCTTGCTGGAAAAGCTGCGCAAGTTGTTATGGTGAACGGAAGGTAGTCTTGAATTTCAAGAAAATCCATTTTTACGGTTTGATTAGGTGGACACAACGACATATAACTTCAATTTGGTCTCGAAAAGACGTTGAAATTGTGTATCCGCCATGCGATGTCGAATCGTTTTTGTCGATTGAATCATCTGCTGAGAATTTGTAAGTCAAAAAAAACGTTGTTGATGTGATCAATTGTGGATATTCAGGTTCGAGGAATCAAAAGTTGTCAGATTATTGTCTCTGGGTCAAATTCGGCCGGAAAAGAATCATAGATTACAATTGGAAATAGTGGAAAGTGTGAAAACCCCGCTGAAAAAGAAAGGTTTCGACGTGAAATTGGGAATTGCTGGAGGTTGTAGAAATGACGACGATAAGCGAAGAGTTGAAGAATTGAAGGTTGATCGATGTTCGTTAGAGAATTCCTTCTTAATTGTCCACGTTTTAGAAATATGCTGAAGAACTGGGAATCACTGAAAATGTTGATTTTCATCTGAATATTCCTTATGAGAATTTGTTTGCCGAACTCTCTGTAAGAAATTTTTATCCGATTTTTCTCTAATATTGTTTTTTTTTTTCAATTTCCTCTTCAGAAGACATTAATATCAATTCATACTATGCACAATGAGCATTTTGGAATTTCGGTTGTTGAAGCGATGGCTGCGTCGACAATTGTGTTATCGAATGATTCCGGTGGACCTCAGATGGACATCGTCAAGGATTATAATGGAGAAACTGTTGGATATTTAGCTGTTACCAAAGAAGGTAATTAAACAAAATTTATTTTGATAAGCTCTGTGGCCCAATTAGGTTAATTTTGTAAATCTCGTGTATAGTCAAAAACGAATGAATTTGAGTAATTGGATCATTAAACGCGTTTATCATTTTTAAAAATGTATTTTAACTCTTGGATGAATACTTAAATATCAGTCCATTTCGATTCAACTGAAATTTGAATAATATACAACGCCCTCTTAAATTCGTCTTCGACAGTATCGTTGACATCAAAATTCATTTTCGAAATTCATAGTTTTATATATGTCCATTTTTAAATCAAGCTTTAATCAAGCTGTAAAAACTGTGTAAAATAATTGGATTTCGCTAGTTTTTGCATTTTTTATTTTTATTTTTGGAACATACAACTCACCCGGAAACACCTTATTATTTTCTGAGTAGTGCACACTATTAATAGAATATTATTGTGTGACGCAGTCATGTCGCCGATTCAGAAGAGTATTTCGTTTCGAGTGTCTATCTTTTATTATTGCCGATTAGAAAGTGCTAAATGCTTATTATTTCTAATAATACGTTGTCATGGCTACGAATATTCGAATTTTGCCGCTTCAGAATACTCGTCAGCGATTTTGAAAATTGTCGAGGAAGGCTCAGAAAAACGAGAAAAGATACGGGAAAACGCGCGAAAATCGCTTGATCGATTCAGTGAGGCGAGTTTCGACGAAGCGTGGAACAAACAAATTTCGAAAATTATTATGTCTTGAGTCAGTCATTTCTTTTTTTTTTCTTATCAGGTAGCCTATTTGTTTGGGATTTTTAGGCCTTCTTTCTTATAAGGGTAACTGTTTTTTTCATTTTCGTTAATAAAGTGCTTTGTCTATATATTTGAATCCCGATTTTTTTTCTATTTTTGGTCGTATCTCGCCATTTTCATATCTTTAAAATGGTTTTCACAACTATTTTTTGTTAATCACATTTTTTGTAGAATGAAACTCTACTCGGTTCAAGTTTTGCACAAAAATCCAGAGAACAGTAATGTGAAAATAATGAAGACCGCGTTCGATTTGTCGTCGTTCAGCTTCTTCCAACGCGGTTCTGTTCAGGAATTTATGACGTTCACTGGAAAATTGCTTGTCGAGCGCAGTGGTCTGGGAGCCAGAAGTTCTGTTAAGGTTTGAAGTGAACCTTGAGATTTATGATGATTGAACTTCAATTATTTTTTTAAGGAAAATGAATACATGTGCCATTGTTACGTGAGGAATGATGGATTGTCGGCTGTTTGTGTTACCGATGCAGAATACCAGGTAGGTTTTTATCATATTTCAAATATTATAGAAATTCTTTGGCGAAAATTGCACGTTTTCCTTGAAAATGAGTTTTTCTTTTCAGTCTCGTGTTGCAATGAGCTGTCTTGGTCGAGTGCTCGATGATTTCACGGCAAAAGTGCCTGCTGTTCAATGGGTTTGTTCCTTGTTCTCTATTCATATCGAAATTTCATTTGTAGGCCGGAATTAAATCAGAAAAAGATTGTCTTTACACAGGACTTCCGGAATTGCTTACGAAATGGCAGAATCCGAGAGATGCCGATCCAATGACGCGTGTTCAGGTCCGATTCAATTGCTTTATTCAAATGATATTAAAATTTGCCGATTTAGGAGGAAGTTGAGGAAACGAAAATCGTGATGCACAACACAATTCAGTCGGTTTTGGATCGAGGAGAAAAGCTGGATGACTTGGTAATTAAAAATTATTGAAAATGTTTTATTCGGAAATTTAGGTGAAAAAATCTGAGAATTTGTCGGACCAATCGAAATTGTTCTATACACAAGCACGAAAAATGAACAAATGTTGCAACTATGTGTAAATCAAACCGCATAAATCGACAATTTCCCTCCTGAATGAAGAGCATCCGGTGCTATGGTGCCGGTCAACTCGTCATATCTCGTTCATTTCTCTCTCACAACTGATTTTTCTTTCGCCATAGAGATTCTATGCTTTTTTCTCTTTCTTTTTTTTTCATTTTTCCCAAAATACAAAATTATCTGAATTGTGATATAGTTGCTTAGATTTCATCTCTCCTTTCTCCCTTATTTGTATATTTTCTGCCTAAATCATTCCGCATATGTAGAATATTTCTTCACTATTTATTTCATTTGAGACCTATCGAAACTTGTGGAATAAAAGTTTATCTGAATAATTACAGTTTATATATTCGAATGGATATTTTCCTGAAATTATACCCTCAATTATTTGATATTTTCTTTTAATATCGACCATTTTTTTTAGAAAAAATATTTGAATGACTTCTAATGCCTTTCGAATATTGCTGTTTCTCATTTTTGCAATTTTGAGTTTTGCTGAAATCAAGGAGGCCGATATTTCAAGTTTAGAGTTTGTTCACGCTGTTTGTGATTACGGAAGGAATTTTTTGAAATGGTTTTCGCAATTTTGAGATTTGGCGGCATGGCGATCGAACTCCGGCAATTCTTCTCGATCCCAAACATATTTCCAAATGGCCGCAAGGATTAGGCGAATTGACCGAAAAAGGAGCGGGTTTGTGGTTTATTAATATCAAATTTTTCTCTGTTAAATCAAAATTAATCGGATTTTTTTTTTGGGTATTTTCGGATTCGATTGGTGATTTGACGGATCCGAAAATACCCAAGAAATACTTTGGTAGAATCACAAATCGGATCGGATTGAGAAGTTTTGAGTTACCAGAGCAGATCCGCTGATTATTTCAATAATTCTCAAGAATGTGCCGCAAAATTTTCAGACATATTGATATGTTTGATTATTTTCAAAGATTCAAAAATATTCAGAACAACAATATCGATTAGGTCAATGGCTGAGGAAAAGATACGGAAAATGGATAGGAGAGGAATTTAATAGCAGAACGGTAATTATATTATGGTACAGATTTAGAAAACAAACAAATTCTCAAAAAACCTATCAAAAACTCCATGTAGGTTGCACAAAATATTGTCGACGTCGCAAAAAAATTTTTTAAAGGTCTCAGTGCGTTGTGTGCACCAGGGCTGAAATTTCGGCAATCCGGGAAATCGCCGAAAATAAAAATTTCGACTTTTATATTTTTTTCAACGATAATTCGAAACCTTTTTGTTTTTTCGATTTTTTTCGATATCCAATTTCCGAATTGCCGAAATTTGCCGATTTTTCAAATTGCCGAATTGCCGAAAAGAACGTTCGATCGGCACATTGCCGAATTGCCGGATTGCCGAAATTTTGATTTTCGGCAAATTGCCGAATTGCCGCACAGCCCTGGTGTGCGCCTTTAACCTCACCAAGTTTTGCATCAAGACGACAAACTTTGTCTTTCTAGCATTTAGCCAAGTTTCGGCAGTCGCGCGACGTTGACAATACAAATTTTCACCAGTTTTCATTATTTCATTTTTAAAAGAGAAAAAGTGAAAGTCTAGATTTATATTCGAAGTTCTGATTACAATCGAACACTGACATCGGCACTCGCAAATATGGCGGGAATGTTTCCACCAAAAAAGGGTTTGGATGCGAATATTATGTGGCGACCGATTCCGGTTCACACAATACCACAATATCTCGACAAGGTTGTTACCATTGAAAATGATCTCATCTGGATTGTTCTCGATTTTTTTCCAGGAGCTCTACGAAGATATTCCGTGTCCAGCGGCAGAAGCTGAAACGGCGAAAAACTTTCGCACATCTCATGCCGACAGTATCAGGGCGGAATTTCGCCGGGAAATTGAGTTCTTCTCGCAAAAGTTGAAATTTGAAAAGAAAATTGAATTGGAAGATGTTTGGAAAATTTACGATAACTTTTTCTGTGAGGTATCAAAAGAAAAAAATGAGAATAATTGAGAATTTAATACATTTAATATTTGCAGAAATGCAACAATATTGTGTGGCCGGAATGGTTGAATTCGACAATGTTCGATAGATTGGAGAAATTCTACAACGCTGTTTCGAAATTGGAATTTCATACCGAAAAACTTCGACGACTGCGTGGGGGTCCGAGAATTTCAGTGTCAAAAATCGCCAAAACTTTTTATAGGAACCCTTCTCGAAGAAATTTTTAATCGATTCATTTCAAAAATTAATGGAACGTTGGGTTCTGAATCCAAATTCTACGCCTATTCGGCGGTAATATCGAAATTTCCATTTTCAGAAACCATAACCGAAATTTTTAGCACGATTCCACTATTGCGGCTCTTCTTTCGACATTCCGTATTGAATATGAGTATTTTCCACATTATGCGACTGCTTTGCTTATAGAAATGCACAAAATGAGCAACTCTACAAGAGTTTTACGGGTATTTCTAATCGCAAAATAAAAACAAGCACCCTGATTTACGATGAGTTTGATTCGCAGCTTATTCGTAGTACGGTACCTAACTACTACTGTTTTAAATCAAATTTGAATTACCTCCTCGAAAAAATCCGATGGTCCACAGTTAGTGCTTGCTTTTTTGCTGCTTGTTTTTTTTTATAACATAGCAATAGTTTGTTTCAATTTTAAGATATTCCATAAAAACGAAACAGATGTCGATGATGTTGTGGAATACGAGATTCCCGGATGCGAAGCGCCGTGTACTCCACATAAATTGAAGGAGGATTTGAGCAGGTTATAGGAGAAAATCGACTTCCAAATACTATATTCCTGACAATTGCAGATATTTTCCAGCCGATTGGTTTGCTGAATGTGGTCGATCGCAAAATGATTTTCCATATGTTGGTACGGATGTCCATCCTTTCATTTTTTTAAATTTTAATCGTTTCAATTTTCAGTTGCACTTGGAATTTTAATGTTTACTACAACATTACTAGGCACATTATTAATTATGGAGAAATTATCGAAAAAAGTGAACCGGAATACAACTTTACGTGTGAATGAGAGAAATTCGCGTGAGGATCGAATCCCGATGTTATCAACGTCCGATGATGAATTATAGTCTTTTTCATTGTTAATTATAGTCGTTCTCCTGTGATTCAACATTTTTACGGTTTCTACTTGTTATTAGATATACCAAAGGCATTATTTATACATACATATCCACCCAAATTTACCCGAATTAGTTGAATATATATCACGATTGATTTTTGATTAAATTCTCTAGTTTCTCTATTGTATTATCGAGGTTTTGATGATTTCCAGATCGCAAGTCTAGAAGAGCATCGCGAAGGTATTCTGCATATTCAAATTTTAGTAATTTTGAAATTTGTTCGCGTTTTTACCAGTATCACAAAGCATTTCCTTCAGAAGACCTTTCGATAGATTCGCTGGTTTTCCTTGTTCGGTTATCATCACATCATTGATCGATTGCACAAGCTTCTTTACCACATGACTCGCAATTTTGTCCAAAATTGCCGCAAATATCACTTCGTCGTTAGTTTCAGCATCTTTGTCCGAATTTTCCGAGTGCGACACATAAATTGATAACGCGAGTTTTGTTGTTTCGTTCGCAAGCGCCTCTTCCCAAAATCGGAGAAGATGAAGAAGATTCTGAAATGAACTCCTTAATATTGCCCTTTTATATCATGGAAATGCCTGTGTAGCAGTAACAACAAAATCGGAAGGTGTCGGTAGAGCCGATTTCGGAATTGATCCTTCCTCCTTATAAACACCCGTCTGAGAATTGAGAAATGAATATGAATTTTAAGAAAAAACCACTCGATACCCCATGATTCGGCATTTTGTCGGTAACAAATCGATGGCTAACTCGAATTGCATCTCGCACTCGATCGTTCATCCATTTCTTCGTATTCTTCAATTCTTGACCAGCTAAAAAATAAATTTGAGCATATTGCATTTCGTTGAAACAGTATGTATTACATGAGACATCGGTTATCGTTTTGTAGTCTTCTGTGATTAAATGCAACTGTCCCGCCAACGCAATTCTTTCGAGATAATCCTCAATTTTGATTCGCTCTTTCGAATTGTCTTCCATTCGACACAATCTCATCGTATAATCAGCAAAAATCGGCTGAAATCGAACATTTTCAATGATTTCAAGATAAAAATGTACCTTAATAATTGATGTAATAAACGGTTTCTCGTCATCTGAATAAACTTCATAAAGCTGAGATGCCATTTCTTTAAGCATGTAAGAGAAATTCTCAAAATTTGATGAGATTTCACTAACGGATCTCTGAAAAAAAAAAACAAAAATTTTAAAATAAAAGTAAAAATCACTTACAAAATTCAATGGCGGATGCTCAACCATCGTCTTCAATTTTTCAGCTAACGGCGTTTTTGCGGCTTCTAGTAATCCAGAGACTACAATTTTTTCGAAACTTTCGATTGATTCATCGTCTTTCGATTTTTGATAATTAACAACCAGCTGAAAACTAAAGTTTCGACATTAAAATTTCTCAAAACGTACATATTTGAGATCAGTTAGAAGCTCATAATTCGAATAATTGTCAATTGCTGTCTCAAGAGCTTTCGAGACATGCTCACTTTTTGCGAAATTCTCCCACGCATCGAGAAGTCGTGCGAAGGCATCGTCGTCATCACAATACTTGCACAAAGATCTGAAAATGAGTAATGTTTCGAAATTTGCAAAAATTTACAAATTACGCCATATGAGTTCTAAAATGATCAGAGGCTCGATTCACAAAAGCATTTCCAATATCTTTTAATGATTTCTTCTCATCTCCGCTAATTATTCCGTTAAGAAGTGATGTCAGAGATTGATCAAAATGATGTTGATACAATCGATAAAAATCTGAAAATGACACAAATTTTAGTTGGGAAATTCACCAAATTTACCATTCACTGAATTCAGTGTATTAAACGCGTCAAAAATGTCATCTAAACCATCTTTAACTCCGAATTTCACGGCAAATTCAGTTCCTTTCCACGTCAAATATCGATCCTTGGTTTTGTGATATGTTTCGACGTCAAATTGAGGTTTCGCACCGAGTTCCTTGATAATTTTCAAATTTTCACCAATGGCTAGAAGAGTTGGCAAAAGGGAATCGTCGATTGAGCGGCTTTGAAGATTTACAGCCTGTCCGTCTTTCGAATCGAACACTTGTCTGGCCTGAGATATAAACAAATGTTTATTTTCAAATAATAGTATTCCAACCTCTAATAACTTTGTTAGCTGATTCAAATTTCTCTTTGCGCCGTCTAATTGTACCAATTGTTCTTCATGAGGAGCATAAGAGGTTGTGCATTTGGACATATTGTCTTGCAGGCACGATGATAAGGCTCCGATTTCATGGCCAATTCTATAAAAATTACCAATATTTTTGTAAAACTATTTCTTTTCGTGATACCTTGTCCCTAAATGTGTCATTTGTTTTATTGTTGATTGAATACTCGACGAATTCGAAAAAAGATTGCGATTTAATTGTTCGACGAGTTGTCGGCAGGCTTCCCCTTTTGGAATATCGTATAAATCATCGTTGATTTTTTTATTTGTAGCAATAGGGTGATGTACTACCATTCTGAAAAATCTGATTGATCATAAAAGGGTAAATTATTAAAATAAAATAAAAATTATGAAGAAAAATGGAAATTCAAAAGACGTGGAAATGCGATTTAAGATAAAACGCGGGCACATCGTATTTGCGGAATATCGTAAAAATGCAGGAAACACATATTTTCAAAAGATGCTCGAATGACTGGGGTGTACGTCTTATAAGTCCAAATAGGCTCCTGTAGTATTGGAAGTTTAATTATAATACTGCAAGAACAGATAACTTTTACTTACGCATTGATATTAGTTTGATTTCAGCTCTTGTACAATAAATGACATCCACTATATGCGAAGAATTGTCTAGTCTTTCAATAAAAGAAAACGCAACAATTGAGGTAAACACGAAAATGTACACCATATTTCATGTAAAAAAATCCCTATTTTGCTATTTTCAGAATCAAAGTTTTTTAATAAAAGCGAAAGAATGCGACGAAGAACGTTATTTCATGAAAGTTGCAATGGTGGCCGCAATGCGAAGCAAAGATCCTGCAAAACAAGTTGGTTGTGTTATAGCTGATGAAAACCATCGGGTAGTTTCAACAGGTTATAACGGTTTGTTTGTTTTTTTTTAATTTTGAGAAAATTATTTGTTTTTAATACAGGATTTCCAATAGGATGTCATGATGATGTTTTTCCATGGACAAAAGATGATCCAGACGAATTGAAGAACAAACACGCTTATGTTGTACATGCTGAAATGAACGCTCTCGCAAATAAGGTATGTGATTTAACAAAAAAATTAAAGGGAAGTATTTTAAAAATGCAGAGACGCCATACACTTCACAATTGCACAGTTTACGTCACTCTCTTTCCTTGTAATTCTTGTACCAAACTTCTAATCCAGGTAATTTATTTCCTATTACATTTTCTCATTTATAACTCACATTTTAGTCTCGAGTCAAGCGAATAGTCTACTATGAAGATCGTGATACTTGGCAATATGTTGCTTCGAAAAAGATGCTTGATATGGCCGGAATCAAGTATGATCAATACATTCCAAGAAATGAAACAGAAATTATTAAATTATAATCTAAACGTACATTATATTTGTTGCTCACTTGTATAGTACACTGCACGTTGGAAAATGGATGACAAGGGGATCTGCGGTCCCTAGATCCACTTTTGATCCATACTTCATCAATGTTTCATCATTGTTCGTCCAATTTTCAAAAGTGGACGAAATTGTTCAAAATTGAATGTTCTGCGACAGATCCCCTTTTCATCAATTTTTCAAGGTGCAGCGATTTAAGCCAAAACTTGCTTTCTACCGTTTATACTCACGTTATGATAGTATTTTGAAAATGAACTTACGTGTTTTAACATTATTTGTACTTCTCGTGTTTAATTGTATCTTTTAAATAATAAAATTATTAGCAAATCTTTGAAATATTGGTTGAAAATTCATATTGTTTTGATTTAAATATTAGGCGCCTGTGTACGATTTTAACAATGTGATAAAAATAGGCAAAAAAGTTTAACGATGTACAAATTCCCTGTTTCTCCTGTTAAAAAAAAGGGTGAGGAAAAACTATTCGAAAACACTGCAGAAATGAATGAAAAAATTTTGAAACAATTTTATTGTGAAATTAATAAAATGAAAAAAAACGAAACGTTTAAGCTTTTCGCAAAACATAGCATGCGAATGCCTCGGCTTTGACGAAGCAATGTTCGCGATTCTCGCCGTCGAGTGGTGAGATTCCTTGTTCGCCGCAAGCGACGTAGAATTCACCGCTGACGAGTCTCGATTTAACACGCGATGCCAGTTTTTGCATCGACGATTCCGGATCATCAGTGATGCTCTGAAATTGAGTTTTTCTCCAACTCAACGGCTTCGATATCAAATTACCTGAATAATGAGTTTGCGAAGTCTGACCGAATTACACACTGGATCCTCGGTATTCGTAGCTCCTTTCGAAAAACGACGATTGCGGAAGCCTTGGTTTCCTCCCTCGTATTCTTCAATGTCTTCTTGAGCTTCATCATTGTTGGCACCCGATGGGGCTGGTGCAGCAGCAGCTCCTCCTCCACCTCCTGAGTAGGTTGGAGCTGGCGCTGGTGGTGGTGGTGGGGGTGGCGGTGGAGGTGGCGGCGGTGGTGGTGGTGGAGGTGGCGCGGCAGCTTCTGGAGCTGATCCTCCTCCCGAATAGTTCGATCCTCCGGTTGGCGCTGAGGCAGATCCTCCACCACCAGAGTAATCGCTTCCGCCGCTTTCTGGTGCTGCTGGTGCAGGGGCCGGAGCAGCCTCGGCACCTCCACCTGAATATCCGCTTCCGCCACTTGGAGCCGGAGCTGATTCTCCTCCTCCAGAATATCCTCCTCCACTGCTTGGAGCTGGAGCAGCTTCAGCACCGCCTCCAGAATATCCTCCTCCACCGCTTGGAGCTGGAGCAGCTTCAGCACCGCCTCCAGAATATCCTCCTCCACCGCTTGGAGCTGGAGCAGCTTCAGCACCGCCTCCAGAATATCCTCCTCCACTGCTTGGAGCTGGAGCAGCTTCAGCACCGCTTCCAGAATATCCTCCTCCACCGCTTGGAGCTGGAGCAGCTTCAGCACCTCCTCCAGAATATCCTCCTCCACTGCTTGGAGCTGGAGCAGCTTCAGCACCGCTTCCAGAATATCCTCCTCCACCGCTTGGAGCTGGAGCAGCTTCAGCACCGCCTCCAGAATATCCTCCTCCACTGCTTGGAGCTGGAGCAGCTTCAGCACCGCTTCCAGAATATCCTCCTCCACTGCTTGGAGCTGGAGCAGCTTCAGCACCTCCTCCAGAATATCCTCCTCCACCGCTTGGAGCTGGAGCAGCTTCAGCACCGCCTCCAGAATATCCTCCTCCACTGCTTGGAGCTGGAGCAGCTTCAGCACCGCTTCCAGAATATCCTCCTCCACTGCTTGGAGCTGGAGCAGCTTCAGCACCGCCTCCAGAATATCCTCCTCCACCGCTTGGAGCTGGAGCAGCTTCAGCACCGCCTCCAGAATATCCTCCTCCACCGCTTGGAGCTGGAGCAGCTTCAGCACCTCCTCCAGAATATCCTCCTCCACCGCTTGGAGCTGGAGCAGCTTCAGCACCGCCTCCAGAGTATCCGCCTCCACCTCCGCTGCTCTAGAATAAAAATGAATGAGAACTCGTTTTGTGATTCAGGAGGCGTCCGTGTGGTGTTTTTTTTTCTGATCCATGAGCTTCACAAAAGTTAATAACATTGAAATCGACATGTTATTTTCGGTGCCAATCAGCTTCAATGGCAAATGCATTTCCATGTTCTTTTCCAGTTTACGTCGAAATTTCTAGAATTCCGAGATCTCTGATGTTTGTTTGTTTGTTGTTGTTTGATTCTTTCAGTTAGCAACGACATTCACATTGAAAACATTTATGTACAGGACACAAGTTGTTGGGGGGACATGAGAGAGAAAGAGAGAAAATTGAATCATGCGACACACTAATGTAAAGATTAGACCACAACTAGCTCTCGGAAACATTCTATCGGGATTTGAAGCGCAAGAATCGCGCGCTCGGATATGAGCTACCACCACCGGAAGCGCCTCCCGAATACGATGATCCGGTGGAGCAGCTGCCGAGTATCCGCCTGAATCGACAATCATTCGAACATTCTCAAATCTGTTACAATTACCTCCTCCGCCTCCTCCAGCATATCCTCCTCCGCCGCCTCCTCCTGTCGAGTATCCTCCTCCGCCTCCAGATGGGTATCCTCCTCCGCCCCCTGATGGGTATCCGCCTCCACCTAAAAATCGGGTTATATTAAATTGATTCAAATGTGCTTGAATGCGAACCGCCGGTGGCGTATCCTCCGCTTGGTGGTGGTGGTGGTGCAGCATAAGATGAAGCTGGAGCGGTGGCGTATCCTCCACCGCCGCCTCCTCTTCCGCAACCTCCTCCTCCGGATGGGGCAACCGCGTAACCGCCGCCGCCACTTCCTCCTCCTCCTCCTCCGCATCCTCCACCGCCTCCTCCACATCCGCCGCCGCCTCCGCCGCCGCAGCCTCCACCGCCTCCTCCACATCCTCCTCCACATCCTCCGCCTCCTCCGCCACATCCTCCGCATCCACCACCGCAGCCTCCGCCGCCTCCGCCGCATCCACCACCGCAGCCTCCGCCGCCTCCTCCGCATCCTCCTCCACATCCTCCGCCACCGCCGCCGCCGCATCCTCCGCCGCAGCCGCCACCACCGCCTCCACATCCTCCACCACACGGTGCTGGTGGTGGTGGTGGTGGTGCACATCCACCGCCGCACGATGGCGCTGCTGGTGGCGCACATCCGCAACCTCCACCGCCTCCACTCATTGGGAAGAGAAACGTGGAGGCTTGCAAACAGAGTATAAGTAATATAAGCGGTTGGAGATAGGAAACCATCTGCAACGAACAGAATATTGCAAGAAAAAATAAAATAAAGATGGCGCAATCGAATGCAAAAAACAATCGAAAAAGGAAATAACAAACAAAATGTGGTAAATGAGTGGATTTGATATTCGCTTATTGGTAATCGTTTCTTATATATAGCACTTGAAGAACAAGATGTCGCGCCACCCCCCATTTCGTTCTGGTTCTTGCCATAAGCCCCCAACTATATTCTTCTCTGTTTGTTATCACTTGTTGGAAGTAAAACGGCATCATTCAGCGTTACCAGTTATAAACGAAACGAAATCGTCTGTCCGATCGTTTCATTCATTGGCAAAACATCGAAATTCGACTCGGCATCTTATTAATTATGATGTTTATCAATGTCCGTACGTTTCGTTGAATTTATTGTCGAATCGGATTCGCCGTGAAGCGGCTTTTCGAAACCAACGATATCGTTGAAATCAATTTAGTCGTGAGAAAAAAAACTCGGAAAAGTTCTCCAGCAAGATTCTCTGAAATTCGACTTCCAGATTTTCAGATAGCCGACATTTTTAATTAATAATATATTCTGTGATTAATTTAATTTCAGTTAGAAGCGCAAAATATGAATAATAAAAATAATAGGTGTTCTAAACATAAAATCGAATGTGTCTGCTCAAATTTTCGGCAAATCGCAATCTTGGCTTGGATTTATTCTAATAAAAAAGGTGCGCAAAAGCGAAAACGTCAAAAAAGCAACGATTTCCGCTTTCGTCCTCACTTATATACTTCTTCTTCCATTCAGTAAAAACTTTACAGCCCATTTTAGAGCTCCCCTATAAGGGGTTAATGATCCGTCTCGCATGCGGTCTCGTTCCAAGATTTAAGATTGTCATAAAAATGGGAATATTGCGTGTTAGTCACAGTTCTCGAGAGAATGATATTCGAACAGATCCCAATTGTTTACTGTATCCGCCAATTGAGTCGTCGTTCGTGCCATTCTTTACAGTAGCTTAGCTTGGCGGACGGGCGGCCGCGCGCGCGGCGATGACGCAACACACGTGCCGCGCTAACTCGTTTTGCTTTATTTTTTGTTTCCTATTTACATGATGTTCTGTTTTGATCTGTCTCGCTGTCGATGCTTCGAATTATTAAATAAATTTATTTGCAAAGCCCACATGATTTGGCGCACGTCTTCCGAATCGCTTCGCGATTGTAGCGCGAGCAGAAGCCTTGCGTTTTCCACGACGAACACCTGAACATTCTCGACATTGTTTCACAAAAAAAAAAAATCTCGAAATTGACAAAACTGATTTGTTTCGTTCGGATTGTCTTACATTTTGTTGGAATCCTCGCAGACGTCGCACGAATTGCACGTTTTCGCGCAGAGCCGATGAAGCAGAGGAGCATATTGCGGATGCGAGCATTTGTCGAGATTCGCTCGGCAATCTGTCGCAAGATCGGCGCAAGCTGAATCCAGAACTCAATCGTTCGCATTTTAAGATTGAAACTGACTTCCTGCGATTGTGCCATTCGTCGGGCATCGATTGCAAGTTGATGGGCATTCGGCAGTTAGAAGATCATAATAATCAACTGTGTTGCAAAATTTCTGAACACTGATTGTCCTAGTCGATTTGATTAAGAATTACCGCCATTGCCGAGCACACATCTGGAGAGTTCACATCATTGCAAAGATTCGCATTCTTCCGATTGCACTTTCCGCAAGTCGACGGGCATTTCTCCTTGCAAGAAACAACTGACCTATTAGAAATTGATTTTTTTTTGAATTACTTTCATAAAATCCTTGAATTTCGCCGATTCGCATTGAGTTATTAGAGCGGTGCAATTGAGAACGGATTCTGGCTGAGGATTCGTGCACTTGTACGAATCACAAGCATTACAAGTGACTAAACAATTCTGAAAAGAGAAGAGAAATAAAAAGTGTGGCTTTGAGTTCCTGGAAGGCGATTGAAAACTCTTCGAGACTCACTGCGAGCATCGGCTGATATGTCGGACTATAGCAAGTGGCTTGATCTTCGAAAATGCTCGCGCACCTCGATTCCCTCGTCATCGTGTCGCAGTTTTCAGCGGCAATCGCAAAAATTGCGATCAATCGAATACAGTAGGCCAGAAGCAGCAGCATTATGATATAATCGCCGCCAAATTTCGCGTGTCGATTCCAATTTATAGGCGCGACATTTTTCGAGCACAACAACTGCTCAAACAAATCGCCTTGTTTTTCTTTTTCGTACCAACTTTTGTTGTTTCCTTTGTTGTTTTTCGGTCAAACAATGATCTCTCAAAAATTTTTGTGTATTTCGTGCAATCGTCATATTCGCTTTTATTGTCGCAATTAAATGCTTATCAACCAAATTCAGCCACGTCGGAGTTATCAGGCCGTTTTTCAAGGTGCGACACACCTGTTCAACATTGCTTGGTACTGCTAAAAAATTATGCTTCAACATGCTTTTCATTATATTTTTTCCTTAACTCAGATGAAGAAAAAATGAGGTTATTTTGAATTTTAATGAAAGAACCAACTGATTTTCCACTTTCACATCCACCTTCTCATCGCTAGTCATTTAATATCATATTATTTTACATAGTTCTATTTAAATGAATATTTAATTAATCGGTTTAAGGGGCACAAATTACCTGCTTCTCTCGCAGTTTGTTCATTTTTATGCTTTAAAATAAGCGCATTGAAAATGTGAATTTTTGACGAAAGACAAATCAGAGAAAATGTCGTTCATGATTGGTTGAATATTAAAAAATTTGAAAAAGAAACCACCGCGTAAACGCACATAACATCACTGTAAATCCACAATGTCCGCGTGAGACCTTTTTCAAGGCACATGCTCGTAAATCTACCCCCCCCCGGACATTAGTCGCCGGACGCCGCCTATATAACAGTATCAAATATTTCTCGGTAGATTCATTCGGGTCCCGCCCGAAGGGATAACGTCCGAATCTGAAGAAAACGAGTCATTCGATGGTATCGCGGATCCCGTGCCGTGGGCATCGGACCCAGCCGTCGTCGAGACACATCCGAGAGACATTCAGGCGGTTCCCGAATCTACCGAGACTTTTTTGTGCATAATTATTCATTGTCAACCTGCAATTAAATTTTTTCAAACTCTAAAATCTAATAATTTTCATTTGTTATCCATCTTCAAAGGCATTTATGATTTCTGGAATTGAAAAAATAATTATCTTGTTGAGTAAAAATTAAATAAAGGTGGAAATTGATTCGCAAAACCGATAAAAATTATTTGATAATGACATCAAAGAGTAATAAAGAATTATCTGATTGAGAAGAAATATACACATAATTATTGAAATACTCTTTTTGAACTGATTTTTAGTATAAATTCATTTTTTTGCTTGACAAAAACGAATGTCTCAACATGCTCTGTTTAAATATTTGCACTTTTTGTATCACTTATCATTTTTATGATTTTCTTTTGCAATTTTGTTTGGTGAATTCCACACCACATATTAATAGGTTTCAGTCGAGAATTTCAGAAATGCTGTTTCGTAGTCTCACTCTTCTTTGTGTCATTGCAATTTGCTACTCATCGTATAGTCCATTCCTTCCGACTCTTTCCGACTATTTGATGAGCAGAGATCAAGTCAAAAGGTTCAGATCCTCGTCTTTCCCATTATTCCATTCGATCTCAGATACTTCTTCACAGAATCGCGCGCCTACGTCGCCGGCACGTGCCCAAGTGTTCCATTTGCTTCTGCCCAATCTGGCTTCGCCTCGGGAGTCGGATTGCCAGCTGACACAACCTGGCGAAATGCTGATCTATTGACAAATGCGACGATCACGATGATCGACAGCGGAATCGACGGACTCGCAGCAGTCTGTGGGTTGGTTCCGACGGGTAGAATTACCTAATACGGAATTTCAGAATCCGACAGCAATTCGTTCAAACCCTCGGACAAGCCTATGACACATGTATTGATCGATTCTATCTCCTCAGCTTGGGTACTAGTTTAATTCGATAGTCGGTCACATGAAATGTTTTAGGAGGTAGCGACTTCTGGAATATTATGACTTACACACATCTCATGAAGCACTTGGAATTCATTTGCAGCACAGGATTTGATGGTTGAAAAAAGAATGAAATTGACACAAACATCAATTTTCATTTAGTCTATCAACGCAACATTGATTGCATTCGTAAGGGAGAGACCACCGACGGAAATCTGTACAAGGCGTGCTTCTACAAATTCAACCGCACCGTCGAAACAAATCCGAACAGATTCTGCGAGTATATTTTAGTCGTACGCGATTCCAGCGAATTTCCTTTTATTTGTAGCGCCACTGAAACATTCGTGACCTGCATCAAGGATTTCTTCACGGAGGAATGCAATCCGTGGGTTGGATGGATGCAATGCGAATTGGAACGCGTCGGATTCGCCTATGATTGCTTCAATATTTACTGTTAAATTGTTGATTTATATTCTCTGAAATACATTAATATACGTTGGGGCAAACATTTAGACATGAAATTGCACGGGGGGATATCAAATAAATAGGTAAACGCCAAATTTGCGCTTGCCGAATGGGAACCAAACGTATCAGACTAACGAGAGAAATAATCGCTGAAAACAAAAGAACTGTCTTAAAATCGTAATTTGAAGCTCCATTTTAATGAAAGTCAGCTTTTTTGGAAAATATTTTGAAACCCATTTCTCATTCGACACCACGTTGGCCCCATTTGGCATTCGCCAATTAATAATGTAGTTGTTAGGCGGCCTTGTGCTCATCTTGAGGATGATGATCGTAATCATAATCCGTGTGCACGAATGCGCGTTCAACCTCTGGGAAAGACTCAATATTAGTTTGAAGTGATTCGGCAATATCGTGAGATTGTTTCAGCGGCATTTTTTCGTCCAACACTATGTGAACCTGAATGCAGGTACGAATGGAATTCATTTCGAATTAAAAACTTACCTCGACTAAAAATTTGGTACCGTAATGATATACATAAACTGTGTCTATATGCGTGATCCGTTCATCATGATCCATACATACCTAAAATAACAGTTTTATATTTATTTACGCATTCGAAATTACCTTAATAATTCTATTAATAAAATCGGGATCCGCCGATTTTCCACTTAACATCACAATATGTCGCATGCCAGTTTTTATCCATGTGTATAAAATGTATATCGACACAATAATTGCTCCAATAGAATCCATGTAGAACCAATACCTTAAAACGTAAAATAAAATCATAAATTCATAAATTTCAATGAATTACCGGTTTGCAATCCAAGCGCAAAGGAGAGCTACTGAATTTGAAATACAATCGTTCCGATGATCCATTGCGAGGACATTGATGGAAGAATTTTCTTTGTATCTAAAAATTTTCAGTTTTTCTAAATATTTATTTTTCCTTACTTTTGGCATACAATAAACAGCAAAATTTTAATGAAAATCGTGGTCAACATGATGCCAATTGTTGTATATGAAACATCGATCGTCGGCTCTTCTCCGATTCCATGGGTGTAATAATCGTAAGCAGTTTGTATGCGTTTTATCGATTGAATGATCAACTGAACGCTCGCCATTCCCATGATCACACTTATAAGTATCAGTGCGAGCGGTTCCAGGCGGGTCCGACCTCGTGGATATAAATAAGGGTCTCTTTTACGAATCATCCTTGTGGAAATCGAAAGAACGAGCCCTGAAGTGATGTCGACGATTGAGTCAACCATCGAAGATATGATTGACATTGAACCAGAAAGCCACGAAGCGGTGATCTACAATGGAATTCAATAATTATTCATTAGTTTCATCTTAATAAATACCTTGGCAATCATTAGTGAAAAGTTGACAAACAGTGTTATATTGGCTAATCGACCAGCAGCTTTATTAGCTTTTTCTTCGGTTTTCTTGTCATTTTCATGTTTTTCACTGAAAAATCGAGAGTTGTGTGATTTCCAATATCAGAGTTTACAGAAGGGATTGTCTAGAGTCTAAAGACGAATCATCAGCATTTTGGCTCTTCTCAATGTCGTTTAAAGCTTCTCTCTGAAAATCAATCAATATTTTTTTTAAGTCAAATATAAAATTGTTACCGCAGACGACGATATCTTTGTTTTCTTTTCGTCATGATACGCTTCTCTACTCCAGCTTTCGCTCTTCCGTCGTTTTCGCGATTTTGCGTGGTTTGCGGCCTGACAGTTTTCAAAGTGTTGTTTCATTTATAGCAATATTCCTTACTTCGATCAATTTGCTGTCCTTCTCGAAATAATGAAGAAGCTCATTTTGATCTTTATAGTACTTAGAAATCCGTCTGCTAGGTTTTGACTGCAAAAATAACAAATTCGGTAAATTCGGAATATTTTTTACATTTTCTAAGAACAGTTTTTCATCGATATGGGTCGTTGTTGAGGCACTTTCGTTTAGATCTTCTGAAATGGGCCTGAAAATAATTTTTAAAAATCATATTATGATCATTTTGGGAAAAAAACGCACTCTTTCTCCTTAGAAGGCGAAGAGCTCATTTATCTACCTACAATATTTGTATTATTTCTTTTAAAATTGTCACAAAAATGCTTGATATGAAGGAAACGTCCAAAAATTTAAAAAATCCATACTAATGAAAATTACAGTACTCAAATTCCCTGAAGGACTTTTCATATTTTTGTAATGCTCCTATGAATTTACTGTAATTTAAAATTCATTTTGATTTTATTTATGATTGTTTTCATTTCGTCTCTTTTCACAGAGAAATTTTTAAACAACCTTTATGTTCATAAAATTAAATCAGCTAATTTTTTGTACTTGAGATTGAGCAAGCCCATTCTTAACAAAACTGTATACATTTCGAATATGAAATATGAAATTTGAATTCTATTTTTGAAATTATATTGAGTATGTTGAATAACGTAAAGAACTGACATGAATAAAAATTTAACATGCGAATTTATTAGAAATCACAAAATGGAAATGAGATTAGATCCGTCGGCTAAATATGCGTTTTTCGTGACGCAATGAAAAGGCAGCATCGAATATTGGGTTCTCCATACTGTATGTGCACAGGCAAGTTTGTCCCATCCATCTAAATTCCATCTAATTCAAGTTGGCTTTTCTATTGCTGTTAACTACCTGAACTGTTTGTTTCGTAAAATGCATAAGGGAATACTTCCAGGAAAGCAAAATTGGCAGATCTGCGAATTTCAATTATTACGTTCGTAATACACGATTTACGGGGAGTTTGATTTTTAGGTTATCCCTAGTACGGTTCCCGTATTTTAAATTGAATGTTGCGGTTTGACATTCGAACTGTCAAACCGCAAAAAACGGTAGTCCACAATGATGTTCGAGTAGCTCATTGTTTGTGATGGTAATCTTAGGTCTGTGCAAGAAAAATGCAGGATTTCGTGGTTGTCTCAATTAATAAATCATGTTTTAAGCTGAGTTATGCTAGCTTAAACTTAATGTTTAAAATTCTACACCTATTTTGCGCAGACCTATCAGAATGTCTAGCGAAATCACAAGCTCTTACATTTTCGCATGGTATCAGAACATTGAGTTTTTCCAAAACTGGTGTGAATTCAGTCTCATTGCACAAATGTGAAGGAAGAAGTTGATTAGCAGCGCTGCGGACCATCTCCCTTCGTTTCGCATAATCGACGCCATCGTACCACGGCGTCGAGGTGTCATCGTCAAGCGACATCAAAGCCTGCGCTTGTCGCTGTTGATCGATTTTTCTCGTAGTCAGTTTGGCTGAAATCGGTTAATAGCAGCACGAATTCTACGAAGAAGCTGGAATACCGGTGGAGCTCGCTGCGATTGTTCGACAATCATCTTCAGTTGGATAAACGTTTCTCGACCTATAACATAATTAAACGATCCAACGCATCCTTCCGACGATTATACTCACGAGATTGAGGCAACAAGACACAAAATTGGGAAAAACGCGAGGAGAAGCATCGTCGGAGCTCGTAAATGAGTGACTAGAATTAGGGTGGCGACCGCTGAATAATGTGGGCGGAGACTTACGAAGAGTACAAATTGACAAAATTTATTTCAAACAGACACGGTAATAATAATAATAATAATAAATAAAACGTCGCGAGATATTAAGAAATGAAGAAGCATGAGTAAAAAATAATTAAGTGAAATAAAAATTGATATGAGCGCGAGAAGCGTGAGACTTAGAATTTCGAATCGAGAAGATCTTCATCAAGTTCGTCAATGTCGCGTATTTCGAGATTCTGAAAACGAATGAGATGGTGAAAAAAAAACATTGGAGATGCTACCTTGGTGAGCTGGAACTCATTCACAATGAAATTGCGACTTCCAGCATACATCATTTGAAGCTCGGGGCTGCTTCCTGAAGGTTGATAATAGAAATATAGCAAATGCGTATTGGCGACGACGCGGGACAGCAGAAGATTAGCTCAATGCCAAAAAATTTTAAAGGGTCTCGATACACGGTGTGCGCCTTTAACCTATCCTTATACTTCGGCCAGTAAATGTACACTTTCAATTTTGCGCTAAGACCACTTTCATTATTTTTCTTTTGGCATTTAGCCAATTTGCGGCAGTCGCCGGAAATATAAATATATAGTCAGTCAATTGAAAGCGCGTGAACAATGAATAGTCGAAAGCGTGAGATCTTCGGGCCAAAAAAAAACGAAGAAGCATACCAAATAATATTCTGTTTTTTTTTTCGCGTAAAGTGAGTCCTATTTACCTGTTGGACAAAAGTAGATCAAAGAAAGAGGATACGAGCTACGATTGTCGTCGTGCTTTTTGCACCAACTGAGGAGAACAAATCGCGGTTGCTGAGATGGCAACTCGTCCCTCACTTCGGCCAAATTGCAGTCCTGCAAACGGCGAATCAAGTTTGGTTTCTTTCATGAATGAAGTATTATATTTTATAAAATATCGCAAGTTTGGTAGTTGTTTGAGTCGCCACCTCGTTTTTCGCAATTATTGTCGCGTTCAATTCGATGCAAATTTTATTCAACGATGCCAAAATATTGTGCAGAATTTCGAATAACTTGACCATTAATTACTTAATTACCTCCATTCTTTCCTCAATGCTCAATTCATGTTGCTCTCTCGATATTTTCACTGTAAATTGAATAATTCCTCGCTGAATATTCTCGTAAACCCACAAATCAATGCGTTCATGCATGTCGATTTCGAGAATCGAAATTTTTTGAATTCCGCTCTCAATTCATCCGGTATTGAGCAAATTCCCAACGCGGAGGTCTGAAAAATCGCAAATCCATGATTGTATTATGTTATTCTCTTTTTGTGTGCACTTTTTGTATGAAATCCCTACAATTTTTGAACGCATTGGGATTCGAGAATAACTAAAACAAATTTCTGTTCGTCACACGTACAGACGAATTTTCGTCAAAAAATTCAAAAACCGCACATTACGCCGAATGACACTAATTTCGTCATTCGAATTTGATCCAACGACCTCATTTTCTTACCATATTCCCAGATTCGAGGCCCTAAAACGTGAAAATCTTACAAATAATTCAACCAAAATTAAGAAGATAACCAATGAGAATTGAAACATTTCTAAAAATGAAATCATCATATTAAATAGTATAAATTTATTCACACGGTTTGTACATGGCAATGGTGAGAGAATTTATAGAATAAAGCTTGAATGAAAGCGATTAGTATTGATTGAAATTGTACTTATTTGAAATATTCAACTTGAATGAAATTAAAACTCAAAAAAAAAGTGACTCAATTATGTGAGAACAAGTTAAGAGTGGCCGGAGGACTTGGCTGAGTAATATTTGATGTGCCAGTAAGAAGATATGTGTATCCCATATGGCTGAACACTTCGTTGCAATACACACGTCCACCATGCATCACAACTTCGTGATGAGCTCCGGTTAGCGAGTACATTTCCGTGTCAGGAGCCGCTCGATACTGTATTGGCTGCGCGACCCATCTGAAAATATCCGTTTAATATCCTCAACAACATTGAGCAATGGCTTACTCGATTTTAGGGAATTGCTCGAAAGTAACATCGGTCTTGATTTCAGCAGTGTAAACGGCCATTCTACGAAGCGCACGATTTGCGACTGACAAATATGAACATGGGTTATCAACATTTGTTGGATAGAACCGGTTATCTGAAATGTTAAAAGCAAACGTGTGTGTGAAAATGATGAGTAATTGACATACGTAATTGCTGGACCATCTCCCGTATGAGCTGTTTCAACTCATAAATGTCAATATCATCGAGTTCGGCACCTTCCCATTGGATGCCCTCTTCACTTGCGACATCCATTCGGAATCCATTCATCGTCGGCACTTTCAGTTTGGTTCCAACAACACTTCGAATCTGCTGTTGATCGGCGAACACATTTGTTAGTTTGCATGCGATTCCCTCGCATTCAATTGATAAATCTCGCTGAGATTTGAATATATTCAGATATTTCTTCTTCAAAAAAAAAAACGTTTCAAAAATTTACATCAAATTCTCTTTCAAAATCTTCGATGGCGGCAATTCGTTCTTGAAGGCCTCTCTCAAGCTGAGACCGCATCGCATCGATGAATTTGATGCATCGTTTTTTGACTAAATCATAGCGCAAAGTTAATTCATTTTTGGTTATCTGAAAAAAAGAAACAATTAATAACAAAAATCAATGGATTGAAAATAATTATACCAATGAGCTGCGCAATTTTCCCAATGAAACTAATCGAATTGTGTTTTCATTTTGGATCACCGCCGTCTGCCAGAAGTTTCTATTCGGACAGGTATTATCGATTTCCATTCTTCTCGAATTCTTCTTCATATTCCACCAACGACCAATATTCTATAAAATTGAAAAAAGTGCGCCAATATTTGGAGTCCAATAATTACTTCAACTCGTTTCCATTTGAATCGTGCAAATTCCGGATAGGCATATGAAATGACCAGCGCACTTCCGTATTCATCTCGCATCATTTCTCCAACAATCAGGAGAAGACCATCCCTAATTTTCACTAATTTCGATTTTGCCTGATGCAAACTAAAACCATCATATTTATTCGAATTTTTTTTTCAGTTTTATTTTCCTACTTTGGAAAATACTGTTCGCGTGGATTGCTCAATTTATCATAATCATCAATGCTTCCGTAAAATGTGCGATTCTGATGCAATTTGACGTTGAACCATTTTTCAGTCACCAAATTTAGAAGAAAGAGATCCGAAGTGGAAAGTGGTTGCTAAAATAAAACCGACCGAATGAGAACTGTTTCAGAGAATTCGAAAATTCGGTCATACATTATCATACGTTGGTACCCGGTTTCCGCCATAGAGAATCATATAGTCGCCAGAGATAACAACCGAGTGTCCACATCGTTTCGGTCCCGGATTCTCGGTTCTCATCTGAAAATGGAAACGTCGCCCGTCGGTTCAAGCAGATTAATTGATAACAACAATGAGTGTGATAACAAAATCAGACGCTAGTCATATTTCAATATTTTGCGATTTTTCGCCCCCCACCTCTCTCCATGTATTCGCTTTCGGATTGTAGACAAACACGTCGTTAAATATTGGCACCGCTCCATCGTATCCATACTGCGATCCTCCGTATAGAACGAGCTCATCGTTCCACGAAATCAATGAAGCGTTGCATCGGGCTTCTGGGTACGGCGGCGATGGCACAATGACTCTCGACCATTTGAGCGTCGTCAAGTCGAATTTCCAAATGTCGTTGAACACGGCTCCCCTTCTTCGCGTCTCCGGCCATATGCCCGGATCTGCCAGCAGCGGCTCGCCGCCAAACAAGTAGATCGCCTTATCTGGAGGGTGATAAGCAATGGCTCCGGCTACTCGATCAGCTACCAATTCTTCGCTGTTGCCCTCAATACTTGTCGAGTGTAAACATCGATTCCTAGCAGTTTTTTGTTTCCAATTTCGTACAATTCCAATTATCTCACCATTTAAAATACTTCCGCCTCTCAAATTGGGTCTCCATCGTTTTGAGCTCAAGATCGCAAACACTTTGATAGAATGGAAATGCTTTCGTGAACGAGTCAATTTCAGGTTGTCTGAAAACTAGGTGGTGTTCATTGTGATCCCTCAAAATTTCACCAACCTTAGACTTGTGAGAATCCTTCTAATCACCGTCGACGGCAATCGGAGAAGGTGCTCCTCGTCGAACTCCATCTCCATCATTTTTCTGAAAATTCTACCAAATTCGTGTGAATGAATACGGAATTGAAGAACAAAATTGAAATTATGCATATTTGAAATATCAATCAGAAACCTCGTTAAGTTCTCTTCCCGCGTGCACTTAATATCGCTTCAGACCTGATAATGTGCTATCAGTCATTCACAATGACACCCTCAATTTCATTTTTGTTACGCTCTTTCAAAAAATAATCTTTAAATTTGTATTTGCATTTTTTTAGAATACCAAATAAGGTAATCAAACAAATATTTTGCATTTGATAAGATTCTTGCAGCTACTTTCGAATCGGCGCGATTTTTTGTTTAGATATCGCAGTTTTGATTACACCGACTACACTCCGTCAATATAATTTCAATTGTATTTCAGAATGACGGCTTCATATCCGGTTCTTGAAAATAATGTCCCGGAATCCTATCGGTAAGATTTTCACATTGAAATTTATATTTAATTTTCCAGACTAACTAATATAATTTTGATTTTTCTTTTGGTTTAACTATTTTTTTTAAATCTTGATCCAAACTAGGGAATTCAAATCTTCAAAAATCAGGCGAAATATAAAAATCAAAATTCTCAAATAATTGCGGTTTGATATATTGACCACTTCAGTCAACCGTGATTTGTCTATGCGATTTTCTCAATAATTTCTAATTTTCAGCGACAAAATTTTGAAATGGAACGGCTGGGGTTACACTGATTCGCAATTCACCATCAACAAGGATGGTCATGTCACTTTTACCGGTGACAAGTAAACTGCCTTTGTAAGCCAACTATTTATCATTATAATGTTTGAGGTATGATATTTCCGGAAAAGTAATGCCGCATTTCCGGCCATGGTTCGAGAACTATCTCGGTATCGATTTGAACTTCACAACGCCGGCTCAGAAGATGACTGACATGCAAATTGATCCACCAGTTGAGAACGACGACATTCTCGAGTTCCTTCAAGAGAAGAATCTCTCATTTTCAAATGCTCCCCGAGTTCGACTCATGAGAGGACACGGACACACAGTTCATGACATGGTCAACTTGCGAGAAGGCAGAATTCCACGTCTTCCGGACATTGTTGTGTGGCCGAAGTCGGAAACGGATATTGCGACGGTGAGAAACAAACAGCCCACTTATATTGTCTCGTAGATCATTGAAGGAGCAATGAGCAACAATTGCGCTATCATTCCAATTGGTGGCGGAACGTCCGTTTCAAACGCCTTAGAATGTCCGGAAACCGAGAAGCGTGCCGTCATTTCGATGGATATGGCGTTGCTCGACAAAATACTTTGGATCGATCGGGAGAATCTGACGTGTCGTGCCCAAGTTCGTTTCTTATCAGCGACCGGAATTGATTAGTGATTTATAGGCCGGAATTGTGGGTCAAAGTCTCGAGAAACAGTTGAACGCGAAAGGGTTCACATGTGGTCATGAGCCGGATTCGATTGAGTTCTCGACACTCGGAGGATGGGTCTCGACAAGAGCCAGTGGAATGAAAAAGAACAAGTGTGATATTCGACAACTTTCGATTCTACTTATTATTTCAGATATGGAAACATTGAAGATCTTGTGGTTCATATCAATTTCGTCACCCCAAAAGGAATTATTCAGAAACAATGTCAAGTTCCTAGAATCTCATCAGGACCTGATATTCATCAAGTGATTCTTGGATCAGAAGGAACCTTAGGAGTTGTCTCAGAGGCATGATTTATCACGATATTCCGAATAATTATGCGATTTAGGTGACAATCAAAATTTTCCCTCTTCCGGAAGTCAAGAGATATGGAAGTTTTGTGTTCCCAAACTTCGAGCACGGAGTTCAATTCTTCCGCGAAGTCGCCCGCCAACGCATTCAGCCCGCTTCGCTTCGCCTCATGGATAATGAGCAATTCGTAATGGGACAAGCATTGAAAGTCGAGTCTGATTCATGGTGGCATTCGATGAAGAGCTCGCTTAGCAAGATGTACATCACATCATGGAAGGGATTCAAGACAGACGAGATTTGTGCGGCGACGTGCGTCTACGAAGGAAGCAAAGAAGAAGTTAATGAGCACGAGAAACGACTTAACGCGCTCGCCGAGTCGTTCAATGGAGTTGTTGGCGGAGAAGAAAATGGACAGTACGGATACCGATTAACTTTTGCGATCGCCTATTTAAGAGTACTCCATTGTATAAGATTGCGATCAACATTGATTTCAGGATCTCGGAATGAATCATGGTGTTCTTGGAGAATCGTTCGAGACATCAGTCCCTTGGGATAAAGTGTTAACACTTTGCCGAAATGTGAAGGAATTAATGAGAAGAGAAGCCAAGAATCAAGGAGTCCAGCATCCAGTTCTAGCCAGTTGCAGGTTTGTCACTGTTGTTATCGGGCTTAATCACTCGATTCGAGACTTTCAGAGTGACACAAGTTTACGACGCCGGCGCATGCGTTTACTTTTATTTCGGATTTAATGCGCGCGGACTGGAAAACGGTCTTCAGGTTTATGATCGCATCGAGGTTCCATTCCATTCCATTTGTCTAATTCTAATTGATGTGCGATTTCTAGACGGCGGCTAGAGACGAGATCATCGCCTGTGGCGGCAGCATCTCACATCATCATGGTGTAGGAAAACTCAGAAAACAGTGGATGTTGACGACGAATGGAGCCGTCGGAATCGGATTATTGAAGGCTATCAAGGTAAGAAAAATAATGAAAATGAGGAGGCTGACAAAATATTTCCACTAAATTATATTGTGTTGAACTTCGAACAGCTTCTCGTCTAAATTTCATTTCCTTATTGGAACAATCCAAAGAAAATCGAAGATTATAAAAACGCGAGACTTGACGCCGATAAATCTCGTCATGAACCGACATGTTTTCAGAGTGAACTCGATCCGGCCAACATCTTCGCCAGCGCTAATCTCATCGATATTATCGGCTCGCCGCACTCAAAACTATAATCAACACTATTTGGTTCTATTCAAAAATATTGATAATTCACATTTTTGCGTGCATATGTATTTGCTCTTATCGCTATAAACCTATATCAAACGGATTACGATACCATGCGAATGTGTTTCGAAAAAAATATATATCTATATAAATACCATCGAGAAAAAAAAATGCGAAGTCAAAAACGAGACAGTGTCGAGAAACATGATAAATACGGAACTTGATTCTTGTCACAGATATCATCAGGCATCCAGCTGCTTTTCGCGCAATTTTATTGTGGAAAAAAGCGGCTAATGAAATCCGTCATCGCGATCGGCGACGACGGCGTCAGCTATTTGGCATGCGGTGCGCTTCTCTTCTCGGTCTGCTTCTGCTAATTTACGCAACAGGTGGCGCAACACCGATTATCATTGGTATAGTTTAACGAGAATTTACAATTTAAGGCAACGAGGCTCGCGGTGTCAAAAGATGGTCCAAAGAGAGACTTACATGGAAATTCGGTGACCCCTATCAATTATTATCAAACAGGCAGCAACTAGTTATAAGGTTCGTTCTTCTTTCATTCTGGAGAACTTACATCTTCCAATACATATTCTTTATGCAATATTCTTTCTATTTTTGGAATATTATCATTATCCAATTATTTTTTTTCCTTTTTGTCTTGCCTTTAAACATTGATTTTCTATAAAAATAAAAACTAAATTTTGAAAATCTGGTTACTTGATTTTATTTGTCAAAATAATTTTAGGAAATTCGTTGCAAACGCTTTTGACGAATGGTCGTCAGCTCTGGACGGAATTCTAGAATTGGAAGAGCACAAAGAAAACTTAAAAGAGCCTCCGGACATCAATGTATACTTCGCAAAACGGAATCATTCTTGCATTGAGGTATCAAATATAATTCGATTGAAAAGTAGAGATAATAAAGAAATGCATAAAAGCAGATAATCCGTGTGTTGACAAAAAATTTCATTTCGATGGATTAAATCTGAATTTATTGATTTCTCAATGTGTGCAAAACTGGGCATTCCTTGAGCAACTAGGCTACAAAAATTGATGTCAATCAAGCGAAGCCATAAAATCTTGAAGATAGAATGGGAGATCAAAGTGCAGCCGGAATGAAACGTACAAATTGCAGAACTTTGACGGGCGCGGCGGTATCGTCGCCCATTCGGCATACCCATCTGTCGGATTATTACACCTCGACGGAGATGAGTTATGGCACACCGGAGATTCACGAAAAGGAGATGTCGATTTACGATATGTACGTTTCTCATTTTCTAAACTATCGAGTGGAAAATATGGGACAAAATACAAAAAGACGATTTCTGGATGAAAAGTTATCTTAACGCACTCACGATAATATTGATAAGGATGAGGAACCGCGTTTGAAAATAAATTTAATTATAAGTTTAATATGCTGCGTAAAGCAAACAGAATAGGAAAATAGACTGCGAAATAAGGAAATTCTCATTCGAAGCAAATTGCTGGGTTGAAAAATAGAAAGAAGCCAATAGAGAACATAATTTAGAAACCTGAGATAAATGAAAATCAATCGAATTCGAAAATAATTTCATTTTCAATCGAAATCGAATATAAATTAATCTGTTTCGAATAATTCCAAAATTTCAATCGAATACGATTTAAAAATTGAAAATGAGAAAAAATCTATCTATTTCGGAGATTTTTTGAATCAAAACCAAGTTCATCGAATCAGGTTATTTTATACTTCGTTTTTCTTCGGATTCGATTGATTTTCCAGAAAGAAGCATTTTCAGGTATTAATTCACGAAATTGGTCATGTTCTGGGACTGCATCATTCAAAATTCAAAAAATCAGTGATGCGAAAAAATTACAGGTAAAAAGAGAATAGAAAAGTAGAATAAAAAAGAATTGAATTGTTGCAGGTCATCAAAAACGCAAAAACGATCATATCAATTATCAAAGTATGATATTCGATCAATACAAAAGCTTTACAAATTCAAATCGAAACACTTGAGAAAATATTTATTAGCATAATAAGAATATAACTAATAAATAACAAATTCAACAAAAAAAGTAAAACGAAAGAATAAAAAAAATCTAAAAACTACATAAATACAACAGTTGTCCTATTGAAAAACCCGATGTTTAATCTTGCGCAATGTTATCAAAAATCTGCCGGACCTGTTCATCTTCCTGCAATAATTCGTAGAATTTCTCAACTCGTGCTGATTCTGCTTCCGGCAATTCGATTGGATGCAAAGCACGGAACTCAACTTCAGATGAAAGAACTGCATATCTAAAAGTTTGAAAAGCTAGATTATTTAGAGCCTGAATACTCTAAAAATAATTACCCAGCTTTCGTTAATCCACTCTCAACGCTGTTCAAGCTCTTCGCTTCACACAACAACTCATATTTCTCGCTTCCATCCTCCTCAACCAATTCAACTTCTTCACAATCATTCTCAATTCCAGCTTCTTCTATCTGAACTTTAAAAATCGTTTAATTTTGATTTCATCTAGACAACTACCTGTTCCATCGGAATCTTTTTTCCATCCTTCACTGCGTCAACCGTAACAACTCCTTTCTCGGCAAACCATGTGCGAACTCCGCCATCGGCGGCCATTCGGAATCCTCCGACCTTATTGAAATATTTTCTTAAATCATTTTCCAATTGCTTCTTATTGGCCGTCTCCGCTTGAATTATGAAAAATGTTCCAGCGGGTCCGATAACATCGAAATTGTATTCAATTTCGGGACGGTCCTAAACAGAAACGAGACATTTCATCTCTTGGAGACTAACCAACCTTGAGCTTTTGCAAGAAATTCTTGAATGTGTCAAGTGGAAGTCCTTGAGCTCTGAATTCTTGTTCTAATCCAGCCAGTTCTCGATTCAATTTCAAATCGAATCCGCCTCGAGAAACTGCTCCGCGAACCTAAAATAATCGAATCGCTTTGACGAATAATACGAAAAAATTACTTTTCTCAAAAGGAAGTTGGTCGCCTTCGATTTGATCATATCATTTTTTCCTTTCGTCGCTTTGATGTTCTGCCACTTCGAATGCCCCTTCATGTCGGCCCCAGACACACTCAATGCTCGCGTCGCCGAATTGCACAACATCGGGGTTTTGATAAATTGGCTCGACGCGAAACGACAAATCGAAAACATCTGAGAAATAATAACAATTTCAAAAAACCAGAATATACGAGATGAAGATATAAATGGATCAGCCGAGTAAAATCGATCGAAATAATTGAACTACGGATAAAAAACAATTCATTGGTAAAAACAAGCGACAAAAAAACCAAATTGGGTGCTTAATAAAGGAATCAACAATAAATAAAAAAGAACCCGTCAAAATTTAAAACGAAAACATCGGAAAATAACAACAATTCGAAAATGTGAGTTTCAAGATACCTGTTAATAAAATGTTTGAGATTTTGGTAATTGAAAGAATTTTATAAGTTTAATCCACATATTCAACTACTCGCTCGAATTTTTTCATCGATTGCGAATCGAGCATTTCAGCATTCAACAATGATACACCAAGTTGATCTTCTTTGGTGAAAGGCTGCGCCATAAGGGTTAGCCATCTAGAATTTAATTTATATCAGTAATCATCTAATTTCGTTCGTCTTATATTCATGATATTCTTTAAAATATAAAACTGATCTGACCTTCTCGCCACGTGCGCAGCTTCATCAATACTTAAATTCGTCGAAGCAGATTCCAAATATTCCTGCATCCATCTCGGCAATTTTCCACGTTTGTCCTGTCGCGAAAATCGCTAAAAACACTTATTATTTTAACATAAAAACAAAAAAAAATAAAAACCTTGTCGGCAAAAATCATCAAACCGTAGTCGGTTTTCGATCGAAGCGCTCTTCCCATGCATTGTGCCGTGTGTCGCATCGCGTCAAACGTTAGAAAATCGTTTTCTTTGATTCCAAACTGATCGCGAAGATATTCTAGACGTGCACGCAAAATTCTGCTCTCGGTATACATATAAGGGATTCCAAGCATAATCACGCATCTTCCTGTAAAGAAACAAAGTAAATAGGAGAGAACGACAAAAATAATGACACCTAGATGATGACTGAAATCAATTCCCTCGGAAACCTTTCCGCGAGCCACTGAGAACAAACACGCACCGCGGCCGCTATCACAAGCTTCCACATATTTTTCAAGAGCCACCGATGTTTCCACAGCATCATTCGTCTCAATAAAAAGAAGTTTGTACTTCATGAGCTCATCAATGATATGCTAAACGCGATTGATAATTTCATATAATTTTAATGTGTAGTGTCATACCTGCTCGTACCAAACTCCAATCACATTTTCCATATAAAGATAGCTAGTGAAGAAGACAACCATCCCATCGGGCACCAATGAAGCCATTTCAAGAACAAGATTTCCATAATTCCTGATAACGGCAACATCAGCACGCTGCTCGAATCGTGATGTCATGGCGACTTGATCGTTGCCCCTAGCAACCACTAATGGGCTGAGGCATGGACGTGCCAATGTCATGGTGAATGAAGCCATAACACTCGGGTCAAAATCTAGAACTTTCGGATACATTTCCAATGGTGACAACGTTCCAGATGTGATGATAACCTTGAAAGTATAGATTGAAAAAAGACGACAGATGTACACTTTTCGAGTCTTACTGATTGAAATCGACTGATAACTGGCCGAATCGCAATCGAAGCATCATGACAAGATAGCGTGATAGTCGACGATTGACTGCCTTCTGCTGGCTCGATAATCAGCGAAAATCCTTTGGAATACGTGCTGACAAGTGTCGCGAGTGTGGCGACCTGCGACAACGCCCAAACATCCGAACCGTCAGCCAATTCTAGTGTCTTCACCAAGTTCGATAATCGCTCAGCGCAGAATCTCAACGGACGTCTTTCGATGCAAATTCGTTCGTTGATGTCTTTCACAAACGCCGCTGGACTTTCAATCAGCACCTGAATATTTTCCGATATTCGTTGACACGTCTTCAGCGCACCTGGTTCGTTCTCATACGATGTTTGACATACTCAATAAATCTCTTGAGAAAAAGGAGGAAATGGTTCGCTTGGCGAATGCTTCCAGGGATTGCTTCTTGTAGAATTTGGTCTGGTATCACAGGGTTTGCCAATCGTTCATCATTCGCGCGTTCCCGCTCCGTTCTTAATTATTAACTATTATTAATTATTAACTCAGCATATTAAAAAAAATTAATTGCGCATGTTTATATATATAAATTAAACAAATACAATAAGTGAATCTAAACGTACAAAACCAGAAACTGTTATTCTTAAAAGGCAAACCTTCGTAATCCTTCCACTAATCGATCATATTCCTGTTTCAGCTTTTCAGCGTTTCGATTTCGCATATGATGCACAATATTATCTAATTTGCCAAGCTCATTTGAAGCTCGTTCGACATTTTTCTAAAAATAAATAATTTGTATTTTAAGCTAAAATCGAGTAGGGTCGAAATACTTGCGTAATTGCAACAGACATCGATTCAATGCAAACATTGTCAATATTGTGGGCTTCATCAAAAACCACACAAGATCTGAAAAGCGAAAATTTGAAAAGCTCGACTAATCTAAATAACAACAACCTTCTGCTGAAATCTTTAGAAACTAATTCGGCGATTTTTGGATCCAAAATATAATGGTACGAGTAGACAACAATGTGTGCCTTGTTAATCGCGTGTCTTGATACGAAATACGGGCATATTTGTTTTTCTCTTCCCAATTTTCTCAAATCCTCCAAATTCCACACACCGTCCGGAATTGAAAAGTGTTGCGATTCGAGATTCTCGAAGAATTCGCACGACGGAATCGACGGATCTTCAATTCGCTTCGCTCTGACAAACGACGCGGTCAACTTCTGACAAGCGCCATCAACAGCGCTTCCTGAATGAATGAATAGCTAATCACGCAACAATTTATATCGATTACCATATCGCAGTTTAGAGACTTCGTCGTTGATGCACAAATTCTTTCTTGCCGACATCGCCACGGTGATTTTTGGCACTTTCTGGCCGGTCTCTTTCTCATAGTAATCATACAAAACTCGCATTTCCTCGACGCATTTTTCAATTTCGGGAATTGTTCGTGAGCAATATACCAGTTTATCTAAAATTTTTTAAATTTAAAAGACTTATTAAGCAATAAACTATCAACTTCTTTAATACTTACATTTTTTACGAATCAAGATTAGGTAAATTAGGTAAAAATTAATGGCAATATGCAGATTTTGGAAAAAAAAAACCATAAAACCCGCTCAAACTATTCTTTTTCCGCAAACTTCATCAATTTTTAGAACCATTAGGGTTTTTTTTCGACGGTCTGCATGATATCATACGCAACATGCAAGTTTCTAAGGATTACGGTAACAACATTTATAATATATATTCATAAAAAAATGTTTTGACAACATATAAAGACATACCTAGTTTTTCCGGATATTGCAGCATATAAGCTAGAACCAAACTAAGAAGCGATACGGTTTTTCCAGTACCGGATGGCATTTCGAGTAATCCGTGTCCCTAAAGTGTTAGTGTTTCCAGATTTTGAATCATTTTTTCCGTCAAACCTTGGCATCGAGCGCTTTTTTCACTTCTTGCATATACAAAACCTGTTCCGGATATACAAAGTCATAGGGGAAAAGGACTTTGAGCCCATCGATATCAAGCCTAAAATTTAAAAAATTGGGCATTTCGAAGTTTGCATTTTTTAGATTGCCGACGATAATAACTCACTTCATTCTACCCGAATTCTTCCTAAAACTAAAAGAAAAATTAATCTTCGGACACAAATGTTTGATAACTAAAAATATTATTCCGATTCATACGTAATCGAGTAAATGATCCATATTCTCGTTAAAAAAAGTAAGCTTGTTTAATTAAATATACATAATTTGGTAAATAAAATTTCATAGTACTGGCGGAGGAAATTGGAAAAGATGGTGCTAGAAAGGGGGAAATAATTAAAAAAAAAAAGAAAAGAAATATAGAAAACGTGACTACAAATTAAGAAATGGTGAACAAGAGATCTACAGGCACCGAAAAATGTTGACACTGATTGAATTCGGAAGACGAATTCTACAAAAGGAACAACAAAATCGATCCAAAATACAACGTGATAAAATGCAATAAGAAATTCCTAAGCGCATACAAATAAACATCATTTTTACATTACATTCTTCGGTCATCTCAATTCTAAAAAAAATATATTGATTCGATCAATTTTTCGATTATTCTACGATTATTTACAATATTTTCTCTATGAGCTTCTTCTTTTTCTTCTTGTCTTCGTTCATTTCGGCACTTGCAATTGTTCGTTTGGCGTCGACGGTTTCGCCATTTTCGGGCGTGGCTTATTCGCAAATAGCATATCACGAGAATAGTAGAAACCGCGATTCACCCAATGACCATATACACTAAACACTGAAGCTTCAGCTTCATGTCGAATCTGAAATATCAAAATGTACTTCATAACTACTTAATAGCATATTTTGATTACATCTCTATCACGGAATGGCCGTTTCCTAAGAACATCCCGATCGACCATGGTTTTGAGGTATTTGTATTTGGAGAGACGCAAGAAGAATCGGACCCAAATAATTGCCTAAAATCGAGTTTTCAATTGTTTCGCACTATTGCAAAAAATCATTTTTATTAAAACAAAGAACGGAAATTCTTCCTAAAATTCTAATAATCACCTGCTTGAAGCGTTTTTTCGCCTTCTCTCCAGTCTTTTTCGCCGTCGGAAGCTCAATGATCGGTACTTGGCCTTGTCCGGCAGGCTTCATCCATTCATGTTGCAAGCACTCTTTTGCTGTGATACGCTTTGCAACATCCACCACAAGTAATCGCGAAATCTAAACATTCGTATCGATTTTCATTGTTTGACAACCCAACGTACCAAATTTTTCGCCTCACTCGTAATATTTGACCAATGCTCACCACGAAACTCATATTTGCCCTGCTGAATAATCCTCAACATCATCAATTGCCTAGGAACGTTTTGTTTCAAATTGCAAAAAATCGAATAGAGGATACTTTCGATGATAGAAAGGAGCATAACCGCACAACAAGGTATAGAGAATAACTCCGAGGGCCCATTCGTCAACTTCAAATGAATAGCCTTCAGCGTCGTCGTACATTTGACAACGAATTGTCTCAGGCGCCAAATAACCTGGTGTTCCGCACAAATCTTAATGTTCAAAAAACGATTGATTGGAATTCAAACACGAAAACCGCGAAACCTCGCAATTTTTGTCCTTTTTGAAGTCGAGTGGCAAACCCAAAATCAGAAATAACGATTCTCTCATCGTCAATGCACAAAATGTTTTCAAGCTTCAAACAAAAATTAGATAGCGAGAAAATGCAACACGAATGGTTACCTTCAGATCGCGATGTACAATATTCTTGGAATGCATGAATTCAACTCCATCGAATAGTTGTCTCATCAATTTTCTCGCCCGTTTTTCTGATACCGTAACCGTCGAGTTCAACTGATCGAAAAGTTCACCGCGAGGCGCCATTTCGAACACAGCGAACAAAAATGAAGGAGTTTGATAGAAATCATGAATTTTAACTGAAAAAATTCAAGATTTAAAACATATTGTTCAGTTAATCGTTACTAATTGAAGGATGGCCGGCTAATTGACGAAGAATCTCGACTTCCGAAATCGTCTCATTCAAAAGTCGTTTAGCTTCGCTTTCGGTTTGTTTTTCAGTTGATATGTCGACAATTTTCACAGCGAATTGCATTCCACTTCCTTTTTCGATGCACCGCCGGACCGTTGAAGCCAGACCGCGTCCTAGTACCTAAATATATAATTTACGACTTCTTACATGTCTTTCTATGCATTACTTCTTTTGATTCATAAGCCGCATTGAAACCTTGTTCTTCGTGGTTGTCGAATTGAATATCATCTGTACCAAAAAAAATGTATTTAAAAAAATATTTGAGAAATCAAACCATTATCTTCATGATCCGTATCCACTACTTCAACGCCCATTTGGAAGCTAAAATTATTAGGAAACATTAATTGAAGATGAAATATTGCAATCGGAAATATAAAATCGATTCAATATGAAACGATGAATAATACTAATGAAAAAAACACGCATTAAAATAATTTTATGATAGATTTGATAACATGAAAAAGAATTGCATGAAAATCAACAAAACAGAGCAGAGCAGGTGTCAGGCATCGAAATCACCAGAGAAAAGAACAAGTAAAATGGAAAACGATTAAAAAAATTAATTCGTTAACAAAAACAACTACGGAAAACACAAGTCCTACGATGATGGGGGAATTGAGAAAAGAATAAGAAATCCTAAAAGGGTCGAGGAGAAACAGGCAGATCAAAAGCAAGAGTTGTGGGATGATTGGGAGAGGGGGGGGACTCGGCCGGATAATCAGACGAATTATTCAAATTATTCCTAAAACAAAAACAAGCAACGAGTTGGACGCAATAAAAAGGCCTATCTGAGAACCAACACGGAGAAATGTCTTGGAAACCGTTACGCGTTTGAGCATCGTCTTAATCACCGACACAATAATAATTAAACAAAAACAGAACATTAAAATGAGAAGCTAGCTAATATCAAACGCAAAAACTCATTTGAATTCGTGATGTTCGACTTTCACCTCGCTTGTCTTCGGCTTCACAAGACCGCCGCCAAATTCAATCGAGAGTGGATAAAGAGAATGGGCGACCTTTCTCAATTCCTCAATCTGAAATCAAAATGACTTAGTATACAACTCAGTTTGATAGTGAAATCAAACCTCTTGAGATGTCCACTTTCCGTAACGACCATAGTTGATTCCATCGCGGAGCTTGATGAGCATTTTGAGTGTTCTTCCGGTCACTCCTTCATCATTAGTCGATTTCAGAAGCCAACTCTTCATGGTCTTTTCCGCACCAGCTGGATCGTAAACAAACATTGCTTCGGCGTCTAAATAAATTCATATAGTCCAATGCAAATATATATGTGTGCAAAACTTACAAGCCATACGGTGGGCAAGAAGTTTCGAGTTTTCAAGATGATACTTTTCATTGAACTTCTTCGGATCAGTATCGTTTCCAAAAATCGCTTTCACAACACTCTCAGCAGTTTCCTTCACAAGCCCCGTGCACTGGCATTCCTTCCCTGAAATAGAAAATTGAATGCAAATCTTGCGATTATAATTAAGCTTACAATACAGCAAGAATTTAACCTTCTCAACATGCAACAGCGGATGATTTGACTCCTTCTTGTTTCCTTCATTCAGGCACTTCAGCGCCAAAAGCACCTTATTCTTCCTCCGGTAGACTTCCGCGCAAAGCGCATACCCAGTCACACCCTCGGTTCCAAGCATGTGCAAATGGTGAGCAAATTTAGCAGCTTCATCTAAAGGCTTGTCGGTTTTCAAAAGAGCCTCAGCATCAAATTGAGGTCCGCGAGTGATCGAATCGTCCTTTTGCTAAAACATATTCCATAATGTCATAAATATAGGCTAAATGCCAATAAAAAATGCCAGTTTTCTAGGTGTCAAATTGTCAGAATTTATTTACGGGTGGAACTTAAGGAAAAGTTAAAGGTGCACACCTCAAACCAAGACATCTTCTTATCTTTTTGGCATTTTGCCAATTTTCCACAGTCGCGCGACGTCGACATCATAAATATTGTATAATTACGTACCTCTTTCTCCTTTTCTTTTTTCTTCAATTCCTCCTCCTGCTCTTTTTGTTCTTTCTGCTTCTTCAGCTTCTTCTTCAGTTTCTTGATCTCATTTTCTGTCATTCCCTCTTTAATTAGACCATTTTCCTCATTCATATCCTGTGGTCTATCGAGCATTCGTAAATAAATCTAAATAAAAATCAAAACAATGCGGAAATCTCTCAACTCAATCACCTTGATAGCCAATTTCGCGGCGGCGTAGTAATAGTTGTTTTTTCTAATAACATCCTCCATTCGGAGCATTCGGATATACGCCGTCAGGGTCATTTTTCGCAAGCAATATGTATGGAAATCGTATTGATCTTCCAACATTGTCAAAAAGTGCTAAAAACCAAAATGCTAAAATTAATTTTTCCAAAATGCTTTTAAACATACGAATTCAACATGATGTGCTCTTTTGAGAGCATCACCGTACTTGTTCAGAGCTCGATGAGCTCTACCGCATTCGATTTCGTACCACATACACTGCATGTCGGTCAAACTGATTGAAGCCTTTTCTCCTTCCTAACATATATTTTTAATTAATGAAATATTGAATGGGATAATTACCCGCGTGAATTTAACCAGCATCTTTTCAGCATCATCAAGTCGTTTGGCTCGCAACATGTACTTGCCGCATTTGCTGTTGATGTAACGATCAGCAGTGTCAAGACTTTGAGCTTCATCCATGAGTCGGGCAGCCTCTTCATATTCACCAGCGTGCTGAACCAAGTTTAAAAACAAGGATGCCTACATCAATAGGAAATAAAAAACCTTGTAAATTCTCGCTTTAAGCATAAGATTTTCAACCAATGTTGGAGTATGTTGAATTGCTCGTTCGATATAATTCAAGGCCAATTGAATGTTTCCAATACGATCAAAATGTTGAGCAGCGAGAACGTAAAGCCAAAGAGCGGTTGATGGAGGCTCAATTTCATTATTATCTTAAAAAACATGCCTATTCGGTTAGCTTTAGAAGAATTTTCTTTACCATCCAAGGAAACATTATTATATCCCTCATCATCCATCTTCTTCACATATTCGTTAATAAGTGATTCGATGACTGCAACTTTATCGGGGAATTTGTAGAGCGGAAGGAGGCTCGCAAACAGACTCGGTGCACCTTTACGAAGCATCGGTGTCATCCAAGCATGCAGACGATTTCGTAACTGCTTGCCTTCAACAATGTAAAGGGCAAGACGGCGCGGCGCGAGTGCTCTCTTATGCTTTTCAGCGATATCGTCGAAGAGCTCAAGACGAGCTGCCTCGTCATCTGTAATAAACTCACTGCTCAATTTATATATCCGATTATAATATCTAAACCTTGCACTCCGGTGCACTCCACTAACTTCGTGTAATACTCAAGACAATCCGGATTTCTATCAATCAATTGCCGCCAGACATTCTCAGCTTGTCTCGGTTGATCGAGATCCATCAAAAGTTGGGCTAAGACAGAAAAATATTTTAAATCAATAAAACAATGTCGCACCTCGTGTTTCCATATAAACGGCACGGTCAACAATATGGGCCGCATTTTCTTCAAGCTTCTGGAGCGCTACGTCGATTTGACCGGATTCTCGTAGAATCATATTCTGGTACAAAACGAGCTCCGAATGCTCATAATCGTATCCAGTTGGCTGAAAGCATTCAAATAATTCATATATGGTATCAATACAGATACAGTATTGTTCTTGATGAACTCTCCCATGACAGCGAGAGCCTTGTCATACTCCTTGAGCAAATGATGAGCCGTGATATACCCGATCCAACATACTCGTTGGGTTTGGCGAAGTCTCAACAATTCATACCGCGTGGACAAATAACCTTCATAATCACGGAATTGAATTTGAAGCAAAGAAAGGTCGCGAAGGATTTGCAAGTTGTCCTTATCCAGCATCAAAGCCCGCTTGTATGCCTTAAAAGATTAAAAACAACGAAATGTAAAACCATTTATACACGATACCTTGATAGCCTCGTCAAACTTTTTCTCGGACCTCTGAAGAAGTCCATAAACATGCCAACACACGTACGAACCCAAATCCGATTTCAGCCCACGTTTCACGCATTCTTGAGCTTCGGCATGTTTGCCAATAGAATTTAAAATTAATCCTTTCATGGCAAGAGTTTCTTTAGATAATTGATCGTTAGATAGAGTCAATATGAATGATCAAACCTCCATGCTCGGAAAATTGGTTGTTTGACAAAATTTGCTTCGCAAACTTCAAACCCGCCTTATATTGTTTTTGCTCGTAACATTTCTGAAAGTCTACACATTGCAAACAAATAAATGTTAAATTATCAATTTCTCATGCAATGAACTATGTAGAAAATATAATACTTTGTTTTTTTAAGTGAAGGCAACAAATACAATAAATTAGACAAAATACTACAAATCAAAAAACGTACAACAATCTTTCTGAAGTATCCAAGTTCCTTTGACGGAAGTGGCTGATTACTCGACTGACCCGGTAGAGGTGACATTCTCGATTCCTTTTATTACCCCAACCTGAAAGAAGTGAAAAGTACACATATTTATCAAAAATAAATTATCTATATTTATGTGAATTAATGCTATTAAACAAAATAGAGAAATAAAACCGTTTAGAAAGACTAAAAATTGTACGTGCAAAGTTGAACGTACGGGCCCATTCTTTTGTCACCATCGCGAGAAAATCGTTATTAGGGAATGACAGTGAATGGTGAGAACAGTTAATTTGTAGTGTCAATCGGTACTAAATTCCGTTAAACGCAAGAATTGTCAAGTAAAAGTGCAAAGAGGCTCTAAAACCGACGGAGAAATGCAATGCCTAATTATTGCCGCAAACACCAACACGAGCAAATGCACACGAATTTTGTGTCTGCGTCTTTTCGTTTTGCACGCTATAACCAATATGTGTAAAATATTCTCATAATTCTTTGGATTTTCAGCTTATGTTGGCTGAAAGTTATCTTTTTCGCAAAAACAGATCCCAATGAGTTTACAGAAATTAGCTATAATTAGTTGATAGAAAAATTAGTTTAAAAAATCTGGATATTTGAGATTATTAGCATTATTCGTAATTTTTGGAACGTCTTGAAACCTACGTTTTTGTTACTTCAAAACTCGAAGAACCCGATTTGCTTTTGATTATTTTAACAAAATCAGATATTATTAGGAAAATAATAGCACTGCCGCCCGTTTCAATCAAGATATTCTCCAGTATTCACGCGCAACTCCAACTCAGGTCACGTTAATTGGAGAGATTTAAAATTGAATAAAGGGTATATTTTATGACATTTTACAAGAGGTTATTTGACAACTAAAGAAATGAGAAAGCACCGGATATTATTGGCTCGATTGTCAATCATGGGTACATGTTTTGGGACATAAACGAACAAAGGACATTTAACACGAAAAACGAGAATGTATGAAAAATAGAGTATTTGGTAGGAGGGAATGGATCAATAAATTCCTGATAATTGGTCATTTTGAAACAAAATTGGATCCAATAAAATGAAAAATTGAAGTAATAAAATTTTAATTTGATCAACTAAAACGCATCTGCCGAAGCTTCATTGCAGTAAAATGGAATTTCTCAAGGTCCGCATCATTAAGGGTCATCTCGCAAACCTGAAAGAGTTGAATGGTTTTGGGTGAAAAGAATGCTAATTAATTCAAAGAATATTAATTACTCACTTTCTCAACTAAAAATTCTTCGCTAGTAATCATTGGTGGCAAGTTTTTGAGTCGAGTGACGATGGAATGCAAATCGGGATAATCCTTGATTTGTTTTGGGGTCCCAATTCCATATTTCAGCAATACCAAAGCGACTTTAAATAGAATTTTCACGCCTAAAAAGTTGATATATGAAAAAAATGAATAGAATATGAATACCTTCACAAAGGAACATATCCCAAACACGAAGGACCGTCGGCCAGGGCAAAGATCGACAAAATATGCACATGAACCATTCTACCATATATAATATTGGATCTACATTATTCTTTTTCTAAAAAAAAGAAAACTTATTTGAAAATAATAGAATTTAGCTTACAAAATGCTTATAAGTAAGTTTGGATTTTTCTTTGAGCAATTTGTTTAGAATATCCCCATCCACCTGAACAGCTTCTAGTCCAGCACTATAGTAACCAGGAAGATATTTGTGACAAATTTGAACAAAACAATAGAAGGCGTCACTGAAAACAAAGCAAATCAACTAAAATGGTTATCTAATTTCGTACCGCACTGGCATATGCATGAGTAGAACTGCAGCAACTGGAGCCTGACCCTGACAGTACCCCTCTTCTGGGTGGAGAACGGTCCATGCCTTCAGCAAATTAAATAAATCATCTTTTCTGAATAAAACGTTTGAATTTTTCGATTGTTTGAATAAAATTTACCCTCCATCGCCATATTTTCCCTCACGCGCGAACATTTCGTGTTCAGGAAATTGTCTGTTCAAATCTTTTTGAATATCGTCAATCCATTTTGGATCGCCGGCTTGTTTAACGCAATACTGAAAGTAGGTATATTAAACAAATCACCGACATAAATGTGAATACTTCAAAAACAAAACGATTCGAAGAGACTTCCATTTGGTACATAGCTCCACATAAATATTTCCAAGCTCTTCCTCGTAACGATGGCGGAATCCCTTTTCGACATCGATTTCGAATCACCTCAAACCTATAAAAAAGCTAGAGAATCAATATGAATTTGATCTAAACTATTACCGTTCATCCATGAAATATCGCCAGTTATCAAGCATTTGTATCCATTTTTTCTCGCGTTTCCGTAATCGTTCGGGTTCTATTGCGTGTTCTTGTCTATAAATTACTAAATGATGTTTTCTTAATAAAAAATATACGCTCACAAAAATCCACCAGCACGATTCAAAAAGAAACCATATCGATCGGTTGAAGGTTGAGTATTTCCATTAAAACCATTTCGGATGACAGGTTCTTCGTCGACTTCCTCAATTGGACCAAAGTCATCCTCATCATCTGCAGTGCATGCGGATGTGCGACGAGATCCATGGTTTGACGACGTCTAGAATTTTTTTCATTTTCTAGCCGACATAGTATTTTCTAACTTCTCCTGGCCTCTCAGGCCTCTGAATCTCATAATTTTGCTCGTATTCTTCTTCATCTTCGCCCTCTTCTTCTATCCGTCCAGTTATGCATGGTGTTAAACTCTCTAAAACAAATTTATTTGCGATTTTTCTCCTACTTAAGTATAATTTCTAAAATCAAATCAAATATTTTTTCGGGAAGTACATAATTTGATTGATCGCGAAAAATTATGGGAAACACTATTTTTGCCTGGATTTATTTGATTTACGAGAAATTAGATATTCTCGGTGGACATTTTTTATACAAATTGAAATATTTGTTCCACTTTTTGGATATCGGGGGGCGCACGAAATTCAATTTGATTTTTTTGGAATTTTATACAATTAAAACTGTTCAGTGGCATTTAAAATCTGAATAGTAATATTGAAAACCGGTTTGATTTGAATTTTGAACAAATTTCTGCATAGCCAAAATGTTTTGAGTGAATATATGATTGACTTAAATTGTAAAATAATACCTCGAAATGTTTCAGGAGGGCATGAAACTGTCATTCGGTCATCATGAAACGAACTAGATGTTGTCGAGTATTCCATTGATCCACATCAATCCTATAAGAATTCACAAAGACCTGATGTCAATGACAATTGAATAATCAGCGGGAGAGTGGCCGCGGCAAAAGAGAACAACGAGAAAACGCAATATCGAGAAGGGAGAAGCGAAAAACCGGAAAACGGAGAGATAGACGGCTAACCATCGAGCGCGCAGGCAGTCAAACGCAATTTGTCAATTTGTTTTAATTTTCCCAAAATTTGTAAATATTCGCTGATGAGCTATGCACATTGCGATCCATTCAGCATTTTGTATAAAGCAGTCAAAAGTGTTCATTTAGACATAATTACAATCATCATATAAAGCTTGTACCCGGGCATGAGAACAATTATGTGAATACAATAAATTATGCGCAGTATAATGAATAAATGCTTGTAAAATAAATACAACATGAAAATGTAAAAGACGAAGTGAAGGAAAAATGTTGAAGGCGAACAAATAAATAGAAGGGAAAATGCAAAAAAAAAATTGGGAAAGGCAGCAGTAGAAGATGAAGTAATTCAACCGGAATATAATAATAACTGAAACGGGAAGAAGCGACGACAAGACTAGATGGAATTGGTTATTGGTGTTTCGGAACCGAACGGGGATTCGAAATAAGAAAATGGAGAAGCTGGTGATTGGGCATCGCTGGAATTGCACCAGAGCAGAATAAAGTTGGCGAGAAGATCGTGGCAAGATTCTCCACTGTCATTTTGTTCTTGGCACTATTTTCAGCAACCTATAATTGGTATATTTGATTCAAACGTTGTCCGTAAATACACGTGTTTCCTTTCAACAAAAAATAAGAAGCCGAATATCTGATAAGATACGAACAAACGTCCGTTGGCAAGACTTATTACGACAATTAAATAAATGATGATAAATTTTCTCTCGTAGAAGACTCGAGATGATATTGAACGACTTCGCAAATTTATTACGCTATATAAATCCGGGCAAAACATTTCTTATTCAGATTTTTTAAACAAAATTACCAACGTACCTTTTTCAGATGAGATAAGATGGCCCCAAGCGTAATAATATTGGCATCAGAGAGCTCTAGCATAGCTTTCCTGAAAGAAAAATCATGAGCATAGAAATTTTTCGATGATTCTGAAACCTTATCGCTCGAATACGGTCATGCACAGGCCTCATACTCGTCTCTGTGTAAACCGCTAGTAATTCTTTATGAACACTGAACGGAATCAATTGTTGGGGTAAAAGGCGAAAATAAGACTTCAAAAGTCCACAGACAGTGTGAATATCGGCAACCTGGAAGATTTAATAAGCGATGAGAAATTAAGAATATAGTTGTACCGCAGAAAGATCTACGCTCTGATTCGCATCATATTGAAGACGAAGCTTTTCGATATGCTCATATGAACCAGATACCCGGTAGATGCCTTCCACGTGCAATCCGCGACGTTCCACCTACAATATAAGTGCTAACGCTAAAAACCTTTCAATAGCGCCATATTCTTGGACATTAACAAGAATGTGTCAAACATATTAGTTATGAACCTATTTATGAAATGTAATGTTTTACAAAAAAATGTAAAAGGATTTATTTTTTCCAACTCTGCATTGAAAAGATGTGGAATTTTAAAAATTGCTTTATTACATGAGTAGTTCCATTAATATTATGAATAGTAACATGTCTTCTGACCGTCTTTTTTTCTTTAAATATCGTTTCATTATTAAGAAACATTAATTTTTACCCGATTCACTTGTTAGCGGGCTCAGTGAGCTCATTCAAAATGTATGACTAACCTCGGCAATGCATTGAGTTACCACCGGCGGTATATCGGTCCCGTGAGCAAGACAAAGCGTGGTGATGTCAACGGAAAACATGCGTTTGACGTATTTCGCTTCAGGCCGACAATCGTGAAGTGTCTTTTCGGAACATTTCTTATGAGCAGCGAACCCACAATCTTCGCATCTTTGGCCCTGAATTGGAAATCATAAAAACATTTTGACGATTCGAAAACGAATTGCACACCTGATGAACAAGACCCCACAAGAAATTTCTACAATAATCACAATAGTGCGGCGCTTTGAACGTATACGGCACGAAATTGTGAGCCCTGGTCACTGGTCTTCTTGCAATATCAGTCGTCGCACTTGTATATCGAGAGTATGGGCTAAAATAGAAAAAATAAATGAGTAAAAGGGAATACACGAACCTGTCCTCATAAATCGCTTCGTCTGCCATTCGTTTAATATAATCCGACGCGTGCAAATCAACATACATCGAAATCAGACCGTCAGCAACCAACAAGTCCATTGTGTCGAATCTTTTCTCTCCTACATAGTATGCACCGTCATAGTATAGCTACAAAATATGAAACAATGATCTTGTTTAAACATATCAACAAATTTGCGAAAATATTTTTAACAGTGTTGTCGCAGGATTTCCGCAGTTCGTTATGACTCACTTTGTAATTGAGAACTTTTTTGTCGAAGACCATGCAAAGTGTATAAGCATCTTTTGATCTTGTTGACTCACGGACAAGATATGCGCCTTCTCCAGCTTCTAGAAGCATTCTCTCTGCCTAAAATACAATTGAGAAAGTCGCTTTTTTGATTTTAATACCTCTGTTCTGTCAATAAGCCCATGAAACTCATTTCCATAATGTCGCGGGCGATTTTCGATGTGATGTTTGCAGAGGACCGCCTTCGGTTTTGGAGCCCGTTCTTGTAAAAGGTAGAGATTTTGCTTCCACGGTCCCATACCACCTAAAAAGTTAAATATTGCAATCGCAAAAAAGCACCCTGCGTTGATTTACGGTGAGTTTGACTAGCAGGATATCCGGAGTACGATACACGATTTTTTACTGTTTAAATGGGCGTTTGAATTACTGTTCCGAAAAAATATGATTATTCATAAATGCTCAGAGTGCTCGTTTCTTTCTATGTTAATTTTTTTTCTAATTGATAAATGAGATTGACTTACTTGAGTTTCCCGATGGCCCGTCTTCTTCCATGGTGGAAAAATCTGCAAAAAAATCCTTTAAATTGATAAAAAAATGACAATAATGAGGGCTTGAGATTTGGAAAACATCGAAAACTTAATTATGATAATTACAGTGCTAAGACGAATTAAACGATTTATCATGATATATCACAAAATACGTCCATTTGGTTGACTGCATTTTTTTTTTGAATGAGTCTATAGGTAAGATTTAAATAATAATTACGCGCTATTGAACAAAATATCGTGAGGTATTTAAAAAATTAAAATATCATGCTGAAATACCACATTAATCATTAATATTAGGCAAATTCGCAATTAAACCAATGCCATTCATCAAACTAATAATTAATCGTCTATTTTTCATAATTTTCTAGAAAGTAAATCGCGAAATTTTCAAATTTCACTGAAAAATATCGAATAATTGAATCTCATATGAATTACGTCAAATCTCGGGCACTATGCTGCGCGGAGTGTCGTACTCCTCCAAACCCGCCTTCGTGTAATGGATTGTTTTTATTGCAAAATGCACAGACTCATCATGAACACATTTTATTGGAAATAAAACATAGGTTTGACTCGTACGCAATCAAGACTTCAACATACAATACTAATCGTTCGCAGTAAAAGTAATGGGGTATCAAAAAAACGATATGCCGACAAAGTGCCGCAAACGAAATGCAAATATTGCAAAGAAAGTGGGTTTTTTTAATCCGAAAGATGATAATGATATAAAATATACATTTCACAATGTCCCAAACATTATTTTCATTAAGGACAGTGTAAATTTCGAGCTTTTTGATTCCAAATGACTGACAACATGTGATGATAAATGCAATTCATGAGTCAAAGTTCCAGAAACCTAATGACTTTAAAAAAAAAGTTGAATGCAATATGTTTGAGCAGCTGTTTTCTGGATCCCGACTTTAAAATGAATACAAAATCCCAGCGAAAAGGGTTTGGAAAGAAATGAAAATTGATTCAGTGGCTAATCACGGTCCTTCTTCTTTTCTTTCTCCATTCTTTCCTGTAATGTGTGCCACTGTACGACCGGCCGACGAGAAGTTAGCATCTCAGCCCACTGTTCGCTGCATGCATGAGTTATCTAAAAAAAACCACCAATCGTTTTTTTTTGGACCACGGATGTACCTGAGGAAGGTTAAGATACTTCGAGCCAATTGTGACCTCTCCGATAAAGTCATTTTTGCTCATTTTGTCATAATCCCAAACAGATATGATGAGATGGACTTTCTGCAAGAAAAAAGCTTAATACATTCGGCAGTTTAAGACGATTACATCAATCATGTGAGGTTCGACTTTGAATTGGAAGCTCTCGTTGTAATAGGGATTCAAAGTCTTATACTTTCGTGTCGTCTTCTTCTTATTGATCAGCTTACGGCCTTGGTGCAAATAGATTTTGACGTACGGATCTGGAATATGTATGGAATTATTAGGATGAGAGGATGTCAACTAATACCAGATGAACCGCCGACATCCATTTTCTTAAGATTTCTAGCTTCCATTATTGTCAATGTGATAGTTCCAGTGGCTGGACGATATCGAATAGAGAAGCAAATATCACCGAGGCGACATTCTTTCTGGAAGCAACCCCTTGATTATTTAGTTTAAAAACTCGCCAAAATATATATTTTTTATTGTTTTAGTATTGAATTGTCATGGTTTTCTTTCAAATTTGAGACTATTATTTAAAAATTCCGTTTTTATCGCATTATTCAATTTTTTCAATTCGCTTTGTAAACCCCCCAAATGAAATGCGTGAATGGCATGGCTCGCTCCAAGATGGATTCGCGTCGGAATTCGTCGTCGCGTCGCCGTGGCCACTAAATCAAACCGACAAAACGAATAACGTGACGTTTCGTTATTGTCGGAGCCGTCAATTTGGCTGGTCCATCCTTCCAATATTATGTATTTTTTTGCCTCGAATTCCTTCGTCGAACGAACAAAAACACGCGTATGTGTATTCACAATGGCTATAAATATAGGGTGACAGGAAACGTTTCGAATGCGTTTTCGTGCGCTCGGTTTCTATTTTCGAAATTCGCACAAAACAGCAACCCGTAGGCGGTTTGTGCACAATAAAATGTATTTTTTTGAAGTATGTGATCGTTTAACGATTTGCTCGGCAATATTGGACACAAAGAAGACAAGTTGCGGAAACAACAGAGTGATTGATATTGGGGGAAAAATGACAATGATTGCCTTCTCATTGCCTCTCTGGCAATTTTTTTTGAAAAGTCAATAGAATAAATAACAATTCAACAACGTGAATTATTGAAATAATTCCTTTAAATTTTTCGAAAGTGATCAATCAGTATTATTATTATTATTTTCCTATAAATCAATTTTCTGTGTAGTGACCAATTATCAATTTAATTATTTGTTTTAAATTTTTAATCGTATCAACTAATGAGCGATTATGCGGTGAGATTATAACTTCTTTGCAAATCTTTGAAAATTTGGATTTCTTGTTAGAAACTGTATTAAAGGGAAGAGATACAAAAACAGGAATCATTAAAGCATTTCGTTAATCCGGTGTTCATTGATTTCGATGGCGAAAAATCGTGAGTTCAAGAGAAGTTAAATATATTGACAGTATTATCAAAAAATAAAAGAAGTCAGTCGGAAACGATTAGAAATGATTCAATAATCAGATTTGAATTCATTTTTCCGCTATTACTCGCTCCATTTTCCGTTCACATCATTTCAAAGTTCACATTTTTCGTCTAACTCAAGACTATGACTAAACCATATTAGCATACATAATACATATTTTAGTATGCGAATATATCTTCTTTTTTCAATCCCTCTATTTATTTGCCTACAAAATAATGCATTGATTTTGCAATAAATCATCGGGGAAGTCAATTATCTCTAATGAAAGTGGACTTGAAATGATAAAATAGAAGATATCTTCGCTTTTTAATAAAATACTATTACTCGATGCACGGAACCAAAGTCGTCTAAAATTATCAAAATCTCGTAATTGGTATACTAACATATTTTATATGTTTCTTTTTTTTTTCGCAAAAACGCACTTTTTACTTGTTTCATTTAGGAAATCTGATTCGAGAAGTGAATTCGATTCGAACGAACGTAATGTGAATTTGCACACGAAGCATGTTCTCCCACCTCGTCATCTTTTTCAGGCTTTTGCAGCGCCCGCTGAATGTCAGTTGTTGTTCCAAAATCGACCGATTCCAATGGCAAAGAGAGCTGTCCCATTTTATCGTCTTTTGATAACCGATCGTAATCATAAACCACCAGCATTAAAGTTTTGGAATGCAGCTCGTTGAATGGAATCTAAACGTTTTGATATTTATGTCTTAAAATGGAATTCGAATTGAATTACAGAGAATTGAAAGGTTTCGTTGTAAACTGGATTCAACGTATTCCGGATGATCTTCGTCTCAAACTTTTGTTTTCTTTCGGGAAGCACGAATACTTTGATGTAAGGATCCGACATTCCATTTCGATCCATTGCCGGTAGATCGTACGCCTTTAAGATCGTCACGGAGAGCTGAAATTCAAATTTCGTCTTCCTCGGAGAATTCCTGAAAGATGTGATCTGTGGTAGTTGTTGATTCCGTTATATTTATGACCCTAATTGAGCTCAAATTCGATATTGAGAAAATAACAAAAATTGTCAGCAAACATGATTATCCGACATTATGGAGAATAGGATTGGCGATACACAACAAAAATGTTCATTTCAGAAAAAAAATATTTGAAGAAGTTATTCCGCGATATTGTTTTTACTGAGGATGTTCGGTAATATGTATGTATAATTAGTCCCCGACAAACACATATTCGTCATTTTGTTTTAGTCAGATTTCAATCTAATCTTCCCTTCTGCGGCTCGTCCAAAAAACATCTTGATGCTCATTAATTTTCGCATAAAAACCCAGCAGGGCACAGCTTTTTTTGGAAGCGAGCTCTCATCGCATGGATATTCTCCATCCGTTGCCGACTTTCAAATGCATAGATGCCTCGCATCTTTTCGCATAAAATGATGATGTATATTTCGGGTTTTTCGTCGGCTTCTTCTTCGTCTTCTACCACCAACCAAACCACTCATTTATGCTCTGATGCTCGTACTAATCGGCCGTGTCACCATGTGAATTATTGAAATGAAAGCGAAGCGAGCGACAATTTTTAAAGGCGTATAGAAAAGAAACGAGGAAGAACTAGACAAAAAACGACACAACAATCCATGATTCATTGCTACAATTTTTGTCCATAACTACCAATTTCAAAGATATTTGTAGATGTACTCGATAGAGCCCTAAAAATCAAACCTTGGCTTGCTCAAAGTCATACTCGAGCCTGAAATGGATGTTGCCGTAATTCTTGGCCGGCAGAATGCTTTGCTCCTGCTCATCGAATTCGGCGCTCGGCTGCACACTGATGGTTTTCGAGGAGAACGACGGCGTCGTACTGCCCAGATCAACGGTCTTTTGTCGAGCAGCATACTGAAAAAAAAAAAACCAAATTGGTCCCTCTCTAGTTAACATTGTTCCCATATTTAGGTTTTCAAACATTTTTTTTGTTTTGTTTTGTGGTTTTCTTTATTTCGACCAAAACTTGAAAGCAATAGCGAGGAAAAACAAACTCAACAAATGAATGGGATCGTCAATTAGTGAGCCATTGTGAGCCCATGAAAAAATCATTTTCTTCTTCAATACATAATCAGATGAATATGCAATGCGATTAATGTATAAATAAAATTTATTGCTTTGAATGACATCAATATTTCATTTTGTTCAATTCTGGCAATTTGTGTTCTGTGAGTAAACTAAATTCAGTTTGTCGAAACCCAACGTGAAAACCGCTAAGAAATTTTTTGCAATTCCTTAGATTTCCGTTGAGTTCCTTTCAATTTCTTATCTGTCAAATTACATTTTTGATCTCGTCTGAGTACGCTTCCCTTCCGCTTTTTTTCTTCTTTTTCTTCTGAAGAACACACTAATAAATAATGCCCCTCTATAGCAAAAAGTGACATTTCTGAGGAGCTCGACTCGTCGTCGGATTAACAGCAGAGGAGAGATTAAATATGATAGCAATCGGTGTGGATTATCAACCTGACGCATTCCGATGAAGCTCAAATTGATGTCATTTGTCACGCAAATGTTGCGCCAAGCGTGATTATTAATATCATGTATAATATAAAATGTCGACAATTAGGGTTTCATTGTTACGATGGACGAGGAAAAAAAGAGATTTGGCAAGAGTCCAAGAATGAAAAATGTATAAAATTGTTCCCCGAAAATCTCTTTTTTTCGGAGAATTTGAATAATCCTTCTAAAAACAATTCAATAGAATTAATATTATTAATACAATAGAAATTTCTTTCGTGGATATATCAAATGATTTTTCAGACATAAATATGTGACAAATTTCAAGAATTGGATTAAATCGAGTCACATTAAGGATTCTTTTTTTGTTTCTCGCCTTTTGACAAGGATTATGCTGTGCCTTTAATAACAAGTGTCAAGATGCGACTGTTTTGGGATTAACGAGAGAGAAGAAACCTGAACTATGTAGAAATAAGAATCCAATTTTTCTAATAAATAACTCCCACTGAAAAAATATATTTCTATTTTTAATTCGGAATTTATTTTTAATCCAAAGAAGCAAAGAATAATTATTTTTGTTTCAAAATCGTCATTCCCACATTTAAATTCATTATTCAAAAAAAAAAAAAAACAAATTCATACACATTCTCATAATTATGCATGAGATTTCACCTGTCGCCTCACCTTTTCATTTTCTTTTATTCTCCCGCCAAAATAGGAAAAAAACGGGAGGTCCTCATTTATCAAACGAAAATTGAACGTGTAATGCCACGAAATGTCAAAAATGTGCCGCTAATCTACTAAATATTTCATTTCTTTGTTTCTACTATTCGTTCCCTTTTATGCAATTCTTTTTTTGCCTTTCGAAAGGCAGACAAACTAACCAACCAACCAAAAAAGGCACTTGATTAAGCGCAAAGTTTTGTTGCGAATGAGCATACGTCGAGATGAAGACAACGACAAGTAGAACTAGTCGAAAAAAAAAACTAATGAGAGTGTGGATGGATGGATGGATGTAAAAAATGAATATGTATTGGATGAATGCCAAATTCGAGGTTCTCGTTTTTCAATGCGCTACTCATTGCACTTTCGAAAATGGACATGACGAGTTGCGACAAGTGAATCAAATTGAGTATGTCGTTTGCCGGTTAAATTCACAATGCAACGAAAAAAAAGCGGAAATTCCAAAACTGTTCGATGTCCCCCCTTTATGGCATCAATAAAATGAAAGAAAACATCAAAATTCTCACCATATAGTTTTGCTCATAAAAAATGATTGGATTATGCATTTTTTTTTTGGAAAGTGAGAAAAGAATTCTATTGTTTTCATGACGGCCTCAGATTTGCATGCGATTATGGCAAGAAAATGATTAGAATGAATGTTGAGGAAAGACCTTGTCGAAAAATTTTTACCTAATTTTCAAATAAATCACAGCGCAAAGCTTTTAGGGTAATTGCAAAAATGGCGTTGGAGAATTCTAATCAAACGAGAAAATTGTCATAAATTTATTTACAAAAACTCCTAGTACATTCATTCTTAGCGAAATTCAAATTTCCTGCTATTGAAGCGAAAATACGAATGCCGAAATTCGATTTCCACATCTTAGATTTTCGTAGTAAACACAATGAAAACGAGTGTCTTGCAAAAAAAAAATTCGGGAATAATAAACTGAAAATGAAAATCGCGTACCCTGTGCGAAGACGTTGCTCGTCGAATCGGGCAGCACGTCGAGAATATCCGGAAAACCGGCGAGCATACAATCGCACCAGTTGCCCACATGACAACGTGTGAGTCGAGGAATTATTATCAGTTTCTCTCTCTCGCTCTCGGCACGCCCGCCTTTTTCTCCTTTTTTGGCGATGTTGTGTTTGATTCCGAAAAAATGCCGTGCCAATAAAATTGCGTTCAAAATGAATGCTTCAAGTCGTGAGACGGCTTGAACAAAATGTGAAATAGGAATAAAACGATAAATAACGTATAATAAATAAATGTGATTGTTGACTTTTTAATTGTAATTTGCTGTTTTTTTGTTGTGTTTGTGAAAGAACGACGACATAGTAGGAAATGCGTGCCGGGGGGTTGTCACTGAAAAACCGCTCTTTCTCGGGCAGCCGTAATCACTGAATGGCGGCGAAATGCGTGTTCAAAATCGTCGCTCCTCCCTCCATAAAGGCAGGAGGGCGGGGTTGTACGAGAGAAATATCGCGCCGCGAAGCGACACAGCTGACATTCGTGTTACCGTATACCACAATGTCAGACATCTCCGTTTTTCCACCTTTCCATTCTTTGTTGCTTGTTTTTCGTCCGTTTTTCTTCACGAATACGTCTGATAATGAACAGAATTTGCTTAAATAAAAAAGTGGAATTAATATCAGATTCGAATTTATTGTTTTCTTTGAAAATTCGGCGTTTTTCACTTTGTTAGTTTTAATTGGTATTTTTTTTTAGTAAGCTCGACAATGGGATTCCAAAATTTGTGGTTCTCTCACCCACGCAAATTCGGACCAGGATCGCGCTCGTGGTGAGTGATTTTACGGTTAAATTTTTAAAATTTTATTTATTTTAGTCTAAAGCAATTTTATTGAATTTTTTGAGAAATAGTTTTGTTTAACTTTAAAATTAAAAAAATGAGCTGCAGATATCCATTACATATTTCACAATTTGTGAAATGATGTTTAGTTAAATCTGCGAAATAATTTTTTAGCAATTCGAAGGCAAAAAGTTTTTCTAGTCTTTTTTGCTCAAAATTGTTGTACAATTAATTATTAATCTACTTGTTAAATCTGAACTGAAATTGATAACAATTTTGTCATTTTTTCTATATTTAGCCGCGTCTGCGCTGGACACCACGGACTTATCCGTAAATACGGTCTCGATTTGTGCCGTAGATGCTTCCGCGAGCAGGCCAAGGACATCGGATTCAAAAAGGTACACATTGTCATTATCTGTTTCATTTTTTATGAAACTACTTGCCCACAAGAATAAGTTTTGGTCATAATACCTTGTGATATTTTAAACTTCATAGAAGTCGATTTATCTCGAAAAAAATTTTTTTATTGAGTGTAGTGAAATTCAAATCAATATACCTGTTAAATAGAATTCTATATGTAAAAATTTTCAGCTCGACTAATTCGTCATCTGCAGACCGTTCGCGACTGTTTTTGTTTTTGCCTTTATCAATAAATTGTTGAATTTCACGATTGTTGTTATTTTTAAAAAGGAAAAATGAACAGTTGCTGTCTGAATGTGTAAATTTTATTTGAAACATTCTCGGTGTGGTAGATAAAAGTTAAATGTAGATGGATCCAATTGAAGCTGGAGAATGGATCGCTGGTCGACCGCTTCAGCTCGTTTTTCTGACCGGGTTGGATCCAGTGAATAAACCCTATCACGCTACTCTTGTAAATAGTTTTCGGTGCGGAACGCTTCTCTGTTTAGAAATTTTGTGAATTTCCAGAAACAGGTCAGTTGATCAACCGCCGCTTCAGCTACGGGTCATTAGTGGTGAATTAGATTTGCCTAGGAAGGAGGTTAAAACGAAAAAAGAGAAAGGTTGATGAAGAAGGGTCCACTGAATATGTTTTCTTCTGTGTAGGAATCTTGCGAAGAGAATGGCCCCAAAAATATCTTGACCACATTCCGGCGTTAATTGTCTTATTCGTGGATCTCGATTGGAATCATCCGTCTTGGGAAGAAAAGAAAACTGAAGCTGAAAGTAAAGTAGCGAGTATTCGTGGTTCGCTTCGCAGCGGGACCAGGATAGCTCTTGTGATGCTCCAAAATAGGTGAAATGATCTGAAGAAAAAAACACGGAATTACGAATGAATTAATTAAAGAAATACTCCAACAAGTGCAGCAGACACTCAGGCTGCCGAACGAGCTCATGAGCTTTGTCACGTATGTTCTCTTAATCAGAAACAACTGTTTGCGATTCCGATTCAAGACGATCTTGTGGTATCGATAATACGACAATTTAATGTATTTACAAATTTCTGATATTCAGGGTTACGTGGGTAAACTGAAATCGGCATTCCACGAACTTGCCCAGGGGTTCTATCAACAAAAGCTGAAGGTATTTAAAAAATAATAATGGAAATACGCTGAATAATGAACACATCGTAAGATTATTGCGAGTATTCTTTGAAAAAAAATAATTGAAACTAAACAAATCTATTCTTCACAATTGGAATTCTCGTCACGAAGAGATATAGTAATTTATGTAAATTTGTTAAATTTGTGGGGTCTTCAATAATTTAAATGCTCGGACTTTGGATTTTTACTCCCACTCATTTGTTTTTTGTAAGTAGTATACCAAAGTTCTTCTACGTTTGGTTTCAAATTTCAACGATCTTTGCTAATTTTGAATTTCGATGTCAAACAAAAAACCGACCCGACAAGGGAGCGATCTTTTATACGTGAACATTTACCAATTAATAGTTATCATTTAGTGTATTTCAGATATAAATTATTTCATTAAAAATATAGATATGACAATATTTAACAAAAACATGGATTATTCAGGCAATCCGTAGTCGCAATATTCCGAACAACTCACCTGCTCTTGTTGTTCGCCAACTTTTCAAACTCGCGTTTATCTCGGAATTGCGTCAAGATACTCATACTGCCCTTCGGTATCATAATGATTCTATAGAAATTGGAAAATGAAGGTTTTGAGAAATTATCGCCTTGCTTATGATCAATGCAAAGATACGGTTGATCAGTGGGAAGGCATCGACATATTCGAATGGAGGAGTGTTGCTGGATTGCTGAATTATAAAGTAAACGATTTTTAATTTGTGATAAATTTCTGTTTCCCTTAGATGTGCGAGCTTTGCTTCTTGCATAGCAGTGCTCACGAAGCGATAAATCAAATGCGTCGTCATCAATCAGTCTTCTTCTCGACGTCTCCTGGAATTTACCCGACACCTCAACTCGCTTCTATCGAACTTCTGTTATGGAAAGCAAAACAGGTTATTTCATTTTTTCAATTTTTTATTTCCAGTAATTCCATTTTTATTAGTGTTGGCATTTTGCTCAAATTTTCGAGCAAGCTGTTGTCGGCGGTCTGAGCGCTTTGGCCACATTCAATCCGGGAACTCATCTCGATCAGGCAGCGAGTATTTATTCGACAGCTAATACTGAAATTGCGGCTCTCAAACGAAGTATGATTTCTCAACCTGCTTGCGTTCTAACATTATCGAATTTAGACAGTCCAACGAATATCCCGTACCCTACTCCGGATCCACTCGTTCAGGAAACTGTGTTTTTCGGTCAAAGACCATGGAGAGTCGGATACGATGGATTAGCTCCGGCCGAAATTGAAGCGGCAGCAGTTACTGCAATTACGGTAATGCTTTGCGCGTTTTGATTACGCACATATGTATTGTACAATTTTTTTCAGCAACGCCTTGTTGTGAACCATGATGGTGTGATATCGCTTCTTACTGCGGCAATGGCCCAGTACAAAAAGTACGAATGTGTCAGAATGCAGAGAAATGTTATGTGCGAAGTATGATTTTGATGTGATTTCTCGTTTTGAAACTCGAAATTTTATAGATGGCGAATGTCTGTTATTTAAATAATGATATCCCGCGGGCTCTTCAACTGTGGTCAATTGTCATACGAGATAATGCTATTCCTTATTTAATCCGCAAAGACATTATGTATCGAGCAACTTGGGCAGCATATGCGATAGCAAGTGTAAAGGTGCGTGATTTTTCTTACATAATGTCATTTGCATGAAAGAATTTTCAGGATTTCGTCGCATGCTGTATGTATTTAATGTGTAATTCGTATTCGTCAATATTGCCATCAAACGCTAAACAAGCGTTTCATAATATTCTGGAATCCAAACCTCCGATTATCCCATTTCCCAGTGATGAAGTTACGGATCAGCAGGTAAGGAGAATTGATCAACTGTTATTGTCGAATAGTTTGAATAAGTTGTATTGTTTAGCAACTTGCGTATCAGGACCAATGGCAAAAAGTACTTTCTGAACGCCAATTCTTCAGTATTCAAGCCTCAAAAATCGAATCATTCCTTGATGTGCGTGTTTCATTCCTCGAATCGCAAATAATTGAAGTTAACTCACGGGTCGCAGTACGGATTGAAATTCGCTCAGATTTGCCGGAAGAGCTTACGTGAGAATTTTTTTGTTTTTTCAATCTATCTTTGAAATACCTAACAACCATTACTTTTAATGTGTAGTTTTTTACACCCCTGCGTTGGAAACTTTTGTAGTTTTACATTTTTTTATTTCACGAATAGGAGCATTATTGCCGGTGTCAAACGACGGAACGAAATTTTTAAAAATATTGGCTATTTGTTAGGCGCCTTGAATAAAAGAAATGCGCGTGTCTGCGCAAAAATTGAATTTCTGCCCACCGATCTCCAAAAATACAATTTATGGAAAAACTGTCATGATTCTAACTATACACTGATGTATTAAATTATAGGATAAGCGATGTTATCGTGGTGTGTAAAGTGAAACCAACTCAAATCGGCACCGATTCTACGGAACGTGAATTTGCGCCTCTTCGTCTTGGAACCATTCAAATCAGCGCAGCGAATCCAATCAAGCGCGTTTTGACGCTAGATTTGAAGAAAGTCAAGCAAAATGAAATAGTGCTTGTTTCTCGAGTCACCCTTGAATTCGGAAATCGCAATTCGCACATGTTCGGCCAACTCGAGTTTGATGAGCTTTCATTAAACCGAAAAATCCGAATAGCTGATGTACTCGGTGTGGAAACACTCAAAGTTGGCGGAGTTAAAGGTGGAATTCAGTTGGAAACGGCAGCAAGTGTTAAATGTTTGATTGGCGATATCGCTTGTGCCGATTTGCAAATTTTGAACGTCGCTAAAAATGCAGTGAGAAATGTCAAGTAGGCCTTTTTTGTTTTTAATTTGTCTTCAGTTTATCACCACTATTTAGACTTGACTTCAAACGAAATGAACAACAGTTTACTGAAGCGGCAGCGGTTTTATTCGTCGATCGAGGGGGAAGTGAGCTCAAATCGGAATTATCGATTGATTTAGCGTCAGAAATGCTACCAAAACAAAAGGTGATCAAGACTTTAACGTTTAAAAAACAACGTTTCTCAATATTACATGTATTGAAAATTTTTCATTCGTTATTTCCGCTTATTCAGATTCTTCTTCCTATAAAATTTTCTGCACAACTCGTGGGATCATACGATCTGCAATTGGAGGTTTGTTTTTTTGTATTTTGGAAGCTACTTAACATTTGATTCAGATAAGTTACGAATATGATGAAGCGGGCGAAGTTGCACAAGAAACCAGCAAAATTAATGTCGGCGTTGAAGCGAAAGAACCGTTTTCAGTCTCGAGTCATATCATGAACATCAATGTGAGTACCCCGTATTTAACAATGAAATGTATACCAAGAATTCTAGGGAGTTCCAATGGCATCGATTCTCAATCACTGTGAGCACGTTCTCAATGCGAATATACTCTCGGAATCATCTATTCGAATTAACACTGTCGAATTTTTACTAGTAATTTTTCTTTTTGTTATTTAATATTCATTTATTTTTTAGGCTGATGTTGTTCATCATTGCGATAATTCGAATGGTACTTGCAGAGAAAATTTGAATGGTAAAAACAATTTAGAAATTTTAAATAAATAAATTTTTGGTTTTAGAACTAATCCAGGAGAATGAAATGATCACCTTCTCGACGGTTATCCGCATAACTGCAAATGAAGAGGATTCTGAAACGCCACTCGGACGGCTTGCTGTTGAATGGAAAAGGTTTGTAATTTTGATTCATTTTTTCAATTCTTCAATTAAAAAATCAGTTTTTTTCAAAGCAGAATATGTCCAATTTGTTTCAACGCATTTGGGTAGATTTTATATAAGTTAACATTTCTTGAGATGGTTTTTTTTCCCTGATATTTAATAAAAAAATATCAATTTAAGAAAGTCTCATTATTTTGGTATGAATATCCCTAAATTTGTTCTTTCTAGCCATGAGAAATGTTTTGTTTTGAGCATTACTCGTTATTCAATTCCAGACAATGTTTTTTGTTTTGTGTCTAGGGAAGTCACTAGAAAGCTACAATGACTTTGGCTGGCATCACCTCTTTTGGGTACATCATTTGTTATATGTAGTGACTACAATCAGAGAATCAAAACAGCTTTCTTGATGAGTATCCAGCGCATTGATAATGTTTTTAAATATCGAAAGAAATCTGATTAGGAATGATCAACATACGAATATATCACAGTTGTATTTGCCTCGAATATGGCAAAGTGTCAAATTAACCCTGTCTTTCATAAATTTGCATGGACAAATAGAAAAAAAAGCAAAAAGGAATTTTTTCTCTAGTTTTTATTAATCAATCTAAATTTTCTATTAATTTATTGTTCCCGTTTTACCACGGATTCATACGATCTAGAAACTATTTGAAATTGAGAGATATCTAAAAGTTTCCGATCAGTCAACTTGGTTGAAGATTTAAAGAAAACCATTAGTGCATAATCCCTCTGCACTTTTTTTTTAAATGTTTCCTTCTGTATTTCGATAGCCACCTTTCTAGTCTGTATGAAACATTCAGTACTAAAAAAATCGATATTGGTTTACGCTTTGAAAAAATTCATATTAATTATTACCGTCAGAAAAAATGAGCTCTTTGACAAACACTTTTCCGAAGCGGTAATTCAAACTAAAAATTAAATAGTGGGAATTCGGATACTGTACTCTGTATAACCTGCGAAGCTAACTCCCCGTAAATCGGCTCAGGTTGCTCGTTTTTTGCCAATGTAATAGTAATTTAATGTATTATGAAATGATTGCGAATTCCAGACAGCTTGATTAATTGTTTTTGATATTAATGGTACAAAACGCATGTTGCCCTATGAGGACATTTGTCTGTCTGGTATAAAACATGACAAAAACAAGCATATACGATGCTTTTTTTCTAGTGTTGAATTATTAAAAATTGTGTAATTCAGCATCATTCAAAATTTGCAAATTACAGAGACGCTCCCAACGCGACGCCAGTTCGGTCGATTGTTCCGCTTTGCCGTATTCCTGTCATTCCATGCCCGATTGAAATCTCGGCTCATATCAAAACATCGCCAGCGATTGTTCGAGTTCCTATCGAAATCAGTTTTGAGCTTAAAAATCATAGCAAAGAGGTTATAATTGCATTTATTAATATAAATAGAAGATTTTTTTTCATTTTCAGGCTGTTGAACTGGTTTCAAACTTCGATCTTAATGATGTATTTATGTTTAGCGGTGAACGAAAAGTAAGTTTGAAATCGAAAATCCCCCTATTTGATAATTTTATTTTTTCGTTCGCATTTTATAATTTGGGGGCGACTGTTTTATTTCACAATTTTGAATTGCATCATCTCAACCGAAATAATTCACTTGTTAGACATTCTTAGTCTAGTTTTGCTATATTGCGTATTTGAAAACATAAAAATGTAGCGAATGACGTTGATGAGATGACTACATTAGTTTAAATCGGTGACTTAAATGTATTTGGTGAATTAGAGGTACAAAAATTTTGCACTTTTAAGCCATAATTAAAAATAACAAACAGCAAAAGTCTTACTAATTAGTCTAGAAAACTGCAAATTGTGTATGTTTTATTATATTATATAAATTTATATTATTTTAGCGATGTGTGCTATTAGAGTGTTCGTTTTTTTTTCTCAAAATTTCTCGAATCCCCCAAACTGTAGAATATTAAGTTTCGATAAATTATTTAAAGTTAAACATTTTCTTGTTATATTTTGTTGGTCACAAGGGCTTCATAGGTTTGTAAAGGGCATTAATAGGTTTTCAAATTGTAGTAGTGAACAACACAAACAACATGTTTGCATTTATTTACATAAAATGTCACAGGCAGATTCCCCAGAACGTTTACCAACTTGCTTGCTATCGATAATTTCAAACTTGGCGAAAGGGACTCATGAAATCAACCGACAGACATGGTCTCTTTTCATGGTCCAAACACCTTTATTTTGAAATTCCAAATAATTGCCAGACGAGCTAATCCGTCTTTAATCCATCCGGATTTAGATGGTCCGTAATTGCGGGACGAGTGTTCTCCATGCTCTGCTTAATCGAGGCATTAAATAAAAAAATGGGGGGCGTGGCTCGAGTTGTCTAGCGCGCGGAGCCAGACAGCCTTGTGGTCTCGTATCTCGCAAAACCCAATGTAAAAAAACCCTCTAAAATGGGCCATAAATCACAAATTGGTTATATTACACAAGCCCAATGTCTAACGAATTGTTTCAAGTGTTTCTTTCGAGCTGCTACCGTAGCCCCCGATCAAATAAAATTAATGCAAAAAAGTATATTAAACTATCGTAAGAAATATGAAAATCATAAAATATCTGGTTAATAAGCTGCGCAATACGGTAGAAACAAATAAGGAATAAATGATTGAAGTTTTCAAACTTTCGAATTGACTTTGTTGAAACATAAAAGTGAAGAAAAAACTGAAAAATTCTCAAAACTCAGCGGAGATTCTGAAATTGGTTGCGATATATTAAGAAATAGCAGTAGGCCTTCTGGAAAATAAACAGACCCGTAGCCAGTTAATTAATTCCATATAATAACTTCCAGCAAAACAGTTTAAAAAATTGAATTTTGGAAAATATTTCAGGCTTCGATAACAGTGCTCCCAAGCAGCTCTCGCCGCCTCAATGTGATTGTGATGGCTCTTGGCGCTGGTCGTTTAACATTCCCACGAATTAATCTAAAGTAGTACAAAACGAATCAACGCAAATCACGTTGTGCATTATTTCAGGTCCCCACAAGTATCTGATAGTCTTCTCCAACAAGCACTTCGAACTCTTCCGGCCACAATTTTCGTATTGGTAAGTATTGTGTTGATGTGACGGAACACCCGTGATTCGCCTTTTCGAATATCGACAATCGAGAAAAAAACGAAAGAAAACAAAGTGAGGCGCGCGGTGTTTTATGGGGATACAAAACGCACGCGGCGGCCATTTTGGTTTTGGCAGAAAAAAATCTTGATAACATATATTATCGCAATTCTTTATTCGAGAATTGTTGGGGACAGTCTTCTGCAGAATGAGCTACGGCCAAAATAGGCGATAACTTCTGGAAAAAAAACACAATGGATAATATTGAATGCAATACATATGTTAAATGTCACTTGTCGACAATATAAGGCAAACCTTTGAAATGTATGCAACTCTTAAGATTCCCGAATTTCCCCCCAGTAAATTTGTTAAAATAACATTTTTAAGGTTCCCTAAATTTTCCATTTCATTCTCGATTCATATTATTGTAGAGTTAGGCACGTTTTGACCAATTAAACAACCTATAATTTCCTTCTACGTAATAGTATAATTTGTTTATTTCTTTTTGAATCAAAGTTCGACAATAATAATATAGGTGTGGACTGTGGGCGTTTTTTATGATTAAAATTTCATCGTCATGGTTTTGTGATCGTTTTCAATTTGATCTTGTATTATAAATGCATTCAAGACTATAGTATGTGTTAAAGGCGCATGCAAGAATATGGTAAATTCGTGCTAACATGAGAGGTGTTTTTACTGTCCGTCTAGCTGTTTGTTTTGCTTATTGTACACATTCTCTAGACACTAATATAAAATAATCATCAAAACTTTTGGCACTGCACTTTTTTGTGTTCCACACAATTTGACTTGAATGATCTTTGGAACGTTTCAAAGAAATAAATCAATGAGCTTTTCCCTAGATATGACCATATCAATAAATATTTTTGTCGAAAGCAGACTAATTAGCTAATAATTGACGAATTGAACTCGATTTAGTCACGTCAGCAATCCCTTATGCTTTCATTATGTTGGCATTTGATACAACATTTGGGCAATATCCCAAATTCGAGATGTATATTTTTGGGAGTGACGAAATTGGAAATGATGAATCAACTAATAGTTGTGTCCTGATTCACTCGGACTAATTTTTTGATATATTTGTTTTTTTGAGTCCCTAAATTTGGATGATCTCGAAAATAATGTGTGATCAGCAAAACATATAGACATTTTGTGTCATATTTGCTGCTATTGCAGGCTTATAATTAGTTAAAGGTTGTCAGGTGTTTATGGAATTAAAACCATTATTTTTCAAATTATCGCTTATTTTCGAGAAATATTTACCCGAAATGTTAATCCATACAAGTTTCAACACAAAATTCCGTTCAACGGAGTTTTTACTCTGCAGTCGCTTTTTGGTAAATTCAGCGTTATAAGATTCTTTTTTGGGATTTGGGCCGAGAAAAACTTGCCCCAAATTTTCTGAGATGATTACATAAAGATACCGTCTGCTACGGCCTCGCTTGTCATTCTGTCTACCGGAACGGAAACATAAATAATTGTTTTTCGGATTCCCTTGCTGCGCTGCATCCCTTTTCACGAGGTCCCTATACCCTTGTGCCTATTCTTCTCAAACAAATTGAATGATCCCTCTAATCCTATGATTGTCTAAAACGGTTTCAAAAGTTATCTCATTGTTCAAACAAATTCGAGTTTTGTGTTTCCTTCAACGATCATTTAACGGTTTGCGTTGTTCAAAAAGCTATGTACTGTCATTGTGAAATTATTGAATGCTTTTCCTAAATCATTAAGGAATTTTCTCTAAAAAATGAGATTTTGGTAACACCATTTTCCAATTGCATCTCGTCACTTTTGAAAGGGGGTGGGGGTTATAATCGAATTGGCAAAATTTGGGTGTTCTACTAGTTTTGAACTATTCATAACATGTGTGTCTGCCAATCCCGAAATAACCGATAATTTTTATTGTTTTTGGAGTATTTTAGTTGAGAAATTGAATTATCGAGCCAAATTCGAAAAACAACCACCCACATCACAGGAAGAGGTCTCGAGAAACTGTAGTTGATTTAGTTTGTCTAAATTTAGAATCTAATTGGTTTTGATGCCTCAGACAAATTAATCCGCGACATTTATCAAATTTCAACTTAAAAATAGGTGATTATAATAATTAAATTAAGATTTTTCGATCATATGACGAACTATTGACGTAAATTGTCAGAGATTTGTGATCTGTGTGCACTAGAGTTTGGAAAAATCGAATGACTTGAAACTAGAATCACTCAATGCATAAGAATCGCAATAATCGAAGTTTCATTGAGTAGAGCGATTAATTATAATTCGAATCTCGAGAAGAGTTTATTTGAGAACACTAAAATTTGTGAAAAATGTCAAAAATACTCAATTAGTACTTTAAAATTCAATTTCAACAAAATTGTCCGCAGATGGAATATATCGAATCGAGAATGTTAGAAGTCAAAAATGTTTTGCTGTAATTGTATTCAAGGATGTAGTCATGCCGCTGTGTGGAGCTCATAAATTTGAATCGAAGCGATTCACACATTATTCTTCTCTAAGAATCGTTCGCGACATGTTCCGGTTCAACCAAATCATGATCTGGTTTTGATTAATCATTTTGAAACCCGTTTTCGAAGGGAATCGAAAACGTTTCATTCATTCATTTTTTTTCGCGCGATTGACTAAGTGCTGAACACGAGGCGGTAATCGCCACCCTCACATACCGGAAATTGTTGTTTCGCGTTTCATATACTTATATTGTTTTATTAATTTTCGCGCCACCACACGTGAAATTTTTTCGCCGAATATGTCTGGAGTGTGTCGGCTGTTAGATGTCTCATGAACAATAATTTGAGCGATTTTTCGAACTTTTCGAGCTGTTTCCGGTTGGTCTTCCTCTATTCGATTGAATCCGCAAAACGCGGATTTTTGGCAATTGAACATTTGTTTGCTTTTATGCGGATGTGTTCGGAACAATTCAGCGGATATTACATAATCATAAAAAATTGTTGATAACCATTTGATGAAGTCTAAGGCCAGTATATTATAATTAGATGTGTCAGAATTGAAGCGTGGGGGATTTTGATGCGGCCTACAGTTTATGATGAAAATTAATATTAAATTATTATGTAAGCTGGAGGGTTAGGGATATTGGATTCCATTCGCGTTGTTCGCCTGTAGTGTTATATGAATTAATTGAAATTTGTTTCTGAATGTCTGCAATCAAATTGGTGAAATGTGAAATGGTATTCCTTTGAAATATGTAGTTTTGCTGAAACATCATCATCATCATCGGCGAGGTCTTCTAATATACATGCACACCATTCACCATTATGTAGATATTCCTTGAGTTGTCGAAAATTATTGCAATTTGGTATTTCTGATGGCATTTATAACTCTGTGGAACTATTTGATCTCTCAGCAAACAATTTTGGTCGAAATTGGCTAATTTTTGATACAAATAGAAGGTCTTTCATATAATTTTTGCTGATTTACGAGAACCAAGTGCATGCGAACTGGCTGGAGTCAAACGATCAGAATGGAGTTTTCGATGACGTTTGAAATGACGATTCTAGACAGTAAACGAATGAAAACAAATCAAATCAGATTAATCGGTCTAGCGAAAAAAAGGACAAAGAATTTATGCTTCTTGAGTTTCTTTAATTTCTAGAAATGATGCCTAGAAAAACGAGATTGGAATACCTCAAAAATGAATGAGTTATTTTGATTTCGTCAATTGTAATAAGTGGTTTCGTAGAATTTAGAAAATGAAAGTTAGGTGGAAAAAAAACATATAATTTGAGTGAGTAGCAAAGCAATAAATGATCCCAAAGCCTTAAATTATTTGCAATTGGAAATGCTCAAAATTTGAGCAAACCGCTACAAATCTTTGCGAGACTCGATTTTTGTATCAATTTTCTCCTAAAAATAACCATGTCCATTTTCAGCCAAAATCAAAGGAAGGCACTCCGAACTGACGAATCAAATTTCCGTTTTGATGTAATTAATTTTTTGTCGATTTAGTATTTTCCAATAAATTATTATTATTATTCCTTATTTGGGCCTAAGGGTACTGTAAACGCGGCACTCCCGCCCGTTGAGCTCTTCGATTGGCTGCGAGGCGTCGTGCCTGCGTCTCGCCGCCTCGCACACTCATTCCAGCGTTTGGCCACGCCCCACTCCTCGCATGAAATGATAAAGCTTGAATGACGGAAAAAAACGAAGGCGAGCCCGGAAAAAAGGTGGCGATCTGTGTGCCGGTGGGCGGAGCTTCGACGACTCGGTGATAAAAGCAACCAACTACGGACAGCAGTGCGACGAGAAAACAACGATGCGATTCACCGCTATTCTTTTATTTTTTATTCTATTGCGCCATTATAATATCACTGAGGCACTGAATTGCTCAAGATCCTCGATGTGTATTAAAGAGCTCGAAATGCTGAGAATCGAAGAAATCAAGGTAGAGTTAATGTATCTTTTTCGAAGATTTCTGGTATGCTCCTTTAAACGGAATTTTCGCATTTTTTTTTTCAAATCCCAAAGTCTAATAAATACCGAAGAATTGTAATTTTGGCATTTTTCAAGAATATTTTCTTTTTTTGCTAAATTAGATAATTTTTTTGACCGGATATGGTGGCAAATTGAATCGTCCACCGAAACCGGAAATATACATATTTTACTTGATTATCAGTCGGCCAAACGTTTTTTTAATGGAATTCTATAAAGCGGATTATCAGCGCGTGATTTTTAAAAATGGTTTATTTAGTTAGTTGCAAACGAATGACCGAAATTCGAAAAAATTTGGCAGAAGTACGTGAAAATGCGTACATTGCACTATATCGTACGCGCATTTTTTATTCAGTCCAATTTTCTAGACAGATTTCGCGAAATTGAAATTCCGTTGATTAAACTGGAAATATAAAAATTGATTCGTTTTGATAATTATTCGATTTTATGACATTCAAAAAGCTTCAATTTTCAATTTTTTTCTTGTTTATGGCAATTTTATTTTTTTTGACTTGTCCCAACAATTTTCGACTTCTAATTAACGGGAAAATGCCGGAAAAAATTAAAAATGCAGAAAAAAGAAAAAAATTTTTTTAGTGCATTGAATTTTTCTCTATTTTTTTCATTGCATTTTAAGAGTTTTAGTATTTCGGATTACAGTTTTTTCGAGATTACGGATGATTCTAAAAATGGATGCTTTCAGTTTTTTTCCACTTTAAGAAACCTAAGAGTATTGTAAATTTTGCAAATATCTCATTACTCACAATTTGATTCAATCGAATGACTTCTTTTATGAAATTAAAACTCTATGAGTCATATATTTCGACAAAAATGGATCGTTTTTTCTTGTTCGTCGTTTTTTTTTTGTTGAAATTCAATCTAGCAGTTGCTCACGTTCGAAAACCACACTTCATGACACACACACACACACCTATTTTTATGTGAAACCCAATTAATTAGCGATGATCAGCGTCATCATGCGCTCGGTCGTTATTCCCTGATGGATTCGATGAATGCGCTTATTGAAATAACAACGGGGTTGAGGAAAATGAGTTGTAGAAATTTTCGTGGTCCGAAATATCGAATCAAAAAGTAATTTTGCAGAGGAACATTCTAGCCGAACTCGGAATGACGCATCCGCCGACAATTGAGAAGTCGAAAATGCCGTCGCCGAAATTGCGAGAACAGTTCCGAAAACTAACCGAGACCGAGTCGAAAGATGATGAGAGCGACAAAGAGACATTGCTGATTCCGTCGAGTGATCCATCCGGTGGAGAGGATCGATCGTCGCTCGTCGCCGAATTCGACGTCAAAGAGAAACTGTACAAGCAAAGTATTCTGGAGGTGAATCGTCGAGAAAAAATTATTTAAAATTCTCAATAAAAAAAAGAAAATTTAGGCGAAACTGTCGTTCTATTTGCGATTCCACCGAAATCTCTCAAGAACTGAACACGTGCAGGTGCAAATCTATGAGAAGGACACCGACGGTCAACTGGCCGGTTCCGTCATCACGGCGGAGGTGGCTGTTCGAGGATCGCAGAGGGTCACCCTCAATCTTCCCATCGATTATGTTGAAAGGTTATTTGAAGAAGAAGAAGTCGTCGTGTTCGTGATGTGTTGTACATATACTTGTGATGAAAAGGTCCAAAAAACAAAAACCGCGTTTTGTGCGAATTTCGAACCAAATTTCGCCTTTCAGATGGTACACTTCTGATCCGATCCAAGGACTTTTTGTGGCGGCCGTGTTTCGCGGCCGAAATATCGCTGTGCATCCACAGCAAACTCAAGAAGAAGACGAGGTTGGATTTCGATATTTTCTTTTCAAAGAAAATATTCTAACACAAATTTTGCTTATTAATCCAAATCGACGTTCATATTTTAGAGTATGATTCTTCAATTGACCGTTTCACGAAAAAGTCGAAAACGACGAACGACGACGCCTGTGTGCACACTGGATTCGCCGATTTCGGGATGTTGCCTCTATAATCTCATGGTGGCGCTTATTTAATTTATGAAATGAGCGCTGAAATTGTTTGCAGATCGATTTTGAGAAGATCGGATGGGATTGGATTATTGCGCCGACGAAATACAACGCGTACATGTGTCGAGGCGATTGCAAATACAATGCGCATCATGTGAGGAATGTTTCAAAACGCGATTTATGAATGTTGTGGGTTCTAGTTTTCGATATCCGACACCGGACACAGCAAGATAATGAAGGCGGCGATGCGAATGAGCGACAACACGCGCAGGATGCTCGACACTGTCGGAGTGTGCTGTCATCCAACCGAGTAAGCGCAGCCAATCCAATCAAACCCTTCTAAGGGTGTCTTGAATTCAGCTATCGATACGAGTATATTCGATTGATATACGTGAACAGGGACGGTCGTGTTTCAGTGGCCAATGTGAACGGGATGATCGCGAAACGATGCGCGTGCAGCTAAGTCAGTCCGTCAGTCAGTCAGTCGCCCGCCCGGCCGGCCGCCCGCTTATTTTTCCATAGGATTATCACTTCATCATGCAATATATGTCATTCGTATCTTTATTGTCTCAATTAATTAATCATTTCACATCTAATTATTTTTTTTGTCTGTGATCACCGGTATTATGTTGATTTTTCTGTGAATATTTGTCATTTCAAAAAAAAAATATTTTTTTATTTGTATATTAGTAAAGATTTTACGAAATATTATAAGAATGTGTTTTTCAGCATCGGAAATTTAAAAAAATGGATTTGAGTGAGGTCAATTCGCTGATCATTTTTTGTCTCGAAAAAGAAGAAAATTAATATTTTTTCATTTTTTTCTGCATTGATATTTTATTTGATTTTTTATGCGTTTGATTCGCGGGTTACTCGAGTTCCCATTGTTTAAATCGAAATTAGAATTACCGCCAGAAGACAATACGATGGTCCACGAATACTCTCTGAATACGTAATCTATATAATTTCGAAGAAAAAAAGTGAGGAAATTTGGCGAGATGATTATTAGTAAATAATTAATTGCTATTTTTCGGTAAACAAACATTTGAATTACATAATCGTTGCTTAACTAGTTCCTGGTTGTGATGTAGTTCCATAAATTTCCTTATTCTAATTCTGAAAATAAATCGAAATTTTCGATCAATATGTCTGAAAATTACAAAAAAATTTCAATTATAGAAGGTCGTGTTCAATTCGTTGCTATCAGTTTGTCATTTTCTTTTTTTTACTAAATGAATATAAAGAACGAAGGAGTAGAAATTTCTCGAAATGTCGAACAAAATGTTAGGGCTTGACATAAGCTTTTCATGTTTTTAATTCCACATGCATGTCTGATATTCACAAAATTTAAAAAGAAAATGGGCTGAGCACAAAAAAATGAAAATAAAAAATCCGTCCGTATAGGTTCAAAAGCATACACGAAAAATTGTGCACATTTTGTTCTTTTTTAAAAATGAGTTTTTTTTTTCAAAAAAAAACGTTATATCGTAATTCTCCGCCAATTATTTTCAAAGGCGCACGAGAAAAATTGTGCGGGTCACGACGCGATTTCGCTACTGTAATTATGATTTTTTAATTTGTATGTAATTTTTTTGAAAACTTTAAAGAAGAAAATGAATAACGCTTTGACGAACGAGGAAAAAGAAAAAATAAAAATTGGTTTGATATAACTGAGTGGCTGAAAATTAGCCGGACTAACATTTCAAGCTACCGTATTTGAAATAGAAACTGTGTTGAAACGATTCTGTTGGATTGTTGACATATTTTTAACCATCGTTGAAAGTTTCACATAAAACGGTTGGGTTTTAACGAAACGGCACAACGAATCGTTCGTAGAAAAATGAAGAAGAAAAGTTGGCTCAAAGTGCACCTTCATTTTTCGAAATTCAAAAAAAAAATACATTCAGGGTTTGAAACTTGTCTATGAGTTTTACGTTTAAACTCGGTGAAATTAGGCGCGACCCGCCCGCGCGGGGGAAGTTGGCGGCACCTTCGCTGGTAGCTCTCGGGACCCGCCGGTGACCGGTGAGAAGGGCCATTTGAACAAGTTGTTGTTCCATGAGCATTCCCCCACGCGGATGCCGAGAGTCAGCGGACCACACGCGGGGCTGATTTTTTGCTTGCGGCCCCAACAGGACCCCCCCCCGCGCGGATCCCGCTCAATTTAATCGAGAAACAACGCTTGAGAATTGCTTTTAAAAGGGTTTTGTTTGAGCATTTTCAGACATGCCAATATTAGGAAAAATTTCCTGAACGTTGGAAAATTCTATGACAATGACTTGTCAGTTTATGACAAATGCTATAAACGCTATAGACAACAAGATTGGCTATTTATAAAATTATCATCAGATTCTTATTTTCACTTTATTATGTTAAAACGTCAAAAAAGGTGAGGCCGCGAATTAGCGAGCACATCGAGCAGTTCCATTTTTTGTTCAATTCTTTCCCGTAAATATTATTTTTATAAAAAACGAACTTATTAAGTTTATAATAGTATTTTTAGAGAAGATTCAATAATAAAATGAATTTTATGCCATAACGGATCCATTATTTTTTCTTCCGTGAAATCCGGCAATTTCGGTATAAATATATATGTAAAACAGCATTTTTTTATTAAAATAAATAAAAAGTTATATTTTATTAATATTTGGGCTTTTTCTTGAACCAATCCTTAATTATTTGACAAAATATATTGGTTTTATTAAACTAGGTGCTCAAAATTCGCTAACATGCCATTTTTGCCTCATTACAAACGTGATTTGTGGAGAATCCTCAAAACAAACCACAACTTTAATTTCCGCAAAACGTAGTTTAGTCTATAAATTACATTTAAGCCAAATATCAACTTTCTCAATAAACTTTTGGCTCAGCTCGAAATGTTCGCTAAACCCCTGCGCGCCTCTGCCACCGCACGTCCCCTCCCCAAATAAGGAAATCACTAATAGCCCCATCACGCTGAAGTAACATCCTAATAGGATAGGAAACCTTATACAGAAGATTGGTTGCAAAAAGACCGACTACATTGAATTTTGAATAGTCCGAATAATTTTCAGCCACCGTGCAGTAAAAAAAATCCAGAAAAAAAACCGACGTGAATAATTATGATATCAATACGACTTGAAGTGAAATGGAAAACAACAATGATGTGCCAGGAAACTTCAAACAACTCAGTATCTCGTTGGCGTGCCGTTTGCATCCGTCACAGCTTGACATCAGCGACTCGATCAACGTCATGAGGGCCGGAACTGAAATAACCATCCGGGCTCTCGAAAACATTTTCAAAAACGCTGAATCGGGTTCAAGTCAGGTGACTGGATTGGCTAATCCAATGGCAGCCTCCCGACAATGTTGGAACTGGTGTTTAATGAAATAGGAACCATGTTTAGGATGAAATAAGTATCCACGGCAATCGCAAACAGAAGCATATGGTTCTCGAGAATGTCATTATCCATATCCATATTGCCCTATGATATTTGTATTCTTCCAAAAAACGCATTTTTTTTGGCTACGCGCCTTTAAATGGATTCAAACCCTTTAAATATCACTCTTTGACTATGCGCCTTTAAAACACTTCTCCTATATTTACTATTCTACTCATTTTCGTCTCAGGACCACATAAAACTTGAATTGTCGGCAAATTACTTATATTCATTCTCACATTCCCTATCATGCGCCTTTAAGAATCATTTTCTGCGGGATCCTGTTAGTTGCCAGTTTTTCTCTAATCAGCTCGTTACTTTTTAGCTTCCGTTTTTTACCTAATCATGCAATAAAAAATTTATTAAAAATTACACATTTTGGCCAAAAATGCAATGGATTCTGTAATTAAATAATGAAGAAATCTGATTTTTTCGAATATACGATTTTATTTTTTTGTTTATTGATTTTAATGTTCCTGTTTTTTTTATTTGTTTATTTTATGAAATTTTTGCAATATTTTCTATTAAATCTTTTTATTCTGCTAAATTCAGAAAAATAACCGAATTGTGAAATACGATGACTGTAAAATGAAAATAAGAAAAAAATCAAATTATCTCATGGGTCTCGCAGATTTTTTCATCATTTATTACAGTACCCATTCCATTTTTTGCATTGCTGAATTGGAAAATATGTGATTTTTAGCACTTTTTTTTTAATTCGTGAATAACATTACAAACGACAACAAAGAAAATACAGTACTGGCCATAATGATGTTCGCCTAGTGTTTTTTGAGCATAACTTGGCACAAACGCGGCCAATTGGGCTGAAATTTTTACTGTAAACGCTAAACACAGTTGCGCAACCTTGGGAACGACAAAAATTGCATCATGTTGAAAAAAATTTTTTTTCAATTTTTTTTGTTTTTTTCGATTTTACCAATTTTTCATTTTTTTCAAACTTTGTCCATAAAAAGTTTTTTATTTGAAATTTGAACTTGAAACATGTTTTTAGTAATTTTTCAACCTTCTGGAAAGAAAAATTTCACGGCGGACGTTCAAAAAGCGATCGTCAACGGTCATAAGACTGGGTCATCCAGAAGCTCTCTAGCTCAGCAATTCCTGTGCTCCCGAAGAGGAATCCAAAATGTTTTGCAATGATTAAGACAAAATTTACGATTTATTATCCATTCTGGACTATTTCTAATCTATATGGCTGCATTTTTGTCAAGAAATAACACGGTAGTCCTCGCAAAACCACTAGGCTCCATGATCGGAACATCTGCCGTGCTTCGAGAGAAGATCCTAGACGGACTGCAGAAGATATCCAAATGCTTGTGGTAACGCCAAATGCTTCAATGTCATCCAGAAGAACAATTAAACGTCGTTTGGGGGAGAATGGACTTCATGGAAGGCGCCGGCGAAGAAACCATTAATCAGTGAGAAGAAACAAAAGACCAGGGAGGCATGGTGCAAGTAACATCTGAACTGGGGACGATGTGAATGGACCAAACACATCTGGAGCGATGAATCGAAGTTCAACTTGGTCGGAACTTATGTAATAAAGTGGATTCGTCGACCTATCGGAGCCAGATTCATGCCAAAGTACCACCTCCGAACGGTGAAGCATCTTGCAGGGTCTGGAGCTGCTTCTCCGACACCGCCATGAGACCGCTCCGACGTGTAAATGGAATCATGGATCGGTACCAGTACAAGGATATCCTGGAAACCACAATGAGACCTTGGGAATTGGCAAACGTCGGACGTGCATTCGTTTTCCAGCAAGACAACGATCCTAAGCACACGTCTGAACATGTAAAGAATTGGTTCCAACGTCGCCGAGTTGATGTTCTTGCATGACCATCACAGATTCCTGACCATAATTCGATCGAACATCTCTGAGAAGAACTGGTACGCATGGTTAGAGGGCTCCGAGCATCAATCGCCGACGAGAAGTTCGCTCAACTCGAAGCCGCATGGAGTGCCATTCCGATGCAGTGATCCGCACCCTCTTGGACTCGATGCCTCGCAGATGCCAAGCGATTGTTGATGCCAAGGGATACGCAACAAAGTATTGATAAATTAAAAATTGGTTTTCTACAAATTTGTAATGTTTTCGGGTTTCTGAGACTTTCAAATCACATTGTGTCATTTTTTCCATTTTCCGCATTTTTATGAAATTTGTGATTTTTCGAAAAAAAAAACTTTTCTGCAGTATGCGATATCAATCAAACGCATTTTCAACGCGTTTTAAAGATATGGTAAAAATTTGAGCCCGATCGGCTGCGTTTGAGCCAAGTTATGCTCAAAAAACACTAGGCGAACATCATTATGGCCAGTACTGTATATTTTGAAGAGAAAAACAATGTAAAAACCAACAAGAAAAAATAAACGTTCCAGCAATATAAAAAAAATTGCGAAAAAAACAGACCTTAAAAATTACAGTAACAAAATCACGCGTTTTTCAGATTTTTGAATCGTTTATCCAAATTATTGTTGAGAAATGACAAATGTCTCGAAGTGTCGTGGAATCCTGCGTTTTGTACGCAATGCTAAGAGACAGTTACCGTAATCCTCGCAGCGATTTACGTGGAACTTTTTAAAATCTCTTTTTTCATTTTTTTTTGCTCAATTTTCGTATTTTATTTCGAAATATTTTTATTTAAAATTTGTGGAACTCGAATTTAATTTTTTATTTAGCCGAATACGCACTTTTAAACGATATTTATCGGTATTTGTTGGTAAAAACAGAATAGATTTTTAAAAACGATGTTGTTTGTCGTTAATAAAATGATTTATTCGTGTTTTCCACTTAATACACGTTTCTATTTTTTATTTTCGTTTTCTTCATTTCAAAATAATTTTTAGAGCGAGAAAAACTATCGAAAAATAGCGTTTAAAAGTCCATATTCTGCAAATTAAATTCGAGTTTCACAAATTTTAAATAAAAATATTTCGAAATAAAATACGAAAATCGAGCGAGAAAGAAGAGATTTTAAAAAGTCCCCCGTAAATCGCTGCGAGGATTACGGTAACTGTCTCTTAGCATTGCGTACAAAACGCAGGATTCCACGAAACCTGGATACATTTGTCATTTCTCAACAATAGAAAATTATTTTTTTAATTTCAATCAAAAATTTGAGGAAATACCGTACCCTTTATAGCAATATCTCTTCGTATTCGAAATAAAATAAGTTTAATCAGTGCAAAAGACAATTATTATTATACGTCTGAGTTGTGGCGATCTCAATTCATTTGCCTGAAACGTTCATCAGAATCTCGGCGTGGCCGTGCTTTTCCCAAATAAGCGGTTGGCGGCCGTCCGCATTCGCATGTGCGCCGTCTGCCCGACGACGATCCATTCCAATTGTCATCATTTCTCTCGCCCTCTTTCTCCGTCTGCCCTCAATTTTTTTCTGTCCGCGTTGGCCATCGTTTTCGCCTGTTTTTTTTTTCCCAAAACTCAATTGAGAACGGTTCTGATTGGAACGTTTTAAAATGACATACTCACCAAGACTTTCAGCTTGCAAGAAAAATGGAGACAAAATGGCATCCATTGTTAGCTCAACCCCAATATTCTCCTTTACTTCGAATCGTTTTCATATTCAATGTAGGTAATCCTAAACAAAATTCCGAAAAAGGAATGCCGGTCCATTTCTCAGCGAGTTTTTTCCCAATGAATGCTATCTTTGGGTGTTCTGACTATTTCCTATAAAAGGCTGCAATTTCGATCGAAAATGATAGTCTCTTTGATTTTCTTTCGATTTCCGAATCGAATTTTTCCCGCCATGTGTTCCGCTTCAACTCTGCGTCTATCGCACTTGCGCACTCTCTCTCTCTCTCTCTCTCTCGCTGTTGCTGTCGGTCGGTTGCCATATCAACTCGTCGATTGGCTCCCAACATCTCAATTTTGTCGCGCAATTTCAGCTCATTCGATGTTTCTTCGAGAGGTTTATCTCATTTTCGATAGTATTCCGTTCGAGAATAATCAAATCGCGGAGGTGTTCGCGAAACTCGGCGAATACGAATGGGCCTCGTGTGGGAAATTCCGCAAAGGAGGTGAGTCGTCAACGAGACATTCGGCTCATTTCAAGATCAATCCAAATTCGCAATATCGAATCTTCCTATTTTGGGGAGCTTCGATCAATTTCCAAAATAATAGAGAATCCATTGAAAGTCAAAAAATTAATATTTTTAGACCGATAAAAACGCATTATTTGAGCATGTGTTGCTCACTGATCTATAAAGAAGGGCCCTGATTCGACGAGAGCTTTGATGTTAAAATTAATGCTTTTAATGGTAGACATTTTTTGAGATCTCAATAGAGTAGAAATTTTGAAATTTTTGTTTGGATAATTCCAAAAAGAAAAGAAAGAAATAAATCCGAGTTGTCAAAAAATGATCCCTCGGCCCGGTCCTGCTTTCTCTTGGGCTGGAGACCCCAAGGCCCCGTAGAGACCGTGTTTGAATTGCCGCCATCGCCAATAACAACAAACAAGCGATCCCGGAAAATGTCCGCAGATATTTAGAATTGAATTTTTTGTCAAGATTCAAAAAACAGGGCTCGCGCTGGCCGAACTCCACTTGAGTTAATTATAAAGATTCTTGAATGTTGTTGATTTTTTAAAACCTCACTTGTGCACAAAATAATCTTTGAAACATAGGACCTCAATAATTCGTTTTGGTAAAGGGACCTTTTTTCCCCAGAAAGATGAGTGTAAAAAATTGGAAGTGAGAAATCGATAGTGAAAATTTGATTAGAACGATTGGTCATCTTGACAACTTTGAATAAAAGCAAAAATCGCGAAATTTTCAGAACTGGCTGGTGGTGTGAATATGTCGGTAATCGTGAGCTCTCAATGGCTTTCATCACCGGAGCTCGAGCTGCGCGTCATTTTCGATGGCGATTCTAGATTCGAAAGTGTTTTGTCGCTCATTTGTCAGGATGTTCGAATTGATGCGCGATGAGCGAATCGAATGAATTTCTATTGATTGCAGGACAAGATTTACGCGGGCGGAGTTGCGGAAATCTACGAGGAGAGAAACCCGCAGAATCGTCGAAAGTTTGGGTGTGCGGTTCTCGTTGAGAAATTCGAGAATCGCATTCATCCGAATGATCCGACGACGTCGAATGCCGTCGAAACGCAGACGAGTGAGAGGAATAATGCACCGAAAACGATTAATCAGAATACACAGGTTTTTGAATTATTATTGGCGGAGTCAAACGACTGGAAGAAATTTTAAAAAAACATTATTGGCTATGTGCCAATGTGTCTCGAGGCAGCGAGACGATTGCGTACATTGCATTATAGCGTACGCGCATTTAACATACTGTCAATGATAAATTTAAATTTACGCTGATTTCGCGGTGGTACGCCGGAGTGGAACTCGCCGTGATAGAACTCGGTTCTCAATAGAGCGCAATTGCATCATTGTTTTGTTTGATGGAAAACCGCTCAATGCCTCCCTAGATTTTCTTGAATGAATTGCAGTAGCCATCAATTTCTAATTGTAAATGTTCTCTTTCTGGCCCATGCGACAGATTTTTTCAAAATAACTGTAAATCTATAAAATTGCGAAGAACAAATGTTTAAAAATCCATCAAACAGAACAATGATGCAATTGCGCTCTATTGAGAACCGAGTTCTATTTCGGCCGAGTTTCCGATTTGAAGGACCCGCCTCCCCTTCTATCCTTTGACGCCGACTTTATAATAATAATAAAAATTTTTAAAGTACACTCCACGAGCTGTCGCGAACTCGTCTGATAACACCGAAGGAATTCTTCTCACATTCAACCAGATAGTGGCGAATGTCGACAATCTGCTCGCGAAGCGATTCGACAAAATCCGGGCAGACATGAGACCGCGAGAAGCGCAAACGAAAAAAGCTGAGGAGGAGGTCGTCGAGGATCCGAAACCATCGGGTTTCAACACCTACAATGTGATACCGAGAATGACGAAGTTGTCATTGTTGGACCAAATGATTGTCGAGAAGATGAAGGTGTTGGCGATTCTCGAGCACAACTCGACAGTTTACTCGCAAATGAAGAGATTGAAGGAGGACGAGAGAATCATTGAGCGATTGTATGCGGACATTGCGAAGTCGCCGAAATTGTTGGAGCACTCGACATCGAGCTCATCCTCATCTCGCTCTTCTCCCTCGTCCGCGACGTCTTCGCATCAACCGACGTCGTCAACCGATGCAGCGATAAGGTGTGTTCCAAAAATCGCTGACTGAACACCTGAAAGTCTGCAATTTTCAGCGAGTTCCAAGATCTGAAGGAGGTCGTCGAGACATTCCAGCAAAGACGAGAAGAAATCATGAAAGAGTGGAACGAATCGAGAATGAAGATAAAATGATTTCGGCGTTTTCGAATTTGTATTCAAATTATTTAATTTAATTTTAATATTATTTAATTTATTTTCGGAATCGTCTTTCACTTTTCGCTTAGTTTTTGTCATGATCTAAAAAAATTTTTTTGCTGCCATTTTCCCTTTAAAATTGAATATCTCCTACATAATATCATTCATTTCTTTCATAATCTTGTCAAAGAATAATTGGGTTTTTGTTTTTATTTGTTTTTAAATCGCGGAATAAAATATAAAATCATATTAATTGAAATATTAGCGGCCAATTATTCAAATTTGGGAAAGCGAATAATGAAAAGAAAAACCGAAATTTATGAAATTTATGCGATTTGATTCAAATCAGATTTCGAACGTTGGAAAAAATTGAGAACGTCTTGTTCATATTTATTGTCATCATTGCCATATAAGGCCGAAAAAAAAAAGAAGGTGCGATTCTCGCGAATAATTTTCCTCGTAAAAAGTGCGCGCCAATAAAAAAAATCATTCGCATACACATATTTTGATATTATATATATATTTGTTTTATTGATATTTGCGTGAGTTTTTTTTTTGTTTTTTGATAAGAGTAGACCGTTCGCGAATCGAACACAAAACGCGAGCAAAATTACACAAAATCGCATTCTTGATTTTTCCTTTTTTCGCGTCCTTGATAGTCTTCGTCGTTCGGCAGGTATGCATTCAATCGAACACACGAACGAACTCATTGTCAGATTCTTATCGCTTCTGAATCTGAATGTTTCTCATTCGATTTCCAAGTTTTTTTCTCGCATTGTGAGCGTATGTGTGTGTGTGTGTGAACCTTTTCGAAATGTTTCTTCTTTTTCTTTTGATTCGATCTATCTTCGTCTCCAAATTACAAATTTATAGCCACTCGACACACTCACTCTTCCCCTTTTTTGAACGCTGCCTTGGTGTTTTCCAAAATCTACAGTAACACTTTTTTTGGCGTCAAATTTAATGCAACAAATCGAATAGTCTGTTTCTGAGTCGGTCGCGACAAGACCCTAAATTTTCGCGTCATGATTTAATTTATTTGAAATTCGTGATTGAATCACAAATTTCATGAAAATTGCTTTATAGTCGAATATAAAAAAAAGTAAAAAAAAAAGAGAAAATTTCAAATATCGAAAACAATTTTTTTGGGTTACGGTAATTTACACAAATATTGTGATGATTCTTACAGCTGATAGCCACGTTTTTCGCAACCTATAATGTCTTTGAATTATTCTAAAAAAAACAGAGTATAGATGGAAATAAATTAGTTGAAAATTTTTGAGGCGTTTGAAACAAAACAACCTGATCGCATCGAAAGCTTCTTCTAATTTATTTTTCGATTTTTTTCTTTACATATAATCGAATAATTCTGTCGTGAAGCTTTTGCTTCCAAAATTGGAAAACTCGACTCAATTCGAGAAAACCTTGTCTGAAATAAAGTCTCGTGTTTCTTCATCGAATTTCACCGCCGAACTGATTTGATTATGAAGACATCATTATAATTCGACCAAATCGCTTTACCCCATTTCATTTCCCTGTATTCATTGCATTTTTTTTGCAGCAATGAATGCGTTGGCTGCGATTCAGAATCTCACCGAAATCGCCGGACTGCGTGAACGATTCACCAATTATAGCTTTAACGATGAACTGAGTAAGTGTTGGTTGATAATAGGCGATTCGTTGTCCCTAAAAGGCAATTAGACATTTTTGTGATTCTTCGTTTTGACGAAGCAAAGCAAGCACTTAGCGAAATTACAAAAATACTCGCGAGTAGAGAGCGATGCGAGATTGAGAGAGAAGCGAGAAGAAAACGACGTGCGATTTGCTCGATCAGTAATCCGGATGGGCGGATTAGATGAGATTTCGGGCGGAGGTGAGCACGCGAAAATCTTTGCCAGATTACCGTTGTCTTTTGCGCACATTCGATGCGTTTTTATTTTGAGTTTTGCCATGAAAATGGATGAGACAGGTAAGTTTGCCCAACTTTTGTTTTTCTCGAATCGCAATTTTCGAATCAAAAGTGACAATTTCCCTTAAAGTGCTAATAATCTTCTACGTGTTTCGTTTTCCACTCGAGACCCATTCGTGTTTCGATCCGATTTACTATTATCATCTCTGACTGAAATTGTCACTTTCTGCAAATTATTGTAGATTCTCAGCGATCATTAGGATTACTGTATTATTATTGAAACCCAAAAAAAAAGAAAACAAACAATTTAAATATCAATAAAAGGCGCACATCATTTTTTATTCGATATTGAATTTTGATTGGTTTGAAGATTAAAAGAGTCTGGAATAGACTAGATACTTTCAAAGTCCAAAGGTCACTTTCCATTTGGTCGGGTTATCTCAGATTTTGGTAGATTTTCCAAAAAAAAAAGTTTTTTTCAATTCTGAAGAGATTCTGTATGTATTGCACAAATGTTTCCCATAATAATACAATATCGATCGATTGGGTTTCGACACGCCCCGCCGTCTGTCATTCGAATAAACACGCTCGATGATTACGGTAGAATTGCGTAACTGGTCTCGCCACGACGCAATCCGTAAATGGGCTCGAGTTGTCGGAATTTGAAGCGAATATGTGATGTTCTGTTTTGGCTGAAAAGGGTTGTGGGATTGCCAGCCGACAATTTTTGTTACAGAAAAAAAAATGCTCAATACGAACCTTCCAATTTTACGATTAAAAATTAATTCTCAAAAAAATTTTTTTTGAATAAAAATTCTTTAAAATTGTTGTAATTTTATGTGAAATGCGAAAAAATAAGGAATTTTTAGAAGAATTAAAATTGAAAAAAATTATGCGGAAAATAGCCCTGGTTCGCATTTACTCCCCCGCCCCCCAATCTATTACACCCTTCATCGCACTCTTTTCCAGACCCTTTTATCTCGAAAAGTCTGTGCGCCTTTAAAATCTATTGATGTCTAATCGATTTTTATACTCGAATTTCAGGCAACTTTGTATCGAACTCTTTAAATTCATCATCCTCAAACTCGATATCGTCATTTCAACGCTCGCCGAACGACGATTTCGATTCGTCGTCGTCGTCTTCGCTCATCGCGCCGCCGGCATCCGCCAAATTGATCAATTTCCGCGGCCATCAAGTGGCCGCGTTCGAGATTCACGGAAAAGAAATGATTTGTTTGCCACAGGTGGTCTCGCAACGAATCCCATCCGATTACACCTCACCACTTCCGACAGGTCTACGAATTGTTCTTGAAAAACATGGTTGGCGGACTGCACACGGTCTACACGAAGCTTCGCCGACTCGACATCAATCCGCTGATATGCAACGTCGAGCAGGTTCGCGCGCTTCGAAGCCTCGGCGCAATTCAGCCGGGAGTCAACAGATGCAAACTCATCGAATGCGTCGACTTCGAGAAATTGTACGACGATTGCACCAGCACATGGTTAGTTTCAATCAATCATCGACAAATCCTTTTGCCAATTTTCACCAACCAAATCTACAAAAGCCATTAATTTTTGCGATTCTCAATCAGAAATCAAACGTGTGTTTACCAAAATAATCGGTAATCGTCTTAAAATCTCTAAAACTGAATTATACGTCGAGTTTCGAATCTTCTAGAAGCTTCTCCTCATTTTGTTTACCCAAAAAAATCAAATGATAATCATGTCATGAGTTGCAGCACACGTCCAGGACGTCCGTCGAAGCGCGGACCCTATGACGAATGGAATCCGATTAACACGAAAAAGGAGAAACTCGAAGGTACTGTAGGATAGCGCATAAACAGCTTAGATTACCGTATGCCGACCGAAAGAAGGTTGAAATAAGGGTGTTTGATTAAAAAAAATGAGTGAAAAATTGAAATTTAAGATTGAAATGGGCGCAGATTATCTGATGATGATCCTACGCAAAATCCCGCCAAAATTTTCGATTTTGCCGATCGAATGAAATTTAATTCTTGAAGGCCAACTTGCCGAATGTCGACCAACCGAGATGGCGACGTCGAATCCACAAGGCGTCTTCGGTAATCTTATTCCGCAATTGACCACCCAGCAGCTTCTCATGCAGCATTTTGTCGCGCTGACACAAGGTCAAACAAACGCCACGAGTGTTTTCGAAGGGTTTGTGAAAACGCCGAACATCGGATGGCGACGAGAATGATGGATTTCCAGGAACGAGGATGAGGAAGGACGCGATAGTAGCACCGGCGAGGAGAGCACGCCGTTGAATTTGAGCAAAGGCACAACGTCGGACACGGATTCGGTGGAGAATATGAGAAAAGATGATGTAGAAGACGACGAGAGTTCAAGAATTTCGGCACGTTCATTTTTTGTTTTCAGTCTTCTTCAAACAATTCGATAAGTGATCGCATCGGATCGAACTCGAATTCAGTCGAGGGTTCGAGCAGCGGAAATCGTGGTCCCGAAACCGAGCTCGTCAACAAATTGGCATCGCTTATTGAGATCGCGAACGAGCAATTCAAACAGGAACGAGAACAGTTGTGGAAGGAGAGAAGTAAACCGATTTCGATAGAATTACAATCGATTAGGTTTCATTCTAGACGAGATTCAACTCCTTCGCGACAGCTTCCATCAAATTGTTCAAGATGAGCGTGATCTTCGCATCAAACTGGAATCGCAACGTCGCAAATGCTGTAAGTATTCAATTTTTGAAAGCGCGATCTACAATTTGCGAATTTCAGTCTCAATGGAGCGCAAATACAAAAATGTTCGCAATCAGTTATTGAGTTTGCGTGCCGAGCAGCGTCGTCAAAAACAACGCGATGCTGCTGAGGAAGGCAATCGCGAACCCGAAATCAATGAGAATGCCAGTGAATCACAATTGTAGATGGAGATGATCGAATAAAGGCAAATCGATGAGAAAAATGATGCTAATTATTATTTTATTCTAACCGTAAAAGCGTCTTTTCAAATTCTGAACATTACTGGGCTCACAACAACAACAATAAAAGCAATGAAAACGCCAAACATAAGGAATACCGAAAACATGAAAAGCCTGGCTCTTGTCGCAAACTTAGTATTGGTTAAAATCATGGGCGATATTTTTGAATGGGAGGACGAAACTGGAGAGTCGTCCGTGGGGGATGCCGTAGTTTCGGTGATGGCTACCGTACTCATTGCACTAACAGCTAAGGCAGTTGTGGTAGTGCCTACAGTGGCAGCAGTGGTAGAAACAAACATAGCGGGTGGGGGATTGGTTGAAGGATTAATCGGAATTGTCATCGGCTGAGTAGTGGTTAGGGTTCGATTGGAAATCATTAGTCACAATTTCTTCTTGCACACGAATGATCTTGCGAGCAGACAGAATAGGTCGCTCCATTCGCCTTTCTCGTCAATTCCAGCGCAGTTCTCGTTGTGCTGCTCATTGTCCGGCTGACCTGCAAAAAAAAAATACAATTCAGACCAATAGTATCAAAGATAACATGCCATTTCGATATCAGCGTACACAATTTTTAATTAAAATAAGAAAATTCGCGTGAACTGATGAGTCATCGGCTTTGCGAATGGATAATTCTAGAAAGTGTTTCAAACCTTGTCTCCAATTGCGATAGTTCGATGGTGTTTTATCAGTGTTTACAAAAATGTTCTCCTTTTGCACATCGTTCAGAGAAATCCATGCAAATTTGCCTTCAGGCACAAGACCTAAATCCTCAATATACTTGGGATTTCCTTCAAAATCCCTTACTTGCGATCAACATATTTTCATCATCATCGTGAATTGACGCCAGATGACCACCATATCCGATGCAACTTTCTTCAGCATTGTACCAAGATTCGTATTTCTAGAAAAAAAAACAGCTAAACGTGTGGATACGATGGTAATTCATTGAATTACATCAATAAAAACATATTCGTAACCGGCTTGCTGCTTCTTGGGAGCTTCTATCCATCGAATTTTGCGCTGAAAACTCAAAAATAATACATCCACTGCGAAATTTACAAAAAATACTTTGATTTCTCTCAGATCCGTGTCAGTCATGGTTTGATAATGTTTCAAATTCTCTTCGTGCTGTTTTGTGAACCGATCAAATCGTTTTTGCGCTTCATACTCGGTCAACAATATGACTTTTTCGATGCGAGTTTCGATTTTTGCGGTCATGTTCATCCTTAATTCTTCAAGAAGATCTTTGCAATCACAACCCGACGATTTAGGCGCTAGCATTGGAGAAACACTGCGGAAGTTTTGCCGTCGATAACTGTTATCGTAGGTATCTGAAACTGCATTGCTTCCTCCTATTCTCTGCCATTTTTACAAACTTGGATTATTGTTAAAGTATCTCATTCGTTTCGGGATAATCGGCTGATGGGTATAATCTTCGTTAAACTGTGTGGAGAGAACGGAACCTGCAAACACGTAAAATTCTTTGAATGTAATAGGAGAATTACATGAGTCTCAATAACAAAAAACAAGTAATACGTTTTCAAATAACATATTATAAAATCAAGTTAAGGCATAAGAAAAAAATGTTTCAGACGAAATTTTGTTATATTTGAACTACAAGGTCTTGCAGTGAAAAACCAAGGTTGTTGCTTTTTTTTTTGGAAGAAGCACTATAACTTCTATCGAAAAATTAAAAAAAATATTGCAGAGAAAAATCTTAAAATTTGCAAGGTTTTAAAACATTTCACAAACCTCTTGGCAGCGATCGGAGACCTCTTGATCTATCTTCAGTTCCATTTTTCTCGTGGCACGAAGCCAATAAATCTCGAAGACATCTGATTTCCGCAGCCCAATTGTGTCTTAAATATCTAAACAATTATGAAGGAAAAAAATTGAATATGGACTAACCCAAATTCGGTACAAACATCCGGTTTCCTGATGATGACGGAATTTACAATTCCGATAAAAACGAGTGCACAAGCGAGAAGCCGCATGTTGCCTAATGTAATCAGTTTTTAATTTACGAGCAGTTGGCAAATAGTTTTACGATCGATCGCAGAGGCGTATAAAATACGAATGAGTCAGTTGAGAGGCGATCGCGCAAAAATTAATAATAGCGGTCAGAGCGAACAGATACAGCGTACAAAAATAATTTCATTTTGTGCAACGGGATCAGTTTTAATAAAAAAAAAAGATGATCGGTTAACCTAGATGAGCTACTTTCAGAAAAAAACTAAAATTATTTATAGACATATAATAAACAGATCCACTTCGTTATCAATTAAATAAATATAATTTAAACATTGAGTCATTACCGACCTTCCCAGATTTGCATCTTCAAAATGCAATAATTGAGATTTGGAAAAATTCTCTCATAAAAATAAAATACGAAAAATTAAACTAATAAATTGAGAACGCCCTGATTAACTCAGAACAAAAATCCGCAACCACGGTACCGTGCTTTTACAGAGAAGTGGTTACTACCGTAACCAGCTGTTTTCAGTCTCGAAAAACGGATAGAATAGAAAAATTCTGGTTCTGACCCGTGATACCTGTTTTAATACTATATTACTATCTTTAACATTTTTTCTAAAAAATGATAGACCTAATCAGCATAATGCAAAATAGACAAAATAGGCATTTTTAGCTTAAAAATTGACAAATATTACGTGATTGGCTAATGACAAATTCGACAATTTTTCTAGCATTGAATAGATCCATAACACTGCTATTTTAATATCTCGGCAATCCGTGAAACGGCGGAATTTTTTCCATCATTAAACAAAAAGAAAAACTCCGTCATTTCTCCCTCACGGATTGCCGATATTGCTTTTTTTTCTACAAATAATATAACCCTAACAATCTGTTCTGGAATGTCGTAAGGTAGAACAAATCAGAAATATAATTTTTTTAATCTATGCAGCAAAACGTTGTGAGACCCCATTATACAGTACACATTGAAACCCGTCGAAACACACATTTATGCTCATAAAAGGTCAATTTTATTCGTTCTTTTTGATTCGACAAAAGAGGTGTGTATTTATAGTCCGAAGAGCATACTTCACCGATTTTCATTGAATCAAGACACTTAAAAGAAATGAATCATGGAAAAAATTGAAAATTGCGACAAATGTGGTCGCGTTTATTCGCGGCACCGATTTCATAAACAAAAAATGATCGGGACAGATGTTTGGTGAGCCTTTTCTTCACACATCTGAAGCGGAAAAGATGGCGACACGTGAAGAAGCAGAAGAAGAGAAAAACGGGAGTTGAGGCTTGATGTTGAGTACAAATTCATGAATGAAAGACGAGTTTATCGTAGCTGTTTGATTATGAATTGATGGAGGCGCGCCAATTATGCTACTACGCAGATTTTGCAAAACAAAAAAAATCGAATCGAGTTGATTGAGGAGCCGAATTTTGCGAGAACCATTGGTTTTGAGTTACCTGAAGTTTTTTTATACATTTTGAAAATTAAAATTTTTATCTAATTTAATTTTCATTTTTCACAAAACACGTAGTATTATTGTCGGAGTCAAACGACTTGACAAAATTTTAAAAATTATTGGCTATGTGCCAATGTGTCTCGAGGCAGCGAGATGATTGCGTACATTACATTATAGCATACGCGCATTTAATATTCAGTCAACGATTAATTTAAATTTATGCTGATTTCGCGAATTTGAAGATCCTGTCTCCTTCAGTCGTTTGACGCCGACCATAGATATATAATAACTATAATAATTTATATTGGCATTCACTTACTTGATCACAGCGGAAGAAGCAAATCTACCCGCGCGGCGAAATATGTGTAATTCTTCGAAACCGAATAAACCAAGTTTTCATTTTTGATCTTTAACGAGAAAAAAGTTCAAGAAAGTGCAAAGGCTGTGAAATTGGCATTGCTGTTTAGCCTACAAAATGTGACAACCGGAATTGCGCATATCGTAAACTATCACGCATATTTGACCATATTTCACTGCAACTGCGCTAACAGACGAAAAATAGTTAAAAAAATAGTTGAAAAATAGTGCAGACTTTGGATGAAAGAGGGATCTGTAACAGATCTATTTTCAAGTCTATTTTTCATCAGCGCTTCATCTATTTCTCAGCCATTCTCTATCTATTTAGCATCTTGGATTCATCTATTTTTCATCCATTTTATGTCTTGTCTCTGTCCCTCGTTCTTGCATTTTTCATCAGTTTTCTATCTATTTCTCATCCATGATTCATCCTTTTTTTAACCCATTTTTGTCTACTTCTTGTCTCTTATTCATCTATTTTGCGTCTATTTTTCTTCTGGATGGTTTTTATGAAAAAACAACAGTAAACGGAAAACAACAAAATAAAAAAAAAGAAAAATACAATAAATTGTTTAACATTAGAAATATCAAATTTCAATTAAATAGAAAAATGCTGATTGAAATATTCAGCGGCATCGGGCTTCAGTTTTTTGAGTTTGTGCTCTTTTCCAATTTTGATAGCCAAACTATGCGCCATAACTTTGCTAGCGTGGTGAGATCCTTTCTGATCGTTATAATTTGAACGAAGGCGATCGCTAAAAGTACATGGTGTTATTTAGTGAAACATTCGCATAACTACATGAAAGTAATCGCAGACTCATTGATTTGCACAGCAACTGAAGTAGCTTGATCCGTCGTTGGAGCAATATCTAATCCAATGAACAATGCTTCTTAATTTTTTTTTAACATTGTTCACATATGTATGTATTATCAGAATTACCAGATATCATTTGATTAACAGCAGAATCCATGTGGAGATATTCCAGACGAGCACCAGGCGTTCCTAACAAGGTATAAGCTATCAGATAGTTATCCTTATCGTAAATCTGCAAAATATATATGAGCTCTATCTAAGACAACTTTAAACCTCGGCAAATACATGACGCACCAGTTTCGATGCCGATGTCAGAAGGTTTTGACCAATACTTCCGACAAATTTTGAGCAGATTTCTGCGATATCGACAACTACACCCGACGGCAGTGTGTATTTACAGTGTTGGTGATTCAATAAGCAGCCTTGGAATAGGTAGATGGTCTCATCGATATCAACTTTATTCTGAAAATGTTCACTGCACATATCATTATGCATTCAATACCTTTTTCCAGATGCGCGTTCGATATTCGTCTAGTCTATTAAACTGAAAAAAAAACTGTATAGTCCATTGTCCGAGCAGATTAAAATTTTCATACCATAATGGCCATCCCGCACATACTCATCCACATTTCTTTCACGCCCTCATCTTTCTCTGCTTCGGCTTTTCTTGCAAAAACGTCCACGTCAATTCCATTTGTTGCGTTTTTTACAAAGTTATTTACTGAACTCTGGAATGAATTTATCTTTAACAGCAAATCTATGTTCATTAATTGTTACCTTGACTTCATCGTAAGATTTCGCTATGTCGCCACCAGAGAAAATTACACGGCGTGCAAGCTGTGATGCGTTGAGGTATCCATCTTTAACCAGCGGCTCATTCGACTTCTAAATTGAATGAAACATTAAAGATATTGGTTGTATGGCAAGGTGTTCCGAGTGCGACGAAATAGTAGACGCAGACACCTATACACTCTCACTAATGCATAGGCGAGTTTTCCTTTGCATCTCTGCGCCTCCATCTCACTATGAGAGGGAGGCCCAGCCCCTTTTTTGGGAGTTGGTACGCTTGCCGCTTTACAGGCCGGATGCCTCCGGGCACCGGCCCATCTACATTTATTCACAATAAACCATATTTAATCACACTGTGGATATCTGGTCAGCTAGTCAGGGCATTGACAGGTTAACGGTACTCTCCCGTATGGCGCCGGGAGAGGATGCGTTACACGAGGCAAATAAAAGTGAAATTAAGAATTTACCTTGTTTGTGCGGACATGGGTAACTATATCCAAAGGATCGCGCTCCGTGGTTGGCTTATTCCGATGCAATGCATTTGATGATGTTTCGTAATACTGTAAGAAAGACGCCAGAACAATATTAGTAAAAAGAATAAAACAAAATTACATCATAGTATTTATGAGGAAGATGTGACCTCCGGTGGCTTCTTCTCTGAAAATAATGCAATATATGTAATTTTGAAGCTTGTTTTTATTTTTCCTATGTCTGTGATTACTGTTGTTGTCCGTGTTCATAATTTTGTGTATGGCATAATTATTTAATTATGCATATTTTAACCCCTTCCAGAAATATTTCAACATGTGACCCACGAGTAAAATCAAAGTAAAACATACTAAGAATACGTCCTCAGCCTTATTTGTCGATTCCATATCCTCAATTAGCGTACTTCCTTCTTCTTCTTCTTCTTCTTCTTCTTCATATAATTGTTCTATAAGTACAAAAATAGCTTTAAAAATACACGAGTGTCGTTAATTTTTTTTCTGAGTGAAACTAATTGCTTATCGTCGAGAATATTTGAAAAAAACAAGTGTAAATAAAATGTTGTACCGTTGAAATGTTCTCGTGGCTGCAGGTATTCAAATTTTTTTCTTCTTCGACAATGGTGAAGCTCTTGGTTCATGTTCTGCCATGCTGTTCCTAAATTTACATTATCCGATTTAAATTACTGTTTAAAATGTATTGTTCAAATAGGTTACAAACCAATTTAACGTGAGAAAATTGATGAATTCAACGACATGATAAACGATTTATATATTTTTTGACATATATTTAAAGAGACAAGGAGTGAAAAAAATAGTAAGCCTTTATGCATGATATCCGCATCCTGTAGAAACGCACATTGCGATGTACCCATTCGATATTTCGATCAAACAACCTATACCAACAATTTCATCCAGACCGATAAAAACCTCCTCCGTTGAGAACTTCCCGTTGCATAAGAATGAGTACTTCCTGCAGAAAAATAAAATCGATAGAATACAGTTTTAGAGAGTAGTTTTCTCACCGCACAATCTCATACAATTTTCGATATTTCAAGTTCCTTAACCACGTGAAACTGTTGTATTCTTCTTCAAACTTCTGGACGCAACACATCCATCTTTCGGCTTCTTTGAAAACATAGATAAATCTAAGAATAACGTCATAAAAATATATGAACGATCTTTGCTCACCTGCAGACTCTCATTGAAGAATTTTTGGTGAACAATATATCTTTCTTTGTGTGGATTCCACAATGTTTTGACCGAATGATTCCAAAATTCAAGTGGTACGCTCCAAACGTGTTTTCTCCGTTTGGTCCCATAATATCTAAAGGTTTCGAAGCTCCAGAGAATGGAGTTTGCAATGATGGCGCATATTTACAAAAGTTGTTCAATAACGCCGATGGGCTTTGTGACAATCTTCGTTTAATCTCTCGTTCGAGGTTCACTCGCATAACATATCTGTAATATTCATTCGTGTTTTTTTTAAATATATTTTAATACCTATGAAGTACAATTCCAGGAAAATTGTTTGTAATATGGGTACAAAAATCCCGAATTAGAAATTTGTACATTGCTTCAAATGACGCAGTAGATAAGCACGCAACGTTTCCAAACATCTTGACGTTGTCAACGTAGTGGTAAATGAATTCCTATATATGAAACCATGATTGCGTTGTTCAAATATTTTGGACATACATGCAGTTTGATTGTGAAGTACGTTGGAGAGTTATCCAAAAAGCATTTTTTGCAACGTCACACAAGTCAAAAGTATCCCTATGGTTCAACATTCCATTCGTGCACATATTATTGAAAATAAGACCTAAAGCAATAATTGCACATCGTCCATCTGAGGGTAAACTTGAATTGCAGATAGCAAACAAGAAAATTTGAAGTCTGAATAACTATAAGAAAAATCTAAAACATTATATCTGAAACATACATCTAGTTTTTGCCTTCCGTTAGTGAGCAATCGAGTCAAATCGGCTCCTTCAATTGGCAATTGTAGATGTTTGTCGAAGTTTTCGAGCATGGTTTCATCGCATTCGAACATTGCAGATTTTTTCTTTGAACATCTAAACTTTTTAGGCATGAGCTCTGGAATTTCTGCCGTTTTTTTGGTCACACTTAATTTTGATACCTTTTAGTATCAACATTACAATTCCATCTGAACAAGTGTGAAGAACATCCAAGATTGTATTGTACGGCTTGACATATTGCACCATTTTCGCCGCAACAGGACCAAATCCATTAACACCGCGAATACTATCTTCTAGAGCCTTATCCCCAAATCTGTCCAATCGTCGATCTTAAATCAATATAAGCGATGAATAAGAGGGTTTAAAATTATTATTGATTATTACCGTTTCCAAGTAGTGGTTTGTGCAGAGTTCCGTGAGAGTCGCAATAAAAACAAGCTTGTGGACATGAAAAACCGCTCATTCCAAGAATTTTTCTTTTTGCCTTAAACTGAAATCTATAGAAATTTTTATCACTTAATCCTTACTGGTTGGTCAGAAACGAGTGACACGAGGTATGGAGAAAATAAAATATTGTTTACAACAAATGTTGACCCTTCGCCTTCCAATCGATTCATTATAATTTCCGTGACGGTATTCAAAACAAGGGTTGTTGGATTATTAGCTTTTAATTGCAGCATTCCACAGACTACAAGATTAATTGAAAGTTGCGACTTCATTGTAGGCAAATCCACTAACTGTAAAGTAATTGGCCACAAACATCCTCTAAATGGCACATCTTTAATAAACAAATAATAATAATACCTGAAATGTCCTCGGGGATTGACGCCGTCCAGACTTAGCACCATGCTCAGATCACAATGATTTTCATCCTCGTATTTCCATGAACTGGAAAAAGAACTTCCTTGAAGATTGTGTGTGAAGTTTGGTGCTTTTTCCTTCAATTTCTTTCGAATTTCCATTATATCGTCAAAGGACGACTCCACAATCCCGCGAATTTGTTCGGTGAGAGGCAGCATAAGAAAAGTCGCCAAATCGCCGCAACTGAAATTGATCATAATAATGTTTGAAATGTGGTATATGTGTTTACCATTCTTTCTCTCTTCGACATCCACACTTTTCGCATATTGAACGCTTCATAATATTCTTCTTGAAATCATACCACAATGAGCGGGCTCTTTCAATCGGGATGAAGTTTTTAATTGTTGCCAGTCGTCTCAAAAAGCCTGCAACCATTTTTTGTCTTTGGAAAAGTATTAGTTTTACCATTTTCTGTATCTTTTCCGAGTACCGAACTATACATGCACAATAATAGTTCATCGGCCAATTCCGATACACGATCATGTGCGGGGTAATTCGGTACGCATGACGGCCCGACTACTTCGGAGAATTCTTCAATTTCGCTTTCAGATCGTTCTCTCATGAGAAAGGATGTTGTTGATGCATCATTTTCATTATTTTCGTTGTTCGACGATTTGTTTCGAAGTGAAAGCCGGGCGTTTTTTCGAGCAAAGACCACACGTTTGGTCGGCATGCATCGCGAACCAGCAATTTGATCTTAAAATAATAAACAATCAGCAATATTAATATACGAAACAAACCTACCTTTCCTCAATTTGAGACCTTCTTTGGGTAATCGATGGCGAAGAGTTTTAGGCATTTCCAAAATTGATTTTTAAAAAAATTGTGATTAACATGGCGCCATCTGCATTCACATTACGATCAACTGCACAATTCCATCTATTTTTCACCCTTTCAGTGTCTATTTCTTATCATTATCTTCTATCTATTTTTTCCCAATTTTTCATCTATTTGTCATCCATTTATCGTATATTTTTCACCAATTTTTGAGATAATCTATTTTTCGCCCATTTTTCTCCTAGTTTTTATCTACTTTTCCGAGTAATCTATTTTTCATCCACCTTTTCACCATTTTTCGTCTGTAGCACAGTTGCAGTGTTTGTTTAGCTCTCTCAAATATTTGAAGAAACGAATTTCAGTTGGTCGGTTTTTCTGATTAACGAATACATATTCAAAATGAATATTTCAATATAAATGTTGAAAAAAATCAAAGGTGTGTTGAAAAAAATCATTAGGTAAGCTAGTTCATAATGCGATAAATTTAAAAAAAAAGTGATTAGTGGAAAATGCGGATCTATATCGCAACATTGATACATCTCATAAATTTCTCGCTGAGCCCATTAAGATTTTTTTTTCTAAAACCACTTGTTCTCTCCTCGAACATTCGTCATTTGAGTTGTCATTCGAATTCGAAGCCAAAAATTGCATCAAACGCTTCTTTCGAAAAAAAACTTAATGTGGCCTCATAAATTGACTAGAAAAAAAAAGAAAAAATAAACGAATAAATCGTTTGTTTTTTGTTTGAAAAAAAAAACTAACAAAAGGGAGCTGTGGCGAGTTCTATTCGATTGCAGCCGACTCCCATAAATCTCGAGTTCAATTCGCGAAACAGTTGTGTTCTTTCTCGCTTCTCCTCGTGTGTTGCAATGTTATCTCAAAATGATTTACAGCTTTTCTCACAATCGACAATTTGTTAATCACGGATGCGTTTGTCGTCACCGCTAAAACACGGAATTTCAAAATTCAAGATCGCAAGAGTTGACCGCTGTGGGACTCCGCATAAAAATCGTATGCACCTTTAAGTAGCGTATTCAAAAATAATAGAGAACTCAAATTGTCTTACCGTCCACTGATTTTCAGAGATTCTCGAATATTTAGAAGTATTAATGAAATTGCGAAATTTAAAATGAAAAATTAACTGTTTAAAGATTGGATCTCATAGCGCCCGATTCTGGTAGATGGTTTTCTCAGAAGCAGGCTTATCAAAAAAACAGGGCCCCTGATTTTTTTTTAATTTTTCATTTTAAATATCACGAGGGCCCAAGGCCGGGCCGGGGGACCGTTTTGACAACCCTGCAGAAGCAGACTTTTAATTTATTTCCAATCCTACTATTGTCAGTTTCAAACAATTATTGAAACGCGCATTTAATATTCAGCCAAAGCGTAAATTTACAAATTCGTACATCTCCACTGATTTGCGAATAATTTTCCATCAAAATCAAAATTTCTTTCGGACTCATCTTTATTAACGTCGAGCATATAGAATTTACAATCAAATAAGCCTATCTGGCGCCTTCAGTACAAATACAATCAGCAAATAACAACTTCTCAAACACAAGTTTCGAATTACATCATATGGTTATTTGGATTATTAAATATTAGAGGATGATATATCTTTTTTTGGGGTTTTTGCTATTTTCTACAGTACGAATACAATAATGGATGGTCCGGTGCGTAACAACACTGATACATAAATTTTTGGTGAGCAACGAGATTCTAAAACAACGTATTCGCATCGAAATATACCCGTCATGGGTTCTTGAGATAACTTTTTCGTAGTCCCGTATTACAATAAAATAAAATCAATCTTAAAAATATAAAGCAATTATAATAGATTTTCAGAGTCCAGAAGAAATAGCAACTTCTTATTTTGTCTCCCATTTGGCGACGAGTTCACGCAACTCTTTCAAACGAGCCTCGGAGACGGTCTCGCTTGTATTATTGAGCAAAGGCTCCAACGAAGCAACAACTTTTTGAACTTCGCCATTCTCTGTGGTCTAAAATTAATAAAAACCGATAAATTTTCATAAATTAAAAAGTAAGCTTACAGCTGGGGGAGATGATAATTCCGATTGATCATGATTTGCGGTACCAGTGTTTGCTGGGACTATTTGAGCAACTTGAGCCGGCGACGCTGAAGGGATTTGACCAAACGAAGCCATTGAAACCATCGGAGAAACAGTAGGGCGAATCGGGATGGGAGCGATCAAATTCGCTGGAGGTTTGCATTCAACAACTTCGGTGAGCGGCTCCGCACCATACGGCTTCGGATACTGCTCATTGCTCTGTATAACTGGTGTGAAAGCCGACATCTCTTTATGATTGGTGAGATAAGTAGCAATCAACTGAAAACGAATTTAAAATTATCAAAATTGATCAAGAAAAAACGTACACTTTGTTGCTGCATCTGGTAAGCAGCGAGCATCTGATGCATCGGATTCGGAAAAGCCATCATCTGCTGATGAAGAAGCTGTTGCTGGACAGCGTTCAATGGAGGCGGTGGTGCCATCAACTGTGGGGCAGCAATCGGCGGCATGAATCCAAACATTTGCTGTTGCTGTGGCTGTTGCTGTGGCTGTTGCTGTGGCTGTGGCTGTAGCTGTGGCTGTAGCTGTGGCGGTGGCGGAGCCGGACCAGGCTGTCCCGGTGTTTGTGCACGGGAGGTCGCTTGCGACGACGACGCCGTGTTACTGTTTCCTCCCTGCTGCTCCGGTAAGTTCTCTTTATTCTCGTTGTTTTCTCCGCTTTCGTTAGCCTCCCGTTGAACCACAGAGACTGCCCTCGATCTGCGCCTGCCGGTTATCACACTGCGGCGAATTTTCTGTGCGACTTTGTTGTACATTTCAAGCGACACTTCGTGGTCGTTATGCACCGGATTGCACGTGGTGATCTTGAGGCATTTCTCAGAGAAGTTGTAGTTGAGGCGAAGCATCGCCTTGCATCCGCATGGCAAATAGTTCTGGTTCGGGCGTTTTCCGACACCTGAAAACCAAACAAATTAATTAAAATGAAGCGCAACTGTTGTGTCGGAACATTCACCGGATTTTTGGGCCACCCCAAGCAGCTGGTCATAATATGACAAGTAGCCTTGAATGTATTTAGAAATAAAAAAACATACACAAGACAATTATCGAAAACACTCACAGGTGTTCGCATGCGCCCACCCGTGGCGCGACGCAGATTGCGGTTTTCGCGAGTGTGTCACCAATTTGGCTCAACGCCAAACATGGCTACGAACCAGCCAGCAGCGAGGCGCAGCATAATTAGCATGTCAGCACATAGGAAGCAGATGTTCTTCGAAACAGTGTTACAACCCGGCTTGATATATCTATGTGGCGCCTGGTTCATAAATCTGGCCTGTTCGAGCTGGTGGGAATTCCGTTTACGACAAAGCAAAACGCATATTATGTGGTTGAGACGCAAAATTTTGAAAAGCATGGCGCTCGCGCGGTGACAGCTGCACCCATCTCGACTATGAATACCTAAACAGGCGCAGAGAACAACAGATGTGGCGAATACGTTTAAATTTCTCTACAATATTTTTCCGGGAATACGAGATGCTCTGGTGCGATGCCCAAATTACAAATCGACAAAGTTAATAGCTCTTGATTGTCATTCAAGTAGTATGACGCAATGCCGACACCGTCAAAAGGAATCTCCCAACAAAGCGGACGCGTGCGCAGGCGGACTGTCCCCCCAGTGGATTAGCTAATAAAAACCGTACCGCGCATTCTCGGCTCTCCATAATGAGCGCAATGATAGACGACGTAGCGGTACTTGAATTGGAGGTTGACTTCGCCGTCGGGTTCGCGAAGAGCTTCTGACGATGCTACACGGAATGGATGAAGGTGTTGGCGTTTCCAAGCGTCGAATATTGCTTCGAATTCCTTGTAACTAAAATTTTATTTTCAAAATTTGAAAACAATAAAAGTGATATTTTTACCTCCAGAAACGCGTTTTCTGATTGATGTAATCCGATGGATTGAAGCTTGGATCAGTGGGCAAAACATAAGGGGCATCGATTTCTTCGATTCCCTCATCTGATGTGTTTGAATGGGTTGGGCTACAGCTCGGTTGCTTATTTCGCTTGGCGCTTGTCCCCTCCTAAAAACGTTTTACTATTCGGGAAATTTCGCTTTTTTTTTAAGTTTTCTTATAATTTTGTGGACGATTTTCAAAAAAATGAAAAAGAAAAAACGAAAAGACGCATGAAATATATTTTCTGAATGGTCTCGAGACGAAATGAAAATATGGACTCCGTGAGGAGAATTTTTTTGAAAAATTTTCCGTTTTTGACCAAAACTTTTTAATAAATTTGTCAAAAAAAAATCGTTTCGCATTTTTTTTTTCTTTAAACAGAATTTTACCTCCTTCTTCACTCTTGGTTTGCGCCCGGCCGGTGTATTGGCTTGCTTGCCGTTGCTAGATGAAGCGTTGGTGTTCATACCTGCAAATTTAGCTTTTAGAATATATTGACATGATGTGCGAAAACACTATGCGAAGCAATTGAAATTATTAAAGGAGCAACAAAATTGCTCAGATAATCCTATGGGATCTGGTAGGGAAGAGAAACAAAGAAAATTTTTGCAGATTACTGCGGAGATAGCTGGTAGTGCACCAAATGAGTGCTCTGGAATCTAACTAACTCGATATCACGCAACAGTTGAGCTGGTCTTAGGAGGCGGTCGGGACGATGGGCGGAGCTAGCTGGTACGCCCACGTGAGACACTGCGCAGGTGCAGGAGATCGACGATAAATGCGCGAAAAGAACGGAGCTATGTGAGAGAGAGAGGGAGACGATAACGATGGACAATATGGGATCTGCGAAAATGTGCAAGAAAAATTGGTTGGTAACATAATTTTTTAAAAAATTAGGGTTGTGAAGGAAAAATGAAACTTTAAAAAAAGGGAATAATTTGTGGATTCAAAGAATTTTTTGATACTAGACGCGAAACGCGATTGGCGTTTTCAAAGTCTTGGAAATCAAGATATTTTAATTGTCGTCTTCTCATGCAAATATATCCAAATTTTCTTATGTTTCATCCAATTTCGTGTAGAACAATATCTCACATGTCTGGTTTTAATGTAGATTTTGCAGAGTTCCGCCACCCAGAGTAGTTATGCAATTTTGTCAATGCGCGCATCAGGTCAGTGGCGCACACCTCCGTCTCGCCGGGTCGCACACTATTTCGTCGATTTTTGCACAATGTGTGGCACAAGCGGTAAACAACGCCAATGATGTCACCGTAGGAATGGCGGTGAGGATATATCAGTCGAGAGCAGAGACGCAGATCGATCATTGCCAAGATATTTGTTGGCCGGGTGGCGCACGCCAAAGTATACCCACCAAAATATTGCTAGGTAAAACGATCGATACAAGAAAATGGACAAGAGTGCACGTCTTAATATAAATTTCAGAGTGCGAGATCAGTTTGGAAGAACTCAGGTAATTGAAAATTAATCGGATTAGAAGAAAAATTAAATATGAATTAACCTGTTTCGATTGAAAAATAATTAAAATTCGATTAGGAAAACGCTTAAATTCGATTTGAAATTTTGGTTTCGATTCAAAAATCTTCGAAATCGGTTGATTTATTTCTCATTCTCAATTTTGAAATCATATCCGATTGAAATTTTGGAATAATTCGAAACAGATTAATTTACATTCGATCTAGATTGAAAAAAATTATTTTCGAATCCGATCGATTTTCATTTGCCTGAGAATGCGAAATTCAGCAGTGTTTAAACTATATGGTCCAAAACGTAATTATGCCAACATAATTGCACAATTATCGATTTTCTAATTAAATATTAAATTAGAAAGAAGTGAAAAGGAGAAACCACTAAATCAAAAATAATGCATTTCCTAAATATGTGTGTTGCACTTTTTGACATCTCCGAAATTACGAAAAAGAATCAAAAGGGTGTTGAAAAACAGAACAGACAAAATCAATGAAGAAACGAGTTTTCTGATGATTTATAGATCAAAAAATACCTGATTTCAATGATGTACATTTCATGTAGGTCAACTAAATTTTTTTCTAAATAAGATGAGCAACGAATTTGAATAAGCTTTATGAAAAAAGAATCAATAAAAATAAGTCCACATAGCATAAGGTAATTTGTATTTATTTTGATTGTGTGATGGAATATATTCTGATTAAAAACATCCGTTCTACTTCTCATTGTAAAACTTTACAGTGTCGATTTCATTACAATGAAAAGGAGGAATCATAGGTTCGATAATTAATATAAATACGAATGTTGCTATTTTCCATCGAATAAAATCGCCGCTTTCAACTCTTCTGAAAATCGCGACTCTTTTCTTGAATCGCTTGTACTTTTTATGACAATTTTCACAAATAAATTGTTCCGAGAAACATTTTTCCACTCCAAACTGTATTCATATTATAGAAAGGATCTCGAATAAAGTCATGTGGAGGGATAGTTCATTTTAAAGAAATTCGTTTTCAAAAATGTTCCAATTCAAATTCGCGATGTCCAAAGGAATGTGCGATGTTTGGCAATATTCCCCATTGTCTTTGATGTCCGTAAAAGTATCAATTAGACGTTGGCTGTCATCGATTCCAATCGTATTGCCTCTCGCAAACTCCAACAAAGGGGCGAGCAAATCTTGTAAATCTTGCAGTAGGTGCTAGGTGCAATTTGATATACAATGCGATATGTCTGTCAGTTGGATGTTCCCACGAGCAACGGGACTCGTCGCCATTATTTCAGGGTTACCGCCATTTGGAAACAAAACTTTTGTGCTCGACTGGTGAGTGTGAGCGCGAGTGCGGGTCTGTGCAGGTCTCTCTCTCAACGTGTGTCCGTCCGTGTGTCATGCCAAAAGGTGCCAACGAGCTGTTGCGCCATCTGTGTGTCGAACACCATCCACATGTGGAAAACAGGATGATGATTCGAGAGACGCAGATAGTTGAGCCAATTATTCGTTTCGTCAAGACGCAATCATATTCGGTTCTCGATATTTTTTATTACGTATAACGAGCAAGAAAATACAACTTTGTTTGGAGATCACAATCGGTTGTTTGATTTTGGAGAAACGGGAAGGGGAGGGGACCGAGTTACCCATAAAATCAGTGGAAAGCACAACGTTTGTTTGTTTTTCAATTTGACAAATTTTCTCTTAAATACTCTGGAACGACTTCTTCTGCGAAAGAATGCGCGAATCTCGACTATCGCAGCGTGTGTAGGTTGTGTTTATCGATTGCGAACGCCTGAAATCATAATACGAGTTATTCGAAATCGAAGAGCTCTTCGAAAGATAAGATAATGGATCTCAAAAACACCGAAAACTCCCTATAATTGCACTTGAGTTTGTCACATATGATAAGATCACATTTGATTAGACTGATGATGACGGCCATGATCATCTGGATGATGCTCGCTCGACACGACAGCAATCAAAGCCTATTGTTTGGGGAAATTTGAAAACATTGAAAACTCATATAATACCTATTCAATTTTGACGAGGCTTTTTGAACAAAAACTTATTTTTTCGGGGGCAAATTAATAAATTTATAGCATCCGCGGGATTTTAAAAATTTAATACAAAAATCAAAGTCCAAGATAGATTTTTTAAAGTAGTTTTGTGGTGAAATAATTAAAAAATTCAATTGCTATAGTTATAAAAAAAATGAGATTTTCTAAAAAAATTTGCTTAGAGGTTATAAATTTTATGAGAATTTTCCCCCATAATTCCCCCAGTTCTCCTCAATTCCGTTCAATTAATTTTTTTGTATTTGCTTTTTTTCGATCCGCGAATACGCTGCCATGTGTTGCATAATCTCGTCGTATGCCACTCACGTGAACAAACCGCACAGAATACTACGCGCGCTCACTCACTCGATCAATCTCTCTCTCTCTCTCGAACTTTCGCCGACCAATCTCATATCCATATAAGGTGTACCGTATTCGATTTCGCCGCTGAGAATGTGTCGGCTATTCAAATAACTAATTGGCGTTTTCGAGATCCACTAATGCACACCACAGGAAACAAAATGAATCGAACGACGACGACGACTCGAAAACGAAAACCGCATTCCGGTGGTGTACACGCACACAACAAACTTTGATAAATAGCCAACTTCTCGTCGCGGGACCCATATTTGGTGCGCAACATGTTGAAGAGACGTCGACGGAAGCTGCTTGATGACAGACAGAACACCACAAAATTGAGGCTTTTCCCAATTACGACGAGAAACGAAGTGATTGTCGTTAAATGATACCTAAATTATTTGAATTGATTTCATTTTACGAAATAAGCGTACCAATGTGGTTTGAAAGAGTCCTGCCAAAGCGAATTTATTGTGAGAACAACCGCCGATGGTGCCTTTAAAATCAAAGATGAGCTCAAATCAATTACATTTTCTGGTAGGGCGTAAAAAAAGAATAAAAAATAGTTTTAGTTATTTGAAAAAAAAGGGCAAATGAGCTCAATTTGTTTCAAATCCAAATTCCTAGGCTCCATACGTACATATAAATAATGAACTGTGATATTTTCAATTTATACATTTTTTCACTCAAATTCCCAAAATACGATAGTTTGCTTATCTCTAGGTCGATCGGATCTCCATCGCTGCTCATTCCGTCCCAAATCATGTTAATCTTCTGACGGCTCAATTTTATGAGCACTCGACATTGATCTTGGTCTTTTGTAACAAAAAATCGACGTTTTTTGTCTTATCTACATACAGATTTCGCAAAAAAAAAACCCGGTAAAAACCAAAAAAATCACGATTAATAAAAAGTATATAAACGTTTACGTTTAAACGTTCGGCTTCGAAAAACGTGGCCGCGGCCTAGGTTTTTGTAGGTTAAAAAAAATCCAATCTTCACGGCCCCGTTTTTTTTTTTTTAAATAAATTATTTTTGATTTCTAATTTCAACGTCGAAATAGAAAACAGGCGAATTTTGAAAGTTCACCTGCGTGAGTGTGAACGATGTCACGACGGCGCATACTGTAACAGCAACACGGTGTTCGGTTTTCTGTTGGAGAATCTACAAAAAATGAGACGATTGGGATTTTTAGTAACTAACTTTTTTTTCGAGGTTCCACAGTGAAAATTGAAATCAATGAATAGAAAAAGAGACAAACATAGATCGAAAAACCAAATTGAAAAATTGTTTTCGAAACTGAAATATAGGTTTTACCTTTGCTTTTCGATGATTGATACTATCAGTCCTCTGAATTTGTTTTGTTCAAACTTTAGCTAATTTTCTTGAAGTTTTTTGTCAGAAAATCGATATACCTGATCCGAATGTCGTCTGAATAAAGTGGCGACGAAGGGAAGTGCGACATCACCGGATTTCCGCATTCGCGCCGACACTTTTCCTAGAGACGCGTACATGAAAAACGATCTGAACTTTGGAATAATTGTTCCTTTCCTTTTTTTGAAAAAAAAACCTTTTCTTAACATAATACAACAGCATAAAATTTAAAGTTACTAATAGAATTAGTGGAAGAAATACTACTAAAACTGCATTGGCTGCTCGAGTCGTCGCCACATAACGGCGTAATGCCGGCGGTGAGAAGTTGGTCCGATTCCCAGGCCATCTGAATATTGGAATGATGACAACATCAAATCGATTTTCTGCAGGAAGTGCGATTCGAACCCATACGAATTTCAGCACACGTTGTGAAACTTCGAAAATGCCGACACCAGAAATTCAATCATCTTATATGGCGATAGAATTAAACTAATAAAAATACAGGTAAATGAAAAACAAATAAGCAAAATGTGAATCTCCCCTCTAATTAAAATCTAATTAAATGGTCCGTGCTCATGGGCATCGAAGTTTCCGGAATTTTGCGAAGAAATGTTTTTAAAAATTCTCGAGAATTCTTCAAAAAATTTCCGGATCGTTTCTCGAAATAATTCGAATTCATATAGATTTTCGAAGGATTTCTCGATGAAGTTTCTTCGAGGGTCCACACTAGCTGTTCTATTCGTCCTCATCACTTACACATTCATATTGACGTCGAGACAAACTGCCATGACTTGAGTGGCATTGCAGAATGATTTGATGAAACAGTGATGCGAGACGTGATTGTAGAATGTCAATGCGGCACAAGACGATAGTAGGAGGATGAGACCTTAAAAGGACACTGTCAAATTAGGCGATATGGAATCGTCGAACCGGTGACGAGTTTCCCTCGAGACGGAGTTGTTAATCGGTGTAGTGGCGATCGGACGCCGACGACGCGCTCGAAACAAACGCCAACAACAAGCCTTTAAGATTCAATTCATTTTTGCTTGACGAATGCTTGATTTTGAAATTACCAAATGGCAACTGCGGATGTCCAATTCGCGAATGCGATCAAGTGGATTTTCGACGGAAGATAGAGATATCGAAAAGTGTAATTGAAGGCGAAAGTATCAAAATTTGCAAGTGAATGCGGAATGATGAGTAGAAGAAATGAGACATCGCAAACTGCCAAACAAGTCAGAAATATATTAGCTCTGAAATTGCAAACTCTCTTTGAGCTGGCTCGCTCGATTACCTTGACATGAAATCATTGTTGAGAAGGACCATAACAGTCAGCGCATTGCCGACAAGTCCGAATACGCAGATTGGCGGGAATAGGATGGTGTAGAGGAACGACTCGAGATTCGATCCCGACAGCCGAAGCTGAGACTCCGGAAGGCATAGGGCACTTGAATCCATTAGACCATATTTGGGTGGCTAAATTCAAACAAAAATTTCGAGAGAGAGAAAAAAAGAACAATTGAAAAATGAACCGAGATTTCAAAAATTAAAATTCGAATTTTCAACTTTAAAAACATAATTTATAGAAGAAATGATGACCAAAGTCGAAAAAAAATTGAAAACAAAAGGATTTTGAATGCTGGTTTTTAGGAATTGTGGACAATTGATGAGAAGATTCGGGAAATGGCACGAAATGAGTGATGTCAACAACATCATCGAATGGACGTTCTTCAGCCGAAAACCGATACAAACGTTTCAGATTTCCGGACAACACAAATTCAAAAAAAAATGTGAAGGACTAACAAGGGAACCATTTTTGGTCACCACATTTCAAGCCCGATTATCGAATAAGGCAAATTGAGGGCGGAAAAGAGAAAAGCGGGGGGATAAAAGAATGGGACTAAACTCGATTTGAGAAAAAGAGATGGGTGGTCCCTCCCTCGCATTGTGTTACTCCCGACGGGCTCGCCGAGCCGGCCAGCCAGTCATCATGCCACATGACAATTGGCCGCGAGCAGGTGTACAAATTTGAATGAACATCACTTCAAACATTTTCATTTTCATTCAATTGTTTGCACATTCATGTTGAACATGTCGGGTATTTATTGGTGTTTCGAGAATTATGAAAAAAAAACAGATAAATTGTTCGAGCATTGCGCCTTATTTGAAACTGAAACACGACTCTTCGGATTCTCTTTTTTGTCTCAGCACGCGATCGAAAAATAATCGCATGTTCGAATTTTTCAGACATTTTAGAATATTGGGTCCCACCACGATTATGGTAAGTTTGATTCGCAGGTTATCGAGAATACGGTAATCGAATTCCCACAGTTTAAATTCGAATTTGAATTGCCGCCTCGAAAAAGTGCGATGGTCCACAATTTGTCAAAGTGCTCATCTCTTTGCGATGGAATTACCATTCATTAATTTTTTTGAAATTTGAAATGTTTAAAGCGAATTTTCAAATTTTTTCGATTTTCCCGAGAAATTTTGTGCTTTTTCTCAAAAAAAAAATCAACTACGATAAAAAGAAGAAATTTTTTAGTTGAAGTTTTTTCCTTCAACTATGAGTTTTCTTTTATAACAAAAAAAAATGGCACGGAAGTGCACTCGAAGTGTATAGTTTAATACATAAATAACCAAAAAAGGGGAAGAAGGAACATCAGAAATCGGTTTTTTTCCGGCTGACTCAATTTTCGCCCATTTTTTCGTATCTCTTTTTTATGTTTTCCACGAACAAATTAGCACGATTTGGACAAAAGAGCAGAAGAATTGAAACGAGAGAAATTGCAGGCGAATAGCCTCATAAAATGATAATAATAATAATTAGAGAATAGTAGGCCGACAAGCAGCTGAGAGCTTCTCGTGCAGCCTCAGCTTCTTTCTTGCAAAGTGGTCACCCCGGTGAACAAATGGTGGTTTGCAAGGTGAATTGACGACTAATTTGAAACGAGATGTTCGCTGCGAATTATATTGGTCCCACAGTTGTATTTCGGGGGGGGGGTAGGAAGTAAACAAAAAACAAACAAACACAATGAGAGAATTATTTATGGAGCTCATGCTGCGGACGTTTTGCCTGTCACGCAAAAGGCGGCGCCCAAAAGAATTTTCAATTTTCAAATGAATGATTTGATTCGATTTTTGGTGCCATGTCGCGTCGAGACCCGGAACACAGCTCATTTAATCGAAATGTAACAAAAATCGCAAATTGAGCAAACATTTGATAGCAGCAGGATTACGAGGTCGCAAAAAAGACGAGGCGAGCAGGAAACCGTCTGGTTATCGCACGTCAAATAACTCGAGGGGGGGATTCGCATTGGGGAAGGGGGAAGGGAAAGAGGGGAAGGGGGGGGGGCAACTACTTGACAGGTTTTTTAGTGCGCAATGCTCTACGAGATATCATATCAAAAGCGCTTCAAATTATATGATAATATTAACCAAAAATGAATAATCATACGCAAAACTCATTTCTTTTTTTTTCTTTCGCCGAAGTTTTTTTTTGGGGTGGTGATTATGTGGGCTTTGTGTTTGAGGCCGCCCATGAGAAAAAAGCTTGTAATAGGTTTCTCAACTAAAACGGAGAAGAAGAAGAAGAAGCTCAAGGTATAGACAAAAACAAAAACAACGACGACGATTGTGAATACTTGATTGAATATCAACAAATTGTTTGTTTATTAGAATTTGAATTTTTTTTGCATCAATCAAAAAAAAGAAGAAGCTGAAGAAAAAAAAAGTGAAAAGCGGCGAATAACAGGAAATCTTGAGGGGGGCTCGAATAGGTTGCCTGAATTAAAAAGCAAAATCTATTTCGAATATCATTTTGGTGGGATTTATAATTTTTGGGTCCCGCCACGATGCGAGATGATGTCCAAATTCGGTGTCTTGTAAGTATGAAACATTCCGTTCAAGACCCAATTATATTTGGGAACAAACACCTGGAAGGATTACTGTAACATGAATTGAATTGGGAAAATGCCAAAAAAAAACCGAAGCAATAGAATTTTTTTGCATTTTTGTTTACAAAAATTGAGGGCTTAAGTGAATTAGACTACTGTAGATCTGAACAAGAACTACGGTAGCGATAGTTTTTGTGTATGCATTGGAAAGTTATGTATATATATATATATATATATATATATATATATATATATATATATATATATATATATATATAGTCGGCGTCCTGCGACTGCTGTAGATTTACGCGCATGCGCCTTGAAAAGGTCTCGCCACGCGTGAATGCTTATTTTGTTGTTTTCACGTGAACTGCTTCATTTTTCTTGATGAGTTTCGCATTTCCTTGAATTTCCAATATTCGATAAAAAAATTATCGAATCGGTCCATAAAATGTGAAGCAACCTGTTAGTCCGTGCGAGACCAAGAGAAAGACGCATCCCCGTAAATCTACCCGCGTACAGCAGTCGCCGGACGCCGACTATATATATATATATATATATATATATATATATATATATATATATATATATATATATATATATACATGAATATTCGAAATGTTGTAAAAAAAAAGAAATTTGAAATTTAAGTATGTTTTTGTTTGCGGAACGCAATTTTTTTGAAGTCGAATATCGGACACTTGAAACGAAATGGGCAATTCTCCGATGAATTCAATCCGTTCTTTTTTTTTAACTATAAATGGACATGAAAAATTGTGAAAATGGCAAAACGAGGCATCGGAAATGAGTGCAATAAACTCTCGGGCGTTTTTCGGCCGATTCGACGACGTCAAAACGAAAATTGTTTCGTTTTTTTTCGACCGCCTCCCGCAACGAAAACACTCGACTTTTCGTCGAATTTCAATCTATTAATCCGGCGCGCGGATTTGCCGTGAGAATCATAAGGACCATCAACGGCGAATTGAAATTTTGTGCCATCGCACGACTACTACTAAAAATCGAGGCAAACACACACACACAGATACGAGAATCAGGAACGCACGGCAAAAATAAGAAAGCGAATTTTGATTCGATTTGCGAATGCCGCCGCTCTCGCATTGTGTTGACCAAAAATGATTTGCACACCAAACATTTCTACATAGACGCCAGCGTCTATATAAAACAATGATTTTGATATTCTTTTGACAATTCGAGAAACTACCGTTACCGAAATCTAGAAAAAAAGGCACTTTTAGTGATTGTGGACCATCGCAATTTTTCGAGGCGGTAATTCAAATTTCAATTTACACGGTGTGAATTCGGGTACCATACTACCTCTCTGGTATTGTTGAAATCTTGCGACAAATTTGCAAAAATGGTCTCGAACAGACGAGACATGCGTTGTGTACTCCATACGGACAACGCGCCACTTAACAACGTGGCGTAAAATTCCCCGCTGGTTAATCGACCCTCGTGGTCCCAGATTCAACTCTGCAGAAGACACACGAGATCGACAATAAATGATTCATAATCGTTTACGACCACATCTCCCTTTAAACGTGGCCAAATACGATTGCGATTTTATCATATGCAATTTTTTTTAATTTCAAAGTCGTATATGACGAGAATAATCTTATTCGCCGAAATCGCAATCGTACTTGGCCGCGTTTGAAGAACGATGTGATCGTAAACGATTACGAAACATTTACCAGAGCTTTGATTTTCAGATTTTCAGATTCTTTGATTTTAAGCTTAACCACAAATCTAGGAAGACTGCTAAATTTTTTTTGCCATTTTAATACATTCATCTGGCGAACTTTCAAATAGCTTATAACAGATCAAGAATATTAAAAAAAATAATTATAGCTGGAAAATAATAAAAATAATCTTCAATGACGCTGAAATTGATTGCTTACTCATGTCGATATTTTGAAAACTCGAAAATTTGAAAAATTTCAAATCAAGATATGTGTTTTTGCAAGTTTTGCTCAACCAAATCTCACAATTAAAAAAAATAATTTCTGATAAATCAATTCGTGTCTAGAAAACCCGGAAATGAGTAAATAAGAGGTGTCAAAAGTTGAATGACGAGCACTCAATCATAAAACGAAATGATTTGTCACAACAACGAAGAAAAAGAAAAACTGGGATATTTTCATGGTAGATTTATTTTTCATCGCTTCAGGCAGTTTTCGGCGTTTTATTGCACATATCTCTTGTTTGTACCTTATTTGGTTAAAGATCGCCGATTTTTGCAAAAAATGCAGGAAAAAACCAAGCGAAGCCCCCAAACCGATTCATTTTTAAGTGGTTCTTTTTTTTTTAAATCAAAAATTGCAAAAAAAAAACTCATAAAATAAACGAATGAGCAGAAAAGTGTTCGATTATTTGAAAAAAAAAACGAAGACGAAGAAGAGGAAAAAGGAAATGAATAAATTTCGGGTTTTGTTTGTCTTTCTCCTTTGAATATTCATAATTCCATTTATGAAAATTTTGTGCAAAACAGATTTCGAATACCAGAAATAAAAAAAAAACCATGATAATAGAAATACATATTCCTGAAAAAATGATTAGCTTTTCCAATGCATGTGTTATTTTTCATAATCAGAAAATCAAATTGTCGTCTACAACAATGAAATTACTTTGAAATAAAAATAAATAAATATGAGGAAAAGAGCGGCTAATCAATTTGACAGTGCGTTTTCATCATCCTTGTGGGATACGTACCGGTTGATTCCATATAAGACAATGAATCTTTTTACAATATTTTGAAATTGGTGCCAACCATCGGTTCTCGGAAATAACAGCTTTTGTTTAGTTTTCGTCGCGATGGGAAGGAGTGAGATCAAACGGTTGTTCATTTCTGGTATTGTGGAAAAAATGACGATTGTGTAACACTTCTATGCATTGTGTGCGCACACCGAGTAGCACGTGCTCGATGTTATCTACAGTAATCTCAACAGAAAATTATTTAATAGAATATTGATTTTTTCTATTTAGATAAAACAATTAACTTTGAATAATATAAAAAATAATTACTATCACACTTTTTCAACACAATAGTATACATAAAACCATAAATTCCCCAAGAAAACCCAGAAAAATATATTTTTTCAAATAATTGATTAAATAATTTTCTGTTGAGATTACTGTAGATCGAGATGTGTGACTCGGTGTATGCACACAATGCATTGGATATCGCTGCACTTTTTCACACTCGTCATTTTTCAAAAATAGATTTTTGTCGATTTGGCAATATATTGTCGGCGTCAAACGACTTGATGGGGGCGTGGCCTTCAGTATATCGTAACCAGTGTAGATTTACGAGCGGGTAGATTTACGCGCTGACCAAATATTAAATGGTTTTTTTCGATTTTTTAATATTAAAAAAAATGTTATGCGTGTTTTAATCCTGATACCCATTGTCATTTGCATTCTTATAATGAGTCGACCTCCATATATACGTAAAAGTTCACGGAACTAACGGCATTTACTTAAACAAGCGAGAGAATCGTACATTTATTGAATATCTTAAGAGCACCACAATAATGTTTTATTTACCGTAAAAATAGTATGAAAATTATTGTTCAAAGGGGAAAGTCATCCAATTAATTGAGAATTTTCGAAATGCACCAAGACGCCGCACAATTGAAACTTATAACCGAAAGCCAAACGAGCGTTGATTCCAATCGCCTAAAACTAGTAATAACTTCACATTGAATACAAAATTAAAAATAAAACTGAGTCTACAAAGATTAAAACAATGATAACGTACTTTTGGGAAGAAGCTTGAAGTCATTTAGTATATATTTTTTCCTTTCCCTAGCATTGATGAAGATGTGAAGTACATATAGAGGCGAGCATATAATTCAGAATTTTGTGTCCGTTGGAGGTTGTCTTCGAGGTTGCGCGAAGGGTTCAATATTTCATGCCATTGTAGTCGCTGCAACTATAATGATAAAATAATGACTATTTTAAATATAAATAAAATAATACCCGTCTTGTTAACTTCAGTAGTTTTCAAAGTCCTTCGGCTCCTGTTCAATGTGATTGTGTTTCCTAAAATGTACTAAAAATTAAGAAACGGAAAATGATGAAGAATAAGTTTTTACAATGTCAAATTAATTAAAAAATGCCTTTAAATATATGAAAATTTTAAACTATCAATCAGCGATTATAAAAATGTAAGATAAACCGTAAAAATAAAAGAAATTGGCTAATAAAAAAAGAGATACAGAAAAATTCTCAAAAAAATAACGCGCCCAAAAACACGCTGCGCAAAACACGCTGCAAAAGTGTATGCCACATACACTTCTCTTCGCCTCGAGAAATCTGGCAATTAGCCAATATTTTTTAAAATTTCGTCAAGTCGTTTGACGCCGACAATACAAACGTTTCAGTGATCACCGCGAAACCCAAAAGATTATCTAAATCGATCCACGAACAGCATTACGAATCTAATTACGAATCTCTTGATGAAACTCCAAAAATGTGCCGAAAACCGAAATGAAAAACAAAAAGAAAAGTGGGAAATATTTCGAATTTTAATTCGGTCGCACATGTTTCCGGCGTGCATGTGGTCTAAAATCTCATAAAATCATCGACGAGAGTGCGAAATTCATTTCAGAAAATTCAAAACGTAATACTAATCGGCTGTCGTCGAAGCAAACAAGCCAATGACAATTCTCACGACGATCATCTTTTCACACTTTATTTGTACACCTTGCACACGTAAATCGCTATATCACCTGATCCGTTAGTATTATGTTAAAAAAAATTAATATATATATGAAATAACAAAAAAAAAGAAACCCGAATTTTTGGAAAATGGTAAAAACTTTACCGAAATTGCACAATGAGATATATTTTATTATTTGAATAAATTAGGCCCATATCAGATTTTTTTTTGAAAGCTCCGATTTGGCATTCACCACAGTGTGAGCGAGGTAGGAAGCGAAAAACGAATAATATGATAAACTTATTAAAACATGAAATCTAGAAAACGAAATAAGAAATCTACAGTTTTTTTCGAAGAAGTACAAGATTGAACCAGTTGAGTTCCACCAGTAACTGACGAATAGAGAAGTCTTGAAAATATGCTATATGAGAATTCTCGTAAGAAACTTCCGGGTCATTTCTCATTTGAGCATAAATATTTATTCACCAAAAAAGGAGAATTCCATTTTTCAATTTATGATATTTATGAATTATTTAAATTGTATGTTCTATTAGACATTTCCAATTATAAAAACACACGATCAAATTTCTAAACCTAAAAATTATAAGTGAAATGTGAATTAATTAACATCGTATCTTTTTCAGAGTAAAACGACTCCTCATTCGCCTTCAAATTCGCGAAATCAATTTAGATTTAAATGAATCGTTGACAGAATGTTAAATGCGCGTACATTTTAATGCAATGTACGCGGTCTCGCGTACTTCTCGCTGCTTCGAGACGCATTATATATATATATATAAAGCGCTTTGCATAATTGTGGACCATCGGAATTTTTCGAGGAGGTAATTCAAATTCGAATTTAAACAATAGTAATTCGGATATGGTACTTTGGATAACCTGCGAAGTTAACTCATCGTAAATCGGCGAAGGCTGCTCGTTTTTTGGGCGAATGTAATACATATATTTGATCGATATGCACTTTTTTGGAAAAAAAAAACAAAAAAAAGAAGAAAATTTAGATAGAACTGACTTCTTTAATGATCCGAGCCATAACTTCCGGAAAATAGCAATCACTCGGTCTCTTTGCAGCACACATGACACATTTACTTTCGTGCTGCACTATTAGACTTTTGATTGCCTGAAATTTCTCATTTATAGCCGATTTCATTTAGAGAGTGCACTTAAATTATAGCAACAAAAGCTTTGCGAAGATTCTATAATTATTGTTCCATTTTTTCCTCAATTTTTCTGGAAATTTCTTATAGACATCTACTAAAAAGTTGCGGGATTTAAAATAAATTGCCACAAATTTAAAGGGTGTTACAAATTGCTAGCACTGACCGACAATTTTTCAGAAAAAAAAGTCTAAAAGAAATTTGTAAGTGTGCGCAATTTCTCAAAATGTCAATCGAGAAGGTTACATTTTTTTTAATGTGTTGCCATGATTTTGCCGCTCCCTCTATATTTATTGAATACCATTTTTGGATTCGTTCTATAACTTGAGCTATTTCTAATAGTGAATAATTTTTTGTCGAAATCCACAAAGTTGTTGTTTTGTTCAAACTCAACTTCCTCCGATTTCTCACCAGACGTCTCTCGAACCCTGCAATAAAACACACTATCTAAAAACCTCGAAAAATTTAATTTACCGTTGCACATGTCCCGACTTCCTCAAAATGTCTAACTCCACAAATTCTTCTTTGTGTGTTTCTTGAAAATAGACCTTAAAAAAATAATAATGTTTCACTAACACCTGGCTTAAAAAATTATCCCATTAACGCATAAATTTTCTAGACAAAATCGAACCGTTATTTAAAAAAATGTATTCTTTCCAAAGAAATTAAATAGTCAAGTTTGAAGATTTCAAATCTCAAAATATTTCTGAAATTTCGAACTAACTTGTTTGTGGATATCTTCGTCAAACACTGCTTCGAACGGACAAACCGACCGGAGTGCATCCGACATCGGCATTGCTCTAATCCATACGTTTCTTAGTCTAAACATTGCCAATTTATTAAACATTCCAAAAAGTGAACAAATACTTTTCCAGTGGAAGCTTGAATTCAATATAGCGTTTTGGTGGATGGACAACACCGAAGATCGAATGTCTGAGCATATGTGGCATTTCGTGACATTCATCCAATTTCGAGATTTTGAACAATGGCTGAAACAACTCGAATTATAGACAAATTCAAGGAAAACTGCAAACGACGTACACCAGTGATTGCCGCATTCGCATGATCAAACGTGTACTCGAAAGCTTCATTTGGTCGCACTTTCTGGACATCAGTGATCACCCACTTCTAAAGTATCATTTTTTTTTTCAAATTAAAATTTCCTATTTCAAAAATATTCAGGAAAAAAAAACAATTTACTTCAGTTTCACAATCAAATTTTCCATCGACTTTGATAACATCACCTAGTTTGATTTCATTACTCCGCAAATCAGTGGGAATCCTATAATTTGTTTCATATTTCACAATATCGAGTCATCGTTAAACGTACTTAACCAACAAGTGGGGATATTTGCTGATGAGAACCTTTCGATTTGCATTCACAACAACTCCAAGCTCATTCGTGAACATCATTTTTCCGCAATTTCGAATATTTTCAATCTTTTTCAACTTTTTTTCATCGACAATTGACGATATGTAATATCTCGCTTTGCCGTTTTTCGTCGGGTTTCCACACGCAATTGTTACCTCAAATGAGCAAATTACGTATTTTTTAAAAAATTTATTATCAAAAATTCTTACCGCTAACGTGCTATTCGAATACTCCGAAAACAGCCATTCGCCAAGCAAATTGATCGGATCATCAACAAATAAGTTGAGTGCTTCGGAGAAGTAGAATCCCGGAAAATCCGGGTGCTTCCGGATCACGGTGCGCAACTGAAATTTTTCGATTAACAGTTGTAACAATCATTTCCCAACATGTCCGTTCGGTCCAGAATTCAGCGACTTGATAGATGGGTTCACTGTCAGCGACTTAATCGAGTAGAATTCAATATCGACTCTTTTTGCCCCAATGATTACGGAAGTACCTGAAGGCAGAGTTAACTCTTGTTAATATGAGTCTTTGGAAATTTGAAGGAAACCAAAAAAAACCAAACCAATCGGTGGCCAATTTTCGCTCGGCACTACTTTGCACAGATATTCCGCGGATCGCGATGGTCCGATAACGGTCTTCGGTGACGCGACATATGCTTCGACGCGTCCAATTTCCATCGGCTGTTTGGCAACATAACCTCTAACTAATTTCAGGTTAGAATCGAATGTCGCCTATAAAATATGAAATGCGCAAAACAAAAATCAACAATCCATACCACCATATCAAATTTCGTTTGCGCTGTATAATTGCAATCGACAAATTCGCTAAATTCATAGTCAATCGTATGGTTCTGAATTTATGTCGATAGGATTTCAATTAGAACGAAAAGCTACCTTATTGATATGCAGAGTGACCCACGCGGTCACGGGCAAATTCGAAGGAACCTGACCCATCACTGTTTCTGCTGAAAAATATTATAATAAAGGGAAGAGAACGAATTTCGATTACTTTTTTAAATTGCAAGAAATTTCGAAATGGAATAAAATACTAAAGGGGCAATGCAGAAGATGGAAACCAAATGAGTAATTTTTATTTTCTTTTGTGGCATTGCAACTTTATGATTTTTTTTTCGTTTTTTCATTGTCGCATATAAAATCATTTTTTGAAATACAAAATCAACTAACGAAGCTCAATGTCCGGTAAATAGTCGCATAGTCGAAAAATAGTCTGGTCTTCATTTACTTCTCCAGCAACTTGAACCTGGAAAACTTCAAAAAAGTTCTAAAAATCAATGCATGTCAGATAAATTTGCCTCTGTTCTGAATCCGACAACTCTACTTTCGTAGAGTTTTCCTTCGAACGAGCAATTCTCAACTAATACGCAGTCCTGAAACAATCGGAACAATTTCAATTTTTGAACAAACGTTCCATACATCGCTCGCCGCCCTTGTCCATTTAACCGATGTTCCAAATTCCATACTTCGCCGAGTTTTACCAACCGACCTACGTTTATAAAATTACTTTGATTATTTTCAAAAAATACTAATTACTTTTGAAATGTCTTCCTACCATTTAAATCAACTATCGGAAAAATCTTGAATTGGCTGCAACTCTAAAAATATTCATCATCCATAAATTATCTAAAATTGAAGATATCACGATCTCCATGGATCCTTTGGTCGATTGCCAACCAAACCGAACCAAACCGATGGCTCATTTAAAAAAAAAAGACAAATAAATCCATTATCACTCGAAAAAACGCAAATTTAAAAAATAACTTCATTCTTGTTCAAACTTATCGTTGACTAACTCTTTCGTTAATTAATGTAATTATTCAATACTATTGCAAAACAATATACCGCATATTTTTCCTCCAGCAATAATACAATTAACTCGTCCACTTCATCCGAATTGGTTATCAATATTCCGCTGCAACTCGGCATATCGGTCGCCTCCATAATTTTGCGTCTAGCGGCCATCTGTTAAAATAAATAATATTATTATTATTTTTTATTATAAACGATAACAAACGGCGAATCGATAGATAAACCGATTTGAAGCGAAAAAACAAGAAAAAACGAAAATGACCAAGTTCATTACTTTCAATAATAATCCTAAATAAAGGAGAAATATTGATAATACCAGACATGTTAAATATACAACGGGTTAAAAAGTTATGCGGTTTGTTTATATTCAGTTAGGAGCCTCTTCAAGAAGTGCAAAAATGTAAACATTACATTTAATGCACGTTTTTTCGAATTTTGTATCTAGGGCCATTAGAAATCACCTAATTCAATTCAATTCAAGTTAATTTTTTTACAATACATATTTACAATGAAATGATATTAATGTGTACGTTGTTTGTAATTTTCGTTTTGACTGTTTCCTAAAAAAAATAACGATTTAAAATCAAAAATACTAAAAATATACCATGATTCATTGCAATTATTTCACTCTTCGCCTGCTTTATTTCATCGAAAACCGATTTGGCATCAAGCACAACTGAAAAAATGCGTATTTTTAATTATCGGTGTGGACGAACATGTGTTTATTAAATTATATAGCAAACTCGGATGGATATGATAGTCATAATTGATTGGAGAGAGAACAAAGACATATAGATAAGTTGAAGCATGCTCTACTAGATGTCGGCCACTCGATCCTCAAATTGTTGTGATAAAAACGAAGCTATCGGCCCGGCAAAGGAACTAAATCATCTCCCTCGTGAAATGGCATTATGCAGGATTTTGAAAACAAATGTAAAAAAAAAACACTAAAAATTCTTATCGCAAAAAACCCTAGTTTTTCGTTAGCTATAATGATAAATAAGAACACAACAACTATTATTTTGCGAATTCAAAAATGAATAGAGAAAATCCTCACGTTTTTCGACATTTTCGCGTTCAGTTTCAATAATTCGACGCTCTTTCACTATCTTTTCGTACATTGATTGAAGCAAATAATCCATTTCGCTGGGAGGATCGCACACAACATCCTGATTTGCCGAGTTTGTCTTAATAATATAAAATTATATCGAAGAGATTATTTGAAGTCGCCGTTTTCTTGAAACAATTTCAACCATTTTTTTCGAATTTGCTTAAATGTCAAAAAAAAATTAACAAATAATAAACTTCCGATGCAAAAAAAAAAACAATTTGTGTAATTTTAAATAAGAATTAGTACCGGAGAGAGAGACTGAATCGAAATTGGTGTACAACTATTCTCTGCTTCGGTCCCAATCACTATGTCTTCTCCAGAGGCAAAACGTCGTTCAAGTTCAGAAATTCTTTGTTTTTCAGCTTCAAGAGCTTTTTTTCGTTGTTGTTCCTCAAAAAATAAACAAAGTTCCAAATATGGCAATCATCTTAACCAACCAGCTCCTCAAACATTCGTTCGTCTTCTAATCGTCGCTCGTTTCTAATCTTTTCGGGAGATCCGAACCAGTGCAAAACCATTTCACGACGACGCCTCAACTGAAACATTTGGCGAGATGCTTCATTTACGTCTAAATATTTCTCTTCGTGATATTTGTTGTGAATATTCTCCTGTTCTTTGATTTTAGATTGTTCTAGTTGTTCAATTTGATCAACTTCATAATCTTCGGCTTTTGTCTCTTTGATAATTTCAATTTTCTCGAGCTCATCAGATTGAGGCTGCTTGAGATCATTCACTTTATACACAGTTTCAACTTTAGCTTCTTCCGATTTCAATTTGCTCTGAAACAATCGCAATTTAGTGGCGATTCGATACGCAACACCAAACCGCGACCATATTCGATTCCGTAATAAGCTTTTGCTTTTTACGGAATGGAAACGCTCGATTATTGTCGGAATCCGATAACGGGTTGCCCTTGGAATCTTTCGAGTACGTACCAATAGACCATGCCTAAAGAGTCATATAATATCCATAACAACTTTACTTTATTAAAGAAAAAAAGAACCTTGATATTATATGAAACTTGTGTCTGTGTTAAAAAGGGGTGATTCGGATAGATCATCAACAAGTAAAATACCATATAAATAACATTTTGAAAACGAAAAACCGAAAAACAACGTCTTCGAGTAATTTTTACTCGCTCACATCATGCGAATCGTCGTCACTGTGCCGACTGCGACGGCTCTTTTTCTTGTCTTTTCGATCGTGTTTTCGCTCTTTTTTCTTTTCTTTCCTTCGGCGTCTTTCATCGTCAGTTTCACTGGCAGATCTGAAAATAAAAAATACATTTTCTATATTGTAGATTATTTCATTTTATATTGTCGGGGTGGCGCGAATGCGTAAAATAAGCTTAATGCACAAAAAATATGAAAGGGTCTTGTTGTTTATTTTATTAAAACGTCAATCTACATACCTTGATCTGCTGCTGCTGCGACTAGTCGAATCTCTTCTTTTCTTGCTTCGTTTGTCACGCGGATCTGGAGACCACGTGAGACTTCTCGATCTCGATCTTCCATGCGAGCTCTTCCTTTTTCGATCTCTTCCGCGAATTGGCGATCTGGATCGAGATTTGCTAGCCGAACGCGATCGTGAACGACTTCTGCGGATCGGCGAACGTGAATATCGACTTTTTCGTCGCCCATTATCCCATCTGTAGTTAGTCGGACGCCCACCGCGAAACTTATTGAAACCACCGCGATTGTTGAAGCCAACTCGATCATCGCGTCTAAACCCCAATCAATATCAAATGTTTTCGCTTTTCGTAAATCTTACCTAAAGTCACGTCGGTATTTCTTCAAACTTATCGGTTCCGGTATATATCTTTCTCCTCTCTCTTTTTCCTTATTTGGCAATGGAGGCTTCGCTGGAACCGCTGGCTGCGGCGGTGGAGTTGGAGTCCCCTTTTCATTTGCCTTTTCTTGTTCTTTCTTTTCGGCTGCCTTTTCAAGGCCCTTTGCCTTTTTCAACGATTTCATCTGCATTTCTATGAGTTTCTTTTTCTTTTCTGCCTCAACGTCGACTTGCTGAAAATGCAGAAAATCAACAAACAGCCAATAATCACTTATATTATGAAAACCGGAAATACTTGTTAGATAATCACAATTTAAAATGACACTAAAGTTTCGTTTAAAATAAAATAACTTAAAAAACTTTCAAAATTTCAAAACATTAGAGCATACCGTCGGTTGAGTTTGAGTCAGCCCATGAGACGCAATAGCCTGCTCGTAAGAGACATCGTAACCGCATTGTTTCTAAAAGTAGGAATCATTTAAAAATTCTATTGCACATCAACTTAAAAAGCACATCAGATGAAGAAATGAAGGAGAAATGAAGAAACTCACATAATATTCGACTTTATATGCCTCTAATACTTGCTCATTTTGCGACATCTCGTACATATTAGCATCGTAGCCATATTCATCCGGAAATCCTTGCCCACGCATAGCACTAGAGTATTGCCACTGATGGTATTCTTCCTCAGTCATCGGAGTCAAACCATCATCACCTCCCATGAAGATAAGCGGTTTTCCATTTGCATCCACTGGGAGATCAGGGTCTCCTGAAATATGTTGCAATGATAACCAGCTTCTTTTCTAAAATTTCTACCATTTTCTTTGATAGGAACTACTGGATTTCCATAAATCGTGTATGGCGGAATCGGGCGTCCATCCTCACGTTCGGGAAACAAGACACGCCCATCTGCACTACGCGGGAATACGGCGATACCTGAAGAAGTTTGGCTTATTTTTAGGTCATGAATCGATGGTACCGCCAAACAAACAAATGAGAACCCCCAAATAATTGGTTGGTGTGGGCCTCAAATGTTTGCCACTCGCATGACGCAAGTGACACGCAGTTTTGGGCATCACACACAAAAAATTGGGCGGTCGAGGCGACAGATTGAGCGGCTTTTCACCAGAGCGCTCCCTTGAAAACAGCCAAGTGGTATAAGTTCGTGCACACCGTGATCTTACCCAAAATTTATTCATCGCACAACTTCATACCTAGCCTAATAATTAAAATCAACAGTTTTTGAAAGCCTGAAAGCACCGTGGCACAGGGCATTAACTAACCGGATGAATCGATTGGAACAATCGGTCGTCCCTCAGCACCCATCGGAAAGATAGGACGCCCATCGTCGCCTACTGGAAGACACGGTTCACCATAGAAGTCGATTGGAAACAATGGAATCGAGTTCGTTGGATCCATTGGAAATACCTGAAAAGAAAAGCGTTTAACTATTTCACTCAAATGCTCCATTTTACTATGGTTGTCCTGAGAACTTCGGAATTTTGAGTTCGAGCTGAATTAGAAATTTGAACACAATAAATGATGATGATTATCATTATTAGTTAAGACATAAATATTTTATTTTATTTTCGACGATTTTCTATCTAGGTGTTATCAAGGATGTATGACGAAGAATAACATTTAAACATTTATGTAACTGATCGATTTCATACCTTTTCGCCTTTTTCATTTTTCGGTAAAATTGGTTTTGGCGGTTTCTCGTCATTTAAAGGAAATACAGGAAGCCCATGTTTGTTATAGCTAATATAAGTTGGAGCAGATGGAATTGTTTGACCGATTGTGAATTCTGAAAATGTTAGAATTTTTATGTTTTATTTTAGAAGCATACCGTTATCTTCCAACCATCCTTCTGAAAACCATTCGAAATGTTTTGTTGTATTATTCAACTTGTAAAAATAGCCAGATATATCTTTAGCAAAAACTGCATCGCCAATTGTGTAAAACATATATCCTCCATTAACGGTTTGGCAATTGTGAAGATCGTCGCGACTATATCTTTCGCCGGATGATGTACCTAAAAAATATAAAAATGTAATTCATTAATTTAATTTAAAAACTTACTTGGAACAACTTTGTCGATATATGGATAATCCGAGCCTCGTGGTGGCCCATAACCAGGAACACAGCTCTAAAAAATTTATTTTAGTAAAATAAAGCATATAAGTAAACTAGCCGATTTCCCATTGGTTCGCATTGCTGTTTTATTGAGGAATGAATTTTGCGCCTTCGTGTTTTCTAGGCCTGGGTTATCCACACACCCGCTTTCGGCAACCACACTCATGGGCTAAATAAAGCATAATACAGTTCAATATAGATTTAAAAAATTTAAAATTGAACTAAAAGTAAGAAAAAGTTTTGAATTGGTGTAAATGAGCCAAAATTAGAACGTGGAAACACATGAATACACAATTATGGGTAAGCAATTCGCGCACAATCTCTTCGCAACTGGACCGCATATTTTATACGGCCGAGAAATTCCACGGCCATGTGCTTAACGAAATTAGGCCATCTGAGAATCTTCATAAAGAAAATTAGCTTGTGTCAAAAAATTCAAGAATAGCTTTAACCAAAAAATGTTTTAATTATCTAAGGAGAAAAATAATAATTCTGCTTTAGCGTTAAGTTCAATTTTTAGAATTTAACTGGTCATAAAAAAATGAATTGGATATTGCGTTTTTGTAATAAATGAAATGAAAAAATTTGTAATAAAATGAAAATCGAAATTATGTTAACTTGTTTTATTTTAAATATAAATCGAGACGTGTGTCTAATTCCAAAATATCTCATTTCTCGAGCCACTTTTGTTAAAGACGAAGACAGCAACCAGAAAGCTGAAATGATGAATAGAAAAAGTGAGCGTTTCAAATAGAGAAATATGAATTTTTGACTGAAAGTCACGCTGATTTAGATCAAAGCAAAAAACCGAAATCAGAAGGAAATTCACAAGATGAATCTGAGGTGGCGAGGAGACCCGGAATTCGTTCCAAGACAAAAAACCTTCTCTCGGTTAAACTATTCTCTTCGAAACGCATATTGATGATATTTAGTTGTTTAAAGGAAAACAGAAAAAGCAAAAAAGTGCCGATACGAAGAAAGCGAGCAAATCTCCAACTGCCCCGAGTCCAAGTCCAACAGCGACTACAACGCCTGCTTATAAAGATTTAATGGAGACCACGTGTAAATCATATCGTAAAAAACCTCCAAAGGTATTGAAACTTTGAGTTCCCTTGTGAAATTCGTTTAATATTAGATTGTGAAAAAGAAAGCGTCAGCACAGAAAACGTCTAAATCTCAAGGATCTCCTTCATCCACACCCACACCCTCCACAGGTAGTGTTAACTCGAAAGCAAATGAACGTGAAAAAATGGAGGTTTCTATACTTCCAGAGAAACCATGCAACGTGAATGTTGAGGTTATTTTAAATGGAAAAAATAAATGCAATACACAAGGAAAATGTTTAGAAACTTGAAGCAGTATTAAAACAATTTCTTGCCGATATTGGTTCGAAAGGAATTATATCAGTCATCGACGAACAATGGGATTTTATTGAGGACGTTGTAGTCGATGATGAAAAATGTGTTGCATTTTTGGCACACGAAGAGAAAAATCAAGCTGAGGTTGTTATCTGAAGCTCGTTGATTAAATCTAGTTTGTGCTGTGGAAATTATGTTAGAAACATTGTGCACCTATTTAATTTCTTACCAAAAAATGTTTAAACAAATGAAATCAAACGTGCGTTTTTTACATATTTTTATTGGATGAAGGGGCCAATTAGGAATCTGCTGTAAATAAAAAAATCTCGGTATACCCTTTGGACGAGGCATTTCTCGGTTTTGACGAAATACGCAGTTTCGTCGTTTCGAGGGAAACCGTATCGCCTGATAAGTTTTCCGAGAATCGGAATTTTGAACTCTCTCAATTTGTGTCAGTTACCTTTTACTTGGCGCGAAAGATGTGCAGAATATCCTGGTTCGCGGGCCGTTTGCACAATGCGCTTTTCGCCGGAAACTGCATGTCCAAAAGATACTATTATTTCCCGCGGAAGTCGCATTTGGCAAACGATTCCTCACTACCAAATTTAGCTAGTGAAAATTTTTTAGCTAGTGAAAATTTGGTAGTGAAAAATCGGTAATGGAGTGAGAAATCGGTAGTGAGGAATCATTGGCCGTCGCATTGTGCATTCAGCCTCCAGAAGAAACGACGGTTAAAAGAAATTCATGCGTCTCTAAAAATCACATACTCTCTCAAATACTTTTGGGCGTTCAGACCTAGTGTTACTTTTCTCTATTTCTCTTGCTCGAGACAATTTTTTTTCATAAAAATGCATATTCGATGGATTTTAAAATTTGTTTTGTATTTTATGAATATGCCCATTATATGTAGTAGTGAAACGAAAAAAACGAATTATTTTCAACAATAATGCGATTTTTTGTTAACAGGATGTGGAATGCCTCGACGCAAACCGAGTGAAATTGGAGCGGATGAGCGCAAATGAGTCGGATTATATTCACGCCAGCAACGTTGAAATTGCGCACGTCTGTCAGAATCGATTCTCAAATGTAGTTGCTTTGATTTTTTAGATAAAACGGCGTTTTGTGCTCGCACAACTTCCAAAACTTTCGCCGAAATGTATGGAAGACTTTTGGACAATGGTTTATCAGGAGAAATTGCATAATATCTACATGTTATGCTCACCGAGTGAATCGACAAAACCGGCTGCTGAAAAATTTGGAGAGTATTTCCCAATTTCTTACGGCCAGCATGAGTATTACGGAGTAATTTGGGTGAATAACAGAAAAGTTGAGCCAGCAAACGATGCTGACGATCATCCAAACGATATTTTTCATTTGGAAGTTTTGCCAGAAGGATGTGCTGAATCTGTAGCAGTTACGGTAGGTACATGGGAAATTTTAAAGGAGTTTTTTTTAGAAAATCACTTCGGTGTCAATTTCTTTTATCGATTTTAATCGATTCATATTTTGAATTATTATAGTTGAATATATGTCCATATTGGCCAGATGGGGACATTGCAACGGACAAAAAGAAAGTGGTTTATACTGCCGCGAACGCGCTGGGAAATGCCGATTCGGTGATTAAAAAATACAAAATGTTATGATAATGATTGATTTCAGTACGAAAATGAGCCCATCGGCATAATTAGTAAAAAAGGCGCTGGGCGAACTGGAACATTTTTAGCAATTATAGCAGTCATTCAAATGTTTAAGACTGGAACCCCATTTTTGGTAATTGATATTAATATTGTCGGCGTTCGGAAAACTGGCAAAACGAGAATGCAGAGAAAATGACAAAGCAAAATGGAGAAATTTTCAATGCAGAAAAAATTTTGATTTTCTCTGCACTGCCAAAAGTTTAAGGAGAGGTCTTGCCGCGCGTATGAGCCTTTAATATGTCATTATTTTGCGTCAATACTTTTGCCATAATTTATTTAAATTTAGCCAATTTTCCTCAATTTTTTTTTCAAAATAGAAATCGTTAAGATCAAAGAAATTGGCCATAGTATCCGAACTCAAAGGCCTGGTGGAATCGATACTCGAGCACAATTTATTTATATTTATGTAATTGCTCTCAAATATGCGCATGTAAGTTGATGGTTCACGTGTTACAGGATAGTCTTGCAATGATTTTCAGAAAAATGCGAAAGATAAAGATTTAAAATCGAGAATTGAAGCGTTGCTGAAAGATTTGGAGAAGGCACTGAATGAAGAAACCGAAAAGACTGCGGCGACTGAAGAAGGATCAGCATTAATCAGTCAAGAATGATTGAGACCATTCGAATAAACTCGTTGTATTCAAATTTATTTCGTCAATTTTTAATATTAGACAATTATTATTGTTTCATAAAAGCAGTTTTAGATTGTATGCGAATAACAAGTCATCGTTGCTTCGCGACCAAAATGGCGATGACGAATCTTGTGGATTTTTGAGACGCATATTGAATTGGAAAGAGTGGCAAGTATTGAAAGGAGTTTAAAGGAGCCTATAAATTCAAAGTTGAATCAATTATTTCGAATTTGAAACAAACGTTGCATTAAGAGGGCCGTTGGAATAGATTCTCAATAGGAATTCAGCATCGTCATATGGATCAAACGTGCTCGGAATGACAATATATTCTCCAGGGGTTACACGAAAATGAACTGTGACTTCTCGGGTGTTCACAAACACCGAAGAACGAGCAACTGGACGATTCCGACGGAAGAAGTCAGCCGGAAGCGGCTTGCGAGAACCATCCGACTGCAATTCCGTATTTGGATGAGTTTCAACCAAAATAACGAACCTTGTAAATGGATACTCCGATTGGAAGCAAGTCCTTTCCTTGAGATCTCAACTCTCTTCTATATTTTTGAAGGACTGCTACAATCACTGTCACGTTTCCATCATTTTCTACAGAGTTCTGTGGCACGCTGAAGTAAGATGCGTACTGCGGGTTCGTGTGATAAGTTGCTAATAATTAACTATATTTAATCAATCACTAATAATGCGAACTACTTTGATTGTTGAGGCAGCCTCCAGCAGTTCCCTTCTTACTATCCCATGCTCCATGCTCCATGTGCTCATTCCAAAGGGCAACTTCATCTGTTTGATTTTCCTTAACATTCACTCCAGTCATTTCGGAGATTTCGTCGAAAATTTCGGCGCTCAGATTGCAAACTTCCATTTGTGTGAAGTTTGCGAAGAAATCATCGAATGACATCCTAGAAAATAAATTCATGACGAATCCAATTCTTTTATTGACTTACCAGAATTCACCATCCTTGGCGAAGCTAACGCTCAAAAGCTTCTTCGTTGGCTCATCAATTCTTGTCCATTCCGACGACCGATCACTCCACGCCCCATTCCATTCTTTGTCATTTCCCCATGGATTTCTCAAACGCAACACGGTGATATTTTCACCGCAATAAGTGATCGAGTGAATTGCGGTGATGCTGTAGGCATGACCGCACACTAATCCATTGCTAAGTTGAGCTTCGCGAATAGTCGAATCCGCATCGATCGAACATCCAAAGAGGGAACCCATTTCCATTCCTTTCACGAGTTCAGCAAGAACTGCTGCCTTGTCGACCTTGCGAAGATCAAAGTACTCAGTGAGGCCTCCCGTGAAGTCTTCTAAAGCCTCTGCCGTCGTGCCGCCGTCAAGATTTTCGTAACCTCCATGAAGCCTATAAAAATTCCAGAAAATCATATTCAAATCATAGTGCGCTTCTGAAAAGAGAAAAGCTACAACAAGAATCTGCCGCTGCAAGACCTTGCAATCTGACACGTTGTGGTTACGTTTATTTTTTTTTATTTTTCGAATTAAAACAAATGACTGAATAACCAGTTTGAGTCAAACAGAGATCTCTAAATTTGCACGTATTTACGAAAAAATAAAGCGACCGCACGCTGACCGCAACGCGCATGGCGACATTGATAGACTTTTTTCAGAAACAAACTTTGCATAAGCCTTTTCGACCAGAGCACTCCAGAATTCGTTGTTGGTTTCGGAATGCAAATAGTAGAGTTTTCCATTGACTGTTGGAAGGCGATCATCGACAACAACGTCAACCCATCTTCCATAGTGCCAAAATTGGAAATGGAATATTCCGGCATAATTATCGGTGAAACTCTGATCCGGTGGAACCACACGATAGAAAAGCGCATCATAAAGAGTGATGTTGGCGAGTGCAGCGAGGAACCAACAATCTCCCAATGCGCCTTGCTTCACATCAAAACGCGATTCGCCTTGGACAATGAGTTGAGGATTCGAAACGATATCCTATCATTTGAAATATTTGGTGAATTTTTTAATCCCTATTTTTACCCCTGGACGCTTCCAGACAATTTGAGCTTTTGGTGGAGTACTGTAGTACAGGCTCTTGTTGGTTGCCGGAAATTCCGGATCCTCGAACAAAATCTTTTCTCGAAGACACCGATCCCTTTCCGTTTCAAAATCCAGCCCGTAGTCTTCTACTTCGAGGATCTTTTTTTTCGGTTCACTCGGCTTGACAATTGGTTTCTCCTCAACGATCGCCTTCTTCTCTTCCGCCGGCAATATTGGTTCGTCTTTTCGGAAACGATGCACCTAAATATTCATTAAGAATGCTCAAATATTGACACAGAATCCTTACTCGACGTCTCCGACATTTTCCTCTCATCAAATTGTCAAGATAGATTTTTCCAGTGTTGCCTAAGTTGTTGTGAAGTCCGCCCAAATGGAAGAAGTCGTTTCCTCGAATTGATCCGATGATCCTTCCGGTATCCGGATTGATCTTCGAAAAGTGATGGATAAAGTCTCGAATACGCTGATCAACAATGCGTTCCATTTTTCCAGAAAGCAAACAATTAGTAAGAGCTGAATATGTTAAATTTAGTTATATTCGAAGTTCAATCTAATTCAACCTTGTCCACCCTTTGGATATCTTCGTCGGATATGACGGATGATGTGAGGAATGTCCTTTCCATCGAATCCGTCAAAAAGACCTAATAATCCAGATATACGAGAAGCCTTTTTATTCGACGCACCTTTAATATAGCAACTGAAACCACGACTTAATTGATGTTTCGGTGCTTTCGAAACCGGTGCCTCATCAGGGAGGTATTGATCATAGTTCAGCTCATAATCTGAAACTATACTTTCCATTATTTTCAATTTCAATTTCCATTAGCGAAAATGAGCTCTTGGTTTTAGTAGCCTAGAGTAAAAAAAAAACGAGAGAATTGTCATTCGAAAAAGTGCATTTCGTGCACTCGAATGAACCAGGAGACTCAACGTTTTGTGTATGTTGCACAATCGACCAAAAAACTAAAAACGCGGAAGTGAATTTGAAGATTGATTATAATGTTTGTCTGGCTCTCTCTCTCTCTCTCACACTATTTGTTTCCCTCAAAATTATGGTTCGAATTGTTGTGACAGATAACAAGACAAATCATGCATTTTTGTTGAAGGATTGAAGGATAAGAGATAGATAAGGAAACTATGACTAATCAACTGTCTGACATAAAGGGGCAATGCAGAAAAATAAAAAAAATAAGAAAAAAAAAATAAAAAATAAGAGAAAAAATGAAAAAAAAGAATCGAAGATACTTGTGTTTTTGGTGGATTCGCATCAAGACCCATCACATAAATTAACGGAATGCGTCTTAAAATACCGTATTTTTGTGGCGTACTGTTTTATTTTTAGGATTTTTACTACTTAATATTTTTTGATGAAATGTTTTCGTTTACATTTAAGACGCGTGCCGTTTATTTATGCGATGGATACCAATGCGAATTCAACGAAAACACGCATATCTTCCCTTCTTTTTTTCTGCATAGCATTTACCTTATTTTTTCTCTTTTTTTAAATTTCTCTACATTGCCCCATCGAACCAAATATAGTAAATCGATTACCTGATCCGTTTTTGTATTCGCGTATCACAGGAATCGGGGTAATTCGTGTGGGTTTCAAATCAAATAGCTCATGATCATACTTGTGCACTTCGACACTTGCCCCTCCGCGCCCGTTAGTGTGCCGTATGACCCGGTGACTAGACCGATGTTCAACGACCGTCTCGGACACCACAAACGATTTATTTCCATATTTCGTTCGTTTCTTATACTCGATCACTCGTTTGGTGAACGATGAGGTCTTCTGCTCTTCTTCGGTAGGCGTCAGCCCACCGTCGATCGTCGTGGCAAGATGGGGAATTATTTTGCTTCAAACAAATATTGAATGATTAAAAAATATATATATTAGGAGAAGTTGGTGTAAAAAAGAATATTGGTTAGTTATCAGTTGAAAAACACACAGCTTATCAGAGCACTTCGAGAATGAGCCCAAATTTGCGGCCGCTCATACGAATGTGGTCGACAAGGTCAAAAAACAAGAAGAGCGAAGGCAAAAGCTTTTAATCGAGCCGAGTAACATCCATTTATTCGATGCATCTTCTCAATATATTTCGGTTGGAACGGAAATTGAATTTACCGCCAAAAAATGCGAGTGTGATGAGTTCATTTTGGAATTGAAACGGTCGAATTGAAGTCGAACACGAAACAAAAACAAATTGATGGCAAGATGGTTTTTATTGTGCAAAAATCGATAACAAAATATGGATTGACGGCAAAAGGCGTGTTTCAATCGGCAAAAACAACAACAAATCAATTTGATCACATTTCATGTTGAACAATTGAGCCATGTGGCTCACGTAATTCTCAAAATTTGAAAGAATTTAGAATTTCTAGAAAAGTACTATTTTATTTATTTAATTTTCGAAAAAGTGATATTGATTACTAATATTTGTAACATTGAATTTCTCATTGAAAATTTTCCATCCTTACAGAAAATAGCTGTATCCTATCAAAACTCGAATTATGTTTTATTAAATTATCGAACTCTGATAACTCAAAACCAATCGTATTCGACAAAATTTGGCTCTAGAATTAACCTGATCCGATTGGAAATTCTAGGGATAAGATTGGAAAATTATCGGATCCGATTGGTTTTTTGGGTATTTTCGCATCCAACTGGTAATTTGTCGGATCCGATTAGATTTTCTTCGAATCTGATTGCTAAATATTCGAATCCGTTTTGTTTTAATATTTCAATTCGAATCGGATTCGACATATAACCAATCTTATCCGTAGAATTATCAATCGGATCAGGTTGATTCCGGAGCCGAATTTTGTCGGATCCGATTGGTTTTGGAGTTAGCAGAACATCAACCATTTTTGCCGCGAACCGAAAATTTCTATTGTCCTTGACAAACATGAATTTTGAAAACCATTTTCACTTTTTGAAATCATTGATTTTAATTACGTCATTCGCACCCGATAAAAATTTTCCATTTTTGCAAATGCTTGTTTATTTGTTTTTTTATTTACTGAACTTCACTCTTTATAAATAAACAAACTCACTTCCTTGTGGTCGATTGTTTACACATAAAAGGGACCATTTAAACCAATCAACAATAAATGCTCTAGCAGGCAATTATTTTCAATTACCGTTGATTAGCTTAATTGATATGATAACTTACAATCCACAGGATCGCGGCCATCGTGTTGATCGATGACTTTCTTCATGATTCCCGAAACTGAAATTGAAATATTGAATGTATTGAACGCGTTTGATTCGAAAAATGAACGAGCGGGGGGATTTTGATGCTGAACAGTGGACAGTTTCAATGTTTCGGTCTGCACTTTGGCCGCCACAAACAACAACAACAAAAGTGGCCAACCGGCTGGACATTCGACATGATAGATGGGAAAACGGAGGAGAAGAGAAGTAGAAAATATTGAAGAGAGACACGATTAGGAGACGGAGAAAACACGCAAATACGGCAAAAAATGAGCCAATAATGCTGACGATTTGAAAATTCCATGTCAGGTCGTTCTGTTGTCTGCAAATATGCAGCATCAGCTGAAATTTTTTCCACTGTTTCGTTTCGAATGCTACTACGTAATTTCGGGAGAATCTTAACGGTATTTTTTTTCGCAAACTTAATTAATTGATTTATTTGGGCAAGAAAGCGAATGTCACAAATTATCGAAAATTGCTATTTCAAATTAGAATCGATCACTAATTTTTAGCCATTTTTTTTGAAAAGTGTGTTCAACGAGGAAGTATTGTTTGGATTATTGGGCTAGTGATCTCTTCTCATTCAAAATTCGGAAAAAATCGGAAATTTCCCGAATTTTATTTTTAAAAAAGTTTTCAACGCAATGCATTCATTATTTGTTGAGTGTCTTCAAATTATGAAACCATCTTCGAGATAAATTTCAATTTTTTAAAAACTGCCTCTATCTATTTTTTCATTAAACGATCTATTTTTCGTTTATTTTTCAAAAATACAGACTTTCTTTTTAAAGATTTATCTTCTACAATATATTTATTTCAAGCAGGCAAAAAAAAAAATAAATTCCATTATTTTTTAAGGCTTTTTTCAGCTTATATTTTCTATTCTTTCCAATTGGTTGGAACATGAATACTAATTTTGTGTGTTGTCTTGAAATTGGAAATTGAATGGTTAAAAAATTTAAAAATAAAGATATTTGAAAAATATTTTCACTTTAATTTTCGTTTCTATACAAAATAAGAGAAAATCAAAAAAATCTGAAATTTCCAAAATTTCCAAATGAAAATGAAGATAATATATTTTTCTTGTTTGAATCATCCTAGAAAATGTGAAAACAAATGGCGAAATATATGGGGGAAAATGTGCGAATTTATAGTGGCGCGCGTTTCTCGAATTTCGAAATAAATGATGTGGTGGATAAATGAGTCATCGGCGGCTCATTTTAGCTGAGTCATTTCTAAAAATGGACGAACAAAATGGAAAGACGAGCAGAACTAAAACGTTTGTCAAGTAGTTTCCATTCAATTGCAATTCGAGAAGCCGTCTTCGATTTTTATAGAGATAAAATTGAAAATTCAACTTTAGCGGAGAAAATCCCACCATTTTTGGTATGCTTATTGCAAAACCTAAAACAAAAATCAATTCTAGCAAGATTATTTGGTTTCTTTTGGCGTTTTCGATGTTGACGAATGTCGAGAAAACGCGGGAAACAATAGAAAAGACGGCGATGATATGGAGAAGTCGCCGTTTGGCAGCGAAAAAGAAGGAGACGAACGCGATGATGGCGAAGGAGATGGCGAACATGTATGTGTGTAGGTTGAAGCTCAACAAAAAAAAGAGCAAGAGAGTCACGAGAACAATTTCACTAATGAAGTGGTCTCTTCTCATTCATTAAGCAAAATTTCAAAAAAAAAAACACACAAAACTCGAGTTTTCAGTCTGAATGGAAGGCAAGGTTGAGGAAAAACAAGGATATTGTGATTCGGCTTCCGCGAAGACCGGAGAATAGGAAGCCAATTACTGGTTTTCATAATATATATATATAGTCAGCGTCCGTTGACTGCTGTACGCGGGTAGATATACGCGCATGCGCCTTGAAAAGGTCTCGCCACCTTTGAACGCTTATTTTGCTGTTTTCACGTGAACTGCTTCATTTTTCTTGATGAATTTCGCATTTCCTTGAATTTCCAACGTCATTCGATTAAAAAATTATCGAACCGGTCCATAAAATTTGAAATAACTTGTTAGTTTTTGTGAGACCAATTTGAAAGACGCATTCTCGTAAATCTACCCGCGTACAGCAGTCGCCGGACGCCGACTATATAATCTTGTTAAAACTAGAATATTCTCGAATTTCATCAGAATGCCCTGTTTTTTGCTTATCATTCGCTGGATGCGGATTTCTCGGAACTTATGAGTTTGGTGTTGCTCACGCAATCGCGACTCATGGATCGGTTGACACTCAATTCTCATTGGGCCGCTTTTTCACAGCATAATTTGATTTTAGGCGCTTTATTCGCAAACTATTCGATTTGCTGGAACATCTTCTGGTAGTCTTGTTGCCACTTTGATGCTGTTCAATCCGACCAAGTATAATACTCCACACCGCTCGCCGCAACGCACGTGTGGCCCAGAAAAATGTTTCCAAAACAGTTTTGTTCGGCCACGGCCACACATAATGGATTAGTTCATTTAATTAAGTAGAATTAATTGAATGGTAGTTTGCCGCACTTGCATTTTTGGGTTTTGAAAGTGTCAACCAATTATTCTGGGTCACACGTGCGTTGCGGCGAGACCTGTCCAGGGAGGGGGCCGAGTTTTTACCAGGCTTGTCGTTTCGGCCGGCCCGGATAATTTTTGCATTTTTTTTTTACATTCATCTCATAAAATGTTGAAGGATTTCTAAATCCAGACTATTAAATTTGCAAGAATCTTCTCCACTAATGATTTATTTTCTGGAATCGTATAATTACTCATTTTTGACTTATTTCTTTTTAATCAAAAAACACATTTGAAAACCCCAATTTTGATTTCTAAACAGCAAAAAAAGAAACAGATTTGTTAGTGTTTATTTCGATTTCTACGCATTTTTATTGAAAACCTACGCTGACCGCGACGCATACGCAACACGACCGATACGCGTAAGGGCGCGAATTTGAATTCTCGGTTTGATTTTGCCCGATTCGACTTCGAAACGACACACCTGGTTTTTAGAACGGAGATGTTGTGTTTCTATTTTTTTTTCTAATTTTGTACCGAAAATAGTTTGAAAAATTTCTTTTCGAGTTTGGCATGCCGTTTTTTGCAAATGGTCCAATTTGGCACAAATTTGTTGGTCTTTAAAAATCAAGAAAAAATTCGAAACCCCCTGGGCAAAACCCCATTGTGGACATTGCTCTGGCCAGGATCCACAAGCCACAGAACTGTGCCGATGGTCATGTGGTCTTTTTTTGGCAATCCTACAATCTTCAATCAAAATATATAAATTTTATAATTATATAATATATATAAATATCGCGATTTTATTAAAAGAGCTTCCGCCGCTGCCGAGGAAATCTACAAGATCTCCGATGATGTTCATGCTTCTCCAATGGGCGTTTTTTCTCCGGGATTTATGATCGGCGACAAATTGCGAAGGATCATCGAAAAATATATACCCGACGACATCTCTCCAGCCAATAATCGATTATTCATTTCTGTCACACATTTGAAGGTAACCCATTCAAATTATTTTCGAGAAAATTTCAATATCCTATTTCGATGATATGCAATGCAATATTTAGACATGGAAAAATGAGATAATCTCGACATATTCGAATCGCGAAGAGCTCATCAATGTCCTAATGGCTAGCTGTTATCATCCAATGTATTCCACAGGAATCGCGGGAAAAGCTCCAGTAGTTCGCGGAGAAGTAAGCCCCATCTTCTTTGTTTTGTTCGCTTCAAGACCCATTTGGTTTCAGTCGTACATTGACGGCGGCTATACGAACAATCTACCGGAATTCAGCGATGTTCGCTCGATCTCGATTTCGCCGTTTTTGGGCGACGCCGACATTTGTCCGCCGGACAAATCGTCGATGTTCACTGATGTGATGATGATCGTTTTTAATCAGAATTTGAAGGTTCTTCATCCAAATTAAAACAAAAGCAAAATTTTTTTTGATTTCAGCTGAATGTTGAAAATATAAAACGGCTTATCAATACGCTATTGCCGCCGCCTCGAGATGTTCTCGAGAAATATTATGAAATGGGCAAACAAGATGCGACGAAGTTTCTCAAACAATGGTCAATGCATAATGTGTAGAGAATTGATGAATATCCCCCCATTTTTCACAACTTTTACTCGTTTTTTGAAAAAATAATTTTTGGTATTTTATTCGTCATAAATAATGGCAATTTTGAGTTCATCCGGGAAAATAGTGACGATGATCCGTTTGACAATTGATAAATTTCGAAAAAAATGATAAAAACGATCATGACACACCATTCTTATCATCGCTAACCTCAAAACTAAATATTATCATTTTCATTTATCAAAACCGCATTTGTCTTTGTGCCTTTTTATTCATAAATTTTAGCGTTTTAGTAGAATTGCTGGAATGAAGCGAATTTTTCGAAAATTAAAATATCGGCAACATTTCAAACACAATTTTCCTTTTTGGATTATTATATTAATTTTAGATTTTATACTAATATTACTGCATTAAATTGCATCGTTTACAGTGTTAAAATTGAATTTTCTAGAGATCCCAGTCTATTCTTATACATATTAGCCATCATCTGCATTACAGAAAATATTAAAAATTTGAGCTTCTTGCAAATGTTGATTTTTCGAAGCGAAAACAAATTTCGATAACTTTCTCCACCTTTTATTGACATTGCTGACTAATCACATGATATCATCGCACTTCGAGTTTGACTAGACAATTTTCAGAGGAATGAGTGTGGCGCCAACCGATAATTTCAAATCTCAACCACCACCACCATACAACGTTGGCGAAGGTGCACAGCCAGTACAACAGGCGCCGACGCAGCAGATTTATGTTCAGCCGGCTGTTGTTCAACCAATCGCCATTGTCGTCGAAGAAGTTAAAGTAAGACACAAATATTGAACGAGGATCGGAATTCGCGAATAATTGGATTCGAGAGTTCTGCTCAATTCATTTCGAAATTTAATTTTCAAATTATAAAAAAGAATAAAAATGATTACAATGGAGACCATTAAAAATATAGCCTTTTCTACTAAATAAAACAGCTATTTTTCAGGAGACTTCGTGCCGAGAACCCTATATGGAATATTGTCCAAGATGTCGGGTAATTCGTCGAACCAAATTTATATATTTCCTCCATTGATTCCAGATAACTGTGATGACTCGAACTGAGGAGAAAATCGGATCATTTTGGTGGATTCTCTTCATCATTGGATTAATACTCTTCTGGCCGGCGCTGTGTTGCCTTTGCTGCAAAATTTCCAAAGATGTCCGTCACATGTGTCCAAATTGCGGAACAATGGTTTCGTGCTCGAAAAAAGGATGCTAATTAATTGGTTGTAAAAACGAATAAATGTATATTTGTATTGTAGTATAATTAAAAAAGAAACCATTCAACGAGCAGCAAAAATTAGCACATCTTTGAAAGATGACATACATAATCACTGAAAAATTTTTTTCTGGACTTCTGAGAAAAAATGATTGTTACGTTCAGTCGCTGCGAGACCCAACCTCGCTGTGTGCTCTCGGGAGAGAATTTTCCGAGATTTCCCTAAACTATCCCATAAGCAAAAATTCTCGAGACTCTCGGATGCACCGAGAAAGTTTGTGGTTTCGGTAGTTTACGGGTAGTCGCGCGCACGGGAACCGAGAGTTTCGAGACTTTCTCGCCTCTGGTAAATCATCCCTAGTCGTATACGAAAAAACATAATTTCTTCATCGAATAAGATAAAATTAAAATAGTACACGTTAATGCGAATCGTATACGATTCTGATGAATAGTTTATAATTGTATACGAACATCCGCAAAAGTCCCATTCGAAAAGAGGAAAGAAAAATAAACTCGAAGATGTGGCCGTAAATCTACACTGTGCGATTGGGCGCGATTGCAACCCTAATGAATAGACGCAGACGGTGAGAGTCTATAGGGCTTGATGGGCGATTTTCCCACGGGTTCCCGCCGCGACGCCAGGAAGTAGGATTTTGGGAGTAAACAAATGGATTGAATTGGCCTAAATTGTTCAGTTCTTAGCTCTGTTTTGACCGCGAGCGATCGGTTTTTTCTGCTTTCTTCTACATGTTTTGTTGAAGCTTGAAGGCTGGAGCAGTCTGGGACTGTTCAAGCCTAGGTCTGCGAATTGAGCAGTCTTGGACTGCTCAAAGAAGCCTTAGCTTTCCGAGAGGTCGACTTGACAGTCTGGATTTGCCTTAAGAGATAATTGCCCGAGCGAGATGCTCGGGCGGGTTGATAATTATGCCCAGAGCCCAGCTTCGCCGATGAAGGCCCAGGGATCTGAAACCCCTTTCTACCCACCAAAGAAGGTCCGAAATGGACGGAAATTTGGCCTTTGGCACTTTCTAGAAGTACCAAAGGGTACAGAAATGGCAAAATTCACATGGTGCATCGACCGGTGGGTATTTGAAAGTGATAGGACCCCTGATGGCGACCACCATGTCATAATTGTCGTAAATACCGTGCGCTTTCTTTGACCGTTAGAACTTGGGAAATTAATTGGTTGAATTCCAGCAGCGGCTGATATGAGCGTCAAGGACGTCGTTTATGACGCGGTGGTAAAGGCGATGGTCAGCGATGCCCCGAAGGACGATGAATTCTACCGGCGGCTCGGGAAGACAGTAGCAGACGTGGTGAAAGGAGAGCACCGGGAAGCGCACGCCAACGAGTGCGATCATCGTCTGTCGGCGGCGATGAGAGAGCAGGTCGAATGGGCCGTCGCAAAGTAATAGGACCTGGCGGTGGCGAACAAGGACAGAAGGGGCAAGGATCAGAAGTTGAGGTGTCCGAGGTGTGGCTCAGAAGCCCACTCGCCGGGTTTTTTCTGCACAAGAAGGCATGAGGCGGCAACGGAAGAAGGGATGGTTGTCCCTATTGTTAAATTTGATTGTGTTTTTGTTAGATAAACGTTATTGATTCCAAAGTGTTATTGATTGAACTTGACAGGGAACAACGAGGTCGTTGACGAAGCGGATAGAAAAGGGCTGACACTCATCGTCCAGACGGGGGGGGGTGAATAACTGACGAGCGACAATTGAATGTTAATTTTGAAACTCTGGGTGGAGCTGAGACCACCGTAAGTCGGGGACGGTACAGTTGGGTATTAATTGCCCCAACTGGTGCAAGGTTTCGGGTCACGGCGGAACCCGACGTGGCAGCTTGGTGGGCTGATCAACCGCCACGCAGTCGTGATACAACATGGTAATCTCAATAGATTGCCGGCACAGGCGCGTGGTCTGGAAGCTGACCAATCTCCAATGACATGGTTAGACAGACGAGGTCGCGCGGAAATTCAACCCGTGAGACCGTCTTGTATCGTTATTAGCCACGTCTCAGAGATATGGGAATTATCACAGTATCAAACAGCGAATACAACGATGACAACCCAAGTCAAATTCTTAATCCAGAAACTGAAAACCCAGGTGACTAGACGAGTCTCGGCGGCGGTAAGAACAGCTGGGACGGCGGCTGCTCACCTAGATAATCTCGAGAATTCCCTCGTTGGAAGAACTCCGAACTTCTATGCCGATTTGGACTACGCTCAAGAAGGCTTAGGAGGTCTTGGTCCGACTGGCTGAGCTGGAAATGACTGCCATTGGCGAGATACCCGAGGCGAGAGTGCCGGAAACGGTTCTTCTTGATGGGCTCCGGGCGGTGGAGGAGCATAAACGCCACCGCGAAGTACGGCGAGTCTGGTAAGAGACTGTCGAAACGGTTCGAGGCATATGGGAACGGTTTCCCGAGGAGCCGCGCGAGGAAGCGCCGAACCCAAAATGGAGGAGGAGGCCTCAGACATTAGTGAGGATGAAATGAGAGAGGAACCGTTAGTGAGCGAGAGCTCCAGAACGGCGGGACACGTGCTCGGGAGGGTTGATAATGATGCCCAGAGCCCAGCTTCGGCGATGAAGGCCCAGGGATCAGAAACCCCTTTCTACCCACCAAAGATGGTCCCGAAAGGGACGGAAATTTGGCCTTTGGCACTTTCTAGAAGTACCAAAGGGTAGAGAAATATCAAAATTCACATGGTGCGAAATTAATTGGTTGAATTGCAGCAGCGGCTGATATGAGCGTCAAGGACGTCGTTTATGACGCGGTGGTAAAGGCGATGGTCAGCGATGCCCCGAAGGACGATGAATTCTACCGGCGGCTCGGGAAGACAGTAGCAGACGTGGTGAAAGGAGAGCACCGGGAAGCGCACGCCAACGAGTGCGATCATCGTCTGTCGGCGGCGATGAGAGAGCTGGTCGAATGGGCCGTCGCAAAGTAATAGGACCTGGCGGTGGCGAACAAGGACAGAAGGGGCAAGGATCAGAAGTTGAGGTGTCCGAGGTGTGGCTCAGAAGCCCACTTGTTGGGTTTTTTCTGCAACTTTCTAGAAGTACCAAAGGGTAGAGAAATGGCAAAATTCACAGAAATGCCAATTGTATCAATTGAAACTACCCATAAGAATATGCGTAATCTTCTTATTCTTCGAAATTTATGGTCCAGACCGCTCAGACTTGGCGCTAATCCAAGTTGCACGATTCAGCACCAACATGAGCCAACCCGAACTACCAGCGCGCGATACCTTTTTTTAGGCGATCATCATGAGCGCATTTCGCCGACATTTGATCGCTCGAGTCCTTTTGTTTTTGTTCGTTCTTTTCCATCGTCTGAACCCAATATACGGGCAGCGGCTCCCGAACCATTTTTCCTTTTTCCTACTTACCATACAACAATTATTTTGGATATTGTCACAAGCCCGATTCTCTTGTTTGCTGTGATTTCCCAAACATTTAAATGTGTCCTTTTGGTGCTCCATGTTTCTCTTCTTCACCTGCCTCCTCGTCTTCAAATGACTGGTCGAGCCTCGGCACAGGCCAAGCATGACGGTGTCAAAAGGCAGACTACCTGCTCTTCACTAGTTTTTCGAGATAGATGAACAAGATGAATCGCAAGCTCATTGGTAAAATTCCTCAGCTCTTGAGACTCAGCTCTCCGAAGTCGCATTTGCCGGCTCCGCCCCCTTCTATGCACACTCTCTTAAAATGTCCACCCAATTATGTTGTAATTTCCTCTCTTCCTTCAGAGAAATAAATCGTCTTCTTCTTTAATCCTTGTCAAATTCACACAAGTACGAAGATGTGAGAAATAAAAGGGTCCCCCCCTGTCACTTTTCGGCGGACACGGCAACAGACTCTTTACTATATTTAAATGTCAAGAAATTTATTTAAAAAAAATGTAGTGCCACAGTTTTCTTTTTATTTAATCGCTGTTTAATAGAATCATCATATCCGTAATAGAAATATTTGGATGAAAATATAAAATAGCGAAAAAATCGATAATGTATAAATACTTTTTTCTAAATGTTATTTGAGTGATGTTGAAGAACAACATGTGGGCTATCTGCAGGCTATAATGATTATTTAATATTGTTTTTCTGAAATAAATTTATATTCCTTAAACGTGTTAAATTGTCCAAAAAATTTGAGCCTGTTTAGCTGCCCCTATTGTTTTCAGATATTTATTTTCTCAAGGCTTGGAAAGAAGCTTGATTCAAAAATGCACAATTGGACACTTGAAATATTGACAATTTTGGGAATTTTCTGCGAAATATGAAATCTATCTGAGAATAGTTTATAACTTGTTCAAATTTTCAGTCTTTCATAAGAATACTTACCACATCTCCTCTAATAACAACCCGGAAATGTCCGCAGATGTTAACAATGAAGTTTTTCACATTGTAAAATCGACATTGAATAACAATAGAACATTTTTTTGAGAATTTGAGAATTTTTCTAAAAAAAAAACCAATTTTCCAGATCGGAATTAAGAATTAAGAAAATTATGTTCAACCACGGTCACACGTGACGCATTAGATTATTTAATTTAGTAGAACAAAAAAAAAGATATGTTGCGTTGTGTGTGCCGCACTTGCATTTTCGGTTTTTGAAATTGTCGCCTAATTTTTCTAGACCGCAATTACATTGTGGCCAATCGTGAACGCCTATAAACGCAAGTGTCGAGTTTTGCAGTTCTCGCCACCATCGCACGTAGATAAACACCAACTAACGTCTAGTTGTGGTGGGCGTAATGGCCTAATGGTTAACGGTTTGCCTCAGCGCGCCACACTATACAGGTTCGAGTCTCGTCGCTGTGAATGACGACAACATGTTAGGGACATCTGCAAATTCGATGATGATTTAACGATAGTAGTGCTGACACACAGCCTTTTTTGTGCATTCACCCTCTCTCTCAGTTCTCGCGATTCGTCGTATTCGCATTTCACCTGCGGCAAAACCACAATTAGGCGCACGGCTTCGATTATAATTAAGTGTGAATATATATGTATATATATGGGCATCACCATAACAACCAACTCAAGGCGCCGAGCGGTGAAATGCCGTCACATTTCGCCGTGATTTTGAGTCTGTGTGTGTGTGTTGCCGTTTTGCTGCTTTTTGACACTTCTTCTTCATTTCGATGGAGTGCGATTTGTACGAAGAAGTGTTCAGCACCTCGGATAAAAAGCCCGACGAAGACGAGTACGTCTACCGTGGAAGATTCGTCGAAAAGGATGAGCTGCCTCCAAGCAAGGTTGGTTATTTTTCATGTTTTATTTGAAATGGCATTTTTGCACAAAAACAAAATCGTAGGAGGATGGAGAAGTTGTGGAAGATGTCGCCAAATCAGACGAAAAACAACCGGAATATTCCTCGCCGGATCGTCCAATGTGGAAAACGAAGAAGGACGAAAGTAGCGGCGAAGAAGAGCTGGAGGAGGTTGTACTAGACGAGGAGAAGAAGGGAGCCGCTGATGGTGAAACAAGGAAGAGATCGAGAAGTTCGGGAAGCGAGGATGAGATTGAAACGAAGAGAACCAGCCGATACAGGTACATCGAATTGGGGGTTCTGAAAATGTTGATGTCGGGATTGCAGCTCGGAGCGGAATGAGAAGCCAAAGGATCGCAGCCGATCGCATCATTCCGATAGGTAAGTGGAAATCGGACGAAAATTGAAACTCGAAAAATTTCAGCTCCGAACGAGAAAGAGATCGTCGAAGCCGCTCGAATAGGTTTGTTCGAATTGTCGATTTGAAGATTTGATGGATAATTTTGCAGCTCAAAATCGCGAAATCGTCGAAGTAGATCACGCCAATCGAAAAGGCGAGTTATTCGTGGTTTGCAAGAAAAAAAATTCAATAATGCGTTCATTTTTTGTTTGCAAATGCGACAGCAATAAATGAATCACATTTTCGCGAATATAAAAAACAAAAAAAAACCAACCTATTATTATTATTATTATAAATGCGAAGGTTGCGCGCCGAAATCTATCATTTTTTCTCCTTCTTTTTCGTTTCGAGAAACACTTTTTTTGGCGATACAACAATGAGATTGTCAACGAAAAACTGGGGATATATTGAGTTTGCAATTTCACAAATTTTTTTTTGAAAAAACAATTTCCCAATGGATTTTCCCACATTCTGTGCCAAAATCGAGATATTTCAAAATTTGGCGTCTACAAGATTGAATATAGGAAATAATATTCGAATCGAATTCAATCACAATTATGGTAAATTGAAAATATTGAGTTATTCTTGATTTTTGAAAAAAATAGAAGTTTTGAAGCCTTCTCCTTCTAGCTTTTGCCCAAGTCTGGATGAATTAAAAATCAATGAGTCAAAAAAAAATATATTCAATATTTTATTACAATTCTCCGGTAACTTAAAACCAATCGGGTCCGACAAAATTCGGTTCCTGAATCAACCCGATCCGATTGGATATTTGTCGGATCCGATTGGTTTTGAATTACCAGAGTTGTGACAACCCTATATAAATGTTAAGTCTTCAATTTCAAAAACATAAAAATCATTGTTAAGTAGAAGAGATCTTCTTAAGTTTTTTTTAAGAATCAATCAAAAAACAAACAAACCATAAGAACAAATCAAGAAACAAAACAATGTCTAATACGTAACACAAAAAATATGTTAGGAGCGTTAATGTGAGGATGTAAGTAGAGATTTTTAGAAAAATAGAGGATAGGTTTCAAATAGTTTTTTTAGCTATGACTAAGAAAAATCCCCTCGAATTCCCAAATCCGAGACCAAATCTATAAGTTCTTCTTTAGTATTAAGTTCAGGATTCTTGGTTTTAATATATATATATTTTTTTAAAGTAGAAGAAGATCTCTTCTACTTAACAATAATCCACACGATGCACTCAAAACAAGTCACTCCACAACACAACAAAAATAAAAAATCATTTCACGTGGCCGAGTTCCCAAAAAATGAATTCTCTGAAGAACAAAAAGGTGATTCACGTGGAAATGAATGTCTTTCGAAAAACGGTGAAATCGAATATTCCAAGTTTTAATATCATTGTGTTCAATTCAAGCAATCATGGGAAAACGGATATGGTTCGTTTTTGACGATTTGATTCATTTCAATCTCATATGATAATTCCGACAATTTCAGCTCAAGCCGTCACGATCGCTCATCAAAGGATCGTGATCGCTATGATCGCGGAGATCGTTCGGATCGTTCCGATCGTAGTCGATCGCGTCATTCTCGAAGGCTAGTTTCTCTCCTCATTTCTAGTGTGATCTTTTTTTTTGTTCCTTTGTTTTGTCGTTTATTTTTCCTGGGTTTAATGTCGTCTTCACATCATTTTTGATCAACGATTTTTCAGTCCGCGCAAATCGACAAAATCGCGTGCGAGTCGCTCATCCAGCCGCGGCACCTATGAAGGATTCGAGTATGATCCATTTATTTTATTTTATTCATATTTCTTCCCAACGCCTCATTTTGTTATACAATTGCCAAGTTGTGTGAGTGCGTCGCCCCGCCCCCCGTCCCGCCCCGCCCCCTTGTCGACCCGTATCGAGCAGATAAACAAAAAACAACGCAAGCAAAAGCAACCAACAAGCGAGAAGGAGCTTCAAACGAAAATCGATGAGTTTTGCAGGTTCATTGTACCCGATGATGAGCTGCCGTACAGCTGCCGACAATGTCGACGAGGGTTCTTCACAATTCGCGAGTTGTCCGAACACGAGATTCGAATGCACGACAACGAAATCGAGTGCACCCAATGCGATAAGGTCTATATGTCTATCGATATCTCGTTATTCAAAACTGATGATGTCTCAACAAATTATTTGATGAGAACACGAACATTAGGTTAAGCGAGAGACTCTATTTCTGATCGGCGAACCGCGTTCAATTGGCCTATGCATATCGGATACTTATTCAAAAATTTTCGTTAACACGGAACAAAATGAGAATTCGTAGTTGATGTTACTAGAGTTCGCGCATGGTAGGTGGTATTGTTGGAATCAAACGACTGGACGAAATTTTAAAAAAATTAATGGCTATGTGTCTCGAGGCAGCGAGATGATTGCGTACCTTGCATTATATTGTACGCGCATTTAATATTCAGTCAACGAAAACTTTAAATCTCGAATTTCAAGGCCTTGCCTCCCTTCAGTCGTTTGATAGTATAATTTGCAAAATTTCAATTGATCGTCTGGAATGAATATTCGTATAAATTTTGCCGATTTCGCTCGTCTACCATTTTGTTCTTCGTGAATTCGATTTCCAATCCCCAATTTTCAGAGATCGGTTTCTGTTTCTAAATTGGCCGCCCACATTCTTCATCGTCATCCGACGAAACCCGTTTTGTGCTATTATTGCTACGAGAAATTTGGGCATGAAGCTCAGAAATTGTCCGAGAAACGCTGGCAACAATTCCGCGATCACGTATACCGGGTACGTTGGCCATTTGTCGCATTCAGATGTCGAATTGTTTGGTTTTCAGGAGATCATCAAAAAACGAATGTACAAAAATTCGGCGAGGCATTCGTCGAGTTCGCAAAACGATTCGCAGAATTCGATTGCGCTTCGAGGAGTCGGAAGATGTCCTCACGGAGCACCGGTCAAGTGCAAGTAATCGCGTCTCAAACGTCTCATTTTGGGGATGTTGACCGTTTCAGAAATTTTCCCAACTGTCCGGGTGTCAAATGCATCTATTCGCACGGATTGTGCAGATTCAACAATTCTTGCACGAAGACTGGGTGTCCATTCGATCACGACAATCGTCCGAGGGTTTGCATGTCGTGTGTGAACGACATGAAAGACGAGAGGCGTCGTCGATATTAAACTGTGATTATTTTGATCTACATATTTGCATGTGCCAACATATTCATAGTGCAGCCATTTTCTCTCTTTTTTCTTTCTTAAATTGAATATGTGAATATAATTTATTTAATTATTGGCAACATTATCATTATAATTATCATTCTTAATATTTCAAATCAATAATAAATATACAAATTTTGTTGTTTTCATTGGCTTGGCGATGGAGTTCCATCGGAGACGTCGACGTCGGATTTACGACGAGATATGAAGTATTCTGGCACGATGATCGACATTTCACGACGACGTAATGCCTGAAAATTGATGAAATTTCAAGGGGAAATGCTGTAATTTACCTTAAACAGAAGAAGAAAAGAAGCATTCTCGGGATCAGTGCCCGTCGAAGAAGAATAAGAAGAAGAAGAAGAGGAAGGGGGGGGGGCAAAAGAAATTCATTCAAAATTCAACCGGTAATATCGATTAGTGGTCTCGACGCGAAAATACAAATACATATGTATATCATATGAGAAGCTGACTAAACATGCGAGCCGTGTTCGGATATTCGTTTTCGGAGCCATCGCGGTGAGCATGTGGCGATTGTCGACAAAAACGAGCAGCTCGTCGAATCGTCGCCGTCGTTGGCGTTTCGCACGATCGCGTTTGCCATCGAGTAGCGAGCATTCTTGCGGCCTGGATGCTGAACTACCTGTGTGAGATCTTGTTTCGTCTCGACCTGAAGACCGCCCGAGTTGGAGCAACTCGTTGTGTTGTCGTCGTGATTCGCATTCAGATAGCCATTGTTGATTATCTAGAATGCGATAATCGTATGAATTTTGATAATGGTTCGATTAACATTTAGAATGGAACACTAGTTAATCACGACTACATCATTTTTGTTATATGTAGTCCACAAACGCGCCCTATAGAAATGTCTCGTTGTATAGCACCCTCTCACTCTCCCTTATCTATTTATGTTTCTCTCCCCCTTTTTCTCGGTGCCTATCACAGGTCGCAGTATTTCTCTCTGTGTCTCTTATATTTCTCTATCGTTTGTATTGTGGGAAAAATGACGAATGTGAAAAATTGCAGCAATATCCTATGCAACTTAGCTACAGTAATCTCAACAGAAAATTATTTAATAGATTATTGATTTTTTCTTTTTAGATAAAACAATTAACTTTGGATAATATACAAAAATAATTACTGTGGCACTTTTTCAACACTACAATATACAGAAAATCATGAATTCGCACAGAAAAAATATTTTTTCAAAAAATTGAATAAATAATTTTCAGTTGAGATTACTGTAGATCGAGATTCGGTGTACGCACACAGGGCATTGGATATCGCTGCACTTTTTCACTTTCGTCATTTTTCTAGAATTGTATGATCCCATAGCACAATATGAGCTCGCGTTTCCCTCATTTGGCCATGTCTATTTGGTCGACTCAATAAAGTCACATTGACCAAATCTCGTGTACCACACACCTACACCTACGAACACCCCAATCTTGATGAAGGTCTGATTGTTTCGTTCTCGACTACCTGCTTGTTTGCTTTCCTTATCAATCCGTTCTCACTGTAGCCGACTTTCATTCTTGAGATGATGAATCGAAGCACTTCACGCCACAAAATGATGGCCGAATCGATTTCGGCGAGCGTCATTTCGCTCTTCTTCGAGAATCTGAAAATCGAAGCACGTCGTCGCGAGACGCTCGCGTCGCCAAACTTTTTGTCGGCCTTCATCTGACGACGAAAATGGAACAAAACGCATTCTTTGAACACGGACCAATAATGCGCACTGACAAAAAATGAAATAATGAGAAACAACGCGAAATGGGAATGAATGGGACGAAACCTGAATCCGAGTTGCTCCTCGTGTCGCGCGTGGATTTTGCCGAGATTCAGAAATAGCGCGTCAAGTTGTTCGGGATCTTCCAAATGGGTCATCGTCGATTCGATTACCTAAATCCATATTAGGACTATTTTTTTCGTGGTACCCCGAAGTGAAACTCGCCGTGATAAATCTCGGCTGTAATAGAACTTGGAATCAAATTCTTTCATAATAAAAATCTGCTAGAATGGAACTCGGTTCTCAATAGAGCGCAATTGCATCATTGTTTTGTTTGATGGAAAACCGCTCAATGCCTCCCAAGATTTTCTTGAATGAATTTCAGTAGCCATCAATTTCTAATTGTAAATGTTCTCTTTCTGACCTTCGCGACAGATTTTTTCGAAATAACTGTAAAATTACCAAACAAACATAACAATGATGCAACTGCGCTCTATTGAGCTCTGGTAAATGAAAATCAATCGGATTCGAAGAAAAATTAAATATGAATTAACCTGTTTCGATTGAAAAATAATTAAAATTCGATTAGGAAAACGCTTAAATTCGATTTGAAATTTTGGTTTCGATTCAAAAATCTTCGAAATCGGTTGATTTATTTCTCATTCTCAATTTTGAAATCGTATTTGATTGAAATTTTGGAATAATTCGAAACAGATTAATTTACATTCGATTTAGATTGAAAAAGGTATTATTTTCGAATCCGATTGATTTTCATTTACCTGAGAGAGCCGAGTCCGATTTCGGCCCAGTTCCATTCTAGCAGAGTTTTATTACGGAAGAATTTTATTCCAACGAGTTCTATTAAGGTGAAGTTCAATTACAGCCGAAATCTATCACGGCGAGTTCCACTCCGGGCTATCACCATTTTTTTTTGGAAAATTGCCAACCTGTATGAATCTGACTGCATGGAAAATGAACTCATTGCTTTTCTTGTCTTCCCTGAAATCATATTTGTTTTATTTCAATGAAAAGCTTCATTCATTGTATGTGCGTGTTCCATTTAATAAAATTACTCGCAGTTTCAATAATTGAATATGTTGAACATTTTGTATTTTCGAGACGAATGGAAACGTCATCTTTTTGTGAATCATCAATGAGGGTCTCGCAACGATTTGATGTCATTAATAAATGCATAAATCGAATTCTCACTTGTAATCCTTCATCATGAACGAGAACATGAGTTTCGCGTCGGGAGCCTGCTCGAAAATCATTTGGAAAATGTTGACGGCCACTTGTTGTGTGTCCCTTTAAATAACTCGCAATTTTCTCCCAAATTCACTCATTTTTGTTCACTTTGAGACAATCGCCCACGATTTGTTGAGAATCTGGCGATCGGTTGGCGTCAAATGCGATAACGATTCCATTTTTGGAAGGCAATTTTCGACGGAATAATAATAATGATGATGATGATGAGGAATTATTTTTTCTGTAATATATGCGCAAATTAATCGAGGCCGAAATGAAAATCAAGAAGCTAAAAATTGTTGAATGACAAAAACGAAGATCTAATTACTAGAAATTGTTGAGCCCACTAGTGCACAAAATAATCCCTGGAACATTGGACCACGATAATTCCAATAAGGGGGACCCATAGAAAGATGGCTAGTAGTGAAAAATCATTGGCTGGGTCTCAAGATGTATTGTGGCAGAAACCCCGAACAATGTCCGGATATTCAATTCCACAAGAAATTCCAATTTCCAACGTGAATATGGTAGTTTTCGCGCCACGACTCGCTTCTTTTGGACGCGCTAAACTCGTTATTTTGAATTCCAGGCTTTATTTTGGCAATTTTTAATTTCAGCGACGTTAGAAATTCAAGGAAATTACGAACTCAACAAGGAAGACAACAAAAAAAAAAAACGAATAGCAAAACAAGCATTGTTGAGAGCAGACGGTTGCCCTCCGTAAATCTACCCGCCTAGGACCCCGACCATACTCTATACTATATGAAAATATTTTGTTATTGAAATTCAAAATGAGTAATTGTGTTCATTAATTTGGGTCATCATTTTTTTCGGCGTCTAAATAGTTCGCTCTGAGAAATTCTCGTCCGACTTCCTCTCATTATTAATTTGTCTTGCACAAATGCAAAAAAACAAAAAAGGTTTGAAAAAATTTTGTTCAACTTTTCCAAATGAGGTCAAAAAAAGAAAGACGCGCTCAAATTTCACAGCGTATGGGGCTCGAGTGAACTTCAAACATCAGGCGAAAAAAAAAGTTGCGAAAAGAAAAAAGAAAAACTCAGAAATTTTTGTTTTTTTGCATAATATGCGTGTTATTACCCATTGAAATTATAGCCGAAAGAAACCGGAAAATCGGCGTCGAGAGTCGAGAAAAGTGCGCATAAATTTGCATCCTTCAACCAACCCCACCCCCTACCACTTCTTCGCGGGATAAATGTATATGAGAATGAGTTTGGACGATTATGAGTTTTAATATTCAAAATCCATTTGTTTCGTCTCATCGAGAAGAAAAAAATTGGGGTGGAAGATGTGTCCACAAAATGCATGAATGAACTTTGTGGGGTCGGCGCGAAAATGGAATTCTTCATAAATGACGGACGAGGGAATGCTGGTGCTGCTCGCGGAGCTCGACGAGCTCATCCTCGTCGTTGTTGTCTCTGGTGTTGTCAAAATGGGCGCTATTAATGTTGTTCCTTGTAAAAATAATAATAATCGAATTCGCGCGAATGTTCGCCCCCGCTGACTCGAATCACACAAAATTTGTCTCGAGCGTTCGAAATTCTCTCCAGATGACGTCGCAGAAAGATTCTGAGTAGAACGTAAGCCGGTTGAGCTCTTTTTTTTTCTGCTGGACGGTTTAGACCATCAATGGAATTCTGATCGAATTTTGATATCTTCCACACAAGTTCTAATTCAAAAAAAAATTTTTTTCTTGGAAATTTTCAAGCCAAAAAAAATCTGATCAAATGAGCATTGATCGCACCTTTTTAGGAGAAAATAATTTGAAATTTTGAATGTTGAGAGAAGCATTTTCAGTGTCCAAATTCAATAGAATTCGTTTTATTTTAAATTCTCGCAAGGTTATTTTGATTTTTAAAACGAAAAATTGTTTAAGATTTTTACCTGCGGACATTATTAGAGGCCGACGGATATTTAGAATGCGTTTTCAAAAAAAAATTCACATAAAAACAATTGTAGAAAAATGGAATTGTAAATTTTCGTAAAAACGGTGAAAAAAAATGTCACCCATAAAACGAGAAAACGCGATTATTTGAATTAAAGGCTCGACAGAATGGCGACGAGGAGAAGCTGAAAATGAAATTCACCATTATTTTTTCTGTTGTTGTTCACCAAGGCGAAGAAAAATTGAAACACGTAGGGTGGGGGGGGGATTATTACGGAGATTAAAGAAAAAAATGAGAGAGGGTTGGAAAAAAGAAAACGTCGCGGCCGGCACAAATTGAATCAAAAATGCGGAATTAATTAGGAATTAATGATTGGCGAAGAAGAAAAACGCGCGCACTGGGCAACAGCAGAAAAAAAGCAAAAAATCGTCGAGGAGACGAGCAAAACGAGGAGAATTGCAATTATAAATACGCCGATTTGCATATCGCATTGTGCACCGGAATCGCTGTGAAAGCGGCGATGACGATTCCGAGACTGTCGGCTAGCGAGCACGTGCCCAATGCGAATTCGCGCACCGATTCGTCCACCTGAAAATTACATATTAAAACACGAAATGAATTAAGAATCAACGATTTTATTTTTGTTTTAAGTCGAGCTGAATTCTTTTTCTTATGGGTTCTTCTCAAAACTAACACCGCCTATTTCGTGTTTTTAATTTTCTAATTTTCTATTTGCAAATAAAATTGGATAATACCGTTTTAAAAATTAAATAACCGAAATATTAATTGATATTTGCTTTTTTCTAATGATCCCCAACGAAAAACTAGTTTTTCGAAAACTACTATAGTCGACGACTGCTGTACGCGGGTAGATTTACGAGAATGCGTCTTTCAAATTGGACTCACAAAGACTAACAAGTTATTTCAAATTTTATGGACCGGTTCGATAATTTTTTAATCGAATGAGGTTGGAAATTCACGGAAATGCGAAACTCATCAAGAAAGATGAAGCAATTCACGTGAAAACAGCAAAATAAGCATTCACGCGTAGCGAGACCTTTTCAAGGCGCATGCGCGTAAATCTACCCGCGTATAGCAGTCGCCGGACGCCGACTATACGTATTGTTGAGGAATGACAAATGTATCCAGGTGTCGTAGGATCTTGCGTTTTGTACGCAATGTGACGAACCAGTCTCTTTTAAAAATTACGGTAGCCACGATTTTTTGGGAATCAGACTATACGTGCTATACGTGTTTGTGTGCAATGCGTCTCAAGACAGTGAGAAGTGCGCGTGTCTACGTACATTGCATTATAGTGTACGCGCATTTGGCCGGGTGTAAATGTGAACATTACATAATAGATCAACACTGATTTTGCGAGAATGGATTTCCGGCGAACAATCGCTCATTCGACTTCGACAATATTATTGCAAAAAATAAAATTTATTAGAGGCCATTTGTAATTCGGTCTATGTGTTCGCAAACACTTTAAGATTGAGCGTCTTCAATGCCCATGAATAAATTTGTTTCAGACACGATTAAAAAAAACCGAATTCAAGTTCGGATTTTTTTTCATATTTCATTTTTGATTTTATCCAAAACTCAAAATTTCATCTTTTTTCCAAATCGATTTTCATTTCAAATTCGAGCTCAGCGATTCGATCGGATCGAACCGGGAACACTTTTTGGTTTAGGATAAAAGAAACATCGAACTCGATGAAAATAAAAGTCGTCCGCGGTTTAGCCGGATACGATAAATTGAGGGCGATGTGTAACTGGAGTGTCGTACTGGTAGGATAAAAAAGCGATTTATCGTTTTCGAATCGCTGAGAATTTTTTTTTGATATTGGGATTATGAGAAAGAAAATATAATATTTCAAGTTCATTTGAATTTCATAAATTTTTCCAAATATGGAAAATGTAGATGGTAATAAATAAAAATTTAGAATTTTCGATTAGAACACACAAAAATTGAAAGAAAAAAAGAGCAAATTTGAAAGTGAAAAAAAATTGATCTCAAATTGCAAAATATCATTCTATGACCAATTTTTTAACAACAAAGCAAACGCGAAAAAAATTGGGAGAATTTGAGCGCGTCGAGACCCATTATATTAAAAAATAGTGGCGATTTCTGAAAAATGGCTTCCAATAAAAAGAAAAACTCACATTTTTATGAATGTGAGCGAACGAGTTGACGTACGATGCTCCGCCGATGAGTCCTTCAAAAAAGACGAATCCGCACGCGATGGCGAAATTGCCCAAAAATGGATGAAGTGCGTTGACGAGAAAAACGAACACATTCGCCATCTTGAATTTATGTTTTAAAAAAAAATTATAGTTTCGTTAGAAATCGATTATGCCCATACTTGAAGGATCGGCAATATCACAATAATTCCCAAGGAAAGTTGAATGAGCTGATTGGATGATCTCGAGATGAACACACCGATTTGGTAGAGCACCTACGAGTAGTTTCAGGTGCTCGAAAAGATGACAATTGAAATTTTTGGGTTTACCTGATACCATCTGTATTGAGATTTTGGCGATGTTCCAAATCCGGAGTCACAATCGAAAACTGACAATTCGACGAGTCCTTGATTGATAAAATATTCGGCGAAATAGACGAATGCGATCGGAATCGTGTATTTCAGAAGGCTCTAAAAATCAATTTGATCAAATTGATTGTCGACTAATTCATAGATATTCTTTGACTCCACATTTCGACTACTGATTTTTAAATTTTTTAGCCTTCACTCTTTGACTCGCGATTTTTGACTCCAACCTTTGATTCTCAATGCTGTCGTATCTCTCAGATGCTCAACCTAGGTTGGTGCCATTTTGAAGATAATCTTTTTTGCCAAAATTTATATATATATATATATATATATCGTAGTCCAAATTAGACCATTTTCAAAAATCAATTTCAGGTTTGGAATTTTTCAATCTTTTTTTGTTAAATTTGGTTTCAGTAACTCGTTATTCTGATTCGTTAGAATTAATAAAAGCAGTGTAAGGGGTTGGAAAAGTTGAGGTGTGCGAAAAACTCGGAATAGTTTGTCGAAGGCCATCGATAGATATCCATTTTTCTAATGAATTTTAAACAACGGCCCAATAATAAATAGCTCTCTTTCTCTCTTAGGAAATTCCTTTTTTCTGCAAAACGGCATAGCACACAGGAATGTGCGGCAATGGAATTGCCGATTGCCGAAATGCTTATTTTCAGCAAAAAAAATTAACAATAATCAATGTCCATTGAACAATTTGGGATACCCTGAAAATTTTGGTATTTATATTTCGAATTATCGTTGAAAACATTTAATCGTCGAAATTTTTATTTTCGGCAATTTGCCGGATTGCCGAAATTTCCGATTGCCGCACTTCCCTGATAGTACACTCGATGGGGAATTCCCCGATCTGTTTGTGTGCAAAATTAGAAAAAATTCCAAACCTCTAAATAAAAATTGCTCCCTTATTAGGATAAGGGTTGGAGCCAAAAAGTGGGAGATATAAAATATAAAAATCGATAGTCACAATATGGTGTCAAACAGTAGGAATCAAGGAACATGGGCCTCGGTACCTTCATAATCGAAATTTTCTCCTTCATCGAATGGTCCCCATTTGAATTTTCATCTCCATCATTTTCATTGCGAAGACTAATCCACGATTTCGGTTTCGACATGCTCACTTTTTGGACAGTGTCCGGATGAACCAGAATTTTCCAATAGCTAGACATATCGTTGAAAACTCAAAATTTGCCATAAAATGTCTTACGTGAAAGCAAACATGAGTGGAACAATATTGGAGACGAGCATTGTGGTTTTCGGCGAGAAGTCGAGCAATCGCGGATCCGTCATGACCGCATAGGCGAATGATCCGGTGACACCAGCGGCGCCAGTTCCGCTACACCATGCACCAATCGAATATTGTGGAAAATGGCTGGCGAGAGCGAGGAATGAGTTCTCGCCGAGACCACTGGCGAACGAAGTGATCGTCACACCGAACAAGGCAATCGCCACATTGTTCGAGAAGGCGATGATGAACAAAGAAATGACGATAAGAATTATTTGGAAATACACTCGAACACTTCAAAATGAATTAATTGTCTTGGTGTTGAACGAATTGGACCAACCCGTAAGGAATTCGATGAATGAATAAGGGAGAAAGAATTTTGATCACAAAACATGGGAGAATGTTGCAAATGAGCACGATTCCAGTGGACATTTCATTACAGAATCTCGTCGACGTCGAATTCTGAATTTTAAAAAGTGATGCTGAAATTCGTAATATATTGTAGAAAAGCCGTCTGTGCGAGACAACGAGAGCGCGTGCTGTGAAAGGAGACGCAGAGAGCAAAACACTTTGCGCCAGAGCGGGATCGAACCCACGATCTCCAGAGTCCAATCACAGGTAAAATGCGTCGGACGCATAATGTGTCCATAGGAATTGAATTGGGTTCCATATAGGTGAAATATAAAAGACAACATTATTAATGACATTTGCTATCGTATAATATTCACGCGAAACCACATAGAGACCAGAGCTGCTCGAAATTCCGCCTTCCGTTTTCCGTTTTTAGAAAATTTAAGTTCCATATAAAAAATATGACTAAACACCTACCGTGGGACCACAAAAATATTGAATTCACGCGAAACCACGAAGCATTTCGCGCCCATATCGGACCTATTGTTGAGAAATGACAAATGTATCGAGGTGTCGTGGGATCCTGCGTTTTGTACGCAATGCGTTGAGCCAGTTACCGTAACCCTCGCAGCAATTTACGGGCGACTTTTTGAAATTTCATATTTTCATTTTTTTTTCGCTCAATTTTCGTATTTTCTTTCGATATTGTTTATCTGTAGAACCCGAATTTAATTATTTATTTATTCAAAAAGGTACCCCGTAAATCGCTGCGAGGGTTACGGTAACTGGTTCGTCACATTGCGTACAAAACGCAAGATCCTACGACACCTGGATACATTTGTCATTCCTCAACAATACGTATAGTCGGCGTCCGGCGACTGCTGTACGCGGGTAGATTTACGCACATGCACCTTGAAAAGGTCTCGCCACGCGTGAATGCTTATTTTGCTGTTTTCACGTGAATTGCTTCGCATTTCTTGGAATTTCTAATGTCGTTCGATTTAAAAATGATCGAACCGACCCATAAAATGCGAAATAACCAGTTAGTCCTTGCGGGACCATTTCGAAAGACGCAATCCCGGACGCCAACTATATATGCGTCCATAGGCTCAATGTGCCTGCCGCATTTCACCTGTGAGACTTCTGCCAATGCGCTACCGATACGCACAGTGTGCTCGGATATAATTCGAGTGGCAAGTGCCAACACAGCACCACATCAGCCATTTGCAGCTTATTCAAAATCATGAAGTAATTCTCACCAAGCAATGATCGACGTGCTCATCGTCTTTCGTCGCCGTCTGATTCTCATTTTTCGTGAGAATATCTTGAGCAGCGCTCAGCATCATAACATATGCGAAATTGTTGCATAGTCCAAATACCCTACAATTTTACATTTTTAACATTTCAATAAATATATTTTTTAATTTCATTTTTCTAAAACAAAAGATACAGAAACGCGGCAATTTTAAGACTTACCAAAATGAGAAAAAATTGCGTGTGTGGTCTGCTCTGACCATTATCTGAAAATCAATCATAAAACCAAATGGGCTATGATTTAATGAAAAAAAAATACAAAACAAATATGAATCGCATTTTTATATTCATTTTTTTCTTCCGCGTTCGCCACCATATGTTTTCTTCTTCAATTTCAATTGTTAAATATTATTTCGATGAGAACAAATGGGGGCAATTCGATGATACGAAATTTGGCAAACAAGACATTTTTTTTTCAAAAATTTTGATCTTTGTGGATCACGTGATAAAAGCGTTTTTTTCTAATGATTTATGATCAAATCGAGATGGATTTTGGAAGTATTGAAATGTCTAAATCAAAAAATTGAAAAAACAATTAATATATTGGAAAGAAAGACAATAAAATGGAATGTGTTGTCGCTTTTTTGGCAATAAAAAAATAAATAATCGAATGGTCTTGACACGTTTTGTTCTGTTTTTTAAATAGAGAGTTAAACTTTAGCATTTGATCAGATTTCTTCAGGCGTTTTGGTTTGAAGCCTAACCGAATATAATCCGAATCGTTGATAAATGAATTTTGATGAATAATTTGGATATGCAATCTATTTGATATTTGACTAAACTTGATAATTTCGGCTTAGTCGACCGAATTTGAGAAAAAAAATGGTTTGGTTTAGCAGGGAAATTGATTCCAAGGCCATGCGCTTCAGCAATTATTTCAAAAAATGCGAAAATTTGATGGATCTCAACTAGTTATTGGTGGCAAATTTCCCAAAAAAAAAATAATGATCGATATGTGCGTACATTTGCACCCATAAATTGAATAAAACACAGAGAAACTCAACATTTTAACGTGTATTTTCTAAATTTTCGAACAATTCTGAGAAATTTAAACAAAAAGATTATAATCTCCGTCGAGTGTTTTGTCGGCGCGTCGAAATTTTCTAGAAAACACCACAAAAAAATGTGTATAGTTTGAGATTGGTAGACGAGCTACTGTAGGTGCATAGTACGGTAGGATCGGAATAGACCGTCCCCTTCGGATCATTCAAAAGTTCAAATCATGAACTTCTAGACAACCTGATTCGGTCTGGCACTGTCAAATAATTGTTTCAAATTAAAATTGCGCATGAATTATTACTAATAATTGTTGTGTTGAAATGTGTAAACAAATCCATAAAAGTTCATAAATTCACAGCGAATCGGACCAGAAAATGGTCAAATTTCCAATAAAAAAAGAAAAGTTTTTTTTTTTAAGTTTTGTTGGCCAATAGTTCTTCGCTACCAATTTTTCGCTCCGCTACCGGTTTTTCACTACCACATTTTCGCTACCGAAAAAATAGTTTTTTCACTACCGTTTTTCACTACCGTTTTTCACTACCGATTTTTCACTACCGTTTTTCACTACCGATTTTTCACTACCGATTTTTCACTGCCGATTTTTCACTACCGATTTTTAACCACTGTTTTTTCACTGCCGATTTTTAAATTTCTCAATTTCAAAAAAAGAACAATTTACACAAATAAAAGGGTATTCATCGAAAAAAGGGGTGGAGAGGAAATATAATATAGAACAAAAAAGGGCAAAAAATCATTCAATTTTTAAATTAACCTGATGGCTTCTGTCTTCAAAAGATCTTTAAAAATTCTTAAGAAACTATATTATGTTTTCTTTATATATACACCTCGATTAGCTGGTATTATTTAAAATTTGTGATGAAATCCTATGAAGTAGATAATTTATCCAAGTTCGTGCGCGGTTTGTCGTATTATCTCTGCGACTCATTCATAGTTATTATCGGGAACTTTCAAAAATTGTAGAAGCTGCAAAGCTTTCAAACTATTAATCTACTTGTCACGAACCCACTTCTAACGTTATTAAAAAATTATTTCTTTTCAGTTTTATCTAATTGCTAAGAGTTGATAGAAAATGATTGCGAGACCATTTCGAAAGACGCATTCCCGTAAATCTACCAGCCGCCGGACGTCGACTATATCTGAAAAATTATTTTTGAATAAATAACACAAGTACGAAATAATAGAAACACAAATCAAAAGTGAAACAGCGATAAAAAATTCAGTAACAGCAAATATATATTTTTTAATTTCGATTCCTGATTTTTGCCCAAATTCTCGATAAAAAACACTTTCATATTAGTTTTTGCTTAATATATAATTTTAAAAAATAACTTTTAATCAAAAAATAATATAGAAAAGAAGAAAAGTAAGCAAAACATTAAAAACAATGGTTGTAGGATAAAAATAGAATACGAAAATAAAAAAAAATCGCTGCGCGGAGTACGGTAACCGGTGCAATTATTATTGCGAATACATTCGTCGTGCAGTGTTTGCGGATTGCTTATTTTTTGACATTTCGAAAATATTTTTTGGCCTAAATTTATTTTTTATGGATTTAGTTTCAGATTTTACCTGCATTAAACATTATACTTAATTTTAAAAAAAAAGTACATTTTTCAGAATGGCGTTTATTTCAAGCGATATATCTTCGAAGTCAACCAAAAGAGACTTAATTTCCATTTGGAACGGAATAGAGAAGCTTGAATCCTCTGAGAGGTATTTCGTCAGAGTTTTTTTCTCACTATTTGGACTTTTAGAACACTATTAACGATTGACGACGTTGCTAAGGAAATCAGAGGGGATTGGAAAGGCAGAAAATGCTTTGTTGTAGATAAAAGTAGCTATAATGGAAAACCGTTAACATACGACGGCTTAAAATGGTTTAGACAAGTTCAAGGTTGAAATTTGTTTCATTCGTCATAATCGCTTGCCGTTTAGGAGAAAAAAATCGCTCCGAAGTATCGGCAATGGAATGAAAATGGACGTGTTTATGGAACAATCCAGTGCAGATCGCCGTCCACTGCGAGTTTCAGAAAAACTGTATGCAAATTTCTCTCGCTTTAGTTATCAATATAAAAATAAAATATTTGCAGGTAGTTTATATGGACGATTCGACTTTTGTTATCGTCGACTATCACCGCGATGAAGAACGAATTAGCTTGGATTTTGATATTCATAAGATGACAGGTTATTATTTTTTTTTCTTTTGGTTTGATATATTATATTTTTTTAGCCTCAGAAGTTGATATCGTTCGAAGCGAACTGAATGGGAGGTCTGTAAAGAGTGCATATGAAATTCTACATAAAAAAGGCTTCAAGTTCTCGCTTGAGCAGGTATAAACACATTTTAAATCTTAAATAAGTTGAAACCTGCATGTTTAAGGTGAGGAACCAAAGGAAACACGTACCTGAATCGATTGGCTGCAATCGAGGCGTCAAAGCTATTGCCACCACATCCGAATTAGGAAAAATAGCGAGAAACGTTCCGAATGCAAAGTACAGCGTATTTGAGTGTAAGATTTTCGTTTCGTAATGACAAAAAGAAAATACTTTTGCAGGTAACGGTGGAATGGTAGATTGTTTGTCGGTTATTCTTGATGAACCCTTTCGGATTGTCTTAAACTGTTTACCGACTACTAACGAGTACGAATCTCACCTGAGATTGTTCGAAGACATAAACGAAAATAATAAAAAGGAACATATCCAATCACTATTAGGTATTCGATTAGTTGAAATATTTAAAATATAAATTTGTCCTTTCAGAACAATGGAAAGTTTCAAACGATGATGGATTTTTGTTCAGTGGTGTCACTCAGCTGGATACAACATTCGGATTGAGCGAGTTGTATGTCACTTTAATGTGCACCACAGTAAAGATATTCAAGTGAGTTTCATTGAAGATTATTGTTCTATTACAATTTTAAACTATTACAGGTCGAAAAAATCAAAAAAACCGAGAACTATTGTCATTAGCTATTTGTTGCACTCGAAAAGACTATGGAATGCCACAAGTTTCACGCAAACCATGTGAACGAATACCTGCAGAAGCAAGGTTTCAAAAATGACCGCGTTGTGCCTGGATTCATCACGGACGGTGAAAAATCCTTTGAGGAATATTACAAGGTTTGAATGAAACCTTTCATTAATTTGAATGATCAAACGCGTTTACCATTTTTATCTTAGAGCGAAATTTTTAAAAATAAGCAAACAATTAACTCGCACCCACAAAAACTAAAAACTTTTTGTTTTTGATTGTTTAACTTCGTTTTTATAGACAATCCCACTTTTTCGTAATTCACAACGTCTGCGTTGTGATTTGCATCGCATGGCTAATTTTGAAAATTCGATGTCCACAACGGATAAAACAACTCGCGCTCGACTGATCAGAATGGTTTTTGGTGAGGTACGTGGTTTTAATAATCAAATTTATGTTACCTCGGATAAAATAATTGGTAGCAATTTTTTTTAGATCTTATCTACAGTAACCTCAACTAAAAATGATTTAATTAATTATTGATAGTTTATTTTTATTTAAAACAATTAACTTTGAATAATATACAAAAATGATTACTATTACATTTTTTCAACACAATAATATACATAAAACCATAAACTCGCCAAGAAAACAGCGAAAGAAATTTAAAAAAATATATAATAATTGATTAAATAATTTTCATTTGAGATTATTGTAACTAAGATTCTAAAATTACTGTAGCGACTCGGTGTACGCACGAAATGCTTAGGATATCGCTGAAGTTTTTCACATTCGTCATTTTTCCACAATACCTGGCAAATCAATCAACATTATATTTCAGACATCACCTTCGAGGATTAAATGTGGATTGCTAGGCGCAGTAACCGAAATTGAATTCAATTCCAAACTCGCAAAACTCACGTCAATGATAAGCGATTCCGGTGCTCTTAAATGGTAAAGAAGCAAAAATATTCTATTTTAAATTATGTTACATAAAAAATTATGATATTTACAACAAAACATAATTTGATATATTTAGTCTTTTTTCCGAAAAATAACGCGGCTTCTAGAATTACTCAAATATACTACTACATATAAAAAGAATATCTACTACATATAGATGTCATACTTGACGCCCCTTGACTGGAAAGTACATTTTTTGTTCATTCACATCGGCTTTAGCCCCACTTGGCCAGTGCCCAGTTTTTTAATGGTAATAAAAGCTGCTTAAATAACTGCAATTTTGCGTCAAGTTTACACCATCGCGTAAATTTTGAACTGGTTTAGGCTATCAACTGAAGGTCAGAGCCTTTTTCGTGAAAACGGGCTGTTAACGCGCTTGAAATCTGGATGGTGGCAGCCGTTCGTATCCACAAATCTAATCGAAAATTTAAACAGCCGATTACGCCATGAAATCCCTAATTCGATGAGGGCTGACCAACTTGCATTAAAGCTTATTAAAGTTTTTGGAGGTTTCTAACATGCAATTTTAGCAAAACCTCAAAAAAAAGTAATTCAGATGATGTAGATCATCTATACCAAGCTGTTTTGGCCGAAGATCAATTGGTTGTGTATTCTCGAAAAGACGAATTCAATTTTCTTTCGGAAAGTGAAAAACGGACCAGGCTTAAGGAATTGGGGTTCCAAGAACGGTCAACTGTTGCCATACCTCCCTATTTTCAGCAATGTAAGAAAAATAATTTTTCTATGAATTTTATTTACGTTTGATTACAGCAAATCCACCGAAACATCTTTACGAATTAGAGCTAGCTGCTAGAAAACTCGAATTGTATTCTATAGAATGTGGTTATTTTATAAAAAGTGAAACGTGGGTTTTACGTTTCTTTTAGTTATTCAATTATATTCAAACTCTTTTTAGTGAAATATCTGAAGTTAAATGTTCTGATTCTTTTTTCGAATGTTGCAAAAAGAATTGCCAAGCGAAACTTCCTAAGATTTGTGAGCATATGTATGTTGTTTTCAGTAATCTTCTAAAGTAAATCCTTATAATTTCAGTTTTTTTGTTTTAATATCAATGGAAAAGGATGAAAGAGCCCTTAAGTTCGATTTACTGCAGTCGAAATGCCTCGAATTATCTGAAAGAAGAATGATTAAGGCATCACGCACTGCAAAAACTGGAAAAAAATCTTGTCCTAGAAAGAGGAGTGCGCTGAGCAAAATGAATGGAGTAAGACAACTTCAGTCGATTTCTAAGTATGTTTTTACTTCATATAATTGTATTTATTGATATTTTTAGTATTACGATCTTTGACGATTCGTCAATAAGTAATGATTTCGAACCAATTTTAACAAGTACGAGAAATGAAGAGAGCGTGGAGTCTTTGGAAAGTACATCATACGAAGAATATGGGTAATAATAAACCGACGTAAATATAACAAATGTCAATATGTCTTCAGAGAAGTTGAATCGACACAGAGTAGTCTTTTTAGACGTCCACAACGAAATAAACGAAGGCGCCGATCGTTCTCCCCGTTTTAATATTTTTTTTAGTTATGCTGTTTGGCCCCTTTTTTGTTCTATATTATATTTCCTCTCCACCCCTTTTTCGATGAATACCCTTTTATTTGTGTAAATTGTTCTTTTTTTGAAATTGAGAAATTTAAAAATCGGCAGTGAAAAAACAGTGGTTAAAAATCGGCAGTGAAAAATCGGCAGTGAAAAATCGGTAGTGAAAAACGGTAGTGAAAAATCGGTAGTGAAAAACGGTAGTGAAAAACGGTAGTGAAAAAACTATTTTTTCGGTAGCGAAAATGTGGTAGTGAAAAACCGGTAGCGGAGCGAAAAATTGGTAGCGAAGAACTATTGGCCGTTTTGTTCGTTGTGACATTGAATGCCATTATCAATCTGTCAGAAAGAATTTCAAAAAGCGAGGTGGTGTTTCCTTGCGATGTACTTTGCGCGCCGCTGAACAGGTCGGAAAACAATACAAATCTGCGAATTGAGTAGTGCAAACAATATGTCAATTTATTCGAGTTTTTTTTTGAAAATAATCGACACAACAATTCGATCAATTTACGACATTTCCACGTCGGGGCCCATTTGTCTGAAAAATTTTGAGGATTTAAAAAAATGCTTCTTTTTTTTGCTTACGTATATAGACCGTAGAATTGATTGCGCTTGCCGACGACGCGGAATGGCGAAAAGAAAACTGATGGAACGTCGCCGCGGATATTCTGCAAATTTGACAACATTTGTTAGCCCAACATGTTACGGACGAATTTGAGAAATTTGAATCGCCATTTAATTGGTCCCGCAAAACACAATCGGCTCCGCCATGCTAATAACCAAAGAACTTAAAATTCATTTAAAATGATTCTCTTTGATATTATGATAGTTAGAAAATGTAAAAATCGCTTCGAAAAGTTTTTTTTTCCATACGAGACCCAAGGCGGCAATTCAAACAATAAAGCAATCAAATTCGTCCGTCGTTGACTATTCTCACATCTACTAATTTTTTTAACATTTTAAGAATATCTCTCAAGATTTGTCACCCAGTCGAATATTTTTTTTTGTCAATTTTCAGAAAATTCCAAATTTTTAGAGCTTTTACATTAACATTGGTTCAAATGAGCATTTTTTGCTTTTTCGTTTAATTTCAGAAACTCTAATAATTCGTAATCGAATACGACAAATTCGGAGTCGAAATTTGGCGAATTCGATTCGAAGCGAATTATCAAAGAATTATCGAATTCCCCCGAGCAGGTTTGTCGTTTCAGCCCCGGCCAGATGTAGCCGGAATTTCCTCAAATTTGGCCGAGAAAGCCGGAATTATCAGATATTTTTCATATCCATGCTATTCAATAATATTCATTTCCAGAAAATTCTTTTCTAACGACTTTTTTATTCGGTCTAGGCTCCAAAACAACAAGCGTGAGTCCTGGATGAGAATGAAATTCATTTAATTAGAAAATGGCTATTCTAAAACGGTATTGCTATTGCTTTAAAATTTTTGGAATCGTGGTCTTAGCACGAAAATCGCATGCCCAACCATGTTCATTTAAATGAGAATGACAAGATTTTCCCTTTTTGAAGATTTGGGTTTTTTTTTTTGAAATATTTTAGAACTCTCTTTCTATATTTGTGATTAATCGTTAGGACTGACAAACTGCGAATTTGAAATATTTTTCTATTAGAAATCTGACCCGACTAGGCACCTCCGAATCAACAGCGATTGTCGTCACGAAAATTGTCAAAATGATGACGAGAAAGAGGGTGAGCTTGGACGAAATCATATTGAATAACTGAAAATAAATGCGAGAATTTTAAACGGAAGAAAAAAGAAAGAAAAATGACGAAAATGGAGAAGCCAAAAGGATTATAATAGAAAGAATGAGAAGACGTTTGTAAAGAAAAGGTCCACCCAAAAATTTTCATCATCTTCCTCATTATTATTATTATTTGAAAATGGTCCCTTTGAATGAAAATTCATCGAACTTCAATATTAATTTATTTTGAAGATGAAGTTTTTGTTTATGGAATCTGAAGGCTGAATAGATTTCTAGATAAACACGTTAATGAATATAGTATTGCAAAACCCGCGAACGGTCCGAACATCAAAATGGGAATAACTGAATATGTCGAGATTCTCACAGGGTAGAAATGATCGCAAACAAAAAACGAGAAGCCTGAGACGATCTACGGCGAGTTTGACTCGCAGGCTATCCGTGGTACGGCTCCAGAATTCACACTCTTTAAAACGACATTAGAAATAGCGCCCAGACAAATTACAATGGTCCGCTATTATTCAAGGGTTCTTGTTTTTTCCTTGTGACGGTAATAAAAAATTTTTTATGATTTGGAGAAATTCACCAAAAATTAGTCATCGGTTGTTTCGAATTTTGTGACGTTTTTGTCCTCGCTAACAAATGACAATTACACGTGAACGAATTTCACTCATTTTCAATGTGCCTTTAATAATTTATACGACTTCAAAGTTTCTTTTTGAAATAAAAATTGAAAGTCAAATTCGATTCGAAAATTTTCGGAGCAAAAGAAGCAAAATCTAAAACCAAATTCTGATCAACAAGCGCAGAATAATCGAGTTTAAATTGGTCATCTATTGCTAATGCGGTTTCTGTTTTCAAATTCATTGAAAAATGTCTAAATACGTGAATGGCAAAAACAGACGCAAAAAAACCAAGAAAATCATTCAAATAATTTATTCAAAGTTTTCAGCAGAAAAAGATGGGACGGCAAGCACCTCTTTAAGACAATAACTGCTTGAGTTTCGCCGCTTCGCGTTCTCTGAAAAATATGGATTTCATCGCAAAAACAAATAAAAGAAAATAGAAAGAACCCCCTTTTTTTTAATATTTTTTTGGGGGAATTTTTAAACACGCCAGTATTTTTATGATATGAATTCCAATTCAAGCTTAAAATTATTATAGCAAAAAACGAGCACTCTCGTTACTGTAATTTATGATTATCAGTGGGTTTGATTCGCAAGTTGATCGGTGTTCCGAATTCTAATCACTACATTCGCAAAAAAACGAGCAATCTGCGCCGATTTACGGTAAGTTTGATTCGCAGGTTATCTTGAGTACGGTATCCGAACTCCCACTGTTTAGATTCGAATTTGAATTACCGCCTCGAAATAGTGCGATGGTCCACAATTATGCAAGGCGTTCGTTTTTTTTTGTGATGGCGATATTTTAATTGAAATTTGAATTATCGCCTTAAAAAAAAGTACGGAACCCACAATTCTTCCCCTTTTCCGGTGGAATTCAATAACTTTGGAAATAAGAGAAAATATAGTTTCTCAAAAAAAAAAAAACGGTTACCACAATTTTTCGCTACGAGACCTTCTTGTTCAGTCGCGTTGCGGATCACGTTTAAACAAAGAACTTCAACAAAACAAAAAGGAACGCATGCGAACCGCAACGCGTCTGCCGACATAGAACTTTATTATTACGCTAGCCGCTTTTTTTGTGAATCAGACTTTATGAAATTTTGAATTAGTTGATTCTTGCACTCATTTTGGTGTTAGATGAATATTAAAAAATTAGAAAATTGCAGCCGATTCTTCTCCAAATGTTTATAACTACGAAAACGCATTATCATTTTTTTTTCATTTTGAAATATTTTAAAATTTCAAAAAAAAAAAACGTAGGGCATTAGTTCTTTTCTGCTATTGTAATAAATTCGAAATTTTGAAAAAAAAATGCGTTACCTTTTTCCGCTCTTCGCTCTCACACGATTTTCCATCGTCGCTCCCAAATCTGTTTTATACGAATAAAACAAAGGAATTGATTGGTTATCGGTCTGAAAACGCGAAAAAAAATAATATTGAACATGTCTCGAGTTGATACCGAAAATTCGCGCTGCGGCGGCGGTGCACATTCCCTCATATTATTACCCGTATATGCAATTGCTTTTAGCTGCCAATCCCCGTGTTCTTCGCTCCAATTCACATATTTTTCAATTATTTCCACATATTCCGGTGGTATATATTCATCGATTATGGCCATATTTAGAAGAAGTTCCTATAATGACAAAAAAATTGGAAGTCAACCCAATTTGGTTTTATTCGAGTCGATACACTTCAAACGACACTCCAGTTTACGACCAATTTTTCAAATAACACATGCCGACGTCTCGTGGTTAGCAATGAACACCAACCTTTCTTAACTGTCGAATATCGTCGAGCATCGCTTCGACCTGCCTCTGATGCTCTTCTTCCATATCTTTGAGCTCAGCGCGAGCCTCGCTCAACTCATTAATGGCTCGTCGGATTTTCCTTGTTTTCGCCGTGCTCTCTTCTTGCAAAGACGAATATCTAGAAAATGAGCAATTTCGAGCACCGATGAGATTGTTTCGACACCAACTTTTCCTCAATTTCAATTTTCGCCGCTTCTTTTTCGCGTAGCTGATCCCGCAATCGTTCTTCTTGCGTTCGCGACTTCTCGAGTTCCCTGCAATCAGCCAACCATAACATTCATACGAATTACTTCGATATTATATCAATTACTTATTGTTTTCTTCAAGCAATTTTGCCTGCTCTTCGGCTTTTTCCAATAAATTCTCTCCACCAACAATTAGTTTCGATTCCATTTGGCTGAGTTTTGCCCGCAATTTTTCGTGTTCATTTCGCGCGTTTTTCAATTCTGCTTCACTTTCTTCCATTTCTTTTATTAATTTTTTCGTCTCTTCATCATCACTTCCAGTGCCTTCGCGATCCCTCAATGCCTGCCTCTTCTTTTCAAGATCATCTTCCAAATCGCGCATCTTCGATTGCCAAGCTTCTTCATTATTCTCATCGTCGTCCGGATCTTCTTCTACAAAATTTTTAAAAATTAAATTAGGCATAATTATCTCGATGTTTCAAGGCCAATGTTCATTGACTCATACTTTTTGACTTGACTCATGATTTTTGACTCATAAAAATTGTATCATGATTTTTTATTCTTTGACTCATGATTTTTGACTAGTGATTTTTGACTAATTTTTTTTTGACTAACAATTTTTGACTAATGATTTTCTGAATTTTTTTAGTTGAGATTCCTGCAGTTTTTTCAGTATTCGATTCTGTTTTTTTGGCCAATATTGATGGGTAAGAAGCTAAAGGGTGGGAGGAATTGGAAGAAATGTTATTACTGAATGGGGGAAAGATTATTACTGAAAGGAAAAAAAGTTCTTCTAACTTCTGTAAGCTTAAAAATTGTTTTTTTTGGCATTTCATCGCTTATCGATTTCAATGAGAAGCGTAATCCCAGCTAAGCGGATCCACCGAAGGAATCGACTGTAACATTAAACGAATATCCGTAGTAGGCCAAATGATATGTATGATTTGATATTTTTTAGTAGTCTCCGTTATTTTAATGAAAACAACTAAACACAGTTTTTATTCGATATCATTCATTATTGAGCGTGAATAAAAGAGGGAAATGGATGGAATAACGCGATAAGTGATTTTTTATTAATTTATTTTGCAAATTATTTTAGCTTATACGGTCAGGCCTGTTTTAAAACGACATAATTTTCGATTTCTCATCAAAATTCAGGAAAAACGGTATATTCAAAAAATAAGACATTGTTATACTTTGAGAAGTTTTTTGAAGGCTGTTTTGTTAGAAGTACCATTTTGATAAAGTTTTACCGGTATAATGATCTATCGAAAATTTCAATGATTGATTAATTTTAAAAGTTTTTAATAAATATGTTATCGAATAAAAACTGTGTTAACATTTCTCCCAATTCCTCCCACCCTTCAGCTTCTTACCCATCAATATTGGCCAAAAAAACGGAATTGAATACTGAAAAAACTGCAGGAATCTCAACTAAAAAAATTCAGAAAATCATTAGTCAAATATTGTTAGTCAAAAAAAAAATTAGTCAAAAATCACAAGTCAAAAATCATGAGTCAAAGAATAAAAAATCATGATACAATTTTTATGAGTCAAAAATCATGAGTCAAGTCAAAAAGTATGAGTCAATGAACATTGGCCATGTTTCAAACCTTCAAGTTGTTTTCGGAGCTGCTCAATTTCCATTTGAAACTTTCGAAGCATTGCATCCTTCGGATCCTCATTAATTCTTCAATTATGCATTTTTTCTTTGTGATTTGTATAATAAAACAAAAAAACCTCGCGACATTCTGGATATTCTTTGCTCGATTCGCATATCGAAGTGTCGATAAAGTCTCATCGTAATTATACGTTGCTGGACCAATATTAGCAATCTAAACGACATGAAATAATGATTCAAAATGGAAAGTACAAACCATGACAGTTTTTGAGTTTCCTCCAAGAGAATCTTGCAGTAATCGGGTTAATTTTGAATTTCTTAAAACAAATCATGGAAAAAATAAGTATTATTCGAAATTATGTTACCTATAAGGAACGTGCGTTGATTTTCCATCGACCAGACTACTTATTACATTTCCTAGCGTTGAAAGTGATAGATTGATCTTCGCAGCTTCCTGAGAAGAACTTGATATATACTAACTAGCAAGTATCGAACCTTTAGCCTTTCCCCTTGTGCCCCAGTTTTGCTTTGTCTTTCAGAACCCGCCAAATCGACCAATTGCAATTTTCCCTGGGTCACAAGACCACCTTTTGAGCTTTCTATTGTTACAGTAAACATGGCATGGGACCTCGATGATTCAATATTCATCGCAGTTGCCCCGACTTTTCCTAAAAATCGCAATTTAGTTGGGTTTTTTTTCGGCAGTTTCATACGATTTTTATTGCCAAACTCCATAATTTTTTGCATTTGCGATGCACTTCCGACAGTCACTGAAGATAAATTCCTTACATAGCTGAAGGAAAAATTGTCTAGAGTTTGTTGTGAAGCCAAATATCTTACACTCCAATGTCAGATCTCTCTTTGATTTCTAAATTGGTGCCCGTTCCATCTTTGGCAAGCAAATCTCGAATATCTTCATTGTATATTTCCAAATAGGAGACGCGTACAAGGAAACTGAAAGCGATTCGTTTTTAACATCGATTTTCGACAAATGCTGGCTGGCCAATTATTTTTGGTTTAGAAATTCTATTAAATTTCAACGTTTTCTAGTTGAAATATATACCCAGATAGAACTACGATTGTTTCAGGAAAAAAAAATCGTGGGAAAATGTTATTTTCACGTTTTTTTTAGAAAGAGGCATGATTAGTCAGCTTAACCTTTTATAGATATATATGAGATCAAATATAAAAAATTAAATGGTTTCTAATATGCATTGAAGATTTTAAATAAGTTGAAAATCTCACGTTGTGTCGTGTTGACACTTGGCAATATGATCGAAAATATGCGCAAAAGAGTTCGGAATTATTCCACGCAATTCGGCTTTTTCCATATCACCCGCCATCGTGAACGTTTTTCCCGTTCCTGTCTGACCGTACGCGAAAATTGTTCCTAAACCGTTGAAATAATTTCTCTTTTTTCTATAATCGATCAATTTACCATTATATCCTTTAAGGACATTATCAATAATGGGTCTTGCGGCTATATTGTATACCGTAGCCTGGTCCGTATTGGGTGGGAAAACTGCGTCGAAGTAGAAACTTCGGGGTGGTTCCTGAGAGTCGACAGCAAATTAATTGCGCCGAAAATTATAAAAATGCTCCAACCTGTGCATTTGGATTCGAAACCGTCACCGATCGTTCCTCGTGTGAACACGATACGGCACTCTTGTGTCCTTGACGCAGCTCGTTTTCGGAAATCGGCCGACATCTGACGACAACTTTGACTCTTTCGGCTTCTTCCATTTCTAAAAATTAAGTTGAATAGAGCAATGAAAGTGAGCGCAAGTGTATGCACCAAGATGAGCAGCTGTCTTGCGCAGACGACGTTAGGCGTATATAGTGTGGTTGTCAAGAGAGATGACAGCCGACGAGAGCAGAAAGGCGATACTGGGCAGAATATCGAGAATCGTTTGTTCGGGTCCAGCGCACACACAACAAGCCAATTTTAAGGTCCCCAATTTGTGTATTTCGCAATTGTCGTAGTTTCCCTCGAATTCATACAATTTCGAAACTAATTAACATTGTGAATTAAAAATGTAATTATCCTTCCAAATACTTTCCATGTTCTTCGAGCTGTGAAAATAACTAGCTCGATTTTTAAGCAAAATTATAAATATTCCAAGCTATTTTACTTTTAGATCCAATTTTATTCTCAATGCAAAACCTTCATTTTACGAAAATTGAATAAAACCAATCTAAAGCAAGATTATATAAATATATGTATAAAAATATTAATTTTTGATGACGATGAACATATTAAATACAAAATAAATAAGAGAAGGTTAATGGAAAATACAAATATTTCACAAGCATCGGGGGAAAACGAACGGACAAATTGGAATTGATCGCACTGTTCAAAAGTTTTTGAAAGAAATCCGGCGGAGGACAATAGAAAATATAGTACATATAATTGACTTTGGTTTTGACTTCAATAATTATTGATTAGTCGAGATCATGGTTTAGTTAAGAGCACGCGTCACAAATTCCACAAGGCGTTTGGCATACTGATCAGGCTTGACTGTGCTGATATTTTCAGCATCTGATCCGTATTTGACTGTTTTCGCTGCAGTAGCACCTCGTTTTTTGATTCCATAATATGTAAGAATGTCAACCAATCCGATGAAATAAATCAAGTTTTTCTCGCTATCTGTAATTCAAAAAAAACTAATCATCACGAAACAACTGTTTCTTATTTACCAGGGCGACTAGCGATCGCATAGAATTCATCGTCAAGGTCGGGCCCTCCAGAAACGCCTGGGAACGCTCCACCGGTTGATGGAATTGGACTATCTGGTGGTGTTGGCGCAAGCTCATCACTAGATTCTTCACTATTCTGCTCAGCAGGTTTGTTCGCGGCTTCAATAGCTGCACGTTCGCAATCATGAATACCTGAAAATATTGAAATTCGCGAATATTCAAATAAATCTCGAAAAAAAACTCGAAATTTGTCGTAGGTTATAGCGTATACAGTCTGCGGCATCGCGTCAGATAAGGTGTTCACGGAATTATTTCGATTTAATTTGAAATTTTTTTTATTTTAGCGATGGATTCAAGTGACGATTCAAGGAACAACGACGAGAGTATCGATGTAACTAATGGTGAGATCACACAAAATGTAAATTTTCAAAATATTATACGAATTTTTCTTCTTTTTTTTCTAATTTCAGGATCATTCATATGATGTGAATGAAGAATTGATGCATTATTTGGAAGAATCTGCTCGTAAAATTTTCCGTTTGTTTTTCGTTAAAATATATAATTATTTCAGTATCGAATTCGAGAATCACTCAAAAACGGCTTTCTCTTTATCCAGAAATGGAAAGAGTACTGCCAAATCTCGAGTGCAAACCATTTGAGCACAAGTTGACGGAAAATTCAATTCGATTCGCTCACAAACTTCCAAATGTTTCGAACTTCTTGTCAGCAGTAAATCAAAAAGAAAATAATTATACAAATGTTTAAAGCATGTTTTAGAAACCTGGGAATTTTGACGAAATTCCTCTTTTCGAAAATGAAAAAGAAAATGATGAAGATAGCAAAGAGACATTTGAGAAGGAGAAAGAGGAGAAACCGGCTTTTATATCGAATAATGTTTGAAATAATTGTTTAATTTTCAAAAACTTAATTAAAATTGCAGAATATTAAGTCAGTGTCTGTTAAGGAAGCTGAAGATGCGTTTCAATCAGCAGCAGTAATGATTAGAATTTTAAATTTTCAAAAAATTTAATTGCGTTTTTGCAGGTTTTATGCGAGAATTGCAAAAATTGTTACCGGTCAACTCATATTTATAACAGGCACAACTGCAATGACCATTTGCATTTGTAAGCTAATTTCATAGTAGAAAACATTATATTTCTAGTTTTAAGTAAAACCAATAATCTTCTCTGTCCGCATCATGGCTGCGATGTCCGATGCGACACTTTGACAACAGTGTTCACTCATGTAAAAAATCATCATGGTATCAGTGAATTGCGCTACGAAACCGTCGAATTTAATAATTCAGATGAGTATAAGGTATTGTACGACACTCCAAATACATATCGCCCTCAATTTAGCGTGTCGGGCTAAATCGTGGGTGACTTTTATTTCGATTAATTGAACTCTTTTCTTCGTTGTCTCATTCTAATTGCTATGAGCTCGAATCAAAATGTATTCAACATATTGGGCCCAATTTGTTATTTAGAATTGGATCGATTGGACCGAAGACGTTACTCATAGCAAATTTAAAAGGACATCCGCAAAAAACACAAATTCTGGTACCACTGTGTAATGCGGTTGTTTATGTATTCAGGCAATTAAGGCAATTTTCTAGGTATTATCAATGCCATTTAATTCCATCGAAAGGCCAAGAAAGGTCAAAAGCTCATTCTCGGTGCAGAAAATCGAAAAAGCTGTCACATGCATGTACTGCATTTTTCAAGCTTCTCATTTACGACGAAGGGTAACATTCATCGAAACACTCGTTGTTTAAATGGATAATTTTAGACCGGTTACACTTATGGGCTGTCTGAAGCATTACGGTCACGAACTGATTCCACAAGGCGCTCCACTGAGCAATGCTATCCGCCGGGAAATCGCTGATTATCTTTTGTCTGGTCATGATGAGAACGAGATTGTCGAAATAATGAGAAGTTTGAGAATGTTTTGTTTCCAAATTTTAAATTATAAACTTCAGAGAATAGTGACGTCACTGACCGAAGACATTACATTCAAAATTACGAGGTTCGAAATGTACTAAAGAAGTTGCAAATCGCGGATACCGATTCTTACAATTTAATTCGAGTATGTTTACTTTTTAATACCTCCTTTCGATTTCAAGTTTTCTAGCAGAATTTCTCATTTTAGGTGAAGAAGCGAAGTGATTCAATGGATGAAGAGGACATTGAAGAGATTCGAGTCACACCTTCATACACTTTAAATGAGAAACTCGTGCGATCTGAGGAAACCTCTTCCTAGCGCTATTTATACTTCCTATTTGCAATTTTGTTAATGAATACTGACCGACGAGAAGCGAATAATCCATTAAATGCATCCGTGAGAGCCATTCTGTATCACTTGAGAGCATTTGAAGGAGCTGATGATGGGCATCCTAAACATTTTAAACTGCATTCCTCAAACGTTTTATTATTTCATACAGCCGGCAACGCGAGTTTCATGTTCTGCTCGAGAAAATCATTGTCTTTTAGCGTCGGTAAATCTTTCGCTTTTTCCTTTTCGGATGCTGCTCGTGAGACAGTTGAGCCCTGCAAAAAGCAACGAAAAATGATAGCCACAATTCTCCAGAGGCACATTATTTATCAAGATTCGGCAAGAAAAATGAGCAAATTTTTTTTTGCAAGCTCAACGAAGAAGGTGACTCAAAAGATAAATTGCATTTGCTGGTGGAGATGTGAAAACGCGATCGTCTGATAATTCATGAATCTCTTTATTTTATGGGGGAATTTGAACGCGATTTTTGATGGGTTGCCATTATAGAAAGAATGCGAAGAAGTGATTACCTTGAGATCAAATTTGGTATGAATTCCATATTTCCTTCCAAACACATTCCTCATGACGATCAAATAGCTTTCAGACCCGTCAATTGTTAATCTAAACTCGTTATTGAAATATTTTATATTTTTCCATCAGAATCGAACCTGTAAAGTCCCAAATATTGTGGCAAGAGTGTTTTTCCTTGTTTCTCAACAACATATTCGTGATAGTTGCGAAGGACCGAATGAATCTCAGCAACGGCTTCCGAATCCATCGACTAAACAAAAAATACTTGAAAAAAAAAAACGCATTAAACACAAACAGCCCACCTTGATCACAAATCGTTTGTCATATGAGACGAAAAACCGAGGAGTCGCATCCTTCGCTGAACCATCGAGTTGGTCCGGTTCTGGTTCGTATGAGGTCAACGAGCGAAGATATTCGTATTGATCAATTCCGAATTGTTCGCGAAGGTGTCGAAACACATTTGGGCAATATTCTTTGACCTGTAAATCATTGTTGGTCCATCGAAGAAATAAACACAAGAAAATCCCCAAATTCAATTACAAGATTTCGGATGAATTGGTTTGGAAAAAAATCGCGAAGAATGGGAGAAGTGTTTTTTTTCTCAAAATCAAATTTCCTTCGAAACACGAGAACTTCTCGGAAATCGCGATGGAATTCGGAAAAAAAAACCGCCGAAAATCAAATTCGTTGCTTTTTTTCTTCAATCAAATCGTGAATCATCGAAATGAAACAGTCAACAATGGGCAAAAAACGAATAGAATGGTTCTATTCAAGAGGAATTCGAAAGAGGAAATAAAGTTTGGTTTACATTTTGATATGTTTTTTTTTCTATAAATGGAAACAATACTGGCTTTTGGAAGAGAAACTTGTTTTTTTTTTTGAAAATTGTGTCATCTGATTTTTGAAGAAACAATTAATTACCTTATAATGACTTGGCATAATATCCTTGTTGAAATGATGATTATCAACTTTAACTTTTGTATAAGCCTGAAATCATTGAATTATCTTCAATATGGCCTTAAGAAGATGAGTCTCACTTTGAAGTCATCAGGCATCAATAATCCAGGCGGCGGCACATGCATCAATTGGTCAACGGTGTGATTAACACCCCACATGAAAACCGAGAGGAGCGGCTCTTTGGCTCGAAACAATTTCCATTTTGGCACAAGAATCTTGCCCTTTTTCTTTCCAACACGAACTTTTGTCTTCGTCGACATTTTGATTTCTGAAAATTTCGACATTTCTTTTCGATTTTTAAACACGAGAAAACAAAACACGAAAGAGAAAAGATACGAATGGAACCAACGAGTTTATGGGCACTAAAACGAAGAAGAAGAAGAAGAAGTGAAACGAACGAAGCGAGCCCAGCGTTTATTCTCGGGTGTTCGTTGCCTCTTCGCAATTGTTGTTTTCCACAACATTCGACGGCAGTGGCAGCTACGAATTGTGCGAAAAAACCAACAACAACAATAAAAAACAAAAACAAGAACAAGCAACGATCGAATTACTTAAATATGCCTATTGTCCGCAAAAATTTTCCTCTCATTCAGACCTCGAAAACAATTATTTTCAGTCACGGGTTAATTGTAGAAGGAATAATTGTGATGAAGGCGATCATGCGATTCGCAAGTCGTCAATAACTAGTAAAAATTAAAATTTTCTGACAAACAATGAAATGAATAACTGTAGGACATGTTGTGATAAAATTTGAAAATTATTAAAAATATTTTATTACAATAAAATGTTGGAAAGACTTCCATTCGCCTCATGAATAGAAGAAATTGAAAAAAAAAAGAAAGAAATTTTCATTAATTTAATTACACATTGTCGGAATTGGACCCGTTAATCTCGCTGATTCTTCGAGTAAACCAGACTATTTCAATTTACGAACTCAATTTCCTCTTACAGGAAATAGTGGCCGAGTGCCCAAACAACCATTATAAGTGCTCTGCTACTATTTTTATCTAATGACGTGAAAAGAAAACAATTATGCGAGATTAATTTTTTACGAGACAAAAGCTAAAACATTCCTTAATAATGAGATGATCAAGAAACTGTATATAAAATAAATGTACGCGAATGAATGACTATACAAGTGCAACAGACCTCTATTATACCAATGATCAGAATGAAGGCAAAAATAAACAAGAAAATTTTGGCGAAAAATGGTTATTGAATGGCGGCAAAACGAGAAAATTAAAGGAAAACTTCGGACCGATTTTACTCTGCCATCTTTGTCTTCTTTCTAAAGGCAAGTGCAAAAATGGACGAATAATTGTGTATGTGTGTATGTGTATGTGTGTGGAAGCGCGCCAGGCATGGCCTACTCGCGCTATTCGAATATTGACGAGAAACCGATGAAACGCAGAGTTGCGCGAGACACAGACACACAACGACGGCGAGAGAGAGAATCGCGGGGTTCGGCTCGTCGGTTGCCGCCAGCGGCGAAAAACAAAATAAAAATCGACCAGCCCAACGGCCGGACGGACGACGGACGAACGAAGCGGTTGATCGGTCGGCCGCACGGAATGGCGGATGACCATCATTTCTTCTTCTCCTTCTCGTCGTCTTCATCTCCTTTTTCAACGTCTATCGCATTCGAAACGCCATTGACTCAAGTCACATGCGGGCCGAATTTGAAACGGAAATTAGACGAATTCAAAAACAACGCGTTGTCATGCGACTTTGAAATTTAAATAGCCCCTCGGCTTTGTCGATTCGAATTCGCAACATTTGGAAATCGCGAAAAAACTGGTTCATTTTGAGCACAATGAGAGAACAATAATGTAAATTTGCTATTTTTTAAGCATTTCGACAAACCATATCAAACAAAAAATGTTGAGAAATATATTTTTTAAAAATTTGGCATTCACTGTTAGAAAAATCCATTTAAAATCAAAAGAAAAAACCGACTTTTAAAGAATTGTTGTTTTGAATAATTTTATATCGCAAAAAATCCCATTGTTTAAAAAACTACAATAAAATGATATGAGAAGACCAAAGAATTCGAAAACTGTAAACTGACAGAAAAAAAAGAACAATTTTATGCCAACAGCTAAGAAAAACTAATAAAGTGTGGGAAAGCCTAAATGGAAAAATCTTTTAATCTTTTAAATATTATGTATATCACACCGAGATTCGCACTTTAATGAGAAAACATAATGAAATCTTCGCCAAGTTCGGAAATGCATTTTTTGCGCGGGAATTTGACGACGAACAATTAAGAATACAATTTTTGCGGTTGAAAAATGATTCATAAAAGAAAAATTTGTTATTAGATGGATGACCTGATCAACATATGATCTCATGCACTATTTTATAATACAGCTGATTGATGACTGGTCGGATTAATGCAGATAACATCCAACCAATTCCATTTGCGGTCATTTTTCTATTCGACCAACCACACAATCTCTTTGCAATAATCTCGTAGTATTCAAACTTGGTCGTCATTTCTTGGAAGCGATTAATTGGGAAGAATTAAAACCTCTCATTTCTCTCTCAGGCATTAAAGACATCAGAAATTGAAAAAAAAAACGACATGTTTTGTACATTTCCGCACGCTTCTTATATTTCACAGATAACGGAGTCATGCGTCACGTTGAAGGAAACAGAAAGAAAAAAAAAGTTTGAGATAATGTATGAAGTGACGATGAAATGAAAATAGCAGAAGAAACAACAAAAAAAAGAGGAAACAAAAATTGGAATGAACGAAAACAAAAGCAATCAGCCGAAAAAAGACACAGTCATCGCTAAAAATAAAACTGATTCTCGAAAAAAATGCGTTTTTTTTTCGAGCTCATTCTTTCCGGAAATGACGCCACCTAACGAATATTATTTTGGTTCGAAGCAAAAAAGACGAGAAGAAAGGACAGAAAACCGCATTTGGCTGATTGAATTTTGCGGCTCTCGAAAAAAAAAATTCGACGCCAAAATGAAGATACGAGATTTCGAAATGCAATGCTACGAACAAGAGTTGTTGAATAAATCATGAAAGAAACTCTGTATATGCTTAACGAATAAAGCTTGAAATTTTGAACCATTCCAGTTCTGTGCAATAAAGCAAAAAAGTTATTGCACAAAGGATTTGTTACAGTAACGTTTTTTTTTCAATCAAGAATATTTAAGTGTCAAAAATTACGGAATGACTAACATGTCTTGAAATAAACTTTGAAATTATTAGCATTAGAAAATGATTAATCCATTCATGTCTGTGTTCTCTCCATTTAGCACACTGCTTCCTATTTTTGCACCTTTTTTTCAATGCTCATTATTTTCTGATTAATCTTGAATGATTCCAAGTAAACAACATTTGTATCCTAAAAAAGAACGTGTAAACAATCAGAAACATGATACAAATATCACAAAATTGCAAATAATAAGATTAAAACTTTATTAAACAAATAAAAGCTCTAAATGAGGGATTGGGTCTATTTAATAGCAATTTTAAATGGATATTTGATTATCCCGTATTTGAATGCATGGAACATTAATTAAAACACTTAATTTAAAGACGCAGGACTAGAAATGGACAATCATTTTTTTGATTCTGTTTGGCAAGGTTTTAGAAAAAAATTAAAAAAAGAATAATCATATAAGGAGGGGTTTAGGGGGAGAGTAGGGAAGATTGGTCCCCGATTAGCGCTTCAAGTGCTCATCATAACTGCGCAAGAAGTTATCGGCAGCCGTCTGTGCATCGGCTGAGATTCCGTTCTCACCGCGAGCAAACGCAACCATCACGCGATGAATATACAGATACTGCACTTCGGTTTGAATGCACTGCGCCCGCTGTTTTCGCAATTCGAGGGCAATCTGCAACATGGACAGTAGTCTCGGTCTCTTATCACCGGGAAACATTGTTTGCTACCGGAACAAGTCAATCAACCCGGCCTTCGATGTGAATCATGTCAAATCAATCTACATTGATGTTAAATATTGTCGAAGACATACGAAAATTTAAAAAATCAAACTTGTATATCCTCGACAATTTATTTGACGATACCGAAACCTAAAAGATGGGACTCAAAATAGAAATTTTTCTAAAATCTATTGTCGTTGTTAAACGACTGATAGTGGAGCCCTCAATTTCTCAAAATATGTGAAAATTGTTGTATGTTTAAATTTAGCGTTGACTAAATATTGATTGCGCGAATGCTTTTCTCGTGTTTTTTTTTTGATAATTTGAATAGGACAATATAATCAACGTTCAAACCAGAATTGCATATTTTTTAATGATTAACCTTCTCAAAGTCGACATATTCTCCTTGTGAGAGCATTCGATGCGCGAATTCAAGAGCAATCATACATCCAGTGCGTCCGATTCCAGCCGAGCAATGTACCACACATGGACCATGTCTAACCATCGCGAGAAGCTTGTGCGGCACCGTATGGCATTTCTCATCAGGAACTCCGCGATCTGGCCAGCTGAAAATCGCTCGAAAATGATTCATTATGACGATATTTGTTCGTTCGTACTTTGGCCATTTAATAAGAGTCACGTTCAATTCTGATTTATCATTCGGCTGCTCTTTCTCTGGAATGGCGGTTCCTTCGAAATTGACAACCAAATTGACAGTTTCAAAACTGTTTGAATCATCCATTTTCTCGCACTTGTTCAATACTCGAATGCAACCATAGCACAATTCTTGACCTTCATCCGGCCAATAGACCACACATTTCGGACGGCCTTCTTCTATCGGCCGGCAGAGCATCAAAATCGAAGTGGTCCGTTCTTGAAAGACCATCCGCCAAAAATCAGATATTGTAGTTTGAAGTGGTCCCTAGAAAGAAAACATTTTAATAATTTATGGATTGGTTTAATTTACCTGAGTGCATATATAAGTGTTACGAAGCACTTTCGAGTTGACATAGTTTGCATGAATATAATCACCTTGTTGAGTTGAATCAATTAAAAGCTTCACACGCGTCGAATCGCGGCATATCACATCTGACAAAAAATGGAATTTGAGAAAAAAAAAACAATTTTTTGAATTTATGTATATATAAATTCAAATATTTTTTACTACATATATATATATATTAACCAGTATGAATTAATAATCACTAACCGGAATATCTATTTTTCGTCATATTCTGCTTAAAAGCATCGAATGTTAGCGAAACATCTCCTTGAGATTCTAGTTTTCTGAAAAAGAAGAAACAGTAATTGGAAAAAATATTTCTCACCTATATTGTTTTGCCAATCCATCGATTCCCAATTTTTCCGTATTAAAAATAAATTTTTCGAGAACTTTGACATATGTCTTAAAGTCGCAGTAACCCTGAAAAATTACCGAATTTTAAAATTTGCGATCATTTCAGAATATGAAACAATTGCCCCCAGGGTCAATGAAATGGGCAAACAGATTTTTGAAAGGAAAAAATGATGCGAATTCGATGAGAGGAAGAGACCACTTTCTGCATCATGTTCTTGCATTCCGAATCGTTATTGTTCTCGGCGTTGTTCTTTGAATCATCGCGTTCGGCGGTCGGTGGAAGGAAAAGCAACGAAAGCTGGAAAATCGGCTCGCCGCGCAATGGCGCAGCTTTGATGCGTCCTCGAGAGAACTTGCAACGCATCTCGCCCGTAATTTCGTTTTCTCAATGCTGGAACAAGAGTTTTCGAAATTTGAGACACTCAATTCATGCGACGGCGAACAAGTTCGAGTGACGGAACAATTTCCGGAATAAGATCTCAAAGTACGAATAAATGTGATAATCAACCAAAAAATGCTTGTTCTGCGATCTTTTTTTTAACTCGAATTAGACAATTTCTAGAAGAAGTTTCAAAGCTAAGAATTCCTGAAAATATTTCATTTTTTAAGTAGGCTTGACAACAAAGGGGAAACTTCTTCTATTCTTTGAAAGAAGTTAAAATCGGCAAGAAGCGCGAATTGTTCTTGGTCGGAAACTTGAAAAGTCCAGTAGTAAACGAATTATCGAAAAGGCTAAACTCTAGTATAGGTATGAAATAGTAATAGGCTAATTGAATGTGTTATTCGCAATCATAATCAAGTAATGCATTGGTCCGAATGAAATATTCACAAGGAATGCATCACATTACATTAATACATTGAATAGTGGGCAACCAATATCCGCAATGCGACACATCATATCCATGACAAGGAAATGAGCAAGAGAAACAGAACAACGGGCAGACGGAGGAAAAACATAACAACGCAAAAAATTGCGATCAAGTGGTGGCGAACAGTGTCCACTTCTCGCATTAGCCAAAAATACACCTCGTCGATGTTTGCGGGGGGAATGCACACTCGCCCCAGAAGAACCGATTGGTGTCAAGTGACGAGAGCGAACACAAACACACTTCGGAGTCTTTTTTTTCATAAGAAACCTCGAGTCTAGGCATGGCAACTCTATTCGCGCACCTAATTTCTTCTTTGACAGGTTGATCACCCGCCTCCTCGCATTTTTTTCTGTTTGCCCATCACAAAATCAAATGATCGAAATCGGATATATACAGATGTAGAACGCACGTACCTGCTCCCCACCACCACAGTTGCTCAGCGACGGTCGTTTCTCATCAGATTTGACATTATTGTTGTTTTTGCCTGAACACACTTCTATTGAAATTTCGCGAAAAATTGACATCGACGACTTTATGCATCGTCGAATATTCATAAAGAGCTATTCAGAATGCAAATTTTACACAAGCAAATGTATTATTTTCAAATGGACACATTTGCAAAAGTATTTTAAATTATGAAATACCAGATGTTGATTCGAAATTGAAAAAAAAGACACCAACCCTTTTTGTCAATGTCTTTTTTATTTTTCTTGTCACTTCCGAAAAATTTCAGTGCCAGGTCCATAAAAATCGTGGGAATTTTGCGTGTCGTGTTCCGTGAATCGGCTGGCGTTTGGGACTCCTGCAAAAAAAAAGAAGATTCAAACACATTTTTTCTTTCTCTGGGAGATAACATTTACAAAATAAACTAAAAACCCCGTCAAACGTGGCTAATACGACGTCGTAAAATAAAATGAAACGGAAATGTCGACAAACACGGAAAGAGAATTTTTGGAACGAGAGACCCAATGAATCACAATATGTTATACAATATTCACTTGTTTGATATTTTCCGGCCAACAGAAGCGAAAAAAGCCAGAGATTTCAACAAAAGTAGAAACGAACACATTGAATTTGATGATTTTTCTATAAATATTGATTTTAGTTGGAAACTCATTTTTCATTTCTTTATTTTTGGTTTGGTTTCCTCTGGCTTTTATCATTTACACTAAAGTTCAGACGAATATTAACAAAACAAATGTGAATGTGGTGAATTATGGGTATGAAATATGAAGGGAATATATGAAAAGAATGCATAATGATAGGCCGGAAAAATGCAATTTACGAATTTGGTTTTTGTGTCGAAAATTTTCGTTTTCAAATTGTGAAGCATGAATGCTTTCAAGAAAATCTTATGAAAAAAATATCAACATCTCATTAGCTAGCGAATATATATTTTCTGAGAAGACCAATTCGCTTATTAGACGAAATGATCGCGCGCAGATGCATTTTTTTTGCATATCATTATAAGAATTGATGCAAATAATGCATCGTTTTCCATATGCCAAAAATGGGCAAGCATGCGACTTTCATGGGTCAAATATAAAGGGTTTCATGAAACGAAATCGCTATTAAACGTTTTAATGCGTCTAGACGTGCTATAGAAAAAGAGAACACATCTACTGAATAATTTGAAATTTTTTCATTTTACATTTTCGGATACTAGTGCAGTTTCGACTCGATATCAAAATTGCATTGAGATTTTTTCATTTTTGACAAAAAAAAAACGAAATTGAACGGACACGCGATATACTTCGAATGAATGTCTGATAGAAGGGGCGATGGTGGGAAAATGGAAGCAACGAATGACGAAAATACAAGTTTTTTTTCGACGAAGCTTCATTTTTTCAAAAGTCGTTTTAAAACACGAAAAAAAACGTTTGATGAGAAATAGAAAATTTCCAATTCTTCAAATTCGAATAGGTTTAGTTTCATTCATATAAACGCCATTGAACAAATAATAATAATAACTGGAAATATTTTCCGCTTCCCCTCGAGACCGAAATTGTCAAATTGAAATTGAATGAGACTCTACCTGATGCGAGCCGCCTAATTCTACATCATCACATGATATCACCGACAATTCGAGACGTTCGCCCATTATTTTCAGTAATTCGCCGGAGAATAATACGAGCGAAATTGGAATAAGAGTGCAATTCAGAATTGAATCATCAAATGGATTCGTCAAAAAAAAAGCTCATTAGTCGAAAGCCAAAAATAGGACATTAAAGACCAAAGAATGATGCTCGCCGAGATTTTACGACTTTTTTCGCTAAAAGCTTCAGTATAGCGTCGAAGTGAACACGATACGTGTTCGATGAAGAATGTGATATGTCTCTTCAAAAAATGAGAGACAGAAAAAAACAGAACACCAAAGAAACGAATACTCGGTCTCCAGGTTACCCGTAAAAAACTGATAGTGAGCAGCAAAGAAGAATGTTCAAAAAAAAAGAAGAGTGGCGTCGAGCAGCAAAAAAAAAACGAGAGAAAATCAATGCTAAATAGCTCAAATTGGGTTGTGGGCTCGTTCGAGTCGAACAAAACTAAAATGATAAAAAAGAACGAAGGGGAAGAAGGAGAAGTGGCTCCATCATCTCGACTCCTTCTACACTATTTTTGCCGTTATTTTTTTGCACTCACTTGGGGCCAACTTCGAACACATTCGTCTTATTTTTCTCTCAGCCAATAATGAATAGATGGGAGGAAAAATGGGTGCGATATATATCTCTTTCTTCGCTCACCGAGTCGCTTGCTAAATATAAATGAGTGATTTGTTACAATTTGCGGATAGATCAAAAATCCTCTGAGTTGGCGACCCGTCTCATTTTTTTTATTTGAAGTATTTAGTGAACAAATCGTTGCTATCAGAGGATGCGATCTAGGCGTTTTGTTCATTTTTTGAAGGTTTCTGTATCTGAAATGCAATCTAAGACCATTCAAATATCAATTGGGAAATTTCCGGTCTTAGAACGTTCTTTCAAATATTATTCATATTTTTTCCTATAATTTTCAGTCTTGAATTTCAAAGGGTTCAATTTTTTACTTGATCAATGAAATTTCAAAATACTTCTAAAAAAGAGTGATGTATGTTTGGTGACAACTTTCATGCTTAAAATTCCTAAAAATGTAATCATCTTTTGAATGAATCGCTTTACAAAATATGTAAAACAAACAAAATTGTGCAAAATTCTTATCGAAACATGAAAAAAAATGACGAGAAGTATTTCCGTCTAACGAGGGCACAAAAACGAAATGACACATTTAATCGCTGAGGCAAATTTCAATCGATAAATCACGTTTCATAAAAAGTTTTTATCATTTTACTGCAAGCCAAAGAGGTTTAACATATTGGTGATAAGAGCCAAAAATTCCTTCATTAATTCTTTGGTTCGCACTTTCAATCGTCGCATGGTTTTGGGCAGGTGTGTACGAAAATACTAGGTAGAAGAGGGGCGGAATTGCGAACACTAACACACACACGTGATCGTGAATCATTTGACAATACAGACAGTTTGAAGTTTTTTTTTGACTAGTTGTAGAGACGCAGGTGAACTCAAACATTAGTCATCGAACAAAGTCAAAATGTATATTGATTGGAATCTAAATATGGCAGTTTCATACCGAAATGACATTCTCAAGTGGTGAGCTTTATAAGAAAATGGCGAATACGATTTTTGTCGGTCGCAGTTTTCACGAGAAGCTCGCCGCGGGGATTATATAAATGGAGATAGTGCGCAGGGTGGCGGAGGGAATCGCGACCCGAAATTCAATGCATTCGACACTCCACAACTCACCTGACATTTCCGCGAATTGACCATTTCTTTTATGCACATTCTGCTTTAAGGAAATTAAAAATTCTTTGAGAAAATGCAATATGCTCAACATATTTGAACTTTTAGACAAACATGGGAAAATTATAATATAAACTACGGGAAAAAAAATAATATTTGGAATATATCCTCCGTAAAATAGACTTTACACAAAATAACGGAATTAATAATCGCAAACGATGAAGTCATAATCTAATTCGTTAATGAAATTTAATATTGTTTATGATTTTGCTGGTTTTTTTTTATTGTAAAGTTATTATTAGACAACTTTAAGATTTCAAAATAAAACAAATTCAATTAGCAATTAGAATAGAAATAAAAACAAAACGTCTTTACAAGGGTTAAAAAAGAAAACACTTAAAATTTCCAAAATTTTTTCACGTGGACTAGCATTTATAAAAGTTAGGCCATCACAATATCTAGGCCACATTTGTTAGCAATATTTTGAAATCTCGAAATTTTTCTTCATTTTTTTATTTAAAATATTCTATTTTGCGAAGTTGCTAACAGATAATAACAGTAATTTAGCGGAATTAATCTAATTGAATGGTTGTTCGACAGAAATCTGAAACGCAATGCTTCAATCCAAGAGACTATCAGGTATTTAGGCCATAAATCAAGCGATCATTGGTATAATTTAGGTTGAACTTCTTGAAAAAGCGTGTAAACGAAATGTAATCGTTCAACTGGGAACCGGATCAGGTAAAACATTCATTGCCGTTTTGCTTTTAAAGGAGTTTGGAGTTCAATTGTACGCGCCATTAGACAATGGAGGAAAACGAGCATTTTTCATTGTCGAAAAAGGTTCGATATATTGGTTGAAAAGCTGGAAAAAAAAATAAATTCCAGTTAATCTTGTTGAGCAGCAAGCTGAACACATCGAAAGACATACGAAATTCAATGTGGGACGAATTCATGGCCAATTAAAATCTGATGTTTGGAACAGCAAGAAAGATTGTGACGATTTTATTGCCGAACATCACGTATCCAATTAGCAAATTGGCAATTTATGAGAAAAATGATTGATTCAGGTGATTGTGATCACGGCTCAATGTCTTCTCGATCTCATCCTACACGCTTTTATCAAAATTCAAATCTCATGTGTAATGATTTTTGACGAATGCCATCATGCACTCGGATCCAAACACCCATATCGTTTGATAATGTCAGAATACAAGAATTTGAAAAAAAGTTGAAAATCGCAAGAAGGAAATCATGATATTGACTGGTTTTAGAAGGAGAGAATGTTCCGAGGATTCTTGGTTTGACAGCTAGTCTTATCAAAGAGAAGACCGCTCCGAGCAAATTGGAAGAGAAATTAATCAAATTGGAGACAATCATGGATTGCTCGATTGAAACTGCCAGCGATCTCGTCGCGGTTGATGAATAATTCGAAAGTGAAAAATATATAAGAAAAATCAATTTTTAGCTCTCGAAATTTGGTGCCAAACCCTATGAAGCTGTTGTGTATTGCCATGATTATAACCCAAACTCCTATGATTTTTCGGCCCGAATTTTCAGTATTCTGGTATAGATTTTTGCTTCCGTTTTTTTTTTTATCAAACTGTACAATTTTGAAGGAAAACGTAAAAAATTTCGTGAATTCGACGATTGAATTCAATCCGGATTTGGATCTTGATCCTCGTAGGCCGATTCGTGACAGTTTGAAGACAACAGTTGCCGTATTCCAACAACTTGGACCATGGGCAGCATGGAAAATGGCGCAATCATGGATAATCGAGTTATCGAAATTGATGAAAACGCAAATGCTTCCCGACAAAGCCAGTTCGTTTTTGAATTTGGCGCGCACCACAATGATCACAATTCGTCAAATTCTCGATCCAATCGTAACAATTTACATGAATTCTATTAAATTCGCAATATTTTCAAGATGAAACCGATCCGAAAATACGAAGACGTGTTGCCGTATATTCCGCATCGTGTCATTAGATTATTTGAACTGCTGCAAGTTTATTCGCCGGAGTTTCAGAAGAATCGAATGAAAATGGAAAAACCGGACACGCTATGCGGAATTGTGTTCGTTGATCAAAGATGTATTGCATTCATGCTGCATGTAATTAATTATTGTCGAGAATTTCGAAATGTTCTACTTGCGATTTCAGATAATGATTCGTCAAATTCGAAAATGGGATTCCCAGTTTCGATTCATTCAACAAGACTATGTCGTCGGTGCTAGTGGAAACAATATTACGAGTACTGAGAATTTGTCGCTGCACAAACGACAAGGCGAGGTTCTTCGAAAATTCCAACGATCCGATCTGAATGTTCTGATCGCCACATCTGTTCTTGAAGAAGGTGTCGATGTGAAACAGTGCAATGTTGTTGTGAAGTTTGATCGGCCCCTCGATGTTCGCTCGTTTGTTCAGGTAGAATGTCATACTTCTTTTTTTTTCATCGAAATTTTAAATGTTCAAAATTTCAGTCTCGCGGTCGCGCTCGCCGAGTTGGTGCGAAATATGTGATTTTTGTCGAGGAAAAAGAGGTCGACGCTTGTTCGAATGATTTGAATGATTTCAAAATGATCGAGAAAGTATTATTATTATGATTTGACTTACAAATTGTTTGTATTTGTTTTTCCAGCTTCTTCTCGATCGTTCGCGCAATGTTCATAACCCGCTTGATGATTGTGAAGTCGTTGATATGGATGCGGTTGATTCGATTGTCGAGCCATATGTCGTTGAATCCACAGGTGCTACAGTTAAAATGTCAAATGCTATTCAATTGGTCAATCGGTAAATTGTAAACTTACGGAAAGAAAAAAACTATTTTTTTTTCTTAGTTACTGTGGAAAACTGCCATCTGACATTTTCACACGCCTTGTCCCGCATAATCGAATTATTCCCGTTGTTGAGAATGGCGAAACAATGTACTGCGCCGAACTGTTGCTGCCGATCAATTCGCCAATCAAAAAGGCGATCAAATTGCAAGATCCGATGAAGTCGAAAAAATTGGCTCAAATGGCGGTTGCATTGGAAGCATGTCGACAACTTCACCAAAAGGGAGAACTCGATGACAATCTTCTGCCAAAGGGACGAGAGTCAATTGCGAAACTTTTGGAGCATTTCGACGACGAACCCGATGAGTATGCTCCTGGACTGCACGCTAAAGTTGGATCATCGAAACGAAAACAATTGTACGATAAGAAGGTGAGTCAATTCTACTATTTTTTAAAGGAAAATTCGTTTTTTTTTTAATTTAGGTTGCTCGAGTTCTTAATGAAAGTATTGTTGAACCGGACGAAGAGGTTTACGTTTACGTTATGGATCTCGAAAGGATGAGAGAACCTGAAATATATGCAAATCCGAAGCGTCGAAAGTTCACGGATCCTCATCAATACGAGTATTGTTTCGGTTTTCTGAGCTCCCAGAAATTGCCAAAGGTAATTTGGCGACAATCTATCGTTATGATTTGAAAATTGAATAGGTTCCTCCATTCCCACTGTATCTTCGACAAGGAGATATGCGAGTTCGTCTGATGCTGGCGAATAAAGTGAAAATTACGAAAGGACAACTCGAGGAAATCAAACAATTCCACGACTATCTATTCACGCAGGTTCTTCAATTGGTCAAGGGAAATATGCTGATGTTCAACATGTCGCCGAATACTCCCATTAACACTTTAGTGGTTCCACTTAACAAACGTATGTTTTCTGAGAATGAATGCTAGGCGATTTGTTAATATTTTAAGAAATGTCGAATAATGGAGACGACTCATTTTATTCAATAAACATGGATCATGTTAGCCAAGTTGTCGCTAATATGGAGAAAATGCCACGTGTTCCTGATGAGGAGACGAGAAAAAACTTTCAATTTAAGTGCGTACTTCGTTCTCGCAATACTTCTGTCAATTATGGTTTTTAGCGCCGACAACTACAAAGATGCGATTGTGATGCCTTGGTATCGCAACATTGAGCAGCCAGCATTCTTCTATGTCGCTGAGATTCTTTATGACATGAATCCAGCCTCGCCATTTCCCGATGAGAATTTCTCAAATTTCAACGAGTATTTCATCAAAAAGTACAATCTAATAATTTACGATCAATCGCAACCTCTGCTTGACGTCGACTATTCATCGAGGTAGCCTTCATCATATTCCAATGATTCGCATCAAATCTCGTTTAGTCGTTTGAGCTTATTGCTTCCGAGAGTTCAAGCTCGCAAGCGAATTATTAGTTCATCGTCCACTGATTCGGTTCCACCTTCACCCGAACCATCGCCCTCTCCATCTCCATCTCCTTCAATCAAATCCAGAAACACCCAACGACAGATATTGGTTCCCGAATTAATGGATATTCATCCGATATCGGCCACTTTGTGGAATTTGATAACTGCTCTTCCAAGTATTTTCTACAGGTTTATTTTCGACATTCTCGCAGATTTTAATCGTGTTTGATAATTTAGATTGAATCAAATGTTCTTGACCGACGAACTTCGTCAAATTATTATAACTAACGCGTTTGGAAAATCGAAGGTGAAATTGAAACAAAGAGACAAATGTTTCATATTCAATTTTAGGAAGACGCTCAAGTTCCTGACAATCTTGAATGGCCACCGCTAACTTATCCAGCAACATTCGAGGAGAAACAATCGGTTATGGTTCGAAAAATTCAACAATTGAAAGATTTGAATAAAACGAAGAATAACGAGAAGGAGAAGAAAGAAACCAATGATAACGTTAGTGAATGTGTTCTTTTTTTTTTAATAACTTTTGATTCTAAGGAATTTGTGGTTGGTGTTTGGGATCCAGAAGATGCGATTCGGTGTGGTGTTAATGTGACATTGGATCGTGATATCATTAAAAATGAAGATGATGATATGGCGGGGTTGATGAATGGATTGCACGATGGAAATATTTCTGACGAGGACGAAGATGACCTCGGACCATTTGTCATGCACGATTATAAACAGAAGCTTACCTCGCAATGTGAGAAAACAAATAGTTTGATGGTATAAATTATGAAATACTTGAAGTGCACGGTTTGTCTGGAAATGGTTTGTGGACAACGAACAACGAAATTGTTGAATCTGGATGGGGCGAACTTGATGATGTGGATCCAGCCGATACTCCGTTTGAAATTATTGGAGGCCCTGGAACGAATGGTCTTGATCTGCGCTCATTGATGGAAGATATTGGAAGACATGTTGCTCCGCCCACGATAAAGCAAGAACCGCCCGCTGATATTACGCCGAGCACTAATGAAGTGCCCGCGGCCGCTAAGCCAGAACCAGAAAAACGGCCGGCAGTGGCAAGCACGAGTATCAAAGAGGTATTTTCGTTTTCCTGCAAATAAAACGGTGTGGTTTAAAATTTAAATTGTGACAACACACTCTTTTAAAAAAGGAAAAATTACCAAATCATGTTGATCTGTAAAATATTCGAATCTCCGAAATGAGCGGCGTAATTTTGCCGCGCACGCAATTTTTTCATTCCCTAGAATTTTTTGTAATTTTCAAACTCGGCATGTTTCGAGGTTGTTTAAAATGTGCGCCGTAGTTACCTCCAAATAAAAATGTTTGAAATCAATTTGATTTGTAATAATATTTAATGCGAGAAATTGTAGGCTCGTGACATACTGGAATGTATGGGACTCCTCGATCAACGAGATGTTCCCAAACGAACTGAAGAAGTAGTTGATTTAGAAGAGTTTGATGATGAAGATGATCAAGAAATCGACAAAGAAGCTTCAGAGCTAAGATTGACAAGAAGTACGAGTGATGATGAATTCGAAGAAATTCAGCGCGGAGAAATGATCAAGGAGGCGAATGATATGAAGGCGTTGCAGTATGAAAAAGACAGAGTTAGTTGAAACGAAAAATATCAAAATTTCCGACTCGTTTTGAGTAGCTCAATAATATGTATTTTACAGGGAAATGAGCCGATGATTTTGAACGATAAGAAGAATGTCATGAATTTTTCATTTGCTAAAGAATCGCCTGCATTGGCACCTCTTCGAACTGAGGTTGAATACAAAAAATGCGCCGACATTTCGCATTCTGACAATGAAGTTGGATATGGAGTTTCTCCATGTCTTTTGCTTACTGCATTGACGACATCGAACGCTAGCGATGGTAATTGTTGAAGTTTGTTGCAATCGTCACCGAAAATGTCGATTTAGGAATCAGTCTTGAACGATTCGAAACAATAGGAGACTCATTTTTGAAGTTCGCCGTCACCGATTATCTTTATCATTGCCACACTGAACAACATGAAGGGAAATTGTCGTTTGCGCGAAGTAAAGAAGTGTCGAATTGCAATTTATATCGACTTGGAAAACGGCTCGGAATCCCACAACTTATTGTTGGATCCAAATTCGACGCATTCGATTCTTGGCTGCCACCATGGTTATTTTCATTCATCATGCCTCGTTTTTTCTTATTAATTTACATACCATTTTCAGCTACGTTCCGACTTTCGATTTTAAAGCACCCAATACTCAGGACGCCGAAGAAAAAGATAATGAAATAGAAATGATCCTGGAAGGAAAATCCATTGAGGAGAAGGTGTTGTCGGGTTTTTCTTGGATTTTTTTTAGTTTTTTAAGTTTTCAGAAGGAGACGCAAACTGGATGGGATGAAGGACAAAATGAGATTCGAAAGACTGAAAACGGAATTGAAACGATCAACTTCCCGAAGCAACAAGGAACAATCAACGAGGAAATTTCACCTCTTCCTTATAATCTTCTCACTCAGCAAAATATATCGGACAAGTCGATTGCTGATGCGATGGAGGCGCTTATTGGTGTTCATTTGCTTACACTCGGACCTCATCCGACATTGAAAGTGATGAAATGGATGGGATTGAAAGTTTTGCTGGCTGATGAGAATATTGCGGAAGAGGCGCCACTTCTTCGATTCATTGATTCGCCGATGGATCCTGATGCCTCTATTCGAGCACTGGATAATATCTGGCAGCAATTCCAGTTTGGACAACTTGAAAAGAGAATTGGGTATACTTTTGGCTGGAGAATTCTGTAGGAAATGTATAATATTGTAGATATCAATTCAAAGATCGCGCCTATCTCGTACAAGCGTTCACACATGCCAGTTACTTCCATAACCGAATTACAGGTTGTTATCAGGTATAAATCTTGTCGATTGTTGGCAGATTGTTGGGTTGTGATTTAGAGGCTGGAATTTCTTGGAGATGCTGTTCTTGATTATATGATCACTAGATATCTTTTCGAAGATGTTCGTCAATACAGTCCCGGTGTTCTGACAGATTTGCGATCAGCACTTGTAAATAATACGATTTTCGCATCACTAGCTGTCAAGTATGAATTTCAAAAGGTTCGAAATTTTAAGTTTTTATCAAAAACAGATGTGATTTTTTTCCAGCATTTCGTTGCAATGTGCCCCGGATTGCATCATATGATTGAGAAGTTTGTCAAATTGTGCTCCGAGAGAAACTTTGATACAAACTTCAATGCGGAGGTCAAAACATTTTCAAATGACACAATTTTTTATTAGGAATTTTAGATGTACATGGTGACTACGGAAGAAGAAATCGACGAAGGATCTGAAGAGGATATCGAGGTTCCGAAGGCGATGGGAGATATATTCGAATCGCTTGCTGGAGCCATTTATCTGGTAGGTTGTCGATTACTTTTCGTCACAATCAAGAAAACCCATTTAGGACAGCGGAAGAAATTTGGATACGGTTTGGGCTGTTGTGTATGGTCTCATGAAAGGTACAATCGAGGAGTGCTGCGCGAATCCGCCGCGTTCGCCAATCCGTGAACTCATGGAACTCGAATCAAGCAAGGCGCGATTCAGCAAGATGGAGAGAATAATTGAAAGCGGAAAAGTCCGAGTCACTGTTGATATTGGGAATAGTATGCGATTCACCGGAATGGGTAGAAATTACAGAATAGCTAAAACTACGGCTGCTAAACGAGCTCTTAAGTGAGTACAGTAATCCTTTCGAAGCCATTAAAATTGATCATTTCAGATATATCCATATGATCGAAAAACAAAGATCTGAGAAAATCAAATCTGCGGTATGATTAATACGGTTAAAATGTGTTTACTCCGCCAAATGTTTGTATCCTGTTTGCATGCAAATTGATAAAATTTATTAATTAGCTAACTCGAATTCTATACAACTATACCCGTCATTGCCTATTATTTCATATACTGACTGGCAAATATGAAATTGAACTGAAAAAGATCCTGAAATTGAACCGCTGTATGATTAAAGAGATGGCTTGAACGAATGCGAATGAACAAATATTGCTATGATGATGTCGGCGGATCGGAATATCCGGTGCGTAGAAGCCATTGCGTCGCGTTCTAAAAATTTTCATCGATTCTCAATTTCATATTGTTTTGAATATACCCCATTCGCGTAACACGCTAATTCCAACACGACATTTTTTGTAGTTTTGTGAAACGTGCGGAATCGGCAATATGGGATATCCATGATGCCGTCCTCGCTGGAAAATATTAAATTTTCCTCAAATCCTATGATTGTTTTAATTACGGTAGAAGATTTTGAACGGTGTTGCGAAATTCGTCGATGGTTACTGTAGAATTGAAGGAGATTGAACGGATGAGCCATGGAACCTTGGTAGATCTCCAAGCCTGTAGAATAGAAAGGGAATAATACAAAAAATGGAATTCAAGTGAATTACAGAGATGAAATAGCACATATGAAGAGAATCAATGGAGGAAACGAAAGACGAGACGTCGGAATATGCGGAGAAATCCAAATAAGCAACGGAAGCTTCGCAAAGAGCGTTCAAGATGGAACCTGAAAATTAATTTGAGATTGTCATTGTTCCCAATTTCAGCGATACCGTTGATTTGTGACAAAGTGACGTTTTCGATATCCATTCTGTGCCTTTGATCTAATCGAAATTGAAGACTAAATTTTTGATATGCTTTTCGAAATCTTTTAATTTCGTTACCTGCATAAACATGAGGTTGGAATAGTGAGCTGTGGAGAAAACGGATCAAATGTTGTCATATTCTCGAGAATCAAGGATTTCAGATTTTTGAGGTTTGAGAGTTTCTCTAATGATTTCTTGCCAAGTTGCCATGGAAAAAGCACGTTTTTCGAGCACAAAAGGAGGGATTTGATCTCAACCCGAGTGCACACACGCTCGCAGAAATCGGTGCAGTTCGCGAAGAAGTCATCTTCAATTCGAATCGATTCCGTTTTGCATTGTTTCCGCACTTGGAATCGAAGTGCTCGCACCTTCATATAGGAGAGAAACTAAAAAAAAACACATCGATGGCATATAGATTGCTTCAAATGGTATCATACAGTTTCGGCGACTTGTTGCGGCACTCGAACGTCGTATCCAGCTCTCTCGAACTGCGCATGCATTGTTCCGTCATTTAAATGCGTCACATGAAGTTCTTTATAGCGTTGATCGTTTCCACGAAGACACAACCTCTTCTTTTGCTTATAATCTAAAGAAATACAAAAATTTTGTTTTAGGTCTCTTGTCTATTTTTTGATTACGGAGCACAAATAAATTACCCCCTATTTAGAAGGAATGCTCTTAAAATAGTCGTGTATTTTATATGTACTATTAAATCGAGCTAGAATGTATAGAATCATTCATAATCGAAGAAAATGAATTATTTGAGTACCTGGAAGTTGTCTGTCAAAAAGAGTGAACGAATAGGAGATGATTGGATCGGTTCCGTCATCTCGGTATGCATGAGACGGCATTTGATCGACGACATGAACATGACAATGCGCATCGAATCTTAATATATTTGTCGTTTTTTTTCTCAATCATTGATTTTGTTTTTACAATCGAAGTGTTTTCAAATTCGATTGCACGATTCGTCGCAGTCGGTGATTTGTGTGGGCGATTCCGAAATAAATATCGTGACGTGGAAGACGGCGAATAATCTCAAATAATTGCATTTTTTAATTGTTACATTATTTCTTTTAAATTCTACTTTCAACAATATCTCATTGGGAAGCGACAAAATGCTCAGCGGCTCGATTTGTTTCATTTTGGAAGCTGCATTTATGTCAGCGAAATGTTCAACCTGAAAATATAAAAAAAATTTTGAATGTGAAAAAAAGAGCGATAGAAAAAACCGAAAGTGACGAAAATAAATTGAAGGCAATGACAAATTGAACCCAATTTTTCGGGTGCCAAATGCGGAATACATCAATTTTGGAGCGTTGAATTTGAATGAGCACAAAACAACTGAAAATGAAAACAATTGCGAGTTGTGAATTTTAAAATATTGACATGAAAGCACTTCACCATGGAAATACAAGTTATTTCCGTTAAAAACCTTTCTTTCTATCTTTTAAAGAATTATCTGAAGGCAATTTGAAAATATTCCAAAGGTCTGCAATTTTGCGTCACTTTTTTTCACAACTGATTTTTTATTGTATATTTTTGAGCATTTTAACATTATTTTTTATGAACCTAATTTTGCTGAGGTTTGATTTAAAAAAAAAGATAAAAATGTGACAGATTAGCCGTTCGAAAATCTAAAAACAAAAACAAAAATTCTCAAAGTGTGGTGTTTTCCCGTCGCCTTTCCGTTCATTTCTTTTTTTTTTTTCGCCGACTTGCTCAGTCTGGCATAATCATTCTCGGCGAAGCCGAAAAAAAAAACGAGAAAAAATTGGAAACAGATGTTCCGGGCGGCGGCGGCGGCAATGCGAATCGTACAAGTTGACCAGGAAAAAAAACAACGTTTGTGTGATTAGTTTAAAGACGCAAATCGGTGATTTTTGTGTGTGGTTGAGCGAACTAATAATAAAAAAAATGTGAAGAGGATGGTCGAGAGTGTTTGAGAGAAGCCAACAAGCAGAGAAATTGAATTAAGACCAAGTTTTTTCTTCCTCTGATGGCCAATTGAGACGACGAAAGAAAAAAAATTGAAATTCACGTTGGCAACGATTAAATTGAAGCGCATATTCTGAGAAAAAATGGAGCAAAAAAGTGCAAAGAGTTGCACATTGAAGCAGAAGGAAAAAAAAACATTTTATAAGAGGTCGCAATTTTTTTTAATGTTCAAAATATCTGGAAAATTTTGCATTAAAAAATCAGTCTATATTGTAAAGAAAATTAAATTATATCAGCAAATTCTTCTGATAATTGGAATAGAAATTTTAAAAACGTCTAACAAATCACGAGGATGTGAATACGAAACAACAATTTTATGGGCCAACATCGACAATTGTAAAATGACAAAATTTTTGAGGAAAAACCCATTAATTCGATTAACAATAAAACACATTATTTTCCACTTTTATGGAACCAATTATTCCCCGAAAGTTCGTTTTTTTTTAATGATAAACTGTCAGGAATCACGTATTCTGAAAAAACGAATGCAAAACTCCGCCCACTCTCTTTGTTCAATTTCTAAAGGCTATTGTTTTCTACGAGATTTTTGACCTTTTTTTTTTGAGTGAAAATTTTTTCGCTGAAAGTGAAGTAAAAAATTGCAAATCAAACTTTTGAATTTTCAATAAGAGATCGAGAGAATTGGCGAATACTTTAATAATATTTAAAAGATATTTTTGGCAACAATTTTTGAAAGAAATCTTGAGCTGGGTGAAACAAAAAGTCAAGTGGAAGTGAACTTTTGAAAAGTTGTGAAAAATGCGCGAGAAATCTCAATGGGAAACGAGGATGGCAAGCTCGAGAAGAAGCTGGCGCGCGGATAAAAAACCAGAGACAAACAGAACCCCCCCGAGAAGGTTGCACGGTTCAAGATAAACTCAAGCACTCGACGACGATAACTGGTTGAGTGCAAAATGTGCGGATTTCGTCTGCCGCCAACGCCGCTTTTTTTTCTCGCGAATGCCTAGCTCACTCAACATCCTTGCGCAAATAAATATTTTAGCTCATATCAAGTTACAGAACACGAAAAAATAGCAATGCGAATAAAAAATAGGAAAATTTTGAGCTGAAAAAAAATGGATTCTCACTTTAAGCGTGCGTTTTTTAGCCATTCATCTTTAAAAATTATCGATTCTTCAAAAATATAAAACTTTCATTTAATTTTTAATTTAAAATACTGCATCGAAAAAATGCAATAATCCTCAAGTCCTCTTTTTTTTGCGATGATTATGACTAAATAGCAAAAGCTGTGTAAGTCTAGATTTACGGCCTAAGCCTTTCCATGGGGACCGCTTTCTCTTCTTTTTTCGCATTCAACCTAATTATAATCGCAGAAACTAGTGTTTGATTTGCAGGTTATCCGTAATAGGGTACAGCCAGACAGTTCTGAAGCCGAGCCTCGGCCAAAAAATTCTTTGATAAAAGAATTTTTTTGAAATGATTGTCATTGAATATTTTGGATATGGAAAGTATTTGATTGAACTTGATTATTTCGGCTTACTCGAAAAAATAAAAGAAAATTGATTGTGCCAATTTCGCCCGAGTCGATCGGCCGATGTTCGCCGCCGAAACGACAAGCCTGATTACGACAAACCGAAAAGAAAAAATTCCTACAATATGTAGTATATTTGTGCCTTTCATTACCGAACCAAAAAATAAAAAAATTCTTTCGAATTTACTCGTTATATTATTGTCTTCTATACTTCTCTAGTAATGCCTGATTTTGGGGTTTTCTGTTCAATTTTAAATTTATTTAGATTTTGACGAAAATAATCAAATATGCAGATTTGGCAGAAAAATCATAAAGAAGAAAACCCTTAAAATCGATATGCAGATTGCTGAAAAATTCAAATCCATTCGGCCACGTCCTGGTTTTCCGAAGTCTACAGTACCACGGTTAAAATCGCTGCAAGAATCATCAAATTTTATCGTATGCTCCTTTAACCGTTACGATTTACTTTTCAATTCAAGTTTTTTTTTAATTACAAATGCTATTTTTCTATTGTGATTAAAGGTGCGCATACAAATTTTTTGTGATTCCTACAGCGATTTGAATTTTTTTAAAGGTGGCAACGGTCGAGGTTTGCGAGTTTTTTTGCAATCTGCATGGCGTTTTTTTTAGGTATTTTTTCAGTTTTTAGCAAAAACTCCATTGCACTTTAAGGAAAAACAGACCTTCGCGGAAGGCGCATCCGAAAATCTATCCGCGTACTGGACGCCGACTACAGATTCATGCGAATTTGCGATTATTCGCATAAATTTGTGCTGGCCCCGATTCAGAGCCGCCGTCGCGGTGGCCGAGTGGTTCAAGGCAAGAGGCTGACTCTGAGTGTGAAGCTTACATGGGTTCGAATCCCATCCGCGACATAGGAGGGTTTTGCTCTTTGTTGAAGCATGATGATTTTTATTTATCTTTTAATTTTAAATAACGTCATTGCAAAAAAATGAGCGTGTTGCATAATTGTGGACCATCGCACTCGTTCGAGGCGGCAATTCAAATTCGAATTTAAACAACCGTACTCTGGCTAACCTGCGAATCAAACTCGCCGTAAAAAGGCACAGGGTGCTCTTTTTTTAATTTATAAAACATTCACAGAATTAGTTCATTTAGATATTAGTAAACTTTGGAATTTCAAGACGAAACTGACCAAAAGTTCCCACGGATAACTTGAAAATGCAAAAATTTCGAGTATATCCATCGAGGTAGATAAATAAATAAATAAATAATGGGCGAATTGAGGATTAGCTTCAAGGTTGGGCACTTGAATAAATTTGCTGTATATTTATCCAGCGATCGGGTTTCAGTAATATCTAGGCGAGTGGTGAAATGAATTGTTGTGGGTAAAATTGAAAGTGATGTCAAGTTGATTTGATCCGAAAGATAACATCTAACTAAACGTTTCGTTGTAAACATCGAGGTTGGCTCTTATCGTCGAATCACATCGATTGTACTTCATTTGTAGCTTAAAAGTGTACGAAAACGGTATGTTTACTTCGAAATCGGAATTTTCTCGAACAACTATTCGAAATGATCGTTTGATTTTAAATGAAATTGAAAGGAGTCACATGAATGGCTGAAAACCAGAGATTCTGAAATAGGAAAACCGTTCTGCAAAAAAAAGATGGCTGCTTAAATTGGGATTAAAAGGGGATATTCTTTAAAACTAAAAAATATGATGAAAAATAGAAAAAAAAGAAAAGAATAAAAACTCTACGTCACTTAATCGCTAAGAAAAAAAAATTAACAATTTATTTATTTTCGGCAAATAAAATGCATAGTCCGCAATGATTTCAAGTTTTCTTATTTTCGATATTCCTAGGCAATTTTTTATTGGTATTCATTTCAGAGACACCAAAAAACGTTGGATTTCGAAATGAAACTGAAAATTGCATTGCGGACTTGTGCATTTTATTTGACGACAATACACATGTTGTTTACTTCGCAAACGATATTCCAAGCGACGAATTAACGTAGAATTTTCATTTATTTATTTTTTTATCTATTCGATTTCTTATCTATGTAGTTTCAATGATATAAAAAATACATTTAAAGGCTACCCCTTTAATGCGATGAATAAGGCGATCATTTATGAGCTTCTAATATTACTCATCAAATTTGAGTAAAACTTAAACCGACTCGAGTTTGGGGCGATTTTCGAGTCTTGAAAAATTTTCTGAAGCTTTCTCATAGAATCTATTTTAGCGGAAAATTGGCTAAATGCCAAAAAATATATGACGGTAGTCTTGATGTAGATTTACGGGCCTATGTATAAAGATAAGTTAAAAAGAGACCTCTTTTTGATTTTTTTGGCATTCAGCCAATTTTCCGCGGTCGCGCGGTCGCGCGGCGTCGACAATATCAAGAAATAAAAATGATTTTATAAAGATTCAATAAATTGCAAAATTTCCTGTGGAAATCAATTCCGACCAGCTACCTACCAATATATTTTTTAATATTCCAATTTAATTCAAATTGAAGTTGGACGTTATTCGTTGAGAAAAAAGCATAAATAGGAATTGAAGCAAACAAATTGAAAACGAAATTGAAGCATATCAATAGAAAGTGTGAGATGACGTGAAATGAGGAGGAAGAAGCTAGTTTTGATTTTTAATTCGAAAAACGCGCGCAAAAATTACAGCGGCGACGGTCAAGGACAAACGCATTGTTTAAAGGGGGGTGTCTGCCGAAACGGGCGGTCTGAAATTTTGGCGCGTTTGTCCACAAAACGCCTTCGCCTTCTTCTCTCTTTTTTTTTGTGCGAAACCGGTGTTATTGATATATCGATATGCATATTATATAGTATTAATAATAATATAATAAATAAATACATATAAATTGAGTGAAAGTCTCTTGTCGGCCACAATATTGACATAACAAAAGCGAGAAAAAGCCGCGAATGAACTATAACTGGTTTCGCAGTTTCAGCTGTCGAGAAGGCCGCTTTCGAGTGTGAAATCGAAACTGATTTCCATCTAATTACTGATCAAAATATATAGATAACCAAGTGTATTTTTTGCATCCTTTTTTCACATTTTTTGAATGCATTGAAAAAAATAGTAAGGAATTTATTTAAATTAAATTACTTGTGTGAAGGATTTCATTAAAAATGACCAGCAAATCGAACAATTTCTAGGAAATATTGGTATCCGACGAATCTGGCAACTTAAAGCCAATCCGAGTGCACAAATTGGGCAATCGAATACCAAAAAAAAGGCGAAAAAATGAAAAGATATCGGATCCAAATTAATAGTAATCGGATCCGGCTTTACAATTTTATCGGCATTATTTCGAATCGGATCGGATTGATTGCGAACCCGAACGACGGATCCTTGACGGATCCTGTGGATTTTGACGGATCCTGTGGATTTTGAGAATGGCAACTGACTCGATTCTACTGGTCATTCTGGGCCAGACTGAATCGACAACGATGGGCCGACGAGTAGCACTAGGGTTTACACAGTTCTAACACCACAACTCACAACGGATGTTTTTTTGCAGTCCGTCATAACATTTTTTAAAGCTCGAGATAAGACATCCCATTATTTCATTTCGAGTTTCTGCACATTTGAATTGCAAAATTCACGTTTGGAGGGGCTAAAACTTTGAAGGTCCATATCTCGATAACTAGAAGTTTGCGCAGGTAGCGACCTAGTTCATTCGATTGGAAATTTTCTAAAGAATCTGTATGCAAAAAATAAAAAAATTTTAAGACGAATTGCAAAAAGACCTCCCTTGTCAGAAAAAATGTATCAAGAGAAATTGCTTTAATTATTTCAAGAATTATTATATTCTAGATTAATGGATTTTTGTGAATTTCAAAATGTCGGCCAATGATTTTCACTATCGAAAGTTTTGGATTTTTCATTTAAAAAATCGGCGATGAAAAAAAACACATATTTATTATCGATTGGGCGAAAAATCTAATATTGTCGAAGACGGAAGAATTGGACAAATTTGAATGATCAAACGCGTTTGCCATTTTTGATCTTAGCGCGAAATCAATAAATTTTCGCATGCGCCTTTGATATCTACTGTAATTTTGAATTTCATACTAGATCAAATCGAAAATTATTTTAGAACCATGGCGCCAAAATTCGAATAGTAAGCTTCACCCCTCTTAAATCGTCCGTCCTCAACAATATACAAAAGTAAGAAGCGAGGCGAAAATGGGCGGGACAATTCGGTATACATAAGAGTGAATGGCAAAAAGTTTGAATTATTTGCTCCATGGCGCCAAAATTTGAATAATTAGCAACTAAATTCGTCGACAATATTGCAATTTCGTTTTTCCGATAAGTCAAGTCTACTTGAGAATAGGATCATGGAAAATGTTCTGACTGATCAACGTAATCCGAAATGATAATTAAGATCATATTTGAGGTTTCTTTAAGCATTATACTTTCTATTTGAGTTGTTTGATTTCATAATTTGTTTTTTCTATTATCGGAGTCAAACGACTTGACGAAATTAAAAAAAAATATTGGCTATGTGCCAATGTGTCTCGAGGCAGCGAGATGATTGCGTACATTACATTATAGCGTACGCGCATTAAATATTCAGTCAACGATTAATTTAAATTTATGCTGATTTCGCAAAAGGACACTTAAATTGTTATCAAACAGCAGTAAATGATAAGCGATTGTTGATAAGATACGACTCGATTCGACTATAAAAGCTAACAGCGGCGGCTCATTTTTGGTAATTTCGTGTTTTCCTCGACCACATCATTTTTATTTTTTTTTGCAGGAATGAAGTTGATAATTGAAGAGAATGCCGAGCAGGTGGCTGATTTCGCTGCGAGATATGTGGCCAAGAAGATTCTCGACGCGAATCTTGGACCTGACAAGTATTTGGTTCTCGGCCTTCCAACAGGTACCCCTTTTAAGGCAGTCGTTCTTTTCAATTGGACTATTTTTTTTGTTTTGCCGAGCAGGATCAACTCCGTTGGGAATGTACAAGAAGCTCATCAAATTCTACAACGACGGCCTCATTTCGTTCAAATATGTGAAAACTTTCAACATGGACGAGTACGTCGGATTGCCGCGGGATCATCCCGAATCGTATCATTCGTTCATGTTTCGAAACTTTTTCAAACACATCGACATCGACCCGGAGAATGTGAATATTTTGGATGGAAATACCGACAATCATACGAAGGAATGCGAATCGTACGAGAAGAAAATTGAGGAAGCTGGTGGAATCGACTTGTTCATTGGAGGTTTGGCGAATCCGTGTGGAATTGTCCGCCAGATGATGATCTTCAGGAATCGGACCCGATGGCCATATTGCGTTCAATGAGCCGGGATCTTCGCTGTCGTCGTTGACTCGAATCAAAACGTTGAATGCTGATACGATTCAGGTGAGAATATCAAATGAATAATGAAAGAAACTTTCAATTGGTTCAGGCGAATGCCCGCTTTTTCGGTGGCGATCTTTCGAAAGTGCCGACGCAAGCGTTGACTGTTGGCGTGCAAACGGTGATGAATGCCAGAGAAGTGATGATATTGATCACCGGATCTCATAAGGCATTGGCTTTGCATCAGGTAACGCCGATATCTGCTCGGATCCAATTGTTCTTGCATTCGCTTCTAGGCCATCGAATGCGGAATTTCGCACATGTGCACGGTGTCGGCGATGCAGATGCACAAATGCGCGGTATTCGTCGCCGACGAAGACGCGACGCTCGAATTGAAAGTCAAAACTGTTAAATATTTCAAAGGACTTATGGGACATCATAGAACACTTGTTGATTTTTGGGCCTCATAATTGCTATACAATAAATGAGAATTATTTTTGAAAAAGTAGAAACCTCTTTTAAAGGCACATTGCAAAAAAAAAACTTTGGGCTAATCAAATATAGCATTGGGAACACTATATTCTTCCCCCGAGGATGCTTCATTCCCCCCCCCCTGAGTTGCCCTTTTCTCTTCAATCCTCTTTGTCGTTTTGGATTCGCCTTCTTCAGAATGATTATCATACTAAAGGGAATTCGAAAAGAGAACGACCAGCTCCTTCATTGTTTCGAACGGAATGTTGAATCGAAACACGATTTGATAGACGATTCAATCTATATTTGCCTATTTTTCCTCAGCGTTTACCCATCAGATCACGTATCGAATTGCAATCACAATCGAGCGGAATTGAATCGCTAAAAAAATGGAGATGATTGATTGTATTTCGAAATTGAATCGTCATTGCAATCTTATCACTGATTGTTGGACTATTTCAGTCGGGGATTTCTTGATCTTTCCAAACTCGATCATTGTTAATTCAATCGCCGCAACATTCTTGAAGCGATCGACGCCACACAAAGTACACACCAATTATAATTTTCTTCGGAAAAAAATTCAAGCGGAACGACGTTATCAGCTGCAAAAAAAAAGTCGCCTCAATTCCCAAATAACTCACAAATCAATTGATAGTTGAGTAGAAAATTTCAGAGTTTTTCAATTTAAATTCGAGATTTTTTCAATCGTTTAAAAATCCTCAAATTTTACTATTCTTATACATAATTCTTTAAAAGAAATGTATTCTCTTTCACATTATAATGGTTAAATTAAAGACAAGTTGCGTCTAAAATTATTCCACGCGAGACCTAAGACGATAATTCAGGTGATGGCACCATACGATGTTCCATTGGATCTAACATGTCTGAAATAAAATTTAACCAAATTCCAAATGGAACTCCCAAGCCTTCTGTTTGCTTGTTCGGTTACCAGCTAGAAAGTAGCCATATTACTGTAGCATATCAATTTTCTAGCCGGCGCAAAGTGGGCGGAGTTTCCTATAAATCCACTTTTGATGTGATTTATTGCGATTGGTTCCATTTTAGTTCGTCTTCTTCAGATGGAGAATCTCAATTTTGTTGGAATTCCAACAATTCGTTCTCGTTGCCTACTTTGTCATCTTCTCATTTTTTTCAAATATTTACTTGAGACTTCATATGAAAATATGTATTCGTTTCCTCTGAAATTCTCACAGATTGAGATGCAACAAATGATTTTGCATTTAAAAAAAAATCACAGAATAAAATATTTTCCGAATGTCTATTTTTAAAGGCGCATGCCGAAATCTGCTATTGCCAATGATAGACAAATTCTGAGCGAGCCAAAAATTTCAACTATACATCTTGGTCATATATGTATGTACTGTCACGCGTCTCCTGCAAATTGGCAAAATAGCAGAAATGGTCTCGAGACGAACTGACCCACTTCTACCGTGTGGCATCGATATCAAACGATACGAAAAACTACAGTATGCATTAAAGGGGCACGCAAAAAATTGTTAATATCGCCTCAAGAAACGAAACTAATTTTTTTTTTTGAATATCCAACATATGCAAACACGACGAAAAAAATAATTTCAAATAAGGAAATCTATTATTGTGATCATCCGTATTCAAAAAAAATATAGTTGGCAACTGATGTACGCGGATGCTCCTTTCTTTTGGTCTCGCACGGATTAACAGGTTGCTTTGCATTTTATGGGGGAATTTTTAAATTTTTCCAAGAAATGCCAAACTCATCAAGAAAAAATGAATCGTTCAGGTGAAAACAGCAAAATAAGCGTTCACACGTGGTGAGACCTTTTCAAAGGCGCATGCGCATAAATCTACCTGTGCACAGCAGTCGACTATACACTATTAAATGTATGTATAGGTAAACCAATAATAGCGGAGAACATCTCGGTGTGTGTGTGTGTGGCTGGGATGACAACAAATCACTTTCAATCAGCCTCGAAGTGCGCGTCTCTCGATTCTCTTCAAAGTCAAAAAATTGCGCATTGTTGCGTCAAATCGCGATGTGGTGAATAATTGGGCGATCGTGTGTAAACCGTCTGCAGCCGACTTTTTTGCGGTCTTCTCTAGCGGCTTTCGGACTAATTGAATCAGACGCCGCCACACGGTGCGCTCTCCCCCCCCCCCACTCGACGTCGGCGCCGGCGCCGTCGGCGATTCCAACCAACCTCTCGTCCGTTTCGTTTCCTTTCACTCATTACACCCATCATTTTTCTTCCTTCAAACGGTTGGTGTGTGTTTTTTTTTTGGGGCAAAACGTCAACCAAAAAAAAATCATAATTTCTTAATTTTTTCGTTAATTCGATTGTTATCGTAGGTTCAGTTCGAAAACATTCACTCATTAATTCGCATCGATTTTTCAAACCATTTTTTTGCCAAAATTAAACTTTCGTTAGAATTTGTTTGCTCTTCCATGGAATTTTGTTACTGATCATTGTTTGAGAAACATTTGCATTGCCTTCAAAAATCCGCCCATAAATCACTGCCGGCCGTTTCGCGAAGATTATCAAACCGCGCTTCGATTGCATTTTGAGAATCACACGCTCCTTTAACTAATGTCGATTTACGACGATTGATTCTTATTTAGTGTATCAAAATTATATTTAGAAAACAATTTCTTCAACTTCAAACATTTTTTGTTATTCTCATGTTTACAATTAACCCCATTTTAAGCGAAACCAACATTTTCGAAATTATTTGGAAACCGGAAACAATACTTATCAATTTCTTCAGAAACCGCGAATCACTTTTGTCGTCTTCTTCTCCTTCTTCTTGTTCTTCTCAAGATTTATGACCATATTCGGAACACATTCATCGCTTTTATTCAAATGTTTGCAAATATAAGCGACTTGTTTGCATTTTAATGAATTTCTCTTTGTTATTGCAATTTCATTCAACTGAGTTTTTCAGAGTAATTATTTACTCTTTCAAAAATTAAGGAAAACCCAAAAACAATTTAAAAATTTTGAAAAGAAAAATTAAATATAAATATTTCAAAATATCTAGCTTCCAAAGTTCAGGGCTAATTTTCTTTCCAAATTTTTAAAATGATTTTTTCCGTTCTCTGACAATTATGATCTACTCGAATAATCGATTTTGCGCATTTAGCGTGCTCATGGAGGATGAGGAGTTGGAAGGAAAACCGATGACAAGTTTCCGGAAACGTCTCGAACACGACGGTCGCAAATTATGGGACGACTTGTCAGATATCAAACGTAACCCTTTTTTTCTGGTTTTCACAAATTCGACTAGTTTCCAGAAATGCGATTTCCGTGGCCGATCAACACGCCGTTAGAAGTGTATGAGCTCGTCGGAGCCGATCGATTCGATCCGGGCTCTCATCGATATCAGATGCCATTCTTCTGGCTTCCATATGCTGTACCGGCGACGCCTTCTTGGTAACGCAGATTTCCGCTATCAATCATCGCTCCTCGCATAGCTCATTTAAAGGCGCTCAATTTGCAGGGCTCTTCTCGTGTGCATCGTTGAGTGCATTTTCGCGTTCGTCTGCTTCTGCGCTGTCATGCTCCATTATCTGATATTCCTCGGCTCATGCGAATCCTACTCGAAACCGTTATTCGTCTTCTTCCTTACCGCCATTCAGTACTCGATTTTTTATGCTTTCAAGGTAACTAAATTGTGGTGGTTCTTCCAAAAAAAAAAGAAAGAAACATAGAGGGAAACAGGTTCCGATTGTCATTTGAAATAAGTGCAATCGCTGGGGGTAAATATGCGTCCGGTTGAATAGGTCTCAAAAGGAAACTATCAGGACGCGCACAAGTTCAATGAAACAGCGAATTCTATGATAAACGTTGATTTGAGTGTGGCGCAAAAAAAATGTTGCGAGAAAGATTTAAAATACATTCGTCTGATTTGATAAAAACTGAGAATTGATTTTCCCTTCTTTTCATTTTTTCTTTCGTTTATTTTTTGTTTCCAAATGATTGTCATCCGAAATTAAACGTTATCTCGAATTGTTGGGAATTTTTTAATTATTATAAGAATATTTTAAAAAATATTTTTTTTGAGAATTGACAAATTTTGTCAGATTCAAATGAAAGGGACCATTATTTGAATTTGGCTCCATTGATCCGAAAATTATCAATTAGCCAATTGTTAGTCGGTTAGTCCTTCGTCTCTTGATATCCGAACCACAGCTTTCCAAGCTTTTGGGTCCCTGGCTTGATTACGGCTCATTTAGCTGTTCTTGTGGTGATCTCCTTCCGAAGCGAGTCTGACCAAATCATGAAAAGCTTTTCTCATGGCCGTGTAAAATTCCACGAGGGCCACTCCGTTAGAAGCATACTTGCAACGGGGCGGGTCAGCGTGAAAATTTTAACGACCCGCCCCGACCGGCTAATAGATTTTTGAAGAAAAGTTTATTATAAAAAATCGAATATGAAACGAAAACAGTCAAAGCTGGTTCAATCAGTTTCTTTGGGGACTTCTGAGCAATTTTTGTTCCAAGAACAATTAATTCTACTCAAAAATAATGCAATTCAAAATTATTATTACGCTAAACAAAGACCTCGCTGTAAACATGGAGTGTCGTTGCGGCGGCTCGATGGAAATTTGCAAGTAAAAGTGCTAATCCAAATTACAATTTTTTTTTTTAATTTTTTACTCGTGCTGATCTACTGGATCATTGATATGGCTGTTTGAGGTTTTTTTTTTTCGTATAAATTGATTCTTTCTACTTAATTATAATTAATATAAATCAAACATTCAATTAGATCGTCATTACGCCATTCATTTAAGCAAATCTAAAAGAATTTTCACTTTTAAGTTTGAATTTTATTTGTCGAATTGATTTTTAATAGTTTCGTATACATTACCATCGTCTAAATTTCCATATTAAATTTTAATGAAACTAGATTTTTAAATTTTTGGCTTTTAGCCAAAAATTTAAAAATCTAGTTTCAATCTAAATGCGGAATTCTAAATGCGGAATTTTAAAGTAAAAAGTCACAACTTCCACATAATAATTTGAGAAAAAATCCAATTAAACCTGAGCTTAAAATATATTCAAATTAATTAAAAATGATTTGAATAACGTATTGAATTTTTGAGAATAATTGTTTCGTTTTTTGGGTACTTTTCGTGATCTCAATCGTCGAACGAAACGCCCGTCTTCTTCGAATTCAATTATTCTTTCAATATGCCACGTGCGTTTTTCTTCTACTTGATGCCGCATTCGCTTTGGCTTCAGATTTTGGAGGATACAACGAAGAAGTCGGTTCAGAGATTATCGATTGCGTCTTAAAATCCGGTTTTTTTTTGCAGTTGATTTATTGTGATCGAAACCCAATTCTTATTCGATTTGTCGCCATTTTATCACTTATTTTTCTATTTGTCCAATTATTTCTGCGAATTATTACCACACAAGTTTACAATTTTATGTGGGATGTTCGAAAGTTTAAGTAAGTGCCAACAAATTCTCAAGAAAAACTAGTTTTGAGCATTTCATTTTGCAGAAAAGCTTTACACAATTCAAAATGGAGATATCGCAAGAGGGTTTATTTCACGTTCTGCTCAATTGTGCACGAGGAAATGAAAAATGAGCAAATACAGGTCGCCTTCTTTTGTTTTTTTTTTGTAAATTTTATGGAAATATTCATAGTATGAAAAACATTTTTCAAAAAATCAATTTTTTTTTATTCGAATTACAAAAAAATTGACGCGATATATCGTAATTTTTCGCTATTCATTTTCAAAGGCGCATGCGAAAAGTTGCGCGGGTCACGTCGCGAAGTTGGTACTGTAGTGTTTATATTTTTATTCTGTATGTTATTTTTCGAAAACTTTGAAGAAGAAAATGAGTACCAGATTGACGAACGAAGAAAAAAAAACAATAATGGTATAATTACTCCTAAATCGACAATTTATGTCTATTTTTCTTTATTTTGATACCAATTATCATGAGAAATTGAGATCTTTGTGTTGATTTGATGAAGACTTCGCTCGATGACGCTTTTGATGAACCTTTCGCGTTGATTAAAAAATATACTTTTACAGATTTTCAAAAGAAAATCTTTTAAACGTTCAGAAATAAAAAATTCGAAAAAAAAACAACCATTAAAAAATACAGTACCGACATCGCGACGTGACCCGCGCAACTTTTCGCGTGCGCCTTTGAAAATAAATAGAGGATAATTACGATATATCGCGTCAATTTTTTGTAATTTTCGGCATGCGTCGATGAAAGTGAAATTTTGGTTTGAATTTTTTAATGTTTGATTTGAACACGAATTTTCTAATTATTTTTAATGAAAACATTTTTTAAAAAGCTTAATAAGCGTGAAATAAAATGTGTGCAGAAATGCGTCAGTGTGCAAACATACAAAAACGGGATATAGTGAGTTTCCAAAAAAGAAAATGCGTTTTTCGTCTCAGAAAAATTACGGTAGGCGTTGTTTTTCAGAAAAACACCATAAAAACGGAATTCACTTATACTATGTTTCCGAAAAAAAGTGGTTTCCATAATTCGGTCGTTGTGAGACGCAGCGCAAAAATTGCGTGCGCCTTTCATTACCGTAACCAAGCGATTTCGAAAAAATATTCGCCAAATATTCTTAAAAACCACTAGTTTCCGTTTTTTCTCTTTAGTTTGCAGTTCTTTTTTATTGATATGCAAAATTCAAAAAAAAAAAAAATAATCGATTAAAGACGCATAGTGCAGATATTGAGTTGGGTCTCGTGCCAGTTTAATTTACAAGCCAATTTTTTGGAAACACATTTTTTTCGTTTTTTTTTTCGAAAAAAAAGAACCAAAGTTGATTTCTTATTGATAGCAGGATAATCCCGTAAAATTGACTGAATTCCAAAAAAAGCTATGACCAAAAAATAAAAGTGTCGATTAACGAGCATAGGTTAAAGGCGCACCGAGACTTCTTTTTTTAATATTTTGACGTTTAGCCGATTTTCCGCAATCGCGCGATACCGAGAATATGCGTATTTATAAAATTTGTTCCATCGACTATAACTTTGAACACCTGCGGACAAATGAAACTGAAAAAACACTTCTTAATTAATAATTTGCTTTCTGGTTTTTCACAAAGAAAACATTAATTTTCCAGAACAAAACAGTCAGTGTTCAAAATCGATTCCGCGACGAGCAAGAGGAATTTCTGAAGAATATCCAAAAGAAGCAGAATATCACAAGAATCACAATTGAGCCGAATGGAGAAGCTGTTGTTCCGTTTCAAAACTCGAATTCGATCGGCTCATTATCGGTTTGATTTTTTGGCAAAAAATGAGAAAAAAAAAACGGCTTTTGAAATGTGCAAATTGCTCTTCCAATAATCAAAAATTGTGAAAAAGCAGGACCCATAAAGAAGACATTCGCTAGAAAACGAACAATTCCCACTGTTTCAATTCAAATTCAAATTACCGCCTCGAAAAAATTACGATGGTCCACAATAATGCAGTCCGCGCGTTTTTTTTTGCGATATATATTGTCCTCATCGCGTGACTTCTGAAAATTAGCTAAATACCAAAAAATTATGACAGTGGTCTTGGCGCGAAATTTTAAGTGTAGATTTACGGGGTATAATGATTGGTTAAAGGAGCACACCGCCCATCGAGACCTCTTTTTAAAAGTTTTGGCATATTTCCAATTTTTCGCGCGACTTCAACAATAATAATTTCAAGAAAAAACCGGCGGCGTATCCCGGTAATGTGTCCGCAGATGTTTAAAATCAAATTTATTTCGTATGATTTAAATAACAGTGGCGCAGGGACCCGAATTAGGCTCTTTGCTGAGCCCGTTTCGACATCCCTGCCGCTGCGTTGACTACAGTATACATCAAAGGGGCATGTGAGAATTTCTTATTTTCGCGCCAAGAAACAAAATTGTGTTTGATTGAGATTCTTTGAATTTTCGACAATATTTCCAACAAAAAACTTTCCTCCTTATGCAATTTCTATCCTCTTTGATCCGAATTCAATTTTTTTTTAATTTTAGGCAATATCGATACCTACCTCAATGGATTCAACTTCTCCACTGGGAAAGAGAAGAAAGCCCAATCCGAAATGCACGCCGACACCCAAAAAACTGCGTGGTCCCGATGGCGCAATTGTGCCACGAACACCAAAAAATCGACGAAAACCGAATGGAGGCGTCAAAGTCAAACTTGAGGTATTCAAAAAAATATTTAAAAAATAAGTTTTGAAAAAAAAATGTTGAACATTTTTTGTAGGTTGATTATGATACAGTTCGTTTGCTTTTCGACAGAAATCGAAAAAACGGTCGAATTCCGAACATTGCGATGGACGACGAATCCGACGACGAATGAAATAGGCTGCCTACTTCCCTAGTTGTGTAGAAGTGCTTCGAACTCGTTACGTGTATTTTGAAACTGGTCTCATAAACAACTATTTATTATGTTGGAAGCAACTCGTAAACAAAATGAGTTAACCGAGAACCAATTCTTTTTGATTGTCGCTTAACGTGATTGGTTGGAAGTGGGGCCTTGATGAGGCATCGGCAAGATTTCTCGAGTCACAAAGCAAGAATCAAACAAGTGCAAGTCATTTCTTCTTGTCTTGGAGTTCAAAGCACTATTGATGCTCGAGGCAACAAGTGGCTCGAGAAATTGCTTCAAAGCAATGCGCGTAAATTAAAACGTTTTGTACGCAAACACACTATACAGAGAAATTGTAGTTGGTTTGGAGAGGTGGCAAGGCAACGAGACATAGAGGCGAGAGAGTGCGGGATGCGAAGAGAGGGAGACAAACTCTGGACACAAGCCGACAAAAGCGCGGCCGCGGCCGTGATCACAGGAATTCAAATTCAAGTCCCCCCTCCCTCATCGTGGCTACAAGACCTTCAAGCGTCCAGCACTGTCAAGTACAAGGCAATACAATCCCAAGCACAATTGCTCAATGCAAGACAAGGCGAGCGTCTCGAGTTTCTTGTCTTGCCTTTGATCCAAGACAAGACGAGCTGCTTTGAGAAATTCGCGAGAATCTTGCCGATGCCTCGTCAAGACCTGTGGGGCGGAGCGATGAATAAATGAATGAGATCAGACGTGGGCCGACGAGCCGAGTTGAGTGTTCGAATTTGAGATAAATGTGCACGCCAAAATTGAGCTCTTCTTGCGCGATTCGTCTCGTGTCGTCATGTAGCGGCTTCTCCTGAAACAGAAACGAATCGATTCGGATTTTTTCGAAACCAAAAATGAATTGGAAAATATGGGTGCTAAGAAATTTCGCCGTTCAAATTCCTACCTATGCAATTTTTGTTTGATGGGAAAAAAAAAATTTCGAAGGATAAAAGACAACCATCATCAATTTTGTATATGTTTTTTTATATGTGCAGAACCATTAGACTTGTATGCGCCTTTAATGTTAGGCTGTCGACGAATTGAAAATAAAAATAGATGGTCCGATATAAAGTTCAATATAAATTCATGGAATATTATAATCTAAAATGCAATTTGTCGCAAAACTAAAAAAATCGAAATTTGTTCGAAAAGAAAAACCAAAAAGGGTGAGAAATGAACAAAAAAACTGAAAATGTGATGATCGAAAATATTGAGAAAAAAAAAACAAACCCCGTAGTGCATATAAAACATAACAATTGCATATGTACATATAACAATCATATCATAAAACTATAACAGATTGGATATCTTTACCGCCAGCACTTCTGAAATTCAATTTCTCGTGTGAAAATTGAATAAAGGATTTTAAGAATTGCGAAAAGCGATGGGTGGCAACGAATTGAAACATACACCAACGCACCTTGACGGAGTCTTCGAGATGTTCAGCGTGTTTGCCGAGCGCCACGGACGAGTGAAAACTGTGCGGAATTGACGATTGAATATCAATGTGATCACTCTGAAAACGCTCGCGATTTCAAATTTGCCGCGCGCTGTTTGATCTACCCATCCAACGAGTGAACAAGAATCCACGCATAGGTGGTGAGAAGAAAGTTGGGCCAGCGGTTCGGCGATTCGGAAAGTGCTTCGGGTTCCAGTGGAACTGGGAAAGAATTCGCGATGTAGAAGTAGGTGACGAGTTCGATGACGTACAACAGCCCTTGGAGGGTAACCTGAAACCCGATTTCCAGAATTTATTCTTTTTCGTCTTCTCCCCATCAACTGACTTGTTGCACGAACGCGGTTTCAACAGCTCGTCGCTTCTTCTGCTGCGTCGTCTCGAATTGACTCGAAGCTTGCTTCTTCCTATTGTGGAAATGCATTCGGACGAACGTGCATGTGTTGATGAACGCAAACATTGAAATCAAGATGAGACCTCTGCAATTTGACCGAAATTGGAAATCAGAAAACAGCTTTTCCCCATTTTTTGCGTCTTTCGTTCGCAGGTGTCTAAAATTGAATTCATTTCTCATGTGTTGTGTGCGTTTTTTTTGGTAAATCAAATTTTGATATGATGTTTAACCAGAAAAAAATTTAATAAAAAAATAAATATCAGAAGGAAATAAAAGATTTTGTAGATGGAATTTTTCACAAATTGAATGAAATTTCTCAACGCAATAATTTCAAGCGAATTCGGTTTTTGAATATAAAACAGACGTCCGGCGCAGGGTAGATTTACTGGGATTCTTGGTCTCGCACGGAATAACTGTTTTTTTTTTAAATTTTTAATCTGTTAGAAAGTCGAAGAAATGCCAAATTCATAAAGAAAAAATAAATCATTCACCGAAAACAATAAAATAAGGGTTCACACGTGGCGAGACCTTTTCAAGGCGCACGCGCGTAAATCTACCCGCGTACAGCAGTCGCAGGACGCCGACTGTATAATTGATCAAATGATTATAATTAACTATGATCAACATAATTAACTATGATCAACAAAAATGGTCACTATTTTTTTGGTTTCATAAAATAAAAAAAGAATATTCAGACAAGATCCAGCTAAAATGATTGAATGACCGAAACAGCGGCGGATTTTTTGATTCACTCATTTCAATAAGAGAGTAATTTGAGATCCATTAGTCCTTTTTTCTATTCTAGGCAAAACCTGAAGAATTCGGCGTAGTAGACATTGATCATTTCACACGGTGGACTGACATAATCGAGCATCCATCGTGGAATCGAAAAGCCCATTCGACAATCAACTGAAAATGATTGATTGGAAATTGAGTTTATATTTATACATATAATGAGAAACGATGTTATACGAACCAGCTATGAGGAACCATGAGAAACTAAATGAAACGAAGACGATTGCGAACACGAGAATCGATGTGAATCGATCGGTGAAGATTGCTTGGTAGCTCGTCGGAAAGTATAGTGAGATGAATCTGAAAACAAAAAAATCCAGTTTTCTAGAATTGGCGAGCTTAGTCTCGATTACCGGTTGAATGAAATGATGAGATGCGTGTAAATGGAAATGTCGTAGCAAATGAGGCACAGCTGAGCGAGGTGCGAGGCGATCGGCAGTATTTGCAGCGCTTTAATGTCGCTGAAAAAATGTTTCCATTGCGCGATCGAATGTTATTTTGATCTCTCTCTCTCTCTCTCTCTCTTCTCTCCGTTTCTGAAAAATGAAGCTATCAGAATCGGCCTGAAACCTTGTAGCGAGACACGTCGCGGTTCGCGTGTGGTCATGTATACTGGTTTTTTTTCCTAATATTTTCGTCATTTCCATCGAAATGCGATCAATTTGGCGCGTAAATCAATTTTTCTTGCGCGCGACACTGATTGCGATGATATCAGCAGACGATATTGAGTGCATTCTGGAGGAAAGGTAATTCATCCTGAGTGCATTCTGGAGGAAAGGTAATTCATGACTAAATTGGTATATAAGCGTGCTTCAGAATATGAAATAAATCGGCCACACGCGTTGCAGTTTAGTGGTTTTCATTCCCAAGGCTTCTCTTCGGGCGGCCGCGAATTATTCGGCCATGGCACATTTCACGTCCACAAATATTTCGAAATTTTAATTTATTATCCGAATTTTTATGCTTTTTTTTAGATGAAATCAAAAAATGCGAAGAATATTGCTGTGAACGGATGAATTTGAAAATTTTAAATGTACGGGCTGCAATTTAATAGGTTGCACAATCAATACGCCATTTGGAACTTTTGTCTTTTCGGTTATGCCATTAAGAAATCGCAAAAAACAGCTTTTAGGATTATTTTGAAACGAGACTCAAAGCGGTAATCCAAACAATCAAACAATTCAAAAAATTTGACCGCACGCCTGGTGTCTGACGAAGTTTTTCAGCGACTTATTCTAGTTCCCGGGGTTTTTTGTAAACGGAAAATAATTGTATTCAAAATATATATTTTACAAATCGAATTTATTAAATATATAAAAGTTTAGAATATATGACGTAGGCTGATCATTTTACATACATAATTAAATAGATTGCAGAATTTTTTGTGAAATTCGAAAATTTTCTAAAAAAAAAATGAAAATTGTGCAATCACGCCGCATGAACTCTGCGTACACAATTTAATCTACGTCTCACGATAAAAATTTTAGACTGCGTAGTAGTTGTGGCTTTATTCCGCGAAAATTAACATCGACTAACTATATTTTTAGTGACTCATTTCTTATTCATTGAGTGTTTGAACTTTTGGATATTTATCCAAGGTTTTTTTTTTTGAATGTCTCTCATCATTTTTCTTGGCTGAAATTCTCACTATGATCGATACAATAAAAAAATAATCCCCTAATTAAAACCACATTTTCTATTAATGATTTTTCATCGCAATTTCATTTGATTCATAATGTTCATTATCATGATATTTTGAAGAAATGAATATTTCGCTTCATTCGACGACTATTTTCATTTAAGCGGCATCCGGCGCATTGTAATCAAATATGTGCCAGACAGGCTAAAAAAAACGAAAGAAAGAAAATGGGGCGTTAGATTGAAATGCGTTTCGAAGGCTCGAATTTCAGGTGAGTTTTGGTGTCGTTCCAAATTCAGACGCGTTTTTTTTTGTTGAAAAATCTGATATACGCGGGGGTAGATTTTCGGGGCCAATTTCACACAAACTTTTTATTTTTGCCATTCTTATTAAAAATTTTAATCGCCACTGATTAAAAATGACCAAAATGGGCTTTGGAAGGCGGCCAATTAGTAGTCAATTAGTCATCACGAGCCACTACTAATTGGCCTTAGAATGCAAATGACCAGTTCGTCCACGCGATACCAAAGCAAATGCTCGTAAAAGTACAACTTACATTCTCTGGTAACTCAAAACCAATCGGATCCGTCAAAATTCGGCTTCGCAATCAACCCGACCCGATTGGAAATTCTACGGATAAAATTGTACATAAAATTGTCGGAACCAATTCGAATTGAAAAATTAAAGCAAAACGGATTCGAATGATAACCAATCGGATCAAGTTGAATTTTAAATCAGATCAGATTAGATCCGATTGCTTCTGAGTTACCAGAGTTTGTAGACGGACAATGAGTAGAAGTTTTTTTTTTTAAGATTTGAAAAATTTACTAGAGAACGTCTAAATCAATGCATTTCTAAAATAATTTTTAAAAAAGGACTGAAAATAGGCGGGACCTTTAAACTCGCAAAAATCGCCAAATCTGTGTTGATTTAAATTTATCGATAACAGAATATTAAAGGCGCGTACAATATAATGCAATGTACGCAAACTCGCGTAAATCTCGTTGCATCGAGACAACTTGTTGAAACGTTTCTTTTTTTTCGAATATTTTGTTTTCATTTTTCAAATTTGAGACACTCAAATTTTTTCTTTGAACTTACAAAAAGAGAACCGGCGCGAAATAAAACGCCCAAACCAGCACAAAAATCGCATCGCCAATCGCCTAAATATGGTCAATTGGTTTTCAGAACGAAGAAAATTAGACCTGAAGTTGCAATAGTCTTCCGAATGAATTGCGAAGAAGCGAGAGGCGTTTGATGTAGATCGCGATGAACGTATTGCACGAAAATCCAATGAAGCTCGTCTAAAACAAAGCTAATTATTTGGAAATTTCGTGTGTGAGGTCCAACAAGAAATATGAGAATCGCTGCTATCCGATCGACGTCGTGGACCTGGACATCGTCCATGAGAATCTAAAAGTAGCCGAGTGTTTGTTTCGGATAAGTGGACACCGAGAAATGGGCGCGGCCTAGTCGCAATGGGGGGAGGGGGCGGGGCCTTAGGCTATTTAGACGCGTGCACGCGCGAAAATCAAGTTAATCAAGACGCTCGGCAATTTTGGGATTTTCGTTCACAATTTTTGGATAATCCACAAGCTGACACATATATTTGGTTGACTAAACGTCTTCAACTCATGTGACACGGGTCATCATCATCCAAATATGGAATCTTCTAACCAACAAATTGCCAAGATATTACATTTTTCAACATTCATTTTCAAATTGTCAAGTGTTCAATATTTATTATGAAATAAAGAAATATTTGAGTTATTGTTCAACTATCGAAGAAAAAAGAGGAAATCTGCTATATTGAAAAATTCGAAAATTTGGTATCCCTTTTAAAATACGGCGACTGCTCTACGCGGGTAGATTTACGGGGATTCTTGGTCTCGCACGGACTAACTGGTTTTTTTTTTAATTTTTAATGGAATGACGTTGGAAATTCAAGGAAATGCGAAACTCATCAAGAAAAAATTAACCGTTCACACGAAAACAACCAAATAGGCGTTCACACGTGGCGAGACCTTTTCAAGGCGCATGCGCGTAAATCCACCCGAGTAGACCAATCGTCGGACGCCGACTATTCGTCATTTGAAAAAAAAAATTGAGAGGGGATCGAGATATGAAGGGCAATTGGCTCGAAGACTTCCAAAATTGAACTGCGAGAAAAAAAAATCAATCAAATCGATGGGAAGCGACGCCAAAAAATGGAGGGGATGACGTGTTTCGACAACACTTTCCGTTCATAAGCATCAACATTCGGTTTATATGATATATAATGTTCTCAATTCTTTCTTTTTGAACTGAAGAGTTCTCTGGGAGCTTCTTCTTCTTCTTCTTCTTGTTCTTTGCAGAACAGTTGAATGGAATGGATGAGGGGGGGGTGAATGAGGGCAGGAAATGAAAACCGATGCGGCGGCGCGCAATTTTGACACTTTTCCTCAAATAAATGCGTTTCGAGTCGTCGGAAATCGCAAGGAGAATGAGAACGATGAGGAGAACTTTGGCGAAATCAAAACAATGATGAGGATGAGGGTGATGCGCGAGCGTGCGTCGCTCTGAACACTTTTAATTACGTCGAGCCACGAGGTCAACCTCGCACATGCTAATATTACCCAAAAATTCTGCCGTGCTCTAATTTTTTTTAAGAAACCCAACAACATGTATAGGAATCAGTGTTAGAATTGACTATTTCGGAAGTCTATAAATGGAGCAAATTGATTTCTCTCAATAGCTTTTTTATTTATATTTTTATTCGATCAACAACCATGCATTAGTTTCTTTTTTTGTTGGATATTAGCTACAGTACCCAGAAAATTAAAGGCACATGGATGCTATCCAGGCGAGACCAATAAATTGATTGCGTTATCAATGAAAAAAGAGAAATTGAGGTTTTCTTAGAACAAAGGTCGTTCTAAGAGTGGTTCAAAATTGGAAACTTCGGACCCAATTTTTTTGGGGACTTTTTGGAACTTTTACATAGAATACTCGATATGGAATTTTTCGATTTGTTTTGTGAGCAAAATTAGAAAAAATGCCAAACCACTAACAACCTCTTGCTCAAATGGTTGCTGACAATGGAAAAACACATTGAATTTTCAGACGGCCATAACTCGCCTGTAACCCCCCAGTGCAGACTGGAATTTTGTGAACCCACTCAGAGGACCTTCTAGTTTATGTGTGCAAAATTACAAAAAATTCCAAGACGGAGGTAAAATGACTTTGCTTGTAAGTAAAAAAAAACATCCCAGGTTGTTTTTTTTTTGTAAATAAAATGTTTTGAGATAATTTTTAGAAATCGCCTAATTTCTTAAATAACTACTGTCTTCGCACTCTCACGATTGCTCCTTGTACATTGAATATTATATAGGTGTGAGTTGTAGATATTCTTGCGTATTTCTATTGGATTCGAATGAGTCACATTCCTGGTTTCCTACAAGAAGCATGATGCCATTTCTCAGAATTTTTGGGTAGATCGCACTCCGCCCCGAGGGGAAAAGCTTGGACCCGTGTTTCTAAGTTAGTTTGCTGAGCCCGAAAACAGCGTACAAAAAAATACGGTGAGTTTGATTCGCAGGCTCTCTTCAGTATGATACCCGAAACAAATCGATGGTCCATCAATGCCAACCTTCCAATCCTTCCTAGAGAGGACTAAATGACAAATGGAACCGACCTCTTTCAAAAAAATAAATCCCCATTTTGCCAAATGGGTTCAGTTATTAAGAAGTGCCTCTTCCCAATTTGGTCAAAATTGAATATCCCCTACAAAATGGTCCAATAGACTCACATTTCAAATTCAGTTCAAAATGGTTTTTTTTAAGAGGTCATCACTTTTTGACATTTCAGTCCCCTTTGAAAATAGCTTCAAATTCACAGGTTTCTCATTTTTTTTTGGGAAGTGCAATAGTAATTTTAAATAAATAAATATGTAGTATTTTATCGATTTCTCTAGGCAATTAAATGTAATTAAAAATTGCTAACTGCTGTCATATTAGTGGCTAATTTTGAGAATATTTTTCTTCATTATCATCATAATTCTTACTAAGAACATCTCATACAATTTTATAATTGAAGTCTAGTGGAATTCAAGCATTTTTCAAAATTGTATGTATTTGGTTTCTCCCCAAAATTTCCGTGTGGAATTAATTAGATTGTCCAATATTACGAAATCTGCCCGTCCGAATAATTCTAGACTTATCGCGCAATAATAAATTTTGATAGAATCTAGTTAAGAATATTACTAACTAGAAACGGCAACGATTTATTCGAAGAAACGCATTCATTCTATAGTTTTTTTGATATATGATTGTCAATTTTTTTCTCGTCGCCCCACAATATTTATTTTGTGCGGATATTTGCAAATTAAATACCGAATAATAATATACGTTTAATAGCCTCCGCGCACAATTTTATTCGATTACTTTTATTGTGGTGCATTTCGTCGTCGGTTTCTCCCAATTTCTTCATCTAATTGATTTATGAAGTTGGATTTTTTTTCTTTTGCAAACAAAAAAATGGACTAGAATATTGCAGCAATTCCGAAATTTTTCCGTTTCAACGAAATTTGATTATCGAATTTAGCTGGCTATTTCGGAAAATCGGGCACTGTAGATTTTTGAAGGTCTCACGAAGAATACAAATTACTATGCCAAAGTACAAGTTTGACGACAAATGAGACTATCGTGACTCAGACCTCCATGCTAAACAAACTAGGCGATATGCCCAATTTGAATACAATATCGAGAATCGCGTTGAAAAGATATTATTTAAAAAAAGGGAAATTGATTAAATGGCAAATATCGACTGAATGAGCAATTTTTGAGAAGGACTCAAACAAAAAATGAAGCTGGCTGGAGAAGCGCAAAACCAAGCTGCAACGCCTTTAATCTTCTTAGTCCTTCTTAGGTTTTCGCCTTCGAAGATTCACTATATTTACAACATCTAGAAAAGAAAGAAAAAGAAAAAAAAGCTTGCCGTTGAGTTGGATCGTTTGTTGTTGGCGGCGGTGATGTTCATGTCGACGTTCGAATCGGCTCAAAATGAGCATCTCGACGCGTATTCGAGCCCATCAAAATGGGCGGCGCGTGGGTTAATGGGGGGTACGCATTGTGTGTGTGCGAAGCAAAAAAAAAAAGACAAAAGCACCTACCATATTTGGAGTGACGAAATCGATGGTGCGATGTCGTCGACGACACTGGAACAAATTAAATTGACACCGATTTATGAGCAATTTTGACGTCGTCGCGCCGGCCGACGTCGGAGGAGAGAGTGCGACGAATTGAGAGACGCAGAGAAAACTGTATCACACACACTCAAAAAAAAAAAAGGCGAGAAAAGCGCGAGAAAAACAATACGATTTGTCGCTCATCGTTTTCGAATTCTCATTAAATTTATGAGCAATAAATGGGAATACTCGAATGAGTCGACGCGAGTTTTCGGCAACTGTGAGGTACTTAATCGACATGTTTATGAAATTAATTATTATATAAAAAAGAAAAACTTGCGAATTCTGATAATCAGCCCCTTTCATACGATTTTTCATAAAATGTATTGTGTTTGGAAAATTTTTTTTTTGAATTAAAAAAAAAATTTTTTTAAAGGTTAAGCGAATCGTCTGGAATTTTCACATCTCTCTATTTTTTGGCTATGTTTCTTATGATCTGCGTCCGATAAAGAATAGGCTATGTGCGCTTCAGTGATTTTAATTCCAATATAAGCTGATTCCCGCAGCTTCTTTTTTTTTAATCATTGCGCGACCGCACGCGAACCGCAGCGCATCTGATGGCATTGGTCTTGAAGCGAAAAATTCCCTCTCTTTTTTCGACTAACAAACTACATATATTTCTATCATTTCTGATCTTGGAAGAAAAAAAAACATTGAAAGGACCCTCGAATGATGAACAAGAGACGTCGAATAATGCCCATAAATCTCCCCCACGTGCCCTTCAGTCGCCCGGGCGTAGAATATAAGCTTGCATCGAATGGTTTAAAGCTTTTAACAATGAAAATTTCAAAAATAGTTCTCGGCATAAATTTACAATATATTGGAGTCTGTGTGAGCAGAATGACGGTTTTCCACGAGCTCATGTTCAACTCAACCTATTACTCATTCGATGGTTCATCCCCAAAATTCTGATAAATGGATTCAAAAGAAATGACAATTTTTTTAGTTATTAATTAAACGGTTAACTTAATGATAAATTTGAAATTATTCATTGTTTCAAATTTTATTCACAGAAACTCCCCCCCCCCCTTTAAATTAATTGAGAGTTTACCCATTGGTCTTTGGATGTTTATCCTTCAAAAACAACAATTCTGGTCATCTCCTAACAAGGATTTTTTTTCGCAAACTTTTAATATGTGGAAAAGGATTCTGAAAATAAACAGAGATTCTTCGAAAAGACACA